AGCACCTTCAATTGATGAGGTTCAGTTGGAAATCGATATCAATGTTGAGATTGACAAACCTTTAATCTATTTTAGCCATAAAGAGCCTTGTTGGATGGGCAGAACTGGGATTTCTTCAGTCTGGATTGGATTAGATTGGATTGGAAGTGGCTGGATTGACAATTTCTGGTCTGAAACTGCACTTCAGCACCTGTTCTGCTTAATTGTGGATCACCTGCGATCTGTTCTGATGATTCTCAGGCATCAAGGCATCTCTCTAAATTTGTTAAGGTTTTTATATTATGAAAAGCCTGAAAAGCCTGAACTCTGCTTGATTGGCCTATGCTGAACCAAATTTGTAACGAGAAAAATCTCGTTTTCTTTGTGAACTGCTTCTTTAAGTTAAGTTGAAGTCAGAAACCTGAGGTCTGCTTGTTCTATCAGAGACTGGATGTCTTTTATAAATCAAAGAGCTTGATTACTTTAGAGTCTGAAGGCTTTTGAGATCGTATGATCTTGTTTTGAATTTATCAGTATGACTTGAGAGTTTTTGTTTTGATTGAATTTTTGGCTATCCTCAATCCTGTTCACCCCTCTCATATTTATAGAGAATCTGAATGAGGGTTTAATCCTTAATATCTAGAGGATAGATCTGTTGAGAGGATTCCTTGTTCCAGCGTGAAAAAAGGGATAGTAGTTTAGTCTGACAAAAGAAAACCCTCATCAAAAGTCAGTTTTTATGATGATCAGTTTTGATCTTCAGTCAACCAACTCTCTTACTCTTGTTTATCTCTCATAAACCCCACTTGCCCTGATGCAAAGCCCTCATGAGCATAGGAAAGAAACTTGGCATTAAATGGTTATGGGGAGTTATTTTCGAATTAAACCTTCTACCAACTCCCTATCACGTCATCTGCCCTATTGAAATCTTGACTTTAGAGTCACGTGGGCTCTTGTAGAGAGAGAGAGAGAGAGAGAGATCTTCCCAAAAATCTGCTGACTTGATTTATGAAATTGTGATCAACGGTGATGATCAAATTTTGATCCTTTGGAGAGATTAGAAGCTGGGCTTAGTTTTTAAACCAATTAGAAACTGATTTGTCCAGATTAAATCACCATTAATGGCAATTAATCTTTGTTGAGGCCCAAAAAATTCAAGGCTGAGCCCAAATATATTTCTAGCCTAGTACGACACCTAACTTAGGAAAAAACACAACTTGGGTACGTAAGAGTTTGTCATATGCGCTTGCACACGTGCCACGCTAAGCAAATAAGCAACACGCCACGCTACAAGCTTAAGTGAGCCCAAGCCACGTGAATGCCTGGGGCTTGTTGAGTAAGTTGTGGTATGGACGGTTACAAGCATTCATTAAACCCATTGATGGGCCAAGAAATGGAAGTTTTGGGCTGATTGGGAGCCCCAAAACTCGAGCCCATTTATTTAGCCCAAATATTTGGGTAAGCATGAAAGAGAGAAAAAGGTAGCCTATTACCTTAGAAAATTGGCCCATCACCTTAGTAAAAAATAGTCCATCACTCTAAAAGGTTGGCCAATCCCCTCCGTAAACTAGCCCATTACCTTAGGGAATGGCCCAAGTGACTTAGAAAAATCTAAAAGTCTCCAACACATGGCTAGAGACAAAACCACAACAGAAAACCAAGGGATAGAGACTTGCATAGGCTGCTGGGAAGCTCTAGCACATGACCAAAGGCAAACCTCAAGACAAACCATTCAAAAGACCAAAGGGTATTAGCGTGCGCAAGTTGCTAGGAGAAAAGGCATCCTTCAGACCAACGCTGCTATCTATTTCCTTTATTTACCAGCTCTTACCATGAAATAAGGAGGAAAGAAAGAGAAGTGATAACCAGAGATGGGAGGTTACCACTGGAATGACTGTGGGAAGACTTTTGAGCTCCCAAAAATCTTGTCTCTGTGTGTTTGGACAGATGAGGATTTCACAAATTAGGATGAATTAGAGGAAGGGAAGAGAAATGAAAGGAAAGACTTTGCAAAATTGGAGAGAACCCATTAGAGTTTCTTGGGAAGAAGCTCCTTTAAAAGGGGGGTATCCTCTACCCATTATCTCAAGACACGTCCAGAGAGAGCAAGCATCACCTCTCATCCTTGGATCCCTTCAATTTCGAGCCATATTCCTCCATCTTTTCCCATCTTCTCTTCTAGCAAGCCATTCCAGAGCCTGACGAAGCTTTCGTCAAGCTGTCGAAAATTACCCAAAGCACCCATTCTTTCACCCTAATTTCTATCTCTCTCTCTCCTCAGCAAATTCTCATGAAATCCTTTGCTTTAAACCTCGGTTTCTTGTAGAAAGTCTAGTCTTTCTCTCTCTCTCATGCTAAACTCATGAATGCTTAGCTTCCATGCCACAAGCCTCTCAAGCCAAGCCAAAAATTTATCTGTAAGCAACCGTTGGTTTCATTGGTGAAGAAGACCAAGGTGTTTCCTGAAGCTCAGCTACCCTTTCGAAGCACTCTTGGGCTTCGATTTTTGAACTCAGACCCATGGGCAATTTCACACATTTGGCTCTTTACAACAACCTAGGCCCATCAGTAGCTGTCGGAATGAAAAAGCCCCTACAATCCTTAATTTGTAAATTTATTCCTTGTAACTAGTTCACAAAGGTCTGAGCCTCTAAACGCATTTGAGCTGACTTCTGACTTTAATAAAACAAAGTGCAAACTCTTGTTTTTGACATGGGCTGGCGCTTGGAATTTAGGCCCAAACCACTATAAACGTTTTTAGTCATATTATCACAGATCAAAAGCTATATATGAGCTTCATGTTAATCAATACACTTATCCGAACCACTTTCGTCTAAGTGTGCAATCATCCCCAAAGGTAGAAACCCATTTCACTTTTTTCCAGATGTAGGAGCAGCACTATTAGCAATCATGTTTCATGAAAGATAAAAATCAATTCATTCCTCAATAATTGAGGTTACAATAATGAATATGGTGACAAGTAATTTTTTGACGTAGTGGTTCAGAAAATATATTTAACTCGAAGTGACATCAATATTATTTATAAATTTGAAAATATTTTAAACTGAATATTAAACAGAAAAACGTAAGTTCTTCATGTGTCGAAATTCCTAACAAAGGGTACATGCATGCATCCTGCCTTTGTGAAAAGTATTTATTGACCATGTTTCTTGTAGTCAGAATTGACTGCTTTTTTTTCCTTCTGAGAAATGAAATGTATAGGAACCACACATTTAAAGGAAATGTGAACCAAAGGGATATCCTAAATTACATCAATATAATTTCGTTTTCTGGTGCTTTGTTACTAACAATGAAAAAAAGGACATAGTAGATCAAGGATATGTACTTGTTAGTTGCTGGACTGTTCCAGGAAGTGAAGCATCCCATAATGAACAAGACCAGCCCATGCCCCAGCCTGAATGATGACTTTTTAGTTGCAGGAATGTTCCAGGAAGTGAAGCATGCCACAATGAACAAGACCAGCCTATGCCTCAGCCTGGGTGATGACTCATCAGGCAACACCAGCAACAGCTGCTAAAGGAATGGTTGAACCGGAGCTCATCAGCAATGTTATTTTATATGCATGAATCACCGCAAAAACAGGATATTCATTATACAGAGTTGTCATAAAAATAATAAATTACACTCTGGTTTGATTCACATTGATCCAGATCCTGAAAATCAACACACTTGGGTAATTTTCTCTACAAATCCATCAGAAGTAAATGCTTTGCTATATAGCACTTCCTCTGTTATTGTATCAAGAATGTGAAGCCTTATTCAGAACCCTACTTGAACAATTAATGAATGAACCACACCATATAGAATTAGATAAGAAAGAATTAAAATGAATCAAAAGGGATCGATCTTCAACCACTAGCGAGGATGTGGTTCAGTAAAAGTCTCATATTCCATTACTATGACAGAGTTACTCTTGGATCGATCTGACCTTGTTGCCCCTGAATTATATTCAGATCGTAAGGACATGTCCGATGCAATGCTTCTATGCAAATAAAATGCAGGTTGGGAGGGCAGTGGGAGAGTGAAGGAGTAGCTATTCATCATGAGAATAACAGAAGCCATGGTTGGCCTATCAGCTACATTTTCTTGCACACATAATAATCCAATGTGGATGCATCTCATTATTTCATTTCTTGAACCAGTCTTCAATGTTGGATCTATTAGATTTGAAGCTGTCCCTTCCCTCCAACTTCTCCAGGCCTGCAATGATTTGTGAATTTGATAAGAGATAAGTTTTCTTTCTTTGATTCGTTGCACTAAATTGTATTGAGATACCAAAACTATATTATATTTTCACTTACGAAACTTAGAAGATCCTCCGCATTTTCTCCATGCCTGAAGCCACTATTTTTTTGTCCACTGACTATCTCTAGAACTAACACACCAAAACTGTAGACATCGGACTTAACAGAAAAGTGCCCACGCATTGCATACTCTGGAGCCATATACCCACTGCATATCAACAAAAAGAATGTCCGCGTTCACCAACACATATGGAAAGGAAATTGTTGACATATAACAGACATAAGCCCACAGGCAGTTAAGTGCATATTCTTACAAGGTCCCAACGATCCGACTAGTATTGCCTTGCGTTTGATCAGGCACAAACAACCTTGCCATGCCAAAATCTGAAATTTTGGGGTTCATTTCTGCATCTATCAAGATGTTACTAGCTTTGAGATCACGATGAATAATTTTAAGGCGAGAGTCTTCGTGGAGGTAAAGGAGGCCTCGAGCAGTGCCTACTATGATTTTGTAGCGCCTCCCCCAATCTAGTTGTGCACGCTTTGTTGGGTCTGCAAATATATTAATGCAAAATCAAGACTTCAATTACAATGTTTGCTTGCATACATGTCACACAATTGGAATTTTATAATAAACATTGGAAGTTAAACGAAAACAACGCATTATTCCAGACATACCAAATATGATGTGATCGAGACTTGCATTAAGGACAAATTCATAGACAAGAAGCCTTTCACTTCCTTCTAAGCAGAAACCTAAGAGTCTAACTAAATTCCGGTGTTGAAGTTTAGCCGCTAACAAGACCTCATTTTTGAATTCTAAATCTCCTTGCCCAGAATTTGTAGAGAGCCTTTTTACAGCTATATCATTTCCATTGAGAAGCCTACCCTGAAAAAATATATAGGTACAGAATGAAAAAACAGAAATCAGATAAGTGGTATTCAAGAAATATCAAAGTTATAAGTTCTTGTTATTAACTTGTCATTACCCTGTAAACAGATCCAAATCCGCCCTGTCCAAGTTTATTTGCTTCAGAAAAGTCATTTGTGGAAACTCTAATGGTGGCCAAGTCAAATTGCAAGGATTCTGCAGATCCAATTTCATCTGTATCGTCGTTGCCTGAGGAACAATTGAAATTCTAAAAACGCCTATAAAAGTGGTAGTACTCGGCTTCCTCCCTATCAAATGGAATAATATGATTAATTAATGTTCACTAGAGTTGCGTTCTTACCTGGAATTAACTTCCCAGTTTCAAGTTTTTTCTTTGTCCTCCTTACTCTTAAACAAATGCAGAAGAACATAACTATTAGTACCACAGAAACAACAATTGGCACAACGATAATGATGACAGTTCGAGATTTGTCACTCTTCGATCCTGCAAAAATCAGAAATCTCATTTGCATTAATTTGAATACATACATACAGATATATATGCATTAGAAATCTATTCGACCCAAAATTGTTGTAGTGTCAACAGTAGCAATGGTCCCTCAACTTGTACACGAGACAACTACATCAACTAAAAATTGAATTGAGGGACTAAAATGTAACTCGTCTACAAATTCCTGGACAATTTCTCTAGTTAAGCAAACTTTATTTCTTCAAAGCATAATATATTGGGATGTAAATATATATATATATACCTCCTGTACTGGTTGACGGGGGAGGAGGACTAGACAGTGGCGGTGGAGGAGGACTAGACAGTGGCGACGGAGAAGACGGCAATGGTCGGATAGTTGTAGTGTTAACGAAGCGATAGGTCTCATACCTAACATTACAGCTGGGTTTACTAATTAGAGCACCTTGCTTCCCCTCAAAAAATTTTGGAATATCTGCCAAAGAACTGCCCAAGCAATCACTGCAGACCTGCTCGGTCAAATCTGGCGTACACTGCGCAAGTCCATAGACATTTTGGAAGTTGGGAAAGGTTGCGGTCCCTACCGCAAATTTTCGAAGTGAACCGTTTCCTGCAGCTTGACCCCTTAGGTCCTCCAGTAGCGTATTCAGTTCTTGAGAAAACCCGTCGACGTCGGAGGGCACGTTCTGTGCGTTATACCACATGAGAGGAGGGAAAGTTTCCATGGCTCCGTAGATGGAGCGGTTGGAGTAGCGAAGCGTGCACTGTTCAATTACGCCGAAAGCTTCCTTTTGATTGGGACAGCCCTGTGTGATCTGTTGTGTGGCGTTGCTGAGGCAGCCACGGCAAAAGTCCACCGTGACATCCCCTCGACATAGCCCGATTGCGTAAACCTGGTCGGGGTTTTCCCCATAGGATAAGTTGTAGAAGCCGTAGCCATTGCCGTTGTTGGAGGGGGAAGAAAGAGAAGAGAGAAGGGTGTTGAGGTTTGTCTTGTAGGTACTGTTGGTGGTGTAGTTGCCTTTATCGTTGTAACAATATGGGGATTGAGATTGAGTGCTGATCATAAGGAACAAAACGGGAGAAAGGAAGAACAGAAATCTGAAGGAGAACATTAATGGGCGCCATTCTGTTTGTACATTATTGTTGGTCAAATCAAAAGAGAGCATAATACATAAAAAAGAAAATGTAATTTATTTCTCAAATTGATTGAATATTAAACCATTTTTAACGATGGCGTTTAGGAGTAAAGGACACTGATTATAGAGCCACTGTGCATCCACTATTTCCTTGTCTGTTGTCCAAAAAAAACTGATCAACACACACCATTTTTTATTTAGCTCTTTACTTTTCTCTCTTTTTTGCCCTTGACGAGAGAGAGAGAGAGAGGTGGGTGTGGCCCTGCCCTGTGAGGTAGGATGGAGCAGTGGGCACATGCATCAGTGCCTATTTTGACCAAGATTTTGAATTTCAACTGACAAAAGAGAGACGTGCCTACGTTCACAACTATTCACGCGGTATAAGTCCGTGCCTTTAGAGCAGTTTTCTACTAGTGGGGCCAACTTTCTTTTCTTTCTATTGCCTTTTCTTTCTAGAACCAAATTAAACGTTGGCCACATCGTTGATATATCATGACATGAGTAAAAAAATAGGTTCATTATACTAGGTAAATTGTTTTACTATGTACATTATTAGAGAAAAAAAATAGGTACATTATTTTGAGGGAGAAAATAGGCTCATTTTGAAAACAAATTCATAAAACAAACAATAAAAAGATGATCAAATTATTTTCATAAAACAAGTAATAAAGAAAAAAAATAGGTACAATATTTGGAGAAAAAATAGGTTCATTAAAAAAAATGTTTTAAAAACAAAACAATAAATAGATCATTAAATTATTTTTCAACATAATTAGAATGTACACTAATAAAAAAGAATACTGGTCGTATAATTCATAAAAAGAAAACAACATTAATTCTTAAATTTAATATTGAATTTAAATTATTAATACTTTAAATAGATTACTAGTCGTAATTCATATAAGGAAAACACCATTAATTCAAAAATAAATTACTAGTTGTAAAATAGATTACTAATACTTTAATGTGGAATTTAATATTTAATTTCAAATAAGTTTCTAAATTAGTTCCTACATCCATTACAACTATTTTGAGATATTTCCAAATTCAACGGGTGTCATTAGTTACACCCCCCATAACACATTAACTTATAAATTGGGGTAGTTTTGGAATCCGAAAAATATAATAAATAAGATTTTAAGTTATATTAGGTAACTTGCTTAGTTGGATTCTAGTCATCGGGTATTATTTGAAAAAATTAGGTATTTTAAATAGAAAACTAAAAAAAAGGGTTGTAGGTGATTTTAAATGAATTTTATGGGTCTAAGCTCAATTTATTATAAAATAAAAGCCACACACACATATTGACAGAGACGGGACTGGTTCTTCTTGTGATTTTTGATGAGGACTAATTGGAGATTTCAAATAAATAAAACAATTGAATATTAGAAGGGGGGGTGCATGGTTGACGTCAAGGCAAGGAGATATTGCAAGGAATTTTCTAGTGTGGACGGACTGCTTTTTTATTTACCAACCTTAATTAAGTGGGTGTCCTGGTCGAAGGAATGGAAACTTCTAAAAATGAAAAAAAGATAAAAATGTTCCAATAAGCATATGTAATTCATGAAATTGGAAACATCTAAGCTGAAACTCAACGTCCATTTAGGGATAAGAGGCCCCCATTTGGGATTGTTTCTTTTCGCCGAAAACCTGCTTCACTTTAAAGTTAAGCAGTTTCAAGTGTTTGGTAAAAATAAAATATCCTGATTATTTTAAAAGAAGTGGCCTTTTGACAGCAGCTTTTAAAAGCAAACTCTGGGTTACTTTTCAAAACTGCTTTCAAAAGAAGAAGATATAAACCTTTAATGAATTTTTTTAATTCCCAAAATACCATCATTCATTTTAAAAAATGACACCACCTCCACTTCCACATCCAACTCCACCACTTGCACCACCACATTCACTACCTCCACAACCGCCGCCACCATCACTGCCACTACCATCACCATCACATCCTCCTCCTCCTCCTCCCCACCACCACCACCACCCCTCCTCCACCTCTACCTCCACCACCACCTCCACAACCAACACCACACTGCCATTGCCACCACCACCATCATCTCCAGAACCGCCATCCCCACCACCACCACTACCACAACCACAACCACCAACTCCACCTTGATCACCACCACCACCTCCACTCCATCACCTCCACTACCACCACATGATTAGTACATAACACTTTCAATATTATGCCTATTTTAATCATTATTCACAGTTACAACAATTTTATATTAAATTTACCAAACGGTTTTGACACTGCTTTTTGTATTAACAGCACTTTAAAAATATTATTTACCAAACATGGAGCTGCTTTACTTTACAGCTATTTTCAAAGCACAACAGAAGCAACTTTTTTTAGAAAGTGACAGCAATTCTAAACTAGGCCAACTCAAGCATTCAACTTTTTCTTCTTTTTTGTTTTTGCAAATTATGATTCTGGTCTCTATAATTTGGCAAAATCTGACGTTAATTAAACTGTTAGATGGAAAATTAAATTTCAATTTCAATTTGGGTGGAAAATTAAAAATCATTAAATGCCACATCAAATATTTGACTAGAATTATGAATTATGATCTCATCCAACCATATAATATTGCCCACTAAATTGGCCCTAAAAAAGAGCTACATCACAACAATATGAGTCTAGCCACAACAAAAGTATTGAACTCATTGAGAACATATATAGTCCTCGATGTCCATGTGAGTCAAACTTGAGACCTTCTCTAACTAAAAATGCTACTAAAACAAAGGCTAGTTAGTAGCCCAAAATTCCTTTCAAGTTTAGAAATTGTCATAGCTTTGTTTTGTGAGCAGATCCTCAACAACTTGTAAAATAACATCAATTTCGATTCCCATCACCCATCTAACTTTATAGAGTTTACGAGCTAAATTTACAAAGAAAATTAACTAGGTTATTACTTGTAGACTACTCCAAATCAATTACAATTAATATAAACAAGGAAACTAAAACTAACTTCCCTAGTTCTTAACACCCATGTTCTTATGAGAACTAGGTGCAATTGTTAGTTACAAGAACCGACATACCTTATGCAAAAGGGAATCCAGCAACTGAAGGCTTTAACAATTATATAATACTATAGCCTGGTTATTGATTGAAATGGTCCCCTAATTTTTGCTCCAATCTCATTTTAGTCCACCAACTAAAATTTTCATTTCAATAGTCCTCCAACTCTCTATTTAGTATCCAAAATGGTCCTATTGTGAAAGTCTGTCAATTTTGCCATTAAATTCAGGGGTTAAAGTGTCTCTATGAATTAAAATAGTAATATAGAGTTTTAAAAATTAAAGGAAACTATTATAAAACTTAGAAAATTTTAAAACATTGAATCTCACTAGCCACAATAGCTTTTTTTTTCCCCCCTTGAGATTGACCTAACAATTAATAAAAAATTTATCTATTGTTTAAATTAATTAAAAAATTTAAAATTAGATAAATACAAAAATAAAATAACAAATTTTTTAAAAGAGTAAACAAACCCATATTTATACAAAAACACTGCCTTGCATCCCAACTCCACAACCTCCCCCCTCTCAGCCTTCCCCCACACATCCCTCTGCTTTTTCTCCCTCACGACCTGACCATCCCATCCCCACCCGCAACCCACAGCCCTAGCCCCAAGCCCCAGGATTCTAATTCGGGCAAAAAATTGAGGAAATGATATTGCTCAAAACTCAAGAGCGAGGGATGCTGAACACACTCTATTTCTTTGATTTGGTTTTCATCCAATCTATCCCCAAATCACATCAAAACCAACAAGCAAAACATGGCGTATTGCAAATGCTCAACCACTGTGACGCCTTTGGGTTAGGTTTGAGAATTTGTTTCAAGCCAGTCCCCTAGGATGTAGCACATACTCATTTTTATCATCTTTGTTCCCTGTGCTCAGGCACCTTCTTTTGTATTTGTTGATGAAATTTGTACAAGTGCATGACAAAGTGTTTTAACTGCTGCCCTGATCTTCCTTACTAGTTATCAATCTATTGGGATAATGTTTCTTTCTAGACAATGAATGATCATTTATATTTCCCTTATTTGCTTTATCCTTTGATGCTGTGAATTATTTTCAGGATTTATTTCTTTTTTCTCTCTCAGTATTTACCTCTTAGTAAATTTAGGTTTTAGCCAAAAAAAAAATTTCACTTTTGGAAAAAGCCAAAGCTTTTTCAAAAAATACAGAAAAACCTCTCAACTTTCAAATCAAAGACATGCAAATGTAAAAGATTCCTTAGGAAATCCAAAAATAAATAAGAGCAATTTTGTCCATTTTGGCTTCTTTTACAAAATTTCTCTCTCCTTTGTGTTTTTCCAAAATCTCAAAAAGTTTTTAATTTTAATGTATTATATATAAGAGAGGGAGAGAGAGAGAGAGAGAGAGAGAGAGAGAGAACGTGTGCAAGAAGCTTAATTTGGACTTTTCTCTCTTTTTTGCCATTGACGAGAGAGAGAGAGAGAGAGAGAGGTGGATGTGGCCCTGCCCTGTGAGGTAGGATGGAGCAGTGGGGCACATGCATCAGTGCCTATTTTGACCAAGATTTTGAATTTCAACTGACAAAAGAGTGTGGTGCCTACGTTCACAACTATCCACACGGTATAAGTCCGTGCCTTTAGAGCAGTTTTCTAATAGTGGGACCAACTTTCTTTTCTCTCTATTGCTTTTTCTAGAACCAAATTAAACGTTGGCCACATCCATTTATATTTGTGTAAACCACCGTGTAATCTGGGTCAAAGGAAAGGAAAATTCCACAAAAGAAAAGGTGTCGTAGTTTTGATCCAACTTCTAAATCTAAAGCATACATAGGAAGTTCATGAGATTGGGAAAAGATCAATTTCGGGAGACTGAGGGAGTAGCTATTCAGCATCACAATAACTAAAGCCATGGTTGGCTTATCAGCAGCCACATTTTCATGCACACATAATAATCCAATGTGGATGCATCTCATTATTTCACTTCTTGAACCAGTCCTCAAGGTGGGATCTATTAGATTTGAAGTTGTCCCTTCCCTTCAATTTTTCCATGCCTACAATAATTTATGAATTGGAATAAATTAATTGAGATAAAAATTTGTTTCTTTCATTGCAATCAATTTCACTAATCACTACTACAAAAATCGAAATAGACGACAGGAATCCACTATCGTCTAGAAGGTTTTCAAAACCGTCGTGAAATCGACCGCCATCTTTTGATATATAAAATGACGACGGCTAGTACCCAACGTCGTTAAAACATTCAATGTCAAAAAATATTACAAACCGACATCTAATTACTATATATATAGCGTAAAATGTAACATTCGACAAAATTAGATGACAGTTTTATTAAAACAGAGACGTCTGAAGAGTGTTACATGTCAAAATCAAAACAAGCACCAACGTACAGATAATTATCGATGTCCCTAATTGAAGGAATACAGGTTTTATTAAACCGTAATGGTTAATTTATACTGTGTTAAATAAATAAACAAACCGACATCTAACTTGTAAAAGACGACGCATAGCCAAAAGAACGGACGTTTACAGCATATTACATGTCAATAATCACACAGGCACCGAAGTAAAATTAATTTACCACGAGACACATGTGGAAAAAACCGTCGCTTATACGATTATCCACATTGCAATGTAGGAGAACAACGCCTTTTAAAAAATATTCCATGTCTGTTTCTTGCGAGAATAGTCATTTAAATTATACAAAGATGACACTTTTTATACAAAATGGACGTCTGAATACTTTAAAATGACACAATATTGTTGAATACCAACGTAAGAAATCCTACCAACGACTACTGTTGTTAAAGGCTAACATTAAAAATTATATTGAAGGCGTGGACAGGAAAAGAAACAACGTGGATTATATCTTCAACGTCGGTTTTTGTAAAATAAAGGACGTGGTTAATTCCTTCACTACGTCACGAGGATCCAATTGTATGACGTTGTAATTCCTTACCATGTCGGTTTCTAATACATGTTGGTGTGGTCAACCTTTTAAAAGTCGCTTGTGTAACCCTCCTTGACGTGTGTATTCTTTGAGACCTCATATGTTTTAGACTTAGTTTCAGTGTTCTACTTCTGTTTGCTCTTGTTCAGCTATCCTGTTATGCTTTGATATAGCACTTCATATGTTATTGTATCAAGAATGTGCTGCATTGATTTGAAACCAATGTGCTCATAAAAACTTATTTTATGGTTCGAAAATTGACTACTTGTTTCGCTTTAGGTCTTCAATGTCCAGACTTAGCTATTTACTTTTGAAATATGATTCTTTCGTATCAATTTACTTAAACTGGAATATCTTTCGCTACGCAAAATACAGAGGACATAAGTCAAGTGTACAATATTATGATGAACAAGAAAAGTTGATAAACAAATTAAAATACTAATTTGAAGTAACAGAATATTAGCAGACTCTTGCACTGTTCTTTGATTATGTCCATGAGAAGGCTCATTCAGAACCCTACTTGAACAATAGTGAATGAACTAAACAGATCCAAATCCGCCCTTTCCAAGTTTATTTGCTTCAGAAAAGTTATTTGTGGAAATTCTAATGGTGGCCAAGTCAAATTGCAAGGATTCTGCAAATCCAATTTCATATGTATCGTCGCCGCATGGGGAACAATTTAAACTCTAAAAATGCCTATAAAAGTAGTAGTACTTGGCTTCCATCTTTTCACACCATAGAGGGCAAGATCCAAATTGTTGGTGGCACGTGCTTCTGCGAACGATCCAAGCAGTAATGTGTTCCCATGCTTCTCTTTTCCAAGTCGAAGGTACCCATGTCATGAGGCCCTTTAGGTTTATGGTATTCCACATCCACACAATCATCAGTGAAGTATAAGGAATTTGGCTGACAACCTGGAAAGTCCAGCGCAGAGACACAAATGGATTGATTGGTACCCAAAAACAGAGCTTCATTTCCAATACTTTCAATCTCAACCCATTGGGGTCTCTCCCCATGAGCACTGAACAGCTTAAAAACCTTGAAGCTCAGTCTCCGTAAAACGATCATAACCATTTACTCGTTCAAACTTTAACCTTTCAAACTTGAAAAACTTGAAGTTGAGAGACTTTTACAATATTTTACTCGTTTGAACTTCCTAACCAGCAAAAGATCTCCCTTGGATGATTGCACAAGGTATGATTTATTGTCAGTGTCTGGATCCATTGGCACAAGTAAGCTTACATGGGGTTCGGTAGTTTGATCCCTGCTAACATTCATCGAAAAAACACTACCACCCAAACTAACACCTAGAAACTGGCCTTTATTGTAAATTACATCATCGAATCCGATCAATTGATCTATGCTAGTCCAAGCATCGTCCCCTGACTTAAAATGGGCTATTTGTTTCCCATAGCCATCATAGATGACCAATACTTCATATTCATTAGGAAGAAAAGAAGGGTCTGCAGACAATTCAACTTTATTAATGTAGTAATCACATCTATAAGCTACCGTCGATCTCCAAGTGGATTTGGGGACTGGTGGAAGGCTAATGGTACACCCGGTAAAAGGGTTTAAGAGGGTTACTACCAGATTCTCATCCACACAAGCCAACCAACCATGGGAAGAACCACAGAACCTCTTACTGTAATACACATTCAACTCAAAGCTACAAGTCTTACCTTGTGTCACACTATACAAGCCACGCCTTTCGCTGCTACCGTCTATGGTGGGAATTATGAGCATAGGAATCTGCTTGTGACATGATTTGATGGGCTGCTTCTTGCGATGTAAAGCGACTGATTGCCAATGCTTGCAAACTGCACTAAATCGGATATAGTCAGAAATTGGGATCAACTTTTCTAGAATCAAATCCAGAATGTTGCTTGGAAGCCATGCCCAGCCTGAAACTAAGGTTGGGACCATCTTCCATTGTGCTACATTTGACTTATTTAGGTGGCTAGCTTGGAATTGGTTTTCATTGACAATTTATGAGGAATCAAGAGGCTTTCCTTAGGCTACAGTTCCTCAGGCATGAACATTGGTGAGCTGTCCTCCCCAGTTACAGCATTGGAATATTCCCCCTTTCCTGCAAAACCGATGAAATTGTGATTGTTTTTCCTTGTATATATGGTTCAACATGGCCATGTCTAATTTAGAATTTTAGAAGGTTCCAAAAGTAGCAAGCTGGCCTGTGACATAATAATAAATTAATTAATAACTAGCTTCACTGCATAAGGTTGGAGACGGCATCATAAGCCGATGGAAAAGATCCCTCTACCCCGTCTGTGTAGAGTTCCATCAAAGACAAGAAGAACCAACTAAACCGACTAGGCCAAATCTTTTATCCCCAAATCTCCATCCATTCACCCCACCCCTAAACACACCAATCCCAACTCTACATCTGTCAGACAATTGCATAACCAGGTCCCCAAAAAAAAAAAAAAAAAAAAAAAAAAAAAAAAAAAAAAAAAAAAAAAAAAAAAAAAAAAAAAAAAAAAAAAAAAAAAAAAAAAAAAAAAAAAAAAAAAAAAAAAAAAAAAAAAAAAAAAAAAAAAAAAAAAAAAAAAAAAAAAAAAAAAAAAAAAAAAAAAAAAAAAAAAAAAAAAAAAAAAAAAAAAAAAAAAAAAAAAAAAAAAAAAAAAAAAAAAAAAAAAAAAAAAAAAAAAAAAAAAAAAAAAAAAAAAAAAAAAAAAAAAAAAAAAAAAAAAAAAAAAAAAAAAAAAAAAAAAAAAAAAAAAAAAAAAAAAAAAAAAAAAAAAAAAAAAAAAAAAAAAAAAAAAAAAAAAAAAAAAAAAAAAAAAAAAAAAAAAAAAAAAAACAGCCAAACTGATGATAGAGAGTCGTTCTGGAATCAGAATGGTCTCAATTCTTTTTTTTTCCAATCGTATCATAAGCTAAAAGCGGAGCATGTAAAAAAAAATACCAGGAATCATCTTACTACTCTCATTAACCAAACCAAACAAATTAGAAGGAAACATGTCAACATGAGCACATGATATGCACATAAGGACATAATAGAGTCATCGGCAGATTACAGAATATTTGTGACATTCAAGCCCACCTCCCTCAAGGAGATTAAGAATCCAGTGCTTAAGCCTCATCCATCTGCTCCTGCAAGAATCCAAACACGGGTATATTTAGGAAAGGCTTTTAGAAGCTAAAATGCAACCTTGCATATTTATGGCCTGCACATCACACCCATTACTAAATTTGCAAAATAAAAGACCACACGCATGCAAGGGAATCAAACCCTTTTTATTTCTTAGTCATACAGAGCATTATAAATATATTTCCTACTTTATGCATCAAAATTCAACCAGTAAATCATGACATTGGACCCTTGATTTTGAGGTTTCAATTAATATATTCTGATGATGTTTTTATTACTTTATGCATCAAAATTCAAACAGTATATCATCCCCACTACATAAATCGCTGCAAAAAATACTCAATTTGAAAGTAGCACTGACCTGCAAATCTGAAGTCCAGAGAGTGAGGTTGTCCCTCAGCAGTTGCATGATAAGGGTGCTGTCTTTGTATGATTCCTCTCCCAGCGTATCAAGCTCAGCAATAGCTTCCTCAAAAGCCTGCATACAACGCAAGGTAGTTTAAGAAATCTAGAGATTATCACATCAATCGGAACAGATATGTTATATCAGCTCATGTATGAGGAGTTAACAAAGTATAGACAATAAAACCAACTAGCTCTTTGTCTAGTGGTACTTCTCTTTCGAATGTTGGAAGAGGTCCCAAGTTCGAATTCCCCCTCCTCCATTGATCAAAATTTCTCTCCATCATTTGTTACTTCCTCTTATTATGTTTTCCTAATCACCACCTTGCCTCCTGCACCCCGACATTTTATCTCTCTAGGTTTGTGGATCCCAGCATCCTAACCTTTTTTTTTCCAGCTTGACAAGGCTATTAATGGGCCCAAACAAACTCCTCATGCCTAGTTTCAGCAATTTAAGTCTTTCATCCTATGGTTACACACAGATCCCTCCATATTTGTTTTTAAATGTCACTCTCATGTGGATGAAATTGTGATAGCCAGAGACACACCATCTTTGCTTTCCTCCTATATGTCCACTTTCTGCAACAAATTTTAAATATTGAATCCTGGCACGCTTAATTATTTTCTAGGCCTTGAGTTGTCTTCTTTACATTTAGGCCTTCCATCTCGGGCAACTAGGAAATGTTATGGGAAAGCGCAAACAGGCACCACTCCCTTGAGCACTAAGTTGCAATTTTGCATACTCACCCTTTCAGACGCTAATGAATACCATTGTTTAGTTTCCTTACTCCAGTAGCTAACTATGACTTATCCAAACATCACCTTTGCAATTCATCATGCTGCTCAATCTATGAGTGTACTATGAACCCTACATCTTGTTGCTATTGAGCACATTCTACAGTCTCTCAAAGTAACTCTGGATTCTGTATTAGACTTTTGACCATCTTCTAGTACCGTTGCTGTTTATGCTTTCTCTAATGTTGATTGGGTTGGTTTTCTCAGTCTTCAACTTCTGGTTCTAAGTTTTCTTGGGCCCCAACCTGATTTTTTGTATTGCCAAAAGAAGACTACTGTCTCTTGTTCCAGTGCATTGCTCACTTACTCAAGTTTGTGCCAAGATTTTTTGGATTATCCACCTTTCCTCATTAGCTCCATTTGCTTATTTCAAATCCGGTACTGCTCTAGTTTGGTAACCTCAATGCTACAAACATGGTTTCTGGTCTGGTTTTCCAAGCTCGCACCAAGCACATTGAGCTTGATTTATCACTTCATTTGTGACCATATACCTTTCTGACAGTAATTGGTTTCAGTTTGTTCCTTCAACCCATCAGGATTTTTATTTCTTCATTAAGGGATTCACAAGCACCTTTATGTACTTGCATTCCAAAAACTCGTTCTCTCTAGACCATTGAATTTGAGGGGAATTATTAGGTAGCCTCCTAAGTTATCTCTTAGTTGATACCAAATGCATTTTGGCTTAATTCTTGTACTTTCCCTCTAAAATTTTCTAACTATTAATTAGCTCTTAGATTTCCTATGACTAGAATATATGCCTCACATGAGATGAAACCCTTACCCAAAGATTTTTGGACGCAGATTTTCAATATCTAAATGTTAAAAAACACAACAGACAATTGATCACACTAACATACTATGAAGTCCATGCCATAAATTACGTTTTGCATCTATGTCACATAGATGAACATGCATAGGGTATTGAGGCCAATTGTAATTGCTGCATAACTATTCTATTCCCAGTGAATATAATTGTATCTCCTGCTTTTGGTTGGTCTCCTAGCTGGTGCCACTCAATGTCAAGTTTGGCTTCTTTCCTAGCTAAATGAACTCTTTATGGGTAGAACATAAGTGAGTTCATCCACTTACAGTCTATAAAATTTAATACTGCCCAAACACCATACAAAAATCTAAAATTCCCAAGTTAACATTTTCCCTTCTTCTCATCTATACATCCATAATTCCCAATTATCCATCTACAAATGCAAGCAAAAGAAACCTCAAGAGGGAAAGAGAAAACAATTAATGAATAAATTCAATCAAGCAACCCTTGCAACCATACAGTCAAAGTCCATTCTTATCTTCACCAAAGAAAAAACAAAGTCCAGTATAACCATTAGTGTTAGCCTCCAGCATAGAAGATGCACTTTGCATGCTACCAAAGTAATAATCATACTATGTTGGTGTAGCAAGTATGGAAATACTATAAATAATCACAACCAACTTCTTGCTAATCTCGGTCTCCTAATAGCATATTGCATCTCAGAAGAAGTGAGTTAAATCCTACCAAATTATAAATGCTAATTTATAGTGCCTTATCCAAGAATGTGTGATGTCTTGGAGGCCAAGGTCTAAAATATCGGTCCGGAAAATATACCAGAGGTCCAAAACACGATAGCGGTAAAAACTCGAGAGAAGCAGCGGAAATTGTTTGAAAAAATGGAAACTTCCAATGAAACTTTAGGAGATGCTATTACTATTAAAAAAAAAAAAAAAAAAAAAAAAAAAAAAAAAAAAAAAATAACTGTATACAGATTTGGACTGATTAGGGTGAACATAATGTGTGCAGATACACACTCTTACTTAGAATGGGTTTACTAGTTACTAAAATATGACTGAATACACAACATAATAAGTATATGTATAAAAGTGTAGACAATAACAAATGGAGTAGATTAAATAACTGCAACAATTAAACAAGAGTGATTTATATAAAGTACATATATATATATATATATATGCATATAAATTAACAATAATAAATGCACAGACTAAATAACACTTGATAAATATACAAGGACTTACATAGTATACATGTAGATGAACAACTATAACTGTGTAGATTAAACCAAATATTGGTTACTGCAGGGGTTAGATAGTGACATGATGATCTTACCTATTTACTGCACATTCATCTGCTACCCTAATATGTTTTGATAATAAATACAATATGGATAACATAAATGATGCAAATGTGCATCAGCCCAGGTGGAAAAGGCGCTAACAGGGTCATTACGTGGTGGGATGGGTAATCCCTTCATTTCATTTGCCCTCAGAATTTAAGACCGTGGAAGAGGCTAAGTTGGAGTGTCATTGAGCACTGCTAAAGATTTATGCAATCATAAGAATACCTTTTTGCTTTTAAAGAAAAATATTGGCGGCTAAGGACCAAAATATGGAAGAAACAGGCATTTCCAAGAGTCTACTTCTCAGTCAATTATGTCCAGAACAGCAAAATTTGTAGCACATTGAGTAAAATAAACTACTTCAACATCCTCAAACTAACAGAAAGAGTTTTACAGTAAGCAACACCATTGTAGCTTATGTATTCCACTACTAATTTGCCTCCATACAAATGAAGCTGCCCTAATTTCAAATTAACAAATACCTAGGCAAGGAACCTAAAGATCTTTCGCACCAATATTCAAAATTCAACATACTCCAGTGTTTTCTATTCATATGATCATACCATAAGAAGTAAAGAATTACAAGTCTTTAAACCAATAACTTCAAGAATCTCAAAGGAAGCCCAAACCTGTTTAGCCATGCTACAAGCTTTCTCTGAGGAATTAAGGATCTCGTAGTAAAACACCGAGAAATTGAGCGCCAGCCCCAACCTTATTGGATGCGTAGGCGCCAAATCAGCCAGCGCAATATCCTTCACACCAATCCAATTAAACCAAATCAAACTAAATTAAATTTGGTTTTTAAGTGAATTAAATCGAAAGAAAAAGAAATGAAAATACCTGAGCAGCCTTGTAAGCAACCATGGTGTCCTCGGCAGCGGTTTTTCTCTCATCGCCATTTTTAAACTCAGCGAGGTATCGATGATAATCGCCCTTCATCTTCAAGTAGAAGACTTTGGACTCTCCAGTAGAAGCCGATGGAACAAGGTGCTTCTCCAGGAGCTCGAGAATTCCGGCGCAGATGGCCGAGAGCTCAGTCTCGACCTTGGATCTGTACTGCTTGACGAGCGCCACGTGTTCCTCGTTCCGGCGTCCCTCCTCCTTCTGCTCGATCGATGACACTATGCGCCAAGCCGCCCGGAGCGAGCCGATGACGTTCTTGTAGGCGACACTGAGCAGGTTGCGCTCCTCGACCGTCAGCTCAGTCCCGGCGGCGGTGGACCCCACCACCAGCTTCTCCATGAAGCTCACCATCTCCTCGTAGCGCTCGGCTTGCTCGGCGAGCTTGGCCAGGTACACATACTGTTCTCGGCTTAGGGTTTCGGGTACTGCGGAAGCCATTGGAGAAGGGGAAGCAGAGAGAGTTTGAGAGTTGAGAGACGGAGAGAGAGAGAGAGAGAGAGAGAGAGAGAGAGAGGGATTGAGATTCGTTTGATTTTGAACAAGTTGGGTTGAAAAAGGTGAGATTATTGTTGGGATTTGGCCTAATGCTGAGAGTAATGAAAATGTTAACTACTCGCTTCTTGGGATCGTTAGCGTTCGAGACGGCGTCGTCTGGCGAAGTGTGGTTTTTGAGGTTAGTGGCGAGTACAGTGGTTTAAGGATTAGGTTGCTTTGTGGTTCTCCGATTGGACCATAATTATGAGAAGAGGATAGAACGTTGGAAGATGGTTGGATCTGAGAAAGGTCAAATTTCGGCGACGGTTACTTGGGCTGGGGCTGGGGCCATGTCGTTGTGTTTTCAATTGGAAGTTTCTTGAGCCCCACAAATAGCCCAATGGTCTTTTGCTACACTTTTTTCTGTTACTTTCGTTTGGTTGCAAGCTCCAACTACATATGCACACCAGCCCAAATGCGTAAACAAACCAAACCTACTCAAAAGAAAACCATTAGGGCCCGTTTGGTTTGCGAATTGAACTTCTTGAAAATAAATTTCTCATGTTTAATTACACGTTTGAGAATGCTGGGAAATGAGGACTAGGAAATGCAACTATCTACCATTCTCATGTTTAGTTAGTGCAGTGTTATGAATGAAAAGTTATCAAGTTTCCAACAATACCCTTGATTTTTAATTATTATTTGTTTGTACCATGTCTGACCGCCCACTCACGTCGTGACACGTGGAACACCCTCAAAGCCGAGACCAGCTCAACCGGGCCATACCGAATGTTCTTTCGGCATGTTGTACCGATTCAGGGGGTCGATTACGCACCATCAGTCCTTTCGCTAACCTTCGGCATGGTCTGCCGAGCGACCAACCATCACGTCAATTCAATTCTGTCAGATTACCTCAGAACTTCTGCCAGAACCTGTCAGAGCACGTGTCGATCTCCGAAGACACTCCCACGAGTCCCACATCAAAACTAAGTGTTAAAAGCATTACAAATGTTCTCTATAAATAGAGCCCCTTGACCCAGCCAAGTGGTAAGACTTTCTGACTGGACTAAGTGCTTCCACTGTCAATAGAATCGTTTTTAGTTACTAACTTTGGCATCGGAGTACCTTCGGCAGGTACCACACCGGTATCCCCTCCTCAGTTCGGATCCAGCCCCTGCTCAAACCTCTGGACATCACGGAAGAATGTCACTCCAATCCTCAACCATCAGCACACTTGTAAGTTAGCCTAAACTCTTATCTGTTCAGATTTAGCGCGAACATTATTTTAATCTAATAATTATGAATTGCACAGCACCCTAACTTTTACATCTCCCTTCCTCCATGCCCAGCGTTGGTAATCTCCATAGCCTTGATGTGCTAAATATCACAATTTGCCCACCTTTCATACCCAGATCAAAACAAAGCAATACATATGAAGTTTGAGAAAATACCCAAGCAGACATGGGATTGTTAGGATTATAAAACACTTCTCTCCACTCAAAACCAGAATGAATTTGGGGGACTTCCATGGAAGGGCAGGGTAATCATGCTCTTAGTTTCGTGAAATTTCATTAGGGATGATCACAATGACTCTTAATCAATTGCTTTTCCACTTTATCAATAATCTTAATTATATTGAATCACAATGACTCTTAATCAATTGCTTTTCCACTTTATCAATAATCTTAATTTTATTTCAATATGTAATAAGTTAGCAACTAATTGAGTGAAGTGAATTAGCAACCATGGCTCATCTTTTTTTTTTTGGTTAACTGGACATTCTTCATGATATTACAATCTAGAAATTTTGGCAAAGAAACCTGCATTATAATGTTGGAGAAAAAGTAATGGAAAGACCAGAAAGACTTGCAGAAAGAAACCCTCAACCATGGCTCCAATTAATAAGCCTTTTCAAAGCAATCATGCATCTATTTGGTGATGTTGTTACTGATTTGACTCCTTATGAGGATGAAATTTATGGTCCCGACTAATCTCAATTTGGACGATCGGATTAGGGTTCTAAATAGACTGGATGCCATTGTTAAGTGCTGAGTGCTCACCCTAATAAGCTATAGGTAGAAAGACAAAGAAAGTTGGAGAGTTATGGATAGTGTGCGATTGGTAATTATTATGTTATAATAATAATAAACAATGTTGAATAAAAGTGTTATTAGAAAGATAATAATAAATTAGTTGTGAGATTTAATATCAGCCATTAATAGTGTTTAAATCTAATGGTTCAAAATTTGTGTCAAAACTTGTATTAAAAACATAGTGCCACGGATCCAGCCTCATATATACTAGCCTCTCTGCATGCGCTTCCGCGCCTGCGAGAGGCCTTTTTTAAAAGAATTTAATTTTTTTTTTGAATTAAAAAGATAATGGGTAGTTGTGTTCCGTAAAAATAGAATCCATTATCTGATTTTTCTTTTAATTTTATTTTTTTTTAAAGTGTGAATTTACCATATTATCTTAATTTAATTAATAATTTCAATTCTTAACGTTTGCATTAACCAATGGCATTTTCTGGTATTTTGAATGTTTCACTATTCTCTGCCTTTTGCTTTATATATATATATATATATATATATATTGAGTAAAGCCATCTCCAATCCATGAGGCAAAACCCAAATAATTCTAAATTATAGCCCAATTCTTCTCCCAACCCAAGAAAAGTAAGGGACCAAAATTTGAGAAAACCCAAAATTGGAGCCAAATACCATTCCAGCTATTGCCTGGACTGGAAAACTTTTTGGTGGAGTCCACTCAAGGCTGACGAAGCCCATGTGCAAGGAAGAATCAGTAGGCCCCGTCGTTGCTGATGTGCTACAGCTGTTGTCCAGCCACGTGGCAAGCGCCTGTGATGTTGCCTTTGAAATCCAACGTCAACAATTCAAACAAATTTTTTTTTAATAATTCCAATAGTAACTCAAATCAATGATTCATATTAAATCCAAGCTATTTAAACAGTAAAAAACTTCCAACGGTCATAATAATATTTTAAATTAATCAAAATCATATCCAACTCCAAAACTCACTCCAAACTCCAAGAAAGAAGAAGTATTGGGTGGATAAACAAAATGAAATTATGCAAGAACATGCACAAGGTCAATAATTTGCAGTTAATCCCGAAGACAATTGAGGGGACTATTATCCAAGCCCCCCACGATGGTGGTTATTAGTTTATTCCTCTTGGGTTTCATGTATGGTGAATTTGAAGATTGTGTGTTTTCTTTTGGAATAAAATTATATTTGTAGAATTTCAATTTTTTTAGGTCAAATTGTTCAAAAAATTAAATTATGAAAGATTATTTAAAAAGATTAAATGAAGAAAAAAAAAAAAAAAAAAAAAAAAAAAAAAAAAAAAAAAAGTTACTTACAAACTTAAACCATTCTAACAATTTAATAAAGTAGCGGACTTAAAATTCAAGTTTAGAGGGTTTGGGGAAAAAATGGTTTAGGTCCGATAATAGTTACTTTTTGAAAGGGGAAAATTTAGGTTTAGCTCCAAATGAGTTGGAGAAGGCCTAAGAGCATAAGATTTAATTAGGGCCCGTCTGGTAACGTTTTCGGAGAGTGTTTTCTGAGAATATTTTCAGAGAATGAAAACAAGAAAACAAATTTGCATTTTCAGGAAATGAAAATGCGTCTGGTAGATTAATTAGAAAACATCTTCAAAAAACAAAAACAATGAAAATGTGTCTGGTAGTACAATTTGAAAATAATAATATGTGACTTATTTTCAATTGTATTTTTGCTAATTTCAGTTTTTTTTTAATAAAAAAAAATCTGCTATTTTTCAAAGACAACAATTTATAAACAATAAAAAAATGTATAATTTAACAAATAAAAAATTCTAATGTTTTTTTTAAGACAAACTATCTTATCTCATTTCTTTTTTCTCTTTCTCTTTCTTTCTTCCTTTCCTTCCTTCCCAGGCCCGTGCCCTTCCTTTTTTCTCTTTTCCTTTTTTCTTCTTCTATTCCTTCCCAGACTTTCTTTTTCTTTCTTCCTTTTTCTCTGTTTTCTCTTCTCTTCTTCTTCCTCTATATGATTCTTTCTCTTCTTCTTCCTCTCTTATTTTTTATTTTCTTCTTCCTCTCTCTGATTCTTCCTGTTCTTCTTCTCTCTTCATACCCATCCTCTCTCTGTTTTCATTTGTTAATGGTTGGTGGTGGTTCCATTGGGTGGTGATAGTGGTTCAACTGGGTTTGTGGCAGTTATGGTTCGATTGCTTTGGTGGTGATCGTGCTTTGGAGGTGCCGGTGCGGCAAACTAGACGATGGGTCTGGATCGGGGGAGATGGGTTTCCACAGTGGTGCTCCTCAGTTTTTTTTTTTTTGGGTCTGGTGCTTGATAAGTAAATCACGATCTCAGATATTTTAGAAGAAGAAGAATAGCTATGGAGAATTTCAAAGACAAGAATCGATGTTGATTGGAGAAAGAGAGATGGAAAAAATGAATTATCGTATGGACTGAAAATGAAAACGTTGAAAACGAAAACAACATAATATCGTTTTCAACTTTTGTTCATGAATTGGATTTGTTTTTGGAAAATATTTTTAGGGAAAACAAAAACGTTCCACCGAACAGGTTTTTGCCAGAAAACAGGAAATGAAAACAGAAAACGGGCCGTGAAAACGATACCGAACGCGGCCTTAGTTTTTGATGTAATTGAATTTTCGAGCAGTTTTTTATATTAATATATATTGTTTTTTGTTTAATAAAGTCTTGGTTAATATTTTTCGTTGGATTATGTATCTAACGACCGGTGACCATGCTCTTTCCTAGGCCTTGGCGACCGGGTGAACCGGACTGTTATTTTAATCTGCCTACATAATGTGGAGGAAAATTAAGGGTCAATATTGGTCTATTTATATGAATGGCAGTTTAGTAATAGCACATCTATTTCTGATTAACATTTCTATAAGGTTACATTTTTGTATATATCCGAAAAGGAAAAATAGGTAGGATAGCAAATATTTCGGTAATCCCCAAAAACCCTAGCACAGCTCCCTCCTATATAGCGGTGGCATCGCCCCCAATTCTCAGATCGTCTACCAGAACCAAGTTCAGCCTCATGACAATGGAGCTTTGTACAGCTACTACCCAAGCCATCTCCAACCTTCCAAACCACCACAAGCTTCTGATCACGAACCCTACCACCAACATCACGTCCAAACCCTCACTCCCTCTCAGACAAACCTCACTCTCACGCAACTCTGTCAGGCTTCACTCTCGTACGTTCTCCATCCCTTAGCATTTGGTATCCCATCCTAACAAACCCCTTTAATTTGTATGCTTAATTTCTGCTTTGTTTTCATTTCTCAGCTAGGGTTTTGGGTTTTGGCTCATTTTTAAAATAAAAAATTTATATTATTTTATTGTTTTTGTTGTGTTTTTTTACTTGTATTTTTACTGTCTAATTTGGAATTTTCAAGTGGGTTTCTTTAATGTTTGTCCATCTTCGGCGATTGGTCGATGCTCTTTTAGTTTGATATATTGAAAGTAACAGAGACTGCTAGCTGATGGGAGCATTGTCTTTTGTATTTTTCTTTCAGGATTGCTTTTGCGAAGAGCAACAACATCAGAGGAAACACCAAGTGGGGGAAATCCTTATGCCGCTGAAGAGCGAGATAGTGTGATATCATTGGAAGATGTTCCACCACCTGAAAATAATTTTTACAATCGAACTTGGGCAGAAGAAACACCCAAAGAAGACTCAACTGTGGACGGCGTGGATGGCCAAACGCAGATATCTGAGTTTTTCAATAACCTTGACATAAAGGTTTGTTACTTTGTATAACTGTTGATATATATATATATATATATATATGTATGTTAAAGTAGTAAACACATTCCTAACTGGATGTCTGTAGGTTATTCCTCATTCCTACCTCATTAACAAGTGGTTGGATGCTAACCCATTTTCTGCTTATTGTAGATATTTGGTGTTACAATTTTTTTTATTGCAATTGCTGGATAAAGTTCAGTATTTTCATTCTGTTTTTGTACTGTATAGCTATTATACCTTTCAGAATTTTTGATATTTTGGTTTAATTCCTTGTGTTTTCTAATCATGTTGGTTTCTTCTTTCTATCCAAGATGCACTGGTGTTGTTTGGTTTATCCATCTTTACTAATTTTTTTGTTTAAATTCTTCAAAACTGATATTGTACAAACCTGGTTGCGATGATGATTCAGTAACTACTTGAGAGTGTAATAATGCTCGATGGAACTCCGACAATTATGTCGATCTGAGCGGTTACCTGAGCAACTAAGTGTTTTCTTGATGTTTTACTCCAGCAGCACTATGACCTCTGTACATTTTGATAATTTAAAACACACTTTCCATCTATTTACTTCCAGGCATTGTGACGGCCTGGTGATTATTTATTTGTTTTACTGTTCTTATAACGTCAATTTTGATTTTTGCACAAGTTGTACGAGTTTCTTTTACTTATTCAAAACTATGACTCTTTGGCTTTAATTCCTGAAAAGCTTGTGTGATCTTTGGGTTGTGATGATGATTCAGTAACTAGTTGAGAGTGTCTAAGAATGCTCAATGGAACCTCGACAGTCATGTCGATTCTGAGCGGTTACCTGAACAACTCAATAGCTTAATTTGGTTCAGTATCTGGTGTGTTCATTTTGTTGTTCCCTTATTTTTGTACTCAATCTTTTCCGTTGGTGTGAGTATTATTTTTCATTTGTTTCTGTTGTTAGTTGATCTTCAAGTATAAGAGAAGGTGATAGCTATTTAGCACAAACTGGTTGCTAATGAATGGAAGATAGTAATGCAAGCATGCATGATGTCAATATTTACATCAACGAGTTGTTTGAATGAGAGAATCTTATAAGTTTTGCATTTTGTCGAAGATCTCTTATTTTTATCAAGTTCTTTATGATTGACTCAATGGTTTCTTTTCAATTGCGGAAAATTCAAATATTTTTCTAAACCTGAAATAAACAAGAATAAGCCCATGTTTTAGATGTGGGTTTTGTTGCATGTGAAGGCATTGATTAAACTTTTTGCAACGTCTTATCACGAATTGTCTGAAAGACAACCTGACCCCTAGCTCCATATGCTATTGATTGGGCTTTTCTCTGATTTTGAGAACTGGTCTGCTTGGGTAGTTAATTGGTTTACTGTCTACTGTTTTGGGGTTCCCTTCTGTTTTGTGTCAATTTGAGAGGCAAATTGTTATAGCTTTCTAGCAATATATGTGATTTGCAGTCGCAGTTGTATGCTGCAGCCTCTCATGCAATGAGCATACATTAGCGTTAACCCTTATGGTTTCAAATCTGGTTGTGTTAGTTCTTTGTTGCACGCTTGCATATACTGCTGAGTGCATTCTCTATCCAGCTTTCTGATTGGATTCTGGTGAAACCATGTTGCCAAATACTAAATGCAAATACCCTTGTGAAAAAAATATGCTGTACTGATGTCTTGCTCTTTGACTAATTGTAGTTGGACAGTGATGATACATATGCCGTTCTACTTTATGGTGGTGGTGCCTTGTTTGCCCTGTGGCTAGCATCAGCTGTTGTTGGAGCTATTGATTCTATACCATTGGTCAGTTTCTATTTAAATTTCCTAATTTGCAATTTTGAAGGTTTCCATTTCTCTGGGATATTGACGTTGGTCACCATATGATTCAGTTCCCCAAGTTGCTGGAAGTTGTGGGTCTTGGATACACAATCTGGTTCAGCACTCGGTATCTGATATTCAAGGTAGTTATAGACTTAGTGGCAAATTCCACCTTATTAACTAATTGACTGTTAGGTTATTAAGCCATTTTAAAGCATGCTTAACGGCGATTATTGTCCCGCAGGAAAACAGGGAGGAGTTGTTTGCTAAAATTCAGGTTCTTAAGCAGCAGGTTCTTGGGTCAGATGATGACTGATATGCTGTCAGGTTGTTGCTGCACAAACTTATGAATGTAGAGTTTAATTTCGTTTCCAGTACAGGCAAAATATATATTAGTTATTGGTTTTAGAAGGTTTAGATCTTGATCATGTGGGTGTTTGTTTGCTTCACCATCTTCTCACTTAGGCTAATGCCTTAATTAGCATTTGTTATCTGGAATCTGGATATGGATCCAGTTTCTTCCCTTTTTCCCTGTTAAAATTCTGTTTATCTTTGTGGTAGTAATAAATACACATGAAAATGAAAAAATTCAGAATGTTAATAGAAATTTAAATTGTATCCTTTATACTAAATAATGGTATGTGTTACCTGAGGAAAAGAATTCCTTTGAAGCCATCATTGGTCTTTCTTTAGTGGAAGACCCAGCTTGAATTACCGTTAACCTGTTAATATGAAGACTCGGCCTGAATTACTGTTAACCTGTTAATTTTTGGATATTGTGTCATACGGCACAACGAATTTGCGTAAACTAACTACAACAGAGACCAAAGAAGGAAGAGGTCTCAGATGAGCTACTGGGCTCTCAAAAATGGGCCTTTTTTGTCCTCCTCAGTTTTGCAACGAGTAGATTATTTCTTTTTATGGGATCAGGGGCTTGAATTCCAGAGCTCGGGTCCATATATAGCCCTGGGATACGAGGTTCCAGTACTATCCGGAAGTTGTGGTTCGGGGTTTGGTTCTTGGCGCTGAACTCAAAGGCTTAGGACGGGTCTGGCCTTTGGAGCTCAAGGCCGATTCCTGAAGTTTTATAACAATGAAGTAAATATTTCTAGTGGGAGCTTGTAGCTCAAGTGATGGAGACCATTATACTAACATTCAAGGGTAAAGTTTGAATATTACCATTTTTCTTTATTTTCCTTCGTACAAGAAAAAGAAGAAACAAAATTAAACATTATTCCTCCCGATTATTATGCCCATGGAAAAACAATGGTGGAATGCCAATTCCATTCTTCAAGATATTGTAGTATTAGTATATCATACATCACCTAATATCCTAATTCATGGAAAAGTATATGTTAGCGTAGATCACATATCTTGATGCAAGGCCCGGCCTTGAATGGGCCTTGCTTGGCGGGAAAGCCCTGCCTTGAATGGGCCTCGCTTGGCGGGAAAGAATCAGGAATGAGGGCGGGACGGGAACAGAGAATGATTTTATTTCTAAATTTTTTTCACATGTATTTTTGAAATATTACAAAGTACACATAATATTACAAATTCATGATCCCATCTTCGACGGAAATGAGGTTGGGATGGGTATAGGGAACGTTTGCCATCCCTCGCATTCTTACTCTTGTGATAAAAAAAAAGGGAGTTTCACTAAAACACCCAAAACGGGATTTGAAATTATAAAAAAACCCAACACCCAAAACACTTTATAAACACACTCAAAACGCATTTATAAATACACCCAAAAAATATACAATTGTTAACTTTGGAGTTGATTTTGGGTGTGTTTCTATGTTTAAATAGTGTTTGAGTTTTTTTATAAATACATGTCTAGGATTGGGTTTATTTATAAATTTGTATATAAAAAAATTGGTAAAGAAAGGACGAGGGTTAAAACCAGAAAGTGATGTTTGAAGTTACAAATTGAAAAACTTAGATAAGTGAATTAAGGAATAAGAATTACTCCAATACCCATTATTAGTAAACACAGGAGAAGCAAGAATTGGAATCATTTCCGACTCCCATTCATGACACAACGGAAAACAGAAAAAGTCTAAGTCGGTGCTAAATTGTTGAACCCTAAACAAGAGATGAAAAATACGCGCCATTAAGAAATTCGACCGTTATGAGAAGCAACTTTGCATATGCCACGTCAGCCTCGCATAGTTCGCACGTCTCCTTTAAATCCTCTTCTGTATCCGACCCAAAATAAAAATATAAAAAATCCTCTGTATCTTCATTGGACAGACTCATCATTAATTTGTTCGTCTTCGTATAATCGTATTGTAGATTTTGGACTGACATGTAGTCTGATTTTCTTATATTTTCAGACCAAAACAAAATACTTTCTAATTTTTGAAATATCGAAAAGCCGAGGGAATTGACACCAAGAGAGAAAAGGAAGGTTTCCTGGTAGTGAGAGGAATGAAATCAAGTAGGATTTAGGAAAGAGAGTGAGAGAGGAAGCAAAAGCCAGAAAATTTTAGAGATTTCTTATAAAAAGATTTCCATGATTTTCTTCTGGGTAAGTCTTCTGTTCCAAGTTATAAACTAGGCTCATCTTTGGCAAGTAAATTTCTGACAACTTTCCTGATTGATTCTAGTAAGTCTCTTTGGTCAAAAGATAATGAAAAAAGCAAATATCATCTCTGTTTTGCTCTAGGTAACTATAATAAATACATAAATCACTTGGTTGATCACAGATTACGTGATTGTAATTCCAGATTGTAAAAGGGATTCATGCATTGTTTTGGTTCCCAATTGATTCTGCAAAGCTCAAGTGTGTGGTATATTTACCTCGTACATCTCATGAACCAATAAAAGTTGTCATCTTTGTTGTTTCTCAGTTTTTCTCTACAAAGCCGTTTCGATTTCGGTATTTGGGTTTCTTCCCCTTGTTCTCTTTCATGCGTATAATGTATCAAAAGTCTGGTTCTTTGTGATTTTTTTCTGCTGTAAAGCCTTTTGCTTTTCTTACTAAGAGTTTGTTTATGTTGTTGAATTTATTAGGTGAGAAGGAGACTTCATAATGGCGTTCACTGGAGGGCTGGACACCAAAGGCCTAAGATGGGTTGGAGAGGTAAGCCTAATGAATTTCACCCTTTTCTTTTAGCATCTTCAGTTGAAAGTTCTAGTCTTCGATTCGATGACTCGCCAAGTGTATGTTTGTGTGCATCTTGCAAGTTTGTACTAGAGACTAGGCTCTGCATGCTTAAAGATTTTCTAATGATTTAGTTTTGTTACAGAGAGTACAGTCTGCTGTCAACAACTTAAGGAAAGGAGGAGGCTTCGGATTGCCTTCTTCAGCAGTACCCGTGAATGGCGACGAAAGCGGGTTTGGTTCAGATGTGGATGGGAATTGTGGAAGGAACCGAGTAAGATGTCCTGAAATTATAGAAGTTGAATTGTCTGATTCAGATACAAGTACTGAATTTGCATTTAGCCAACCGGAAAGGAACAATGATGGTGCCCCGAGATGGCCATACACTTTGAACGATTATTCTGCTAGTGTTACTTTGCAGGCAAATATGGAAACAAGATCCAAGCATAATCAGGTTTTATCCTTTTTCACAATTGTATTTATTCTTGATACCAGATGCTTCTTTTTGTTTTTATCTTTTACCTTTTTCGTGGGTGCTATTTCGGTTGTATGACATTGAAACAAAGCATAATGGTGAACAAGCTTTTCTTTTTGTTAGGATAGGCTGTCAAGTGGAAAATTGTTGATATTAATTGATACCATTATATGTACTTGTTTCTAAAGCTTCATGCATGTAAATTGAAATGCATTCTTATTTAAACTTAGTATGGACCATTTTGGAAGATTAAATATAACTAGTTAAGGTTTTTGGTGTGGTGAGGGAACGCGCTGGAACGAATTGTGATTCTAGAAAGTTATTCTAACAAAGTAGGCACAGCTGAATTAATTGGCATACAGATTCTATTTTTCATTAATGCCTGTTGTTTGTTTCTAAAAGAAAAGCCTTTTTTTAGGTTTGCCTTTAGAGAACAATTTGCTTTCTAACTATTGCTTAGTTGATTGTAGTTTTACTCAACAGTCTACTAACATCTGTGTAGGTGGTGCGGGATCGTCTGGAAGCACAGCTGAAGAAGAATATTTCTAATAATAATCCCAGTGCTCCTGTTTTGGAGATTGAATATGCTGATGAGCCAAGTTCACCTCTTAGAGCACATGACACAAGTCACTCTTCAAATTGGATTGTTCCTGCCAACACAAATGGTTCAAGAAAAGCAGAAAGTGTCTTTTCTGGCAGCTCTATACACTATGCTTCCAGCAATGGAATTTCTAACTCACCAATCAGGTTTGTGCACTGCTGTTTCTTGTGGCTATGGTCTGTTTCTTTGTTTCTCTACAGGACATTGCTGGGGAACTATAAACTGACTATTAAGAATTGCAGGACTTCTGCTGGTGTACAAGTTCACGGATCTCCAATTCGTTCACCTGCTCACCTACCAGTATTTCATGCAAGGTCGGTTACATAGCTGAAATGTATTTAGAATAACCACATAAGTAGTTGGTTTTTGATTATTGAACTTAAGTGATTTAGAGAAATTCAAGTGAGTACATTTTATTGTTACCTCACTGATTCAGTAGTTGTTTCTATCATGTGTTTTAACTTTTGTGTTTCATGCATTCAGTGTGCAAGGTACTTGGTGTGCAGTAATCGCTTATGATGCATGTGTTAGGGTCTGTCTTCATGCGTGGGCGCAGTCTTGTTGCACTGAAGTTCAATGTTTCTTGGAGAACGAGTGCGCACTGTTGCGAGATGCATTTGGGTGAGTATAGTTCCTTTATTTTTGTTTCATTTTCACATTATTTACATACTAAATCTTTTGCCTGGTAGTTGTATATGAATATGAGTAGTTTGGAAGTGCAAGGCAGGGCTAAGGTGAATTTGTGTCTCACCATTGTAAATAACAGTTATGAATGGGATATTGATGTGTCAACTTCTTGAGTCTTTGCTGTATCTGTCAATAGGATTTTAGGAAACCCAGTTTTACATTTTATTGATCAAGTGTCTGTCTTTTATAGTCTTTTTATGCATGCAGCAGCACTACTTTTTTTTATTTTTTTTATTTTATGGGAATGTCATATCATATGTTTTAGGCCTTTCACTAACCTAATCATTCCTCTACTCACACCTGAAATTTCAGTTTACAGCATGTATTATTACAATCAGAAGATGAGCTTTTAGCAGAACGACAACCTTCACAGCTACTCAGTACGTCAGCAGCTCCAAGACATCTGAAAACTTCTGGCAAAATAAAAGTGCAAGGTACACTACTTGGTTAACTTGCTCAGTTTACTTTTCTGTCAAAATGTTTTGGTCGTCACCATCTCATTGGAATTTTGGCATTCTACAGTTCGTAAAGTGAAAATGGATTCAGATGAACCACCTTCTGGCTGCAGTTTCCCATCTCCGAAACTACCAAGGATACCACCTTCTGGCTGCAGTTTCCCATCTCTGAAAATACCAAGGATACCACCTTCTGGCTGCACTCCAAAACTACCAAGGATTGATTATGGCTCTTATCGTAGACGCTTCTCCAGTTTAAGATCAGATTTATCTTCTGGGTTGAAATCTACAAGGAAACATTATCTACAACCTCGTGTTCCTCCAAATGATTCCTTTTCTCATCAAAGCTTAGCTTGCCTAGAGGCTGGAGGGAAACGTATAAAACAAGGATCTAGCTTCCTAAAAACAAGGACAAATACTTTGTGCAACCGTTCTTCATCGAATGAAATAGTGCAAGGTATGCAAATATTTTGTACAGTTTAAGCCTTAAGTGGATATTAACGAATGACAGTAGTAGATTTATATTGCTAGCTTCAGTTGGAAATAAGGCTTACTTGAGTTGAGTGTTCTGTGTAAAGAAATAACCCGCTTGACATTTAGCCCATCTAGCTGGAATTAGTAGCTCACCCTTGGTAGCAGCCAATCTGGTCTGGAAGATATGTTTCACATCCTCACACGCCCCCTCACATGTGGCGACAGTAAAGAAGGAAGTTCAGGTTCCACCCCAAAACCAATTGGCAATGGGGGGAGTAGCCCAACTCCTTATAAGCCCATCAAGGTCCCTTAATTTTCCGATACGGGAAAATTCTTTACTTCACATCCTCACCATATTTATGACATGAAAGTGGCATGGATCTCTGCATTTGGTTTAATACCTTTTTTAATTTAGCTCCTAAAACGAATTCAAGCATAGTCTGAATCCAGAAATGTAATGTTTTTGTCTTCATACTACAAGTTAGATTTCTTTTCTTTGAGTAGCATCTGACACTAGCTGACCTTTTTTCTGTCAGAAACTTATTCCTGCTTCTTAAGATTGACAAGTTCACCTGAAGAGGATGCAATACAGATGCAACCCGGATCGAGTGAAACCCGCGTGTTGTATGTACTCTTGTCCTTTCTGTTTTCTTTTTCTTTACCCTTTCATATGGTTCCATAGCTTTATAGTTAAACAACTGCGTTTGTACAGGTTTCCACATAGCAATGGTGATGATTTGATTATACAAGTTCAAAATTCCAAGGGACAACATTGTGGTCATGCCTTAGTCAAAGTGACTGCTATTGCTGAACCGGTGCAGTTTTCAGAAACTAGTAATTTACTTATCATCTGTAAGAAGGAAGGTTGATAGTTATACTTTGAACTAAACCCTTTTTTTTTAATGCAGGGTGACAAGATACGATGGTGGCCTATATATAGCAGTAGTGATCTAGACGATGAACCTGTCGGCAGAATACAATTAAGCATGAAGTATTCTAGTAGTCCAGATGAAAATAATAATCTTAAGGTACCGATATAAGATCCTATGGTCCAGAAATATCTGAATTTTTTTCTTTTACAGTGAGATTACGTAAGTTGTTTCACATTGGTTTATGGTTTTACAGTACAATAGCTAAATTCTTTCTTGAAAACTGATTCACATATCTTTGGAATTCGATGTATGTATGATATTTATTTCACTTCTTTCCATGTCCAGCATGGCTCGATCGCAGAAACTGTTGCATATGACTGTGCATTAGAAGTTGCAATGAAGGTTCAACATTTTCAGCAAAGAAATTTGTTGTTACATGGCTCATGGAGGTGGTTAGTGACTGAATTTGCATCCTACTATGGAGTATCCAAGACATACACCAATTTAAGGTAGTGAAATATGTTAGAATGGTAACTTGTTACACTAAACTTGGGAATATTACCTAATTGTGGATCTTCTAACTTCTATCGTGTATAATTTTCCATGCTGCTTGCAGATACCTTTCCTATGTCATGGATGTCGCTACACCGACCAAAGACTGTCTCACCACAGTACATGATTTGCTATCAGATGTGAAGACCAAGAGCACAAATCTGTTAAGTTATCAAGAGGTATGAGAATTGACTGCATTGGGCTCAAGCTTTGTTTTCCTTTTCAAACTTAGTTGAGAAATTTGCTTCTCCTTGTACCTTCACTTATCTCTTCGGTTTTTGGCTTTGTTAAAGTTCTTTCACAATTGCCCTGAGGCAATTGGTATTTTCTCATGGCATTTGAGTAAACTGCTCATGCATTTCATCCTCCATGGGGACAACCAATTATACATTATATTTTGTATATTTTATACTTTCATTAATTATTTTGGCCTTGATATTAATTTTTAAGTTTAAAAACTTGCAATTTTCTTCAGTTTGTATTCCTTCATGTTAGACATGGATAATAGATATTTTTTTCCCTCTTGTAACTTAAAATTATATTTCAAGCAGAACTGCATGCTGGCAAAGATCGAGGATCAAGTAAAGAAGACTCTTGCTTCAGTTTTTGAGAACTACAAGTCACTTGAAGAATCTTCACTGTCAGGGATGGTGGATTGTTTTAGGCCTGCCAGTGGAACGGCTGCGCCTGCTTTGGCACCTGCTGTCCAGCTATACGCCCTTCTTTATGATATTTTGAGTCCTGAGGCACAGTTGAAATTATGCAAATTTTTCCAGGTATTAGAAGCTAACTTCTCCATGTATGAGCCTCCCCTTACCTTTTTATACTTTATTAAAATCCAAATGGCTTTACAGGTCGCCGCAAAAAAGAGGTTAAGAATGCACTGTGTAGAGATAGATGAGCTGGTTCTAACCAGTAATGAGGGAACACAGAGAGACCTTTCTACATCTTATCAGAAAATGAAATCTCTGATTTTGGGTCTTAGAAATGAAATTCTGACTGACATAGAAATCCACAAGCAAGGTATCCTCCCAAGGTATGTATGACATTCTGTGTAGCAGTCTATTTTGTTCTTGTGGCCACATCCTTGGGATACACAGAATGTGCTTATGGCCATATCCTTTGATGTGTGACCTCGTCTTTTTCACTCATTTGTTTAGTAATTATGTTTGGTTTTGAAATTCCACAGCTGATGACTGGTGAATAACTGAATATGCCTCTGTTATGTATACTAATTATTTTTCTTTATTAATTGTTGTGCAGCTGTATAGACCTTCCAACTATTTCTTCATGCATATACAGTTTTAACCTCTGCAATAGATTGCGTGCTTTCCTTGTTGCATGCCCTCCTCGAAGCCTATCGCCTCCAGTTGCAGAACTTGTTATTGCAACTACAGGATTTCAACAGGATCTTTCTTTGTGGAACATCAAGTGAGTGATTTGTCTGGTTTTAATCTGTGTTTTTAATTACCTTTTGTATCCCCACTCATGCAAAACTAGTTTCAGCCTTGTTAAAGGTGGAGTTGATGCCAAAGAGCTGTTTCACTCGCATATAACCACGTGGATTCAGGACAAGCGCAGTCATTTGCTTGACCAGTGCAAGCTAGATAAGGTATATAGCTAGGATTTATATTTCTAGTGTTGCTCAAAGTTTGGTGAAAGTTGTGTTTATTGGTAGCTCAGTAGAATGCAATCCAAGTGTTGAATGGAATTTCTTGAATACAATCCGAGTGGAAATTTACTAGAAATTGATCAATTTCAGGCAAAATGGTCTGGTGCCAGAACACAACATGGAACAACCCCTTTTGTTGATGATATGGACAATGAGCTGAAGAAAATGCTCGATGAATTCGAAATCATCATTAGTCGGTGGCCAGTATATACATCTGATTTGGGGAATGTAAGTGCAATCTGTCTCTCAACTCTTAACTTTTTCTCTTATGTTTATTTTTTAATGCATGGTTCCTTCTATAGAAAAAGGGGATATTTTGTTAATAGGAAAAGGAAAGTGTTTACAGCCGTAGCGATATAAACAAGAATACTCAATTCTGACTGTGTGAACAGCGTTTTTCTTTGTTATTTCATTCTGAACCTGAAATTGTATGACTAATACTTGGAGACTATTCGTGTTTTAAAAAGGTTATTGCCGATGTTGAGAAGGCAATTGTGGAAGCTTTGGACAAGAACTACGGTGATGTTTTGTCGCCGCTGAAGGATAATATGACAAACAAAATATTAGGCTTCAAATACGTCCATAAATTATCCAGACAGGGCGGGAACATGTATTCGGTCCCAAATGAGGTGAGACTCTGCTTCACAATTGAACGGCTCCTTGGAATTTTATCTTTCTTTCAACACTCATCAATATACTATGTATTGTTTTTCAGTTGGGAATTCTTTTTAACTCCATGAAGAGGATGTTAGATGTCTTGTGGCCCAACATAGAAAAGCAGTTGATGTCGTGGAGCTCTTGCATCCCTGATGGATATGCCACAGGAGTACGTCTACAAGATGAAGCTGCGATGCTCAGGACCAAATTTAGAAGCTACCGATTAGCAGTTGTGGAGAAACTTGCTGAGAATGTGAGTAAAAACTTGCAGCTGAATTTCTTAGGTTAACAATGTTGTCAACCTATCTGTTGCTTACTACAATTCTTTATGATCATTAATATACGAGTATGATGAGTTAATGCTTTTTGTTTCATTTCCCTGTAACTAAGTACAGACTAGAGTTGCTAGTAAAACGAAGTTAAAGAAAATTATTCGAGGCTCGAAGGGCGAGGAATCAGCTGTCCCAAGTAGAATGCAGGCTTTAGAGGTTCTTTTGCTAGGGACAATAGATAATCTCCACACTGTTTGTGATCCTACTGTGTTTGTAGAACTCTGCCGAGAGTTATGGGACCGGATGGGACAGGTAAATAAACTAATTTTTTACCCTACAAGCTCTCTCTTGGATTAGCATATAAATTTCATTCCTATCCAATTGGTTTCTGTAGGATGTCCTGCATCTGTTGGAAGATAAAAGAAAGAAGGCGGTGTCCCAGTGCAAATGCTTGCGAGTTGCGGTTTCTGTAAGTTTGCTCTTCAGCCATTGAAGTTTCTGTTGGATATTGAATATCTCTACATGTTCCAGGAGCCTATATCATCCTTGCAGAATTTGAAGCTAGATTTGGTTTAATTTTCTTTTTCATTATTTTTTTAACCATATACATTGTTTTTTAATTGGCAGAAGTTGGATGACATATTTGCGTCAGAAATGCAGCGGCTGCGTGGAAATTTATTGAAAGAAAAATACCTGGAGCCACCACAATCTATGAATGAAATACATTCCATGTTGTAAGGATGCTGAATATGATACGGAGCACTAAACTACTGTCGTTGAAGAATGGCTGGTAAATAGTAGAACCAAAGGATACAAGTTACAACACAAAAACCACAAAGTTTTGAACAGCAAGTATTTGTCAATTTTGAGTCATAGTTTACGTACCGCCATGACCTCCGTGGCGATTCTTATTGTCAGAAAGTATGCCTACAATAGGCTTGAACAACACAACACTATCATAATTGAATTGTAATAGTTTTGTATGGTTCATAATTGTATCGTAATAGTTTTTTATGCTTCTTACAATTTCAATTCTTTTGTTTCGACTTTTTTGGAGATGTCTCAAGTTCGAATCTCTCCCACTTTGATTAAAAACTCTAAAATCGTTACTCACCCATGTATAACATGGGAACTAATAATACTGCATGACAATGTTACGAACACACTTATGCAAAATAGGCCTCAATTCAAGATGTATTATGACAAGGTAAAAAAGCTCTAACTTTTAATCGTATTGAATGTGATGTTCATGATGGTTACGGAGATTTTAGTCTCTGAATTATTGGGAATAATGGGGTGAAATCAATAGCGCTTCATGGCGTCCCATCTTGTTCCACTTTGAATCAAACAAATTGATATTGCAATAACTACTGCCATGTGGGTTTTCCCTCCCCTCCAAGTACACACAAAAAGAAAAAGAAAATATTTTTCTATGGTGGAGAATTGCATTATGGTCCACAAACCAGTTGACATCCGACCAGACATAAGATTTTTATTTGATTTCTAGCTATGGGATGTAGAAACTTTCGTGTAGATACGGTGCACATAGCGTTCTTTTTACAAGATCCGCCAGGAGATATGAAAAGAGAAAGACTCTTTACTTCATCAATTGATGAAAAAGAAAGCGTGACTTGTAACCTTTCATTATTTATCTGAACTTTGTATACCTAATAGTAGAATGTAAGAATGAATAAGAACTTGCCGTTAAATGTTACAATATGTAACTATATGACGTTGTAAACTATTGGATACACATTAGGTAGCGATTTTCACGCTCCTCTTTTGGTTTTTTCCGACTTAAACATTTGAACTGTTATAACTAAACGATACGTTTCAAGCCTAACACTATATGAGTGCCTTAAAAGAAAAGCTAGTATTCATTTGAGAATCCAATAATTGAACTGGGTGCATCAACAATCAATGGTCCACTGTCCTGTCAATTTTGTAAAGTTGTTCCAGGCCTACCACTTTCTAAAACCCACCAGCAACAATAATTAGGCCCCGACCCCATTGAAGGATGCAAATCATCTTAAGATAATTAAATTAGATTACCAATTAACTGAAACTGAAACTGAAACTGAGTGATTGGTGCATAATGCTGGGAATGTCATCCAGCATAAACCTAGTAAATATTATTAGTTTAATGATATATTCTAGGATATTTGTATGGATCTTTTTTTCGGGTCATCCGAATCTAGGATCCTGCTTCCAACTCAACACTCAACACTCATCGACCACGTGTACGGTTCGGATGAGTCCGTGACTCCATGGTGGCAGGTAAGGAATGAATTACGGTGACTGTGAATGGCTGGGGTCCATAAAACATGAACCATTCGCGGCATCCGTATAAAGGTGGATCATGTGATGTCAAGGCCCCACACGCAATTTGGACTATTTGGATGCGCCCAAATTAGTTTCCATGTGCCCTCCTTCATTGTCCTAATTGTTTAATTTTTATAATAATGAAGGTGGCAATTCATCCCTAAAAAAGAAGAGAATGACGGCACCAATACAATATACTAGGCAAGCAACAGCTAGTGGGAAAAATAAAATTAGTGGGTGAAAGCAAGGCTAGTTGAGGATTCTTGACACAACACCATACTGAATTAAGATACCATAATTTAAAATAGACATAAAATTTATGTTAATATAAACGAATTCGAGTTGACTCCTAATTTTTTTTTAAAAATGAATCATTTCAATGTCAACCCGTATAAGCTACCCAATGGACCCGTTCATTACTAGTTTATGAAATTCATTTTGAGTCTATTTTATTGAATCTATATAATTTATATAACACGTGTATTTGAGTCTTGGGTTCATCATCGACAAAAAAAAAGGTTTATGATTTATATTAAAAATAATACACATTTTTATAATTTAGACAGAATCATTATACCATGTCAGCATGTCACATAGATATTTAGTATTAGTCAATCTATTGTATAATGTTCATCTTAATATTGTTTCACATGAACAGTTGTAGTCCCCTTTTCTCTTGTTAGGGCTCCTAAACATGAAAATCCTAAATAAAATCATGAGGATTCGTTCACACTTTTAAGACTATCAACTCACAAATCAAATTTCGCCAAACGATGAGCAACTCCGTTGCATTAATGAGGCATGCAAACAAAAAGCACTGCAGACAAATGTTGTAAGAACGACTTTACATGTTCAATAATATTACCAATTAAAAGAAGAATCAAAATCAACTATATTGAGACAATCAGTAGTTGTAGTCATGATTTTATGCCCAATTAAAAGAAGAATCAAAATAAGCTATTTTGAGAGAATCACTAGTTGTAGTCCTTCAAGTAAAGGCTTAAAAGTCTAAAAAAATTGATTTCTTGGTGTCGAAACTACTCGATTTCAAATTCAATGGCGATGCTAGAAATTTTTCAAGAGAAAAGCAATATTTAAAAGACCAAAGCTCTAAAAAAAATGACAATCAAATACCATTAGAATTTAAATAATACTAATTCGCTTCTATAAGTGGTTAGGCTAAGGTATAGGGGCAGATTTTTACTTACTGCTAACCACCATTTTTTTTTTACTCTCTTTGTTACAAAACTGAAGATGATTAAGGGCTTGTTTAGTATCCAACTTGGATCCAATTTTATAAACTTAAAAACAGATTTAAGTCCAAAGCTATAAAAACCCATTTGGTAGGCCAATTTTTAAAAATTTAAAAACACCCCCATTATTAAATTCTTTTATTTATATAATAAATTATGTAACTAAAATAGATGAGGTGGCAGATGACATGGGTTGCCATGTCATGTGCCACATGTGTTGGTATCCAAAAGTTGGTAAACAAGTTGGTGCCCGTAGCGTTATTGTTATTAAAAACAAAAAAAAGTGAGGTTTTATAGTTTCTCTCTCTCTCTCTCTCTCTCCTTCATGTCCCGTCTCTTTCTCTCTCCTCCCTCTCTCTTCTCTCTCTCTCTACTTCATGTCTCGTCTCTTTCTCTCTCCTCCCTCTCTCGTCTCTCTATCTCTCTCTCTCCTTCATGTCCCGTCTCTCCTTCTCCTCTCTCTCTCTCTCTCTCTCTCTCTCTCTCTCCTTTTCTTTTGTTAATTTCAATTTGGGAATCTAGGGTTTCTGATTTTCTGATTTTAATTTCAATTTTTTTAGATCTTAAAAATAGTTTGGAGTTGAATACCAAACAAGTTTTTAGATCTTAAAATCACTATTTAAAAACTCATGCTTTTAAAAAGGATCATAGTTTTTGAATTAATTTTTTTATTTAAGATACTAAACAGAGCCTAAACTCCCTAGATATGATAACCTATGTCATGGGTCTTTCAATTCAAATAATTTTTTTAGAATAACATCTATGGCTTTTAAATGAACTGCTCAAATAAATGGTGGGTTGTTGTAGGCCTTTTTCCTTTTTCCATTTTTTTCTTTCAAACCTAGTATTTAAGGGAAAAAAAAAAGTAACCTAGTCAATATTCGCAGTTGCCAGGGTTTTTCAGAATCTATCTATGCCCAAAAAAAAAGTCTTATAAAATATTTGATACGTTGTGTTGTTAAACTTGTAAATCATGGTTTGCATATTTAAAACATGAAAAACATTTCGAACACAAGGGAATGTGGCGCACACATGCTAGAATGTTTGCTCTTTTTTTTATGTATGTTAAATTTGATTCTTTTTTCTGTTTTACCAAGGTTTAATCAAATCAGATTCCATCCAATCTCAAGGAACATAGACAAATAAATAAAAATTATTTATTCATATATTCTAAAAAGCACTATTTTTCGTCATCATAGGATACACACCGAATTAAATCACAACCGTCCATTTCCACTATCAGAAATCCTTGAGCAACTTGCGAACCTGCTCCAGCGTCACGAACAGTACAACAGTGAAAGGTCCCTGCCTAGAAATCGTAGGTACAAACCCCTTGTAAAGCGCCAAAGGCCCCTCGGAGCGCACCGTTTTGAGCGCACAATCCAGAGCCCCCGAGTACGGCGGCTCAGCCCCTGCCTCCACCTTCATGTTCATGATCCGGGTCTTGATCACATCGACCGGGTTCGACGCCACCGAAGCCACGAACCCAGCGGCAAAGCTCGCCGTCACGTGGGTCCCGAGCCCGTCGCGCATAATCCCATTGTCCAGGATCGTCTCCTTGATCTGATCGTACGACGCCAACTGCGACGCCGTCACGAGCATCGCTCGGTTGATCGTCAACGACGACCCGCGCCAGAGGCTCGTAACCCCTTCTTGCTTCCCCATTCGGGCTATGGCGTCGATAACGCTCTTGTAGTTGCGGCGCTCAGCCACCGGGAGCCGACCGTCGGCTTGCATTCGGACCATGGCCACGTCGGCCGGGTTCCCCACGGCGGCTCCGATGGCTCCGGCGATCAACCCGGCGGTGATCTTGCTCGGGAGCGGCATGTTGTGGGTCGTCGGGTCGGTCCATTTCTGCTTGAGAATGTCGTAGAGGCCCATCCGCGTCGTGGAGTAGAGAGTCTGCCGGAGCATGGTGGCGGACACGCCGGAGAACATGGCGGCAACGCCTTCTTGTTGGATGATCCGGACGCCAACGGCAATCGGACCCGCACGCGCCGCCGGGGGAGGTGGGGGAGGGAGAGGGATAGAGACGCGTCTAGCGGCGGTGGTGTGGACGGCGGCGTAGGCGGGGCGAACAGCTTGCACAGCAGCGTTAGGGTTCGGGTTGGGGGCGTGGGTCTCACCCTGGAGCTGCATCCGGACCTTGATGAGGTCGAGAGGGTGCGTGGTGCACCCAGCAATGATGGATGCTATGCCTCCTTCAACAAAACCTTTGACGCCCATGTTGAATTTTCTTGAGAAACAAACAGAAAAAAAGGTTGGTTTGGTTTTGTGTATGGTATGAGAGACTGAAAAGAATTAAAGAATTAATTGAATTGGTTTCGGAATTAATGATTAAAGAGAAGACCAGTTGGAGTTAGGGTTCATCTCACTGGAGACCAGGAGATGAGAATGGAGGCTGAAGGCTATGGAGGAAGAGTGAGGAACGCTGGGCCTCTGAGACATATGCTATGAGAGTCACACGAAACAAAACGAAACGGAGGGTGAATGGTTTGGAGAAGGAAGCACAGAATATTTATAGCACAAGGTGACTAGTGCTGGGTGGCTGGGTTAGGAAAGAAGGTGCAGATTTGTAAATTAGCTTCTTACGCGATTTCAGCACAAACATCCGAACCTGCAACTCATCCTATATTTACGCGGTTGTGGGTCCTGCTGCCCTCTCCACTCTATTTTGTCTAACGTCTATGCCTCCAATCAAATAATAATTATGATGAACAAATGCAGAAAAAAAAAAAAAAAACCCCAAAAAAAAAAAAAAAAAAAAAAAAAGAAAAAAAAAAAAAAAACGGAAATCAGTTCACATTGTAATTTACTGTTCGATTTTATCGGAAAGGTTAGGTATATGGAATGGAAGAGAAATAATCGTTCGACCCACGTTTGTTTTTGTTTCTTGTTTTTTTGTTCTTGCCAAAGTTAGAAAGAGGAAAGAAAGTTTCTCACACACACTACCAATGTGTCATAAAATTCAAATTTGAGATCATTGATTTGTAAGTTATACGTTTTTCTATTAAGCTAGACCTTGTTGAGAACCTGCATTTGTTCGCATTGATAATTTTGGGTTAAACGCACATCCAGCAATTAAGGAATATTCTTTCTTTTTATTTTGGGAAATAATATTCTTATTTCAATTTGATGTTGCCTTTGTTCCTCTACAATTTGAATTTAAGCATATGCTCGAGACTCTCCGCTATTGCCGTAGTCAAATAACCAATGTCTATAAAATTCTAGAGTCCAAGGGATTTCACTTTTATGCATATAAAATTCTAAAGTCAAAACGGTTTAACTTTCATGGCTAATTTTTAAACGAAGCATCTTGGATGATCTCATATATATTTTTCACTTGTTTCATTTAGGTCACACGTTGTGCTAAACGATTTGACGGCTAGCACAAATATATTTCTTTTAAAAAATCTAAAATAATTTGTAAGGAAATTATAGCTCAAGTGATTAAGCGATGTCTTAAATTCGAATCTCCTCTCCCCGGCAATATAGTTTGTATAAATAAATAAATCATAATTTTTATGGATGAGATGAGAGTTGGAAATCGTCAAGACACCGTAGAGGAGAGGGCATGCAAATTGAAATCCGCAAGTGCAAGGTAGTTGTTTACGTTACATCTGTGCTCATCACTCAGTCATCAATCATCAGTCTTGTTTTTTGGGGTGGGGGGCAAATGTTGAAATTTTGGCCAAGAGCGGTTTATTATTAGTTTAGATTAGAGGTGGCAAGTGGGAAATCAATTCAACTTCTAAGTGGCTGTTCAAATTTCAACGGGACCAAATGCAAAAGTATTGACTGGGTTTCCTTCCGTTCCTACCCAGAGGACAAACTGGCCTTTTTGAGTGTTGCTCTATTTGCCAAACACGTGTCCCGAGCTCTCATGAGAACTGGATCTTGTAGAAGGTTTGAAAGGGTTTGGACTGACGAAGTCGCCGAGACCCAGTTGAGGTGGTTGGCGGAGAGGGTGGCACTCGGGGAAGGCGCCGACCTCGCTTCCAGAAAAACAGGAAAGAGATTAGAAAAACAGGAAAGGAAAATATAAATTGACAAAATTTGACAAAAATATTTTAGAAACGTCGCCTGAGAGATTCGAACTCTCGCGGGGAAACCCCATGTACTTAGCAGGCACACGCCTTAACCACTCGGCCAAAGCGACGTTGTTGGTAGACAGAGCGAAGAATTCTTTATAAATCATGTCAGCAACAACAGGGGCGAACGTTAAAATCTTAGGACAGAAGGTTGTTTTTTGTTTGTTTTTGTTTTTTGAGGATAGGGAGTTTCATTTTAGGAACCAAATTGAAATCATTTTACATCACTATGTTTTGGGTAAAAAAAAAAGAAAAAAAGAACATCTTTATATATCTCAAGTCTAGAAAAACTTTATACTCATTGACCCATACAAAAAAATTAAACATTCGAATTTCCTTATCAAGCAGAAAACTACCATACTGACCCAATATGAATTAGGTCGAAGAAGGAAACCAAAAGGTGTTGGGAGTTTTAGATTGAGCTTGAGCTTGAACTTGTGAAAATTATATTGTTGTGTATGGTTAAGACTTTACTTGATTATAGTATATTTTTGTGATGAACCTAATCTAGAAAGAGGCGAGAAATTCAGAAAAGGAAACAAAATAAAGAATACAAATGTATAGGTATTACAATTTCTAACATTAGTATTTTATTTGCGAATGAAATTGAATTGAAACAATCATATACGTAACACTAGTATTTGAGCGGTTCAATCATAAATTTCGGCTACATCCGCTGTTTTGTATTTTGCATATATGTGTAGAGAGTTTACATTTACATTGAGATGAAACTATGAACTAAAAGGAAGAAATAATGAAGAGAGCAATCCGGAGAGAGTTTCGATTATGAAAAAAATATTCCGGAGAGAGAGAGTTTTATGAGCAGGCCAGCCCCCCTTTTATAGAGACTAACTATTCTTTGGGCCTTTAAGTATGATCGTTGGGCCCGAAATGGAGATGCCATTGGGCCTGAAATAGTGAGGTCGAGACCCTAGTGATCCTCCAATTTTAAGATTTCTTTCTAATTTTCGGGAGAGGCTACAATTAAGAGTTTAAAGTGAGGAGGCCAATACCACTATCAAAACGTTAAAAATGTTTAAGTCCCATGATTTCTTTACATTGACCTCTTTAAATAGTCTCCTCACTTCGTTTAAACTTCTCATGATAGTCTCTCCGATAATTTTCACTCAAGTGATCCTCCAACTCTCGCTTTCATGTCAAATTGATCACACCATCAAATTAAATCAAATTTGCCGTCAAATTGATGTCAATTTGGACACTAGTCTCCTCTAAAACGACCAACCCAGCTATGAAACTGACATTTTCCTCCATAAAAATGTCACTCTTATCTTATGGGATAAGGTTTCAATTTGGAGGAAAATGTTGGTTACTGAGGTGGAGTGGTTCTTTTAGAGGAGATTAATGCCCAAATTGCAGCATATTTGAAAATTTATGAGCAAACTAGAGGATACATAATAAAAAGCTTCCATAATTGTGTACGCGGTAAAATACGGTTTAACCGGGAGAAGACAAAAGAGGGAGAATCACTGACAATTTGAAAAAAAACCCAATCGTCGACACCCGACAGTCCACTCTTGGATCCGATCCGTCTTATATTCCCTCCCATTCCATCTCTCTCCTCCTCCATCTCTTCTATCTCACCTCACCATCCACATCACACCTACATCCACCAGATGCTTCCTTCGCACTTCCATCACCAACAACACTACCCTCACACAAATTCCCTTTCTGCACCTCCAAATTTCCCCTATTTCCTCTCCCTACCCCCTCACCGCCACCGCCACCGCCACCTCCACCGCCGTCGGATTTATGTATAGCAGAAAAGACATTCTAGGGTTTCTGTGTTCTGGTCTCATCCTTGGCGCCGGATAAGATCAACTGACTCGACGAATTCGATCAATGCTGGTCCCTGGAATTCTAGGGTTTCAGGGCCTCCTACTGCTCCTCGTCCTGGCCTGTTTCCTTGTGATTCGTCACAAATGGAAGAATGCGGTGGTCAATAAAGAGGAAATCATGCGGCTTGTGGCTATGGCTTCCGAAGAGACTGCCGTCGCTGAGTTTCAGGCCACGTCTCCTTACGCTCCGGTTGTGCAGCCGGTGTCCTTGCCGTACCACTGTGCCGTCTGCTATGCCAGCACCACAATGCGCTGCTCTAAATGCAAGGCTGTCCGATACTGGTTCGTTTTTCTTTTAATTATTGTTTATTTTTAGCTTTATTTTATGCTTCTTCCGGACGATGTTTATGTTTGCGTATTTGTTTGAATTATGTGATGGATTCAGCTTACTGTTTAATTGAGAAATTGCAATTGTCCAGCTAGTGTGTTGCTTGTGTATCAAAATTCAATTGCGTGAGATTATGCCCTTGGATTATTATTAGTACTATTATTATTTTGTGTTGAGGAAACATTATAAATAAGAAAATTTACATGATTTGATATTTGGATCTGGCTGCTAGCTCCTACGGGAAAGATTTGATTTGATTTTAGTTTTGAAGACATTATCACCAGATTTAACTATAATATTTTGGGCTTCCGATGATGCCTTTCTGTATGTCTAACTCTCTGAACTCTGAACTACCATGGGATGTGCACAATCACTCTCATTCTTGCCTTGGTGGTTACACATGCTAGCATAGATATAGTTAAACATTGTTTTCAATTGAACATTTTCTTGTAGTTCTGGTAAGTGTCAAATCATTCATTGGAGACAAGGTCACAAAGATGAATGTCAGCCTTCAATTGATGCCGTGCGGTTCCAAGACAGGAGTGACTTCCATGGTGAATCAATATCTCATCACGGTAATCATTTTTGAGATACAGTACTAATCTCAATTGGTTTAAGAAGCTTCATTCATTCATGATTGGATGACGATGATTGAATTAACCATTGCGCAGATGGAAAAGGATCACAAGCTAATTTAACCACATTCAGTACTGCATCTTGGGATGCCAGAGAGAAACTTCTTTCTGATGGTGTTGCTCCTGATCAGCTTGAGAATATGTCGTCACCCTCAGGATGCGCTAAGTTGGCAAACATTCAGGAGGACATATCACATGCAAATAAGTTAAGTAAAATGAAATCCAGTCATATTGATAAAGAGGTTGAATCTACACCCAAAATTCCCAAAGCCAAGAAAAACATATCTGGTGATGCTCAGCCTGAAAATATTGGCAGTAAGAAGCTGACCAGAAGACCTATTTCATCAGAAAAGAAACTTACTGATGCCTGTAAATCCAAGAGCTCATCAAGTAATGACACGGAAGATGAGTCTAAAGAAGAAGAATCTCTGTCACATAGTGTTTCTATTGATCGGCCATCTTCAACCACTGGAGAGCATATGTATTCCAGTTCTAGATATGAAAAGATTGAAGCTTATCATGCATTGCCTGCAAATGAAAAAGTTGGTAGTATCCCAAACTTGCCACAAAATGCCCGTAATGGATTGAAAACTTCTGTGAGGAAAGTTGTGCAGCAGTTTAAATCCTCAAAACAGCTGAAATCTGACCTCTCAGGTCGTGGAGAAGAGATTGTTGGAAAATACAAGGTTATTGTCAAATTTGTATTGATTCCTTTACTAGTAGTTTCCTCTGTTATCGATTGGATACCAATTTTGTTTTTATACTGTATTATTGACAGGTAATTTTTCCGTATGAACTGTTCGTGAAACTGTACTCCTACGACAATGTGGATCTTTGTCCATTTGGCCTTATGAATTGTGGGAACAGGTGATGTGGAGAGTTTTTTTTGCACAGAACATATTAAACATATAGAAATAAATCATTCGCATACTCTAGACTAGAGTTTAACCAGTTTCAGTAAATCCTTTTGTCGGGTCTGTTAAAACTCTTTAGATTTTTCTTATGCGGAATTTTAACAGAAGTTCATTGAATTTTTCGCTGATAATACATTTATTTATTTGTTTGGATTTCTCAGCTGTTATGCTAATGCGGTGCTCCAGTGTTTAGCATTTACTCGGCCTCTTGCTTCTTATCTTCTTCAAGGGCTCCATTCTAGAGCATGCAAGTTTCTCTTCATGACTCTTACACATGTTTTTATTTTTTTTGATATAAATTTTATAATTTTTACAGCCAGTTTAATTGTTAGGACCATGTGTTTGATGGCCTTTCCATTGACAAATTTTACCCCTGTGCCAGGTCAAAAGCATGACTGGTGTTTTATCTGTGAGTTTGAAATTCTTCTTATGAAGGCAAGGGAAGGGAAGTCTTTACTGTCCCCGATCAGGATACTATCTAAAATACATAAAATTGGAAGTCATCTTGGCCATGGAAGAGAAGAAGATGCTCATGAATTTTTGAGGTGAGCCAGCTAAAGACAACCAGATAGAACTTTGTTGCAGAGCTACTCTTCCTTTTTTGAATATGTATCATTTCACCAATTACTAAGATGGCAGGTATGCTGTTGATACCATGCAATCTGTTTGTCTCAAGGAAGCCGGGGCTGTTGGTCCTTTGGCAGAAGAAACAACCCTAGTAGGCATGACTTTTGGAGGCTACCTTCGATCTAAGGTTGTTACTTTTTTGATATTTTGTCAAAATTTACCTGTTTTTGGGTTTTTGTTCACTTACAAATGTACAAGTGCATTCTGATGTTGTAATAAAAATAAATAATGGTATTTCTTGGGATGCCATGATTGGAATTCTCAGATAACATGTATGAAGTGCCTTGGAAAATCTGAGCGATTTGAGCAGATGATGGATCTTACTGTCGAAATTGACGGGGAAATTGGAACTCTTGAAGAGGCTCTTGCACAATTTACGGCTACTGAAACTTTGGATGGAAAAAATAGGTACCATTGTAGCAGGTTGGTTCATTTGCACCAGTATAAATTTTATTTATTTGTTCAGTTGTGGGATAAAACTCTTATTTTATCATTGTGGCCCTTTATTACATCTTATTTCAATGCCCAACACCTAGATCATGGTTTGCAACTGTCTTCATGCATAGTTGCTTTATTTCTAATTGGGCTGCCAACCAACTATATAGGTTGTGGACTGGGAGAGATAGAGAGAGGAAGGTAGGTTGGGGGGCGATGGTGGGCTTGTCACCCAATGATCACACACCTGTGTCTTTGCTTAACACTTCTGTTTGTTGTTCTTTTGTTGAGGTGTTTCTCTACAGGCCTTAACACTTGTGGCCTGATTATAGCTGAGGAACCATGTAAATATGGAGATTCTAGTGCAATATGATCTCAGAGTGCTCACCTACCTCACTGCTAGTTCAAAAATTATTTTTTCCTCGCTTTGGTTGGGCAATTTGACCCATCTTCTTAGGTGGCCTGACAAATTTTTAGATTCAGTATGTTACTTATATAAAGTATTCTTTCAGGTGGGTCTCAAGTCTTCTTTTTTCCACTCTTCTAATTCTTTGATGCTTGTTTGTTCCCAACATTTGTGAAGGTGTAAATCTTATGAGAAAGCCAAAAAGAAATTAACAGTTATGGAGGCACCAAATATCCTTACAATTGTGTTGAAGCGGTTTCAGGTAATTAAAATTCTTTTATATTTTTTTGAACTTTGATTGTCATGTATTTTTTTAGAAATATTAATGTGTGCTCTATACCATCCATGACTGCAGTCCCGTAACTTTGAGAAGCTGAATAAGTCGGTACGGTTCCCAGAGGTTCTCAACATGTCACCGTATATGGGTGGAACAAGTGATAGATCTGTTTTGTACAGTCTTTATGCTGTGGTTGTTCACTTGGATATTATGAATGCTGCATATTCAGGCCATTACGTCTGTTATGTAAAGAATAATCAAGGGGAGTGGTTCAAGATTGATGACAGTTCAGTATGTATTCCTTTCATTTCTCATATTTCCATCTTAGTTAGGGCCTTATGTTAATTTGTTGCTTTATGGGTGGAACTGTCTTTCTGCTCGAATCCCTGTTTATAGGAGGCATATATCTATTGTTATGTCCTTGGATGAAGTTGATTATAATACATTGTTTTCTGGTATTTTGCATATCTCCAATTTATGGCCAGTGAAAGACGAGAAACCTGCTAATGAATTTTGCATGTATGCATCCATGTGCTTGAACTTCTTCTAGACGTGTAATTCAAGGGAAATAAAAAAAATAAAAATTGCAAGTCCGAACACTGGTGATTATTGGATTGAGATGTTTTAACTTTTTATTTAAATTTCTTGAACACGCATGATCTTGTAGGTTGAACCTGTGGATTTAAAGAGGGTGTTATCCCAAGGGGCATACATGCTTCTTTATGCAAGGTAACATGCCTGTGGAGCCCAGTTCACAAATGATCTTCTATTTTTGGTTTGTCCTAAACACCTTAAGATTTAATGTTTCTAGGCGCACCCCACGGCCCCCGGCCTTTCTTGGAAGTACTGCCGTTTCCAATGGGGAGAAATTGAAGAGAAGGAACTTGGAAGCTGTTCCTTCCAGCCATACCAAATCCAAATCGAGATCTAATTCCGTGGTTCCAAGTCTCATCAGCAATCAATCACTAAATCAAGATCCAGATGATTGGAGATTCCATCCAACGCACAGATATCCTGCTTTGGATTCATCAAGTGAGAGTTCATCCATTTTCAGCTCATCAGATGCAAGTTCTTGTAGCACCGCGAGCACCAAGGACTCTTCCAGCAACGAAGATTTCTCCGATTACATATTTGGCGAAACGGGACCCGACTGGTACAGCCAGTATAGCAGGCATTCATCAGCGGCAATGACCGGCTTGTACGGAGAAAGAACCTCAACAGTTTTGTGTAGCGACAGAAGTAGACATCGTAGAAAGTCAACCTCGGATTAGTTAGCAGTGGTAGGAGTAGAAGTAGGGAAATTGACCAGCAGCAATTTGTATGGTCCCGTATTCCACCCGTTGGAGATGTAAGAAGCGCAAATGGAAAAACAAAAGGATCAGCTCAAACATTTTATTGAGGTTTGAGCTGAGATGCAAGTAGGAAATAGGATAATAAAGTCACTAAGGTTTATTACCAATGCTGACATAATTTAAAGTAGTCAATCATATTAATCTTTCGTTGGGTCCTTTTTTGAATAATTATAATATGGTATGATAATTTTAGTATCATACGATAATCCCATTTTTCCTTACTCTTGTTCTTGTCTTGTCTGAGGAAAGAATAGGGGCCACGACAAGTAAAACGACACCGTTTGGATTATCTCCCCCACCACTACCAGAACATAAGCAGAGGAGAGAGAGCAGTGGGTGACGACGAGTATAAGGATATAATAAGCAAAAAGGAATTTCAAACCCAAATCAAATGCCAGCAGTAGCATTAACAAAATATAATCTCATTTACCACCAGAGGGGAGCGCCGATTAAGCACAATCGCAGCATTCGCATTTGTGCCTCAATTTTAGGCATAGGCTGCATAGCCGCCGGAGCCAACAAGGCCATGGTGACCACCGCCGCAAGCAGCAGCAGCAATGGTGGCGCGTATACGACGATCAAAGAAAGAGTGAGATTCGAAAAGGAGATCAAGAAGAGCAAGTTCATCGCCATCGCTGGTCCCATCCCCGACGAACAATCCGCTCAATCCTTCCTCTCCCAGGTACTTTCACTCTTCTTCTTCTTCAATTTTTTCAAAAAAGAAAATAACTTGAAAATTAAGAGGTTGTTGTTCTAGGTCCGAGATCAACGTGCTACTCACAATTGCTGGGCGTACAAGGTTGGTTGGGTTAGGTTTTGTAAACTGTCATTGTCTTTTTGGTTGGTTATTGGCATTTTTTAATTAATCCGGTGAGCAATTGATCAGGTTGGAGATCAATACCGGTCTAATGATGATGGTGAACCGTCGGGAACAGCCGGAAAACCCATTCATTCTGCTATTGAATCTTCAGGAATTGATAGAGTTATGGTGGTCGTCATCAGGTAATTTGATTTGTTTTCCACTACAAAATGCTTTCTTTCACTTGCATTTGTTTGACGAATTTATTCTTTAAGTATGTATGCACACTGTTCTGTGCTGTCTCTGTTATTATTGGGTTTTACATTGTGTTTTGGATTGTATTTTATTTATTTTTCGTAGGCACTTTGGAGGTATTAAATTGGGTACTGGAGGACTTGTCAGGGCTTATGGAGGAGTTGCCTCAGAATGCTTGAGAAATGCCCCAACTTGTCTTGTAAAATCCAAGGTATTAATTAGCTTTCTTGCTTTTATTCCAACTGGTATGTCAAAGTTGTCCTGTTTAGTTACTTGACAGGAAAAAAAAATTACTGCTTCAGAAAGCAAGGAGACTAGAATGGGAGAGAACTTCCCTATATCGGTCCATTCTTGGTTGTAAATTGTAATCTACTCTATTAGTATCATAAAATGGATGGGGGTTTTCTTCTTTTGCCTCGTATTTGGAGCTTGTATTTCAACACCTTGGGACCAAAGCTCACGAATGTTTGGATTAATATCATTTGGTTTGAATTAAAGCCGTATTAAGTTTTTCACCCCCAAAGAAATTCCTTTTCTGCGTTGTTAAAATTTTGAATATATGATCTTATCCTTTCTCTCTGTAGGTGAGAATGGGTGTGGAGGTTCCATTTGATCTTTTGGGCGTTCTATACCATCAGGTGAGCTGGTTCAGATGCATGACAATAGCTCCCCCCCTTGCGTTGAGATGATCAAATTTATTAAGTGTACCCATTTCTTGTATTTTGATGTTTACAGCTACAGTCGTTTCAAGTTGAAGACATCAAGCAAGATTATGAGACTGGTAAAGATGGCATCACCATGGTTACTTTCCAAGTTGATTTTGACCGTATTGAGAAATTGGAGGATGCTATCAAAAGCCATTGTAGCCGTGACTTAGTGTTCTATAAGCGCTGAAGCAGCCTTAGCTAGTGTAGACATTTTCATGATGAAGCATTTCAAGACTGGTACATACGTTTTACATCTGCTGTGCTTGGAAGCAATCTTTTGCTACAGGTTAGACCCCAATATACAGAAAAATCTCTAAAGCAGCTGCAGATTGTTTAGAGATATTTAATTTATTAATTAAACTAGTTGGTACGAAAGATTAACTTATTCTTGAAGGTTGCTTGTTTACCTGACATGTTGTATATATGACAGCCTTCGTTATATGAGAAGAAATATGCTCTTATTTTATGGACTTGGGTGCAAGTTTAAAAATTTAGTGCTGAACTATTATTTTATGCTGCCCACTGCATTGTGTTCTTCTTGGATCAGACATCGTGTCAAGTCTAGGCTGATAGTCATAGCTGTTTAATCCAGAAATCGATTCCATTTTAAAAATTGCCTTCTGTCAAACATTTTGCTATGTGTTTCTTCTTGGTCTGATCGGGTGGTTCTATAGTTAGGTGGTCAAGTTACATGATTCCGTAGTTTACTTACGAGCTCGTGTAGTACTCGCCCCTATCTTTAAAGGGACTTATACACTCCACTCACTGTTTACAAAACGAGTGATTCTGAGAAGTAGCATAGTAGTCATACTCGAACTCCAAATACAATCTGCAGCATTTCAATGATTCTGGGTGGTTTGGCATTTATGCTAGCACTGTAAGGCCCACCCTCTAGTTCTAAATCTTCATGGTTAATGTGGCTTGCATATTGTTTTCCATTTTTAGCATCGGAATACAAAGCTTTCCCAACCACATCTCCTCAAACACCACTTATCAGCTTACTCTCTCTCCCTATATAACTGGTCATTCTTCTTCATATAGATCCAAAATAAGCGCTTTCAAACCTCTCTCCCATTAGAGAAAGAAAATGGCTGCTAGTCCTATTGGATACAACATTGTATGGTTATTTGAAAATTTCAGTGTCTTAGCAGGTAGCAGGCTCAAGTTAACTTTCAAGTATTGCGACGTTTCATTTATATGGATTTTAGTCATTTAACTATACTTATGAGGTGGTAATTAGTGTATGTTAGTCAGCTATTTTTGGAACATTATTCTGATTATATTTGGAACAAAACTAGCATATAACATCAAACACTGTTCACAACACCGGAAGTAAAACCTGGGGCGGTTGATGAGTAACCAGATTCATTGCAAATTCAAATTTAACAAGATGGCATTGGCTCGTCAATACAATGCAAATGTTAAGTAAATGAATGAAACTTGAATCAAGCAACAATTTGACGAATTCACATGCATAATATTTTTACACACAAATCTATTCAAAATTGATATCTGAAGATCAAAACTAGCAAAAGTTACCTTCTCTTTTGATACATGAGAGATTGCCTAAGCAATACCCTAAAACGGTGGGTTGGTGGTTTTAAATTGATTAGGCTTCGATCCATTTTGGGGAGGTGAACCACCCAGTACCTCTCAACACTACCACAACCAGATTTCGTCAAACACTGAGAAACCTGTCGACTCACTCCCAATAAAAACCTATTAGGAATGTAACCCTTCCATTCAAAACAAATAACACAAGTTCCTTGCATATCAAGCAAGAAGCAATGGCTGCTTTCAAGCATTGTTTCCTACTATCTGTGGTGGTAGCAGTTTTGTCTTTATCAAGCATTGATATGAGCCTGGCAGCTCGGCACCTCTTGGATATGGCGGCTCCACCCCCGGCATTGGTACTACCTACAATTCCTTCTCTTCCCACTCTCAAGCCTACTATGTCTCCACTGCCTTCCTTTCCTACTTTGCCTAAACCCACATTGCCAACTACCCCTTTGATCCCAAGAACCCAAATCCCTTTGCCAAATATTCCAACATTGCCTTCCATCCCTGCTGCCCCCAAGGTCACTCTACCTCCACTTCCTGCCACTCCATTGCCAACTATCCCAACTACGATCCCTTCAATCCCCTCCATTCCAACAACAATTCCAGCAGTTCCTTCCCTGTTCCCTCCTCCATCAAATTAAACAGCTAGTGCTGCCCTGTTTGATTTTCGACATCTACATTTGACCTATATTAGATAGATGTTGGTTTTATTGTTAAACGGTTCTGTATTTGAGAGGATTGAAGAGTGCCTGTTTGTTTGCCCTATGAAATTTTTTCTTGTCATGCATGCGTCCTAGATATAGATGTATTGTTTTTTCTAGTCATTTCAGTTAGTGGAAATTTTCAGGTCGACGGGCCGAGGGCCCACTCCAACAACACCGATACTGTCCCCACTTAACCACCTGCACAATCCTCAGGTGTGGGGTTTTATCACAAAAGGCCTCGGTATTAATTAGAGTGGGGAAATTCTATTTAAAGCACTCTTTCTCCTTCCCTCTTTTCCGATGTGGGACACAATTGGTTTCAACAAACATGTGTAATGCTCTTGTTGTATTGTTGTCTGAATTGTTAGAATATACGATTCTCATCTGTTTTGGTGATCAGCTCCTCTCAAAATTTGATCATAATCATATCATTAATAACTGGTAATGCTAAGCAAAAAATAAAAGAAAAAAAAAAAAAAAAAAAAAAAAAAAAGGAGACACTTTATGTGATGAGCGATGATTTGATTTCCAAGGGCTACTGGTAAAGTCGGCTTAATTTATGAGTTTACATGTTATATGAATCCATATCGACTATAAATATATTGAGCATCATTAGCACTACTCAATAAAGACGGGTAATCCATTTTGTTTACATAATTAACAAGTGTATCCGTATTTTGTTTGTTAATTCTTCATCGGATTACTCAAACAATGTGGTTTAACAATCAGAATCGTCTACATTTTAGGTCATCGTTCAACTTGCATTAAACACAACAACTTGGAAATTGATGACCAAATAAGCAATCTCAAGCCAAACACAAATTAATCTCATAACGATCAAATGCATAAAATCATAAGTAAATTAATAATATAATTGCTGAATAAATAAGTTACTAAATGTTGAAACATAAATTTTCTATATAAAGCTCCTTAAACTCAATGATGGCCTTTCCCAAGCTCTTTTTTTTCACTGTCATTTCATCAAGATTCCCTATATGAAAAACCAACGCATTTCAGAACTCATCAAAAAAGAGCATTGGATTGAGGGTCTCAACTGTTTGTTTTTGTTATCTATGACCCGTGACTCATGTTTTGGGATTTAGGTAGCTGCCAAACAGGGCCTCATGACTGGCATCGTTTTCGTAGCTTTCTGCCTAATAAAGCCCCTCTCCTTCTTTGAATTCAATAAAGCAAGTGCAACGAGAAAACAGCTCATTTGTGACACAAGTCAAGGCACCCAATAGATCTCTTACATCCCAAGTTGCAACCACAGAAAAAATAATTTTTTTTTAAAAATCTGAACCCTCCTTTAATCCTTATCTGCCTTTCCTTTGCTCTCTTCCTCCATAAGAAAATCTAGATCCATAAGAAAAATAACATTCTCACACATGGGTTCTATTATTTTCTCTCTCTTTCTTCTTTCCCTTGCATTTCCTCACCTAACCCATAATTTCTTTGTGACTGCTGACTCAAATTTGATCCAGAAAACTTGTAAGAACACCAAATACTATGGCCTCTGTGTCTCAACCCTCAAATCTGATCCCACAAGCAAAACTGCAGACACAAAGGGATTGGCAGTTATTATGGTTGGGATTGGGATGGCAAATGCAACTGCCACCTCATCTTACTTGTCCTCTCAACTAGTGAGCTCAAGGAACAATGACACAAACATGAAGAAGGTGCTCAAGGAGTGTGCTGATAAGTATGGCTTTGCTGGAGATGCCCTCCAAGCTTCAGTGCAGGATTTGGCCTCAGAGTCATATGATTATGCTTCCATGCACATCAATGCAGCTGCTGACTACCCAAATGCTTGCCACAATGCTTTCAAAAGGTACCCAGCTTTGGCTTATCCTCCGGAACTTGCAAGAAGAGAGGAGGGTTTGAAGCATATTTGTGATGTGGCTTTGGGAATTATTGATAATTTTGGTTGGTAATTAAATATTGCCTAACTAAAGTGCTTAGAGAGAGCAGGAAAAAAAAAAATTCTTTAATTTTCTCAATCATTGTAGTCTACGTCTCTGTTTATGTTGGTACTGTCGGCTACTTATTGTATGATTTGGGGTTGCAAGTGCCAATGCATGACCTAAACATATGTGATTAATTGCCAACGAGTCTAGTTTAGTGAAAATGGTGGCAGACTGGTGGACTCATGTTCAAATATCTATGCTATTTTAGTAGTGTGTGTGAGATACCCCCACTTCCTCTTATAATTTAGACTATCGTTTGTATTAAAAAAAAACATGTATAATTAATTATTCAGAATAGAATGTTGATGCAGGCAATATTTCTCTTCCTTTTGTTGAAAGATATTACAAGTTTAAATGAACATCTTTTCAAACAAAAAATAAAATAATAAAAGTGTGAAGGTGATCTGGACTTGTTGAACAGATTGTAGAAGATAGTTGATGTCACATGCTACTCGAAAGAGTTCTCTGACTCTGAGGAACATGTCTTTTACTAAAGTGATAAATCTGTTCGAAAAATTTCTGAAGTCTTCTTAATTCAGAAATAATAAAATAATAAATAAAATTAAAACCAAAAAGGCGGATGGAATTATTACCTTATTGTTTGAAATGATACATTCAAGATGGCCCAAAGCGGCCCAAGAGTCGAAAGGGGGACAAAATAGAGAACATATTGTCTTTCATTTAATGCTTTGGTCAACATAGAGAACATATTGTCATGGATTATGGATGAGAATATAAGTTATTATGTATATTTCAAGTAAATCATTATTGTGAAAAAAAAAAAAAAAAAAAAAAAAGTGCGTGATTGACTTGAAATACCGCCATAGTAACATCCAGTGTAAGTAAGTTTTTATTTGTCAAATACCCAAAATGGTGATTATAATCAAACGGAGGACACATGGCGTGAGTTTATGCCCTAGTCTTTTGAGTTAGTTTGGTTTTGAATATGGAACACATTAAGTTAGGGAGGTGAGCTAACCGTTGCTTTTTTCCCACTTCCTACAACCACAACTCATCAAACTCATGTAGATGCTTCCAAGTCCTCCTCAAAGTCTTGACACATATTTTCTCTATAAAAGCCCCATTGGAGATAATATGCTCTTCACAACAAGCAAACAACATATTAACAGAGAGACTTGCCTATAGCCCTAGCAGCCCCTTCAACTCAACCATGGCTTTTCCCAAGCTTTTCTTCATTTCGTCTTTGCTAGTGGTGATTTTGTCAGCCTCAAGCACCCAAATGATTCATGCAGCTCGCCACCTTTTGGACACACCAGCAGCAGCTCCACCCCCAACACTGGCAATCCCTACAATCCCCTCTCTGCCAAATCCCACTCAGCTGCCTCCATTGCCTTCACTACCAACACTTCCCAAGCCCTCAAACACCTTACCTACACTTCCAACTGCCCCAACTCTGCCCAAGACCACATTGCCTCCACTTCCCTCAATCACATTGCCTACGCTTCCAACTGCTCCAACTCTGCCAAAGCCGGCCACGTTGCCACCGTTGCCCTCTACCCAATTGCCTACTCTCCCAACTACTCTGCCCCCATTGCCAACCTCCCTACCCCAAATCCCATCTTTGCCAAAATCCACATTGCCTACGGTGCCCACAACCCTCCCGCCATTGCCATCATTCCCCTCAACAATCCCTTCAATCCCCACCATTCCAACAACAATTCCATCGATTCCATTCTTCTCCCCACCCCCATCAAATTAAACCACTTGACATATATATGCCATGGTTCTCCACGCTTACCACAATATATACTATCTAATTTCTTGTTTGTGCTGGGGGGTTTCAGAAGTCCTCGAACATATGACGGTTTCTTGTGTTTGATGGTGGCTTATTAGTCTTTGTATACAGTATACTTGTGATAAAGAGCTTGTGAGGAAGTTTTTTTTTATTTTTTAAAATGAATTCTTTCTTTGTTGGCTTATTGTAGCGTTTGTTTGTATTAATTATTGTTATGAATTATAGTATTATCAAAAGGCTTGTTCTTGTTATTATATATGATCTTTGTCATGGAAATGCTATTCATCATGTTGTCGACTGTGTGCAATATGAGTAATGAGATCACATTTCTGTACCACATTGTGTACCACCTCAACATTGGAACCCATATCTCTATTTAGAGATACAATACGTAACAGTAAATCGATAAGAGCTAGACGGTAATAACATATGATGCCATTTAATTTACTACAAAGTCATATTGAATGGTTGGATTAGAAGTATAAATCTTCAACCAGTTTTTATGAAGTTTTACTCTTTGTTTCAACCAAATCCCTTGACAGGTTCCTAAGGAGTATAAATTTTCAAGCTATTGTGCTTCAACGAACAAACTATTGAAAATAACCATCAAATCTTACATATAAAAAATGATAACAAAAGTAAATACAACAATAGGGTGTAACATGCATATATAACATCATCTCCAGCAAAAAACACATGCATAACATCATTGCTGGAAAAGTTGAATGTCTATCATCTGATGCAGGATAGATCCTGAAAGCTGGGAGCGCCACATGGCCGAGGTTTAGATTAGAAATTAAGAAAAAGGAGGGTAGATAATTCTGACATTAGGGCTTAGAGGAATATGATTGTCGGGAAATGGAGTCTCTAGGATAGGAGGTTTCGGATTAGAAGTTCTGGAAAATTTATTAGGCCGCCGGTGTTTAAAATGTTGAACATTAGCCAGAATTTTAAAAATTTCAGAAGTACTCTTATGAATCCTGAAAATAGCATCACCATGACCATGTGGAAGAGAGGAGCCACGGCGTGATGGAATTTTCGAAAGGGAGTGAGATGAAGAGGGAAGAGAAGGAGCCTCTTCACCACAAATGGCTGGCACTTTAACCAGCATAAGTAAAACCAGTGGCACCATTATCATCTTCATCATTAGCATCCCTGAACAAATATGACTGTATTCTCTCTTTAAAGTTTTTTTTCCCTATTTGTAGTGTTCGCAACTCATGCATGGTTTCAAAACCAAAAATAAACACACAAGAAGGCTTTAGAATGAAATTTTACCTTTGTTTGGGGTTATTGTCCTATGAGAAGGTTCAAGAAGGCTATCTATCATAAAGTTGAAAGTTCATCTAACAAAAAATAAACAGAAAATAAATTCATTATCAATTAATATTATATCTAGCTGTTGTTACAATTTCAATTAAGCTTTTATAAATTCGTGTATCGTATCAATATGTATGTATTTTTTTTACCAAACGTATTATACGTGCATTATTCATGTATTGATGTATATAATCCAAGCATTTTGCATATATTTATCTATTATTTCACATGTTTTACGCTATTTCAAAGAAGAAAATAAATAATTTTAAAATATAAAATAATGGTTGAATCCTAATTATCGTATTTTTAAAAAAGTTCCAGATAATGCATGTAAATATTTTATGTATATTTTCTCCTTCCAGTATTTTACTAACTACAAAAGGAAGATATATACAAGATGGGTTACCACTGCCTATGAGCGAAACTCATCTAAAAATCTACAAAATGTTTGTTAACAACAACGAAGAATATTCATAACCTCAGTTCATCATGATCAATCACCACGTCAGTTTATAATGGGACTTACTTACCAATTCGGTATAATCTAGTGGTACTTTTCTTTTAAAAGTTAGAAGAAATCTCTCCCTCCCTATTGCTAATTTTTATTTTATTATTATTTTAAATGAGACTTGTTTAGCTACACCATACACCATTAGTCATTTAATCCATTTCCATCCCACTAATCTTAACAATCTGTTATTTCTATTTAATGGTAAATATATGATAAGACCATCATTTTAACTTGATATTATACTAAACTAATGATCTACCATGAAGACTAGTTAAACAAGGAGACACACTGGATTGATTGAGGTCTCCCAATGGGAGGCTTCTCCATGTACGCTTTCATAGAGGAAATTTTTATGTTCACACCTAATTGTTGAGGAGGCTATTTGCTGCCTCTTGAAAGCGATGAGACGCCTCCCCTTGAGAGACCTCAATGCGTCTCCTCGATCGTTTAACTGGTTTCATGGTAGATCATTAGTTTATGTATAATTTCAAGTTAAAATAATGATGGTCTTATCGTATATTTACCATGAAATAGAAATAACCGTCTGTTAAGATTAGTGGGTTGGAAATGAAATAAATGGAACTAATGGAGTACCGTTGGAAAACGGTGTAGCTAAACAAGTTTCATTAACTTTTGTTTACCAATAGGGGAGGGGGGAGATTTCTTCTAACTTTTGAAAGAAAAGTACAATTAAACTATTATTATTCTCATATAAGGCTTTCTTTGACAGTTTGGGATGCGTTGGTGTGCTCTATTGAGAGGTCTCTTGTGTTGGTTTTCCAGTCATTTTGTAGTTTGTTTTGGTTATTTGTTTTTCTATTCTAGTTCTTTGTAGCGGTCCAAAGTGGCATGAGTTAGACTCTTTTGTTAGTCTATAGCATGTGTGGTACTCTTTCCTACTCTGGATTTGTCTCATGTGATTTTCTTAGGAAGGTTTTAATGAGGCCACTATATCCGTGTCGATCTATGTTTGCTTATTTTGGTTTATGAATGAAATCTTCTTTTCAAAAAAGTACCATTAAATAATACCTAGTTGGGAAAAAGTACCATTATAAACTAACTGGTGGTATTGATCAAGAACTTTGATGAACTTTATTTATGAATCTTCATTGTTAACATTTTGCAAATTATTTGATAACTTTCGCTTGATCATAGTAGTACCGCATTTTATATATGGGTAATTCTATATGAACCCCATAAATTACTCTTTACACCCCATAATTTTTTACACCCCACTAAATTTTAATAAAATTTCAAATTACTCATTAAACCCCTTTTTTTTCCCTAAATTGCCCTCATAAACCCCATTCCTTAACTACCCACCGAAAACCCCCTTCCCTTTCAGCCACACCCCATCTGAAATCAAACCCCACCCCATCTGATATCCAGCCACACCCCTCCGAAAATTCTCTCCTCTTGCAGACACACCCCATCGCACACCCCATCCCATTTACACCAACCTCCATCGCAGAACCATTGAAGAATCCCTTTGTCGTTGCCTGCATCGCAGAACATTGAAGAATTCATCCTTTGCCATCGCAGATCTTTGCTCACCATCGAAGAAGCCCTTTGCCATCGCCTCCAGCAAACTGAACCATCTCTGAAACAGAACCATCACAGCCATCTCCATCTCTGCAAACCCAAAAGCCATTGAAGGTCAAGTTCTCACAAATCCTTATTCAAGGTTTGATTTCAAATTTGATTTATATATTTACGTTTCTAAGTGTTGATTAAGCCTACATTTGATTTCACTTTTGAAAAGCCAAAGTCTTATACTGATTTTGATTTTGATTTCAAGGTTCTGGGTAGTTCGAACCTGGTTTTACGAAATTGGATTCTAGTTTCGGTGGATTGCCACCGAAATTATTACATTGCTTCAGTGGTAGTCCACCGAATTGAACATGTACTTTCGGTGGGTTACCACCGAAATTGTTACCTTGTTTCGGTGGTAGTACACCGAATCTGTTTCTATTTTTCAGGGGACTCCCACCGAATTTCTTTCGGTTTTTCAGTGGTACTCCACCAAATATGTATTCTTTTTTCAGTGATTGTCCACCGAATTTATTTTCGTTTTTCAGTGATTATGTACCGAATACGTTACTGAGTGTACTTAATATTTTTTATTTTTAGATATGAAGAGGATTCGCAGGGGTACTACTGAAGCTTCATCATCACGACCTAATAGACAACGTCCCACGGCCTCAGCGAGGAGACAGAGAACGGCTCCCCAAGATCACATTGAGGATACTACAGAGGTTGAAGATGTAGTTCCTACTGATTATAGTAATGTTGACGCAGAGGTTGAAGATGTAGCTACTGCTCAGGATAGTAATGTTGAGGTACATGCCGAGCCTACTGAGCCATCTCGAGTAGGTCCCATTGATCCATCTTTACTTACGAGTTTTAAAACTCACATAGCAGCTACAATTTGGAATAACCAGGTAAGTCGTTTTACTGTGACAATAGAAGGTAGAATATAAATCTGGTTCATGGTAACTAACCTTAATTTTGTTTTTTTTATTGTTTAACTAGGAACGTGAGCCCCTTAGGTGCATGTCGAAAACATCTACCCTTCGTGAGTGGAATTGGTGGGGTAATCCAAATAATGGTATATTCAAAGGGTACATTCAGAGGTCTGGATTAGAGCACCTTATTAGGTGTTCTTATCGGAATGCTGATAAGATTGTGGTGTCTACATTTGTTGAGAGGTGGCATCCCGAAACGAACACCTTTCACATGCCTTTTGGTGAGATGACCATCACATTGGATGATGTGTCATCTATTTTAGGCATTCATGTGTCTGGTGCAGCGGTTGGTCCTCTTGGAGATGATGACGACACAAATTTTGAGTTGTTAGTTAAGTACTTAGGAGTGACTGATGAAGAGGCTACTGAACAATTGCACGAATACAGTGATGAGTATGTGAGTTTGTCATGGTTACGGGCGCGATTCTCCAATGTTTCAGACACAGATTCAGAGGAGTACATCATGTATTCGGCCAGGGCATATTTGCTATATCTCTTGGGTTGCACTTTGTTTGTTGACAAGACTGGCACGAGAGTCCAAATTGTGTACCTTAGACTACTTAGAAACCTTGATAGTGTTGCTGGTTATTCATGGGGTTCTGGGTGCTTAGCATGGTTGTATAGACAATTAGGCCAAGCTTCGAGGTCTAAGGTGAAGCAGATTGCTGGGTACATGACTTTGCTGGAGGCATGGGTGTATGAGCACATGCATGGTGTTGTTGTCCCTGATCATGACCTTGATTATTTAGAGGTCCAGCCTCGTGCACTTTGTTGGATTCCACGTCGAGACAATGGCACAACATCGGTAGACGTGCAGAAGTATAGACAACGGCTTGACGCTTTGAATGCTGATCAGGTGTGTTTCTCTTACATATCATCCAACTTTGTTGTGTTTTGTATTTTATATATATTTTTTGGTTTAGGAATGTATATTCCAGTGGTTCATGCTATATTATGTATCATATTTCAGGTTATATGGGAACCTTACAAGTTTGAAAGGGAACACCACCCATTTCCAGATGTTGCATTCTACTCAGGGATGCTCAGATGTTGTGATGTTATTGAGCCCTACCATCCTGAGCGGGTTCTTAGGCAGTTTGGTCGAGTGCAGACGATTCCTCCCAGAATAAGTGCTCCAACCAGAACAGGTAGTCGTGCCAATTCCTATAATTCTTACTTTGGGGAAATGTGGGACAATCGGGAGAACCACATGTTGGGAGAGGCGAACCGTAGTGTACCAGTGAGGAGACCATCAGATACTGTGCCTGGGTACTTGGAGTGGTACCTCAACGTGGGATATCCGTTTGTCAAGAATCCTAATTATGGAGCTGCATTTGACCCATTTGCCTCAATGCAAAGCAGATATTATCAAGTAAAATTTTTATTTTACTTCCATTTTTTCAAATTTGCACTTTTTACTGAGGCATTGAATTCAAATTTGTAACAGGAGCGTGACGAGCGTATGTTGTCCTTTACTAGGCCGCTCGTGGCATTAGGGGAAACAGTTGCATTGCGTACACGACCTTCCCAAGTTTATCAAGCAATTGAGACCTTGCAACAGATTTTAGAGGGTACAAACATACGGTCTACCATGACATCCACATTTTAACAAGAATGGGCATCCACATTTCTTGGTACCAGTGTCTCTAGCACATTTTTTCATATCACTATTTGCATCCGATCTTATATCAGTTGTCTCACTAGACTTGCAAGACTTATAGTTACCGTTCCTCTCACAAGCAAGTATTACACGAGGTTTCCTCTTGCCCTCACCTCCATAATCAGACCTTTTAATTACAATGACAATATTATTCAATTTTCCTTGTTCACGAGCCCATCGAAGTAATGCATCTCTACCATTAAATATCTACACATAAAACTCATATTATTTAAATACAAAATTTGAAACATTAATGCCACGTTAATGATACTAAAAAGGATTTCAGATAAATAATTACCGAATAAGTTGTGAATTGATCACTATAGTCCATTACACATTCTGTTCCCACATTGTTGCCTTCAGTAGGGGCGTCACCTTGATTTTGTTCCTTCAATGGGAGTAAGATCAAAATAGCTTGGATTAAATTTGTGGTTGGCAATAAGTTACTGAAAAAATAAATAAATTTCGGTTGGATGCCACTGAAACGCGGGTAAAAGTTCGGTAGTACCCCACTGAACTACGTTCCATCTTACGGTGGATCCCCACCGAATATTAAGTTTCTCACCGGTGAAATCCAACCGAAAAAGATGCAAAGTTTCGGTGGCATCCCACCGAAATTATCTGTCGCGTTCGGTACTGATGTGCTGAACACAACCAGCGACTGTTATGAAATATTAAACTTGCAAAACGCCAAAAAATAAACTCGTACCTCATTCGAAGCGTCTCTAACTTCAATCTCACCCTTCATGAATAAATACAATATATTTTTTCACCAGTATAAACTTATAAATCTTGGGTTTAGGGTTTAGGAACATGATAGTTTGAGAAAAAAGTCAAACTAGGGTTGCAGGAACATATGTGGGGTGTAGTGAGCAATTTTAATTTTAATTTTAATTTTTTTTGTCCTTAACGGTAATTGTGTACAAGGGTAAAATAGGTTATTTATATTTAAAATTAGTATGGGGTGTAAAGAGTAATTAATGGGGTGCCAATAAAATCACCCTTTATATATATCTTCTTTGTATTTAGTAAAATACCAGACCGAGAAAATGTACATAAAATTTGTATGTGCATTATTTGGAAAAAAAAATTTATAAAAAAAATACGGTAAAAATTCAACCATTATGTATTTTAACATGATTTATTTTCATTTTTGAAAGAGTGTAAAATATGTGAATAATTGGAAAATATACGCAACATGCATGGATTATACATAAAAAATATATACTTGAATAATGCAAGTATAATACGTTTGGTTTAAAAAACAAGTATAGTTCCGTATAATTGAGGTGTGTGAAAAATTAAAGTATTTCAAAAGAATACGTACATATGAGTATGATGCACGAATTTATAAAAGCAACAACTAGATAAAATATTAATTGATTACATACACCTCAATTATAAAAGCACGAATTTAAAAAGAATACGTACACCTCAATTAATTGAAAGTGTAACAACAACTAGATAAAATATTAATTGATTACTTAAGGACAATATAGAAGTTGAATGAATTTAAACAATTCATTAGATTTTTGTTGTTGTTGCCAAAGTTAGAAAAGGGGAACTCACACACACGAATACCATGGGAGTTTGAACTCAGGACCACTTTGAAGCACTCAAAAAACCTAAGCCAATTCAACTAACATCCCATTGATGAATTATTAATTAATTACATGAAGGTCATCCTTTTGTTTATTTTTTGTTAGAAGAACTTTCAACTTTATGATAGATAATGAAGCGGTGAATTGGTTATTACAGTCTCCCTTTCCTCTTGAACCTTCCCATAGGACAATAACCCCAAAGAAAGGTAAAATTTGATTCTAAACCTTCTAATTGTGTTTTTATTTAATATTTAATATTTAATATTTATGGTTTTGAAACCATGCATGAGTTACAAACGCTACAAATAAGGCAAAAACTTTAAGAGAGAATATATGATAGTTATATTTGCATAAGTATATATGCTAATGATGAAGATGATGGTGACGCTGGTTTTACTTATGCTGGTTGCAGTGCAAGCCATTGATGGTGAAGGGGCTCTTTCTGTTCCCTCATCTTACTCCCTTTTGAAAACTCCATCTCGCCTTCGCTCCTCTCTTCCACATGGTGGTGATATTTTCAGAATTCATAAGATCTCTGAAGTTTCTAAGATTCTGGCTAATGTTCGACATTCTAAACATGGACCTAGAAAACTTCCCAAAACTCCAGTTCTGAAAAATCCTATTGATCCCAACACTCCTATTTCTTTAAGCCCTAATGTCAAAATTATCTACCCTTGTTCTTTTTAATTTCAAATGTAAACTTCGGCCATGTGGCGCTGCCAGCTTTCGAGCAACGCTGTTATGCAAGTTTTATTGTTGCTGGAGATGATGTTATGCATTAAGACCATCTCCAACCATGTTGGGGCTAAACTCAAATTTTCACCCTCCAAAATACAACTATTCATGTATTTTCAGGACTCAAAATTTTTTTTCCTCCAACCTTGTAGACTCATAATTTGAGTCCGCAACTTTATTAAATTGTTTAAGAATGATTAACCCCTAAATTTTGTTTCTTGTTAATTTTTCTTGACATTATTTTTGTTTCAACACTCGTGATTTAATTTTCTAAACATTTTAACCTAAAAAAAATAAAATTCCAAAACATAATTGAATTTCACTTAAAAAATAAAATAAGTACAATACCATACGTATGCCCGGAATAATTCGAACTCTTCATTGAATTATGTAAGTGTGTTTAAATTATCTAAGCATTTTTAAATAAACGACAATCATTAAATTTTGCCGTTGAGATTGCTTAAAATTAATCATGATTATTGATTACAAATATAGTTGTTGGAATATTTAAAATAAAACAAAACAAAACAAAAAAACAAAAAAAAACAAGCCAGCAATATCATATTTTTGGCACAAAGTTGCTGCCCAAACAGTGTAACCAAAACTGGGCCCAGCAAACATTGTGCAGCACATGGGCTTCAGTCAGAAAAAAAATAATAAAAAAAGCAGATTTTGGGCCCACAAAATTATCAGTCCAGGCAAAAAAGGGACTGGAATTCCACCCAAGATTTGAGATTTCTCAAATTTCCACCCCCCAAAATACATGGGTTGGAGATGGTTTTTGGAGGCTAAACTCAAAATTTGAGTTTCCACCCCAAGGGTTGGAGATGGTCTAACTCCCTATTGCGTTTACTTTTGTTATCATTTTGTTGGAAAAAAATTATATAATTTGATGGTTATTTTAAATAGCTTGTAATATATTGTTTACATAAATCTTCTTTGCATTTTTGTTCGTTGAAGCACAATAGCTTGAAAATTTATACTGAGGATCCTGTCAATGGATTTGGTTGAAGATTTATACTTGTAATTGCACCCAATCACATAGCATTGTAGTAAACGGCATCATATGTTAGCGTTTCGTCCCTCCTAAAGCTATGCATCTCGTAATCTATTATGCATTTCGGCCGTCTCTTATAGATATACAGATAATATATATTCTCCTTTTCAGCTTCAGTCTTTGGGTACTGCATATATAGTCCATGACATGACCAGTAGGTTTCCATAACAAAGATCATATATTATATATAATAAAGAATAAGCCTTTTGATAATAATACTATAATTCATCATAACAAGAATTAATACAACAACAAACGCTACAATAGATATCGAGAAGATCCCAACAAAGAAAGAATTCAAGGAAACTAACATCCCTCACAAGCTCTCTTTCACAAGTATACTGTATACATACACTAATAAGCCACCATCAAACAGAAGAAACCATCAAATCATATATTCTGAAGACTCCCCAGCACAGACAAGAAACTGGATTGTATACTTCTACTAGTAATCATGGAGAAACATGGAATATATATATATATATATATCAAGTGGTTTAATTGGATGGGGGTGGGGAGAAGAATGGAATCGATGGAATTGTTGTTGGAATGGTGGGGATTGAAGGGATTGTTGAGGGGAATGATGGCAATGGCGGGAGGGTTGTGGGCACCGTAGGCAATGTGGATTTTGGCAAAGATGGGATTTGGGGTAGGGAGGTTGGCAATGGGGGCAGAGTAGTTGGGAGAGTAGGCAATTGGGTAGAGGGCAACGGTGGCAACGTGGCTGGCTTTGGCAGAGTTGGAGCAGTTGGAAGCGTAGGCAATGGGGTTGAGGGAAGTGGAGGCAATGTGGTCTTGGGCAGAGTTGGGGCAGTTGGAAGTGTAGGCAATGGGGTTGAGGGAAGTGGAGGCAATGTGGTCTTGGGCAGAGTTGGGGCAGTTGGAAGTGTAGGCAAGGTGTTTGAGGGCTTGGGAAGTGTTGGCAGTGAAGGCAAGGGGGGCAGCTGAGTGGGATTTGGCAGAGAGGGGATTGTAGGGATTGCCAGTGTTGGGGGTGGAGCTGCTGCTGGTGTGTCCAAAAGGTGGCGAGCTGCATGGCTCATTTGGGTGCTTGAGGCTGACAAAATCACCACCAGCAAAGACGAAATGAAGAAAAGCTTGGGAAAAGCCATGGTTGAGTTGAAGGAGCTGCTAGGGCTATAGGCAAGTCTCTCTGTTAATATCTTGTTTTGTTGTTGTGAAGAGCAGACAGTACCCATTGGGTTTTTATAGAGAAAATATGTGTGACTTTGAGGACTTGGAAGCATCTATCTAATGAGTTTGATGAGTTGTGGTTGTAGGAAGTGGGAAAAAAAGCAATAGTTAGCTCACCTCCCTGAGTTGATTAATAAATTGGTTTCAAAGTCATACCCAAACTAACCCAAAAGAAAGGCTGAAGAATAAACTCACGCAAGCCAAGCCAATAATCTTAAGCCAATTATTGAACATGGGAACTACTTATACAATCATCATTTTGGTTGGGTATGGCTAAGAAAGTCCGTTTGACTACAATACCATTTTCGTTGGTTGGAAATGAGATGGCCTTGAAAATCTCCTCCTAAAACTAAACTCCGGATTCAAACAAATGATTCAAATAGGAAGAGATCGGGTTAACCAATTAGAGATGAACCGAAACCACACTCAATCAAAGGTTTTGATAGGTTCTTTCATGTTTAAAATTGGTTAACAAAACCTATTTTGGAACTTTGTCCTCTCTTTCAAATGTCCATTTTGATGACAAACAGAATGCTTGATATATATATATATATATAGAGTTTTGCTCTTACGCGGACGTTTGCATTTTGTTAAACTACGGGTGTGCCAGTTACCACTTGTTTTTTGGCAGAAGAGGTGGATTTGATTCGTGCAATTCCAATTAGCACAAGAAGGCTGTTGGATTCATTGATTAAAAATGGCAGTTTAGTACAAAGTGCTTAACACATTGCAAGAGCCTCGAGAGCAACCAATGGTACTGCTTCTTCTTTTGCATCTCCATATTCCCACATTTGGGATACTTTTTGGAGGGCCCACACCTCTGTCAAGGTGAAAGTAATCTGGCAGCATGTAAGCTTTTACTTGTATGTACACATATATTGGTAAATCTGAGGACAACCGTAGTTTAACAAAATGTGGACGTCCGCATAAGAGCAAAATTGTATATATATATATATACAGTCCCCTTCTATTGAGGGATCCCTCAAATAATTTTATTTGAGGGACGCCCTTTAGGGTATCCTACAATTTTTTTTCCAACAATCCAAACTATATACTTTTTAGGTCTTCATTCATAGATCATCCTTACAAAAAATTAGACAAATCGGAAACCGTTTCGACATCCAATTGTGTTTTACAAAATCAATGAACACGGTGCTTCAAGAAAATACTAAAATTTCAATAACTCAATTGAGTGGTCAAATGATATCGGATTCAAGTGATTTTTTGTAGAGATGATCTTTGAATGAGTATCTACAAAATAGACAGTTTGGATTAGTGAAATACAATCTATAGTGGGGCCTACAAGGGGTGTCCCTCAAATAAGCTTATTTGAGGGATCCCCCAATGGAAGTTCTCTGTATATATATATATATATATATATATATATATATAGTCCTCTTCTATTGAGGGATTCCTCAAATAATTTTATTTGAGGGATGCCCTTTAGGGTACCCTACAATTTTTTTTTCCCAATGATCTAAACCATCTATTTTTTAGGTTTTCATTCATAGATCATCCTTACAAAAAATTAGACAAATCGGAAACTCTTTCGACATCCAATTATGTCTTACAAAATCAATGAACACGGTGCTTCAAGAAAGTACTAAAATTTCAATAACTCAAATGAGTGGTCAAATGATATCGGATCCAAATAATTTTTTGTAGAGATGATCTTTGAATGAGTATCTACAAAATAGACGGTTTGGATTAGTGAAATACAAACCGGAGTGGGGCCTACAAGAGGTGTCCCTCAATGGAAGCTCTTTCTATATATATAAAGTATTGTTTTTAACCATTAAATGATTCACCATCCAATAGCTCAAAATGCATATGATATTATTTTAAAAGAAAAACAATACTTTTTCATTACTTTCTCGAAAACATAAGTCAACCACATAATTACATTCTTGAAAACACAAAGACTTTTTTTTTTTCATCTAAAACTCTTCAGTACTTTAGCTGGGCTTTCACAAAGCCCATCACTTTTATTCTTATCTTAAGTTACTCTTTTTGCTACGCAATTATCTTAGGCTTTGGCCTCAATTTTTTTTTAATTTTTTTCGGATTAATAGCTAGCTAGTGATTTCTTTTTTTCCCATTTCTCTTCAATAATCTCTCTACTCTTTTGGCAAAAAAATAAAATAAGGCTTATTATCATAAAACGTCCCTAAGGTTTATGAAATTATCAGATTGCATCCTTATTTTTTTTATTTTTTATTTTGTCATTTGTGGTCCTCAAGGTTAGTATGTATGATCACAAATGATCCATATCGTTAGGTTCCGTAAAAAATTCCGTTAGTTTGCTGACGTGATATTTATGTATATCGCACGTGGCACTATATTATTGTAGATGTGGGCTCCATATATATGCAACATCAACAAACTTATAGAGTTTTTAAAAAATAATTTAAAATTCATAAAATTCAAAAATGAAAAAAAAACTAAGGGTTTAGGGTTCATAAATGGTCCTCAAGATTAAAATCCTTATATAAATGGTTTTTTTCATTTATAAATAATTAAAAAGAAAATCAAAATTTTATGAATTTTAAATTTAAAAAATTAAAAAATTTCATAGGGACTATTTGTGGCAGGTGTGTGAAATATTTTGTGATATATACATATGCCACGTTAGCAAATTAACAGAGTTTTTAACGGAACCTAACAGCAAGGACCATTGGTGCTCGCACATACCAACCTTTAGAACCACGAGTGACACAAAAAAACATTAAGGATGCAATCTAATAGTTTTGCAAACCTTAAGGACGTTTTGTGATATTTAGTCATAAAATAATAATAATACTAAAATCTCTCCACTATGCTTTCTTTTACTTTTTTGTTTTTGTTTCGATCCATCGAACTTTTTACTAATTCTTTCATTTTGTAGTTTCATTTCATCTATCTTCACCATTAAAATTTTTTAATTTTGTAATTTCTCATCACACTTTTTCATGATTGTTTTTCTTTTTGTTTCTTTACAATGTTGTTCAATGTCACTCCAATGATCTCCCTTTTCTCCTTACTTTAGCTCTTCTAATGAACTTATTCGTTCACCAAAACACAATATATATATATATATATTTTATAGTTGAAACCATTGTTTTTCAACCATATTCATCAGAGTTGACAAGATTAATAAACATATAGATTGCATATATTAGCAAAGTCAAACGATGTTAAAAATCCATTTCTCATTCCAGAAACAACACTAGAGCTTGATGAATGCAACAAATCATCAATCATTAACCAAAAGTAATTGTTCACAACATTCTTCTTTCTTTATCAGCATGGATACTTAGTACTCAAAGAATCAGTAGTCCCAACAACCATAAAATACTCCAGGAAAATATCCATTGTAACCTCAGGCTGCCTACGTACCCATACTGAGGGATCAAGCCACACGGAGTTCTCAGAGTTGAAATTCTCTCTGCCTAAGCATACCTCTAATCCTGATCTGTCAACTCCATTAATACTATCAATTCCCTCCTCGCAGGCCGGGACGCAATCCTCGCAGGCCTCGGAGATACCGCTTCTATCCGGGCCACAACTTATAACTAACTATCTATCCTTGCAGGCTGAGCCGCAATCCTTGCAAGCCTCAGAGATACTGCTTCTATCCGGGCTGCAACCTATAACTAACTATGTATCCTTGCAGGCCGAGCCGCAATCCTTGCAGGCCTAAGAGATATTGCTTCTATCCGGCCTGCAACCTATAAATGACTATCTATTTAACCTGTAACATGTTTTAGAGAACTCCTTTTCGGTCAGGACTCGTTACTATAAACCTAGCCATAGAGTTGTCATTTCTGGGGTGTCCGGGACTCCGTTTTACGATCCTGAACTTACCTAGATCACCATATCCGAAAATGAATACGATCCAATGGCTCAAAAGTATCGAACCCGGAAATCGCACAATAGGCCAGATCCGTTCGGGGTTCAAACGTTGACCAAATTGAAATCCGAGAGTACCTACGCGCTCGTGAGGACCAAGGGATCATTTTAGGACTGAGTGTGGTCCCCACCAGCTGCCCACGTGTCACCACACGCACTGGCAACGCGTGGGTGGCTTGATCAATTTCGATGACCGGAAAACTTCCAAATTGTAAGCCCAGTTTCATATCTAAGGTTCATAACCTGATTTGGAGCCACTTTTGTTCTTGGACTTATCCCAAAAACTGCCCGGAAGTGGCTGAAATTGCGATCCCCAAACTGACCAAACCCTAACTCGAAAATTGAACTATCTATGCTTCGAATTGAGGGAAACCTACCCAACCACCAGCTAGAGCTCGAGTAGGTGAGAAACCATACCTGGATCGACGGATTTCGTTGTTGAAGCTGCCAGAAACAGCGTATGAAAGTTTGAGGGAAATCCGGTCTTTCCCGTCTCGTGGAGGCGACTTGGCGGCCTGGCATGGTGGGGCTTCAGCCTACACGAGTTCGCCAGCTGACGCTGGTCATTTCCCGATCGGTCCCACGACCTGGCGTGACTGGAGCTAGTTGGAAACCGGCCAAACGTGGCCGGCTTGTGTCGCGCAAGAGGAGCTGTCGAGAGAGAGAAGAGAGAGAGAGAGTGTGCCGCACGGAGGAGAGAGGGGTTTTTAAAAAATCTGATATGACAAATTACCATTATGCCCCTCAACGTATTCTGATCGTAGTTTCTTCGTTATAACTTCGATTCGAGCCCACTACGTGTCTACAAACTCGTACCGACATGCTCTATGCAACGGTACAATCAAAATTCCCAAATTCCTTCCCTGTCAAAAAGTCAACTTATATTATGGGGGTATTATAGTCATTTCCTTGAATAAAATAATAATTAAGAATTAATTAAGGATCGGGTTGTTACAATTGTGTTTATCTATTTTGTTGCTAGCAATTAGATGCCTTAATAATTTTCAATTTTTCGGATTTTTTGCAAGGATGATCTATGAATGAAGACTTGGAAGATAGACGGTTTGGATTATTCGAGGGATCCCTTAATAGAAGGGGAATATATATATATATATATATATATAAATTAAACAATAGGTGCTTCAGTTCTCCTTGTGAGCATGAAAAATAAATAGAAAATAAAATTACATATGGATATAATACATGGGAGTTTCACTAAAACACCCAAAATGGGGGCTGAAATTATAAAAAAAACCCAACACCCAAAACACTTTATAAACACACCCAAAACCCATCATTACACACATTCAAAACCCATTTATAAACACACCCAAAAAATATACAATTATTGATTTTGGGGTTGATTTTGGGTGTGTTTCTATGTTTAAATAGTGCTTGAGTTTTTTTTATAAATATATGTCTAGGATTGGGTTTATTTATAAATTTGTAATAATACATTCGTTTTTTGACATGCATCTGGGTTTTGGGTTTAGGTAAATTTCATGCATCATTCATCATGCATTTAAATAGGAGTTAATGTGGTATTGAAGGGGCCTCCTCTAGTTTGCTTGAAAATAAAAATTTGGCTTAGAAAATCTGTTAGGATATGTCTAGTCATCCTTCACAGAACAGGTTGTGGTTGTGTCATAGTAATCTGTTTTCTGGGATTTAATGGCCGCTCTAAAATTCATTTAGAATGCGGTCATTTCTCATTCCCTTAAACCAATTAGTCCTTGATACGTTCATGCTTCCACAATTGCAGGCATGTCAATATCTCCATATAACAAAACTTGAAAGTGAAAACAATTTCAAATAGATTTCAGTTTTTTTAGTTTTAGTTTTCACTTTTGTTACTCCTCCCTCCCATCCTCCTTTCATCTTCCCTCTCAATTCCATCTCCACTCTCATTCTCCCTTCCATTCTCCCTCTTTTTCCTCTATACTCTAGAACAAAACCTAAAAACTAAAAACTCAAATTGAAATAGTTATCAAATGGGCCCCTTGGTTTCCTTCTTGGACCAAGAAATGCAATTTCATTTCTGGGTGCTCGTTTAGGGAGAGCAGTGGGTTGCACTGTTCTTCATGTGTTCTTAAACAAAACAATTTTTGAAAATCCAGCATCATGATCTATATAGAACGTCAAATCTTATAGATTAGATATCTACTTAGGCTGAGCTAAACAATTTGATACCTTAATTGTTTACAATTAGTGAGTGAACATTGTAATTACCTACAAATATGGATGAGCCAACATGTTGGAGCATTGGATATAATGTGTAGTTTGATTAATTTCGTATGAAAGTGGAAATGAGGCAGTGGAATTTGTTGTTAGACGAGAGAGATTACTTACCCAGAGCCAGGAATGTTAATGGCAAAGGGGAATTCAACCCAACTGGTTTTTGTTTATTCAATGCATTGGAATTGGGGGGTGGATTAATATTGTTAGTAAATGGCCAGTCGGGATCAACTTTGAGCCCATGGCCGTGGCAGTAGTTAATGAAATTGTTGTTGATTTGTTTTTCCACTTTATATAGTCCATGGCATGACCAGTAGCATTTCGATGACAAAGTGACGAAGATTATGTGGCGGGATGAATTGATAAGCCTTTTGATAATACAAGAGTTATAACAAGATTGCAAGAATGCAAAACAAACACTATTGTAACCGAAAAAAAGAAAATAAAAAGAGCAACACTAGAATATATAGATATCATGAAGATACATGAAACCCAACAAGAAAGAATTCGTGAAAAATAGCATCCTCACAAGCTCTCTGACACGAGAAATACAAGAAATTAGATAGTTGTAGGACCTAGCAAGCATAAAGAGATCAATCCATATACCTCAAATCTCAAATGGTTTAATTAATTTGATGGGGGTGGGGAGAGGAATGAAATGGTCGGAATTGTTGATGGAATAGGGGGGATAGAAGGGATTGTTGTTGGGATTTGGAGAGAGGGCAGTGGATTGGCTGGCAATGGAGTTAGTGTTGTGGGCAACGTAGGCAATGCGGAAGGTTTTGGCAAAGAAGGCATTTGAGAGCTTGGCAATGGAGGCAGAGTAGTTGGAAGAGTAGGCAATGGGGTAGAGGGCAATGGTGGCAACGTGGCCAGATTTGGTAGAGTTGGAGCAGTTGGAAGGGTAGGCAATGGTGTTGAGGGCAATGGAGGCAATGTGGCCTTGGGCAGAGTTGGGGCAGTTGGAAATGTAGGCAAGGTGTTTGAGGGCTTGGGAAGTGTTGGTATTGAAGGCAATGGAGGCAGTGTTTGTTTTGGCAGAGATGGGATTGTAGGGAATGCCAATGCTGGAGGTGGAGCTGCTGCCGGTGTGTCCAAAAGGTGGCGAGCTGCTTCGGTCATATGGGTGTTTGAGAGTGACAAAATCACCACCAAAGACAGAATGAAGAAAAGCTTGGGAAAAGCCATGGCTGAGTTTAAGAAGCTGCCAGTTGTATTGTAGGCAAATCTCTTAATTAAAATGTTGTTTCTTGTTGTGCAGAGTAGAAAGCCTCCATTGGGTTTTTATAGAGAATTTAAAACCAATAGGTAGGAAGCATCTACATGAGTTTGATGAGTTGTGGTTGTAGGAAGTGGGAAAAAAAGGAAAAAAGCAATAGGTAGTTCACCTCCCAACTTTGATATACAATTGGTTTCAAATTCAAAGCCAACCTAGCTCAAAAGAAAGGCTTATTAAACTCGCGTAAGCCACAACAAATCTCATTAGTCATATGTATGCCAATTGTGGCTGCGGAAGTAACCAAATTTTGAAGCAGAAAAAGTATCATGGGACCCACATAATGGTTCTGCCGTTGGATCCTTTACATGGCTTGGAAAGTCCAGATGATTGCTTCAGCTGCAAGCATCCCTTACCCCAGGATATTAATCCTCAATTTGGGTGGACATTAGGTGCCCTTGAAATTGTACTCCTACTGAACAATACATTTTGATTGATATGCTCTGCGTTTAGAGATGGCTTCACGCCAGAGAATTTACACTTGTACTTGTATTGGTAAATCTTTTGAATGATGAATATTTAAAAAGCTTAACAACTTATGGGTCAAGTATAATATTAATTAATTGTACGTATGTTCATTGGTATTGAATAAAAATAATATATATTCAAATATTATATAGTGACCTAACTTTTAAGTTTTAAAGAGGTCATTTTTTTTTCTTCTTAAAATAGTATAGCCGCACGGCTATGCACGTTAAAAAATAGTATAGCCGGCCGGCTATACTTATTTTGACATGTGGGCATCTAATAGCAACCTCTTTTTTAAGTGTATAAATAGTATAGCCACACGACGATACACGGTTTTTTTCTTCTTCTAAAAATAGTATTGCCGCACGACGATACAATTTTTTCTCTCTTTATAAATAGTATAGCCGGTCGGCTATACTAGCTTTTTTGATTTTTTTTAAAAAATAGTGTAGCCGGCCGGCTATACGGATGTTGACACGAGACACCTAATCGCAAGGGGGTCCTTTGTTTTACGTGTATAAAAGTATAGCCGCGTGGTTATACGCGGTTCTTCTTCTTTTTATTTATTTTTTATTTCTTTCTTTTTTCTAAAAATAGTTTGACCCCTGGATAGTAATCAGCCCATCCGAATGGATAACCCTAGCCTTCTTCTTCCGTGATTTATCGTCCTTGTTCTGAAAACCAAAATCGAACCGCACCAATCTGTTTGTTCGGGGAGCTAACTGTGGTCGGTTGACATGAGTGGCGGTTTGATGTAATTTCGAGATTTGTTATACTGATAGCGCCAATTTAGTGGGCGATTGCCTCTCAGTATGTTTAACCGAACAGAGTCCACTCCTATAACAGACAGTTGCAAAGCACCAAATGGATAGGCAAGAACAACTCTTGATGATATTCTTTTCGTAAGCTACCTCATCCCTTATCATGAGATGAGTTGTTTGAGCTGAGATGCTTTTCGCATTATTTTGTGAATGTATATGCCTATTGCAAACAACATCGACCAAATCTACGCAGTTCAATTAATTTTGGGTTTCGGGCAAGTTTTTCTCTTTGGATCTTCCATAATTATATAAACTTTTGTTGGTAAAAGGTCACGACTTAAATAATTAGCCTTTAACTAATTTTTGCGTCTTTCCTTCTAGTTGATTAATTAGGCTTTTTATAATTTATTATAATTATATGTATCTTGACAATTATTATAATTTATTAGTTTGTTTTGCATTATCCTCTTTATTTTAGAGTTTAAGGTTCAGGTTCAGGTCCCAAAAAAAAAAAAAAAAAAAAAACAAAAGAAAAAGAAAAAAAAAAAGCAGTAAGCATTTGGATAGTATTATGATATTAATAACAAGAATTAGAACAACAAATACTGTCATAAGTAATGAAAAGATAAGCACTCTGACATCCTCACAAGTACAGCAAAGAATTCATATAAAATAATCCTCACAAGCTCTATCTGACACAAGCTTACTGTATACATAATCTAATGAGCTACAATGAAACACAAGAACCATATCGTATGTTCTGGGACTTCTGAAGACTCTCTCCTGCATATCCAGGAATTTAGATCTTGATACATAGTAATAATAGTACACGTGGGGTACCAGAGATTGATATGTATATCTCAAGTGGCTCATTTTGATGGGGGTGGGGGAGAAGAAGGGAATTGTTGGAATTGTCGAAGGAATATTAATGGTGGGGATTGGAGGGAATGTTGTTGGGAATGTGGGCAATTGTGGGTTGGCTGGCAATGGAGGTAATGCTGTGGGCAAGGTAGGCAATGTGGGCTTTGGCAGAGTTGGGGCAGTGGGAAGTGTAGGCAAGGAGGGGTTCGAGGGCAGTGTTGGTAGCGAGGGCAATGGGGGCAGTGTGGGGTTTGGCAGAGATGGGATTGTAGGGATTGCCAGTGCTGGGGGTGGAGCTGCTGCTGGTGTGTCCAAAAGGTGGCGAGCTGCTTGGCTCATTTGGGTGCTCGAGACCAATACCACCACGAAAGAGAAAATGAAGCAAAGCTTGGGAAAAGCCATGGTTGAAGTTGAGAGGAGAGTAAAGCTTGAAGGAGGTGGTAAGCAAATCTAATAATTCAAATGTTGTTTCTTGTTGTGAAGAGGAGAGTGTCTCCATTGGCTTTATATAAACAGAAACAATGAGTTTGATGAGTTGTGGTTGGATGAAGTGGGAAAAAGCATTAGTTAGTTTACCTCCCTAACTTATAATTAATTAATTGGTTGCAAATAAGTTAACCAACTTACAAGAAAGGCTTTTCAAACTCACGCAAGCCACGAGTCATCTATATGCCAAATTAAGAGCAAAAAAACATATCATGGGGCCCGTTTCAATTTGGGTTGAAAAAACTCTGGAAAAAATATGTATAAAAGCACATGCAACATATATTGGTCATGTTACTGAGTGAAATAAATTTGAATTTGAATTTTGTATATATATTTTCTACATTGGAGTAAAAATTGTATTGTTATGGTATTGAATTCGAAAGACCATGCTCAAGTATGGGTTGATTGGACTCAACATTGGTTCATTTCATTTGACTTTGCTATATACATAGAAATTCTCCTATACGGACGTCTAGACGTTATTATCGCGCCATGTATTTTTTTACTACTCCTCCCTCATTTCCTTCCTGTTTACAATAGCGTCCACACGATAATAATATGCGGACGTCCGAATGAAAGAATAACATCATAGGCTCTCAGTCCCACAAGAAGAGCTCGAAATCAGCTTCTAATCCAAATTTCATAAGATTTTGCAAGGCATGAATTGAAATTCCAAAACATCATAAAAAAGGGTTTGAATAATCCAAAAAGAAAGGCATTGCATGTCATCATTTAAGCAGCAGATCTGTGATGCGCTAGGCATCCAAAATAACCAGGCAAAACAAATTAAAACAGCTAAAAAAGAAACATCTTACGGAAGCTTCAGAATGTCAACTCCAGTACTTGAGGTGCTAAGCTGCATTGACATTCCCCCTAAGGAACACATGGGTGAGAACTGACTTTGACTGCAATGACCCCTTAAGGAGTTTCACACCCTAAGAAAGCAAAACAAAAAAAACATTGTTAATGTGAACAAAAGCTAGATTACAACTTAGAGAATATATCTCAAGCTAGAACCAAATAGAATTGAAAATTCAGATTATTTAACCAAATTATAAAATAAAAAAAAAAGTTGAATTGGAACAAGACTCAAACCATGGTTCAGGACTCAAAACATGTCCATCAAATGAAAACAGGGATGGAAAGAAAACCCAATCCTAGGTTTTATTTTAGGGCTAGAAAGGGAAAACTATCTGATCAATACTATTGTTTGGAGTACTTATCGTTATGTGTTACCACTTTGAAGATGCAATTCCTATTTTGTATTTTGTCTTTCCAATCTCAAGTTCGAATCCCCCTCCCTATGTCGATCAAGAAAAAAATATTGGTATCCACGAAAGCAAAGGGTCCAAAGAAGGGTTGGAGATGCAAGTGGGCCAGGCAGACCATGGATCGAGCACACAGTTAATAAAAAAATTTGCCGACTTACCTCATTCATGCCTAGATCAACAACCTTCTCCTCAAGGACCCCGACATCCTTAACACTGAACCTGTTGAGCAGGCTGATACCAGAAATAGTAGACATAGGCTTCACTTCCAGATCATCCATTATCATGTATGTAACAAGGCCTTTCACATACCCTACCTCACTGGAATAAGTAGTTTGCACCGCAGCAGTCGGTGAAGCAACATAAGTAGCGGCGGTGGAGATGGAGTAATTGCAGTTAGGACATTTGGCCTTAGGGTCTTCAGCCACATAACCATGGTTTCTACTATTCGAACACATATAGATCATCTTTCTAGCATCGGATTTGACATCGGTTAACAAACCAAGGATGTTAGGTCCAGCAGCAACAGGTTCTTTTGGTTTCAGGAGGGCGTCTTTTTTAAGATTGGGTTGCAAATATTCATCGTTGAGAGTTTCAACGCTCTCATAAAGTTTGCCTAAGCTACCAACCATGGCTTCCTTAGAGAGCAGCCTAATGATAGTGCCAGCGGGAAGAGACAGGAGAGTGAAGAGAAAGTCCACAAAGTCCTTACCCGCTTCAGCAAACAGGACTTTATTGCGAGTTGTGTCAACGAGGAGCTTCAAACTAACAGTGCCAGACCTAGAGGTTGCCATCGAAAAAATGAGAAGGTAAGTGTCAACTTGGAGGTTGTATATAATATATGTTTGGTTCCATGGGAGTCCAGCCAATGATGGAGCAATTACTAATCCTTAGAGTTCTCTAGAGTATTAATAGTGGTACATGAAGGTTGAAATGACTCTTCATATTCCAATGCAAAGCATTGAATTTGGTGGCCGCTGCATATCCATATATTTAAATGTGTTTAGTATGGAATTATGAAGCCCTCTTACTAACGTATGTAATGCTATAATTGGTGCATTGTATGTGGTGATTGCCCTCGTACTTTTCTTTCTTTCTTCCAAGGATTGCCCTCTTACTGACGTATGTATAAAAAGGAAAGGTTTGGTAGATAGATTCTCAAATGTTTCAAATTGGGTTAACAAAAGCTATTTGGAACTTGTCGATCTCAATATGTGAATGAGTTTTAAAATGAATGAAGTTGAGATTCCACTTCAAAAGTAGTTCAACTCCTTATAGGTCCCGTTTGGTTCACGGAACGAATTTGAGGGGAAATCATTTCCCAATGGATAGGAAATAGAAGATTCTTTTCTCACGTTTGGTAATACTAGGAAAGTAACTGAGAGATATCACTTTATTTCCTATGTTTGTTTTGAGTAGGAATGAAAAACAAAGTTTGTATAAATTTTCAATTATACTCATATTAAATCAAATAAAAAAAGAATGCATTTAATGATATATTGTAATTCTAAATTGTTAATGGGGATAAAATGGTCTTGAAAAATGTTTATTTAATATTGGCTCATTTTCCCAAACTTTCCCATGAGGAGGGAAAACAAAACTCAAGTTGAGATGATGGTTTCACTTTCCCCCTTACTTTCCCATGGGACAGACAACGATTTCCTATGTCTGGACTTACCAAACATGGGAAAGCGATTGATTTCTCATCCCCAAGTCTCATTTCCCATGAACCAAACATGGTTCTTCAAAGGTTTGTTAAATTTTTGATGCGAGACATTTATTTACATCATTACACGCATTGGCATGTGTGGCGAAATTTCAAGCCTAACACATGGATAATGCATATATTGAGTGGCGTTGAGCATGTGATTGTTGGGCTTCATGTGTGGGCAATACTGAATTTAATACCATGAAGGAAATTGAGGGTCCACCCTAAAATTAATTGTCAATGGGAAAGTAGCCTAATTCCTTATAAGCCATTCAAAGGTTTGTTAACTAACCAATGCGAGACATTTCTTCACATCCACACATTTTGAATATATATTCTAGTTGGAGTAGAAATTGTTTTGATTAAGGTGTTAAATTAGAAAGACCATCCTCAAGTATGGGTTGATTCGACTCAACATTGGTTCCTTTTATGTGGCTTTGCTATATGCATGCACTCTCCGGCTCGCAGTAGAAGAGCTCGCAGCCTGCTTATAATCCTTACAATTTCATAAGATTTTTGCAAGGCGAGAACATAATTTGAAAATCCAAAACATCATAAATAAAAAAATTGGGGGCAAATAATCTGAAAAGAACAACATTGCATCTCATTTAAGCAGTAGATCTTTGAAGACTTCCAAAATAACCAGGTAATAACAGACTAAACCAGCTCAAAAAAGAAACATCTTAGAGAAGCTTCAGAATGTCAATTCCAGAGGTGCTAAGTTGAGGTGCTCATGCTGCATTGATATTCTACCTAAGGAACACATGGGTGAGAACTGACTTTGTCTGCAATGATGCCTTTAGTAGTTTCACACCCTAAAAATAAAGCAAAACAAAAATGATTGTTAATCTGAATAAAATGACAGTAGAGTTGTGTCAAATTAGCTAGGTTACAACTTAGAGAATTTGTCTCTGGAATAATCCAGCTATAACCAAATAGAATTGAAAGTTCAGATTTATTTAAGCAAACTCAAGAAAATGATGAATTGATTCACGACTCAAAACCATAGAAAAATTTGTGTCTTTAAGCAAACTCAGATTTATTTCCCTACTGTTTCCCTCCTTGATTTATGTATCACAAACAAAGAAATTGAAAATTTTCAAAGGGCATCAGATGAAAACAATTATAGAACACGTATATACAATTAACTATGTATAAATAGTCCCCAAGGGTACAACTTAGAAAGGGAAAACTATCAGATCAAACCCTTCTTTGGAAAACATATCAAAGATCGTTATGTGTTACCAACTTACCACTTATACAGTGGCGGATCCAGGATTTTTACTCTATAGGGTCAACGTGTAAAAGTTCCTATATTTTAACTCCAAAAATTAAAATGGTTACACTTGCATTCATAACTTATGGTAAAACACAAACCCCCTTTCATCCATGTCATTAAACATATTCATTTTATCTGTTATAAATTTGAACCTAGTTTGGGTTTAACACACAAGTTTACTGACATGGAAAATCATGATGTATGAGTATTGCATGTCAAACAGCAACCAATATAGCCTTCATAGGCAAAAATGCAGGTCAAATAGCATGTCCACAGCCATGTCCACTTTGATCATAATGATAGACAAAGCGGCAGGCCAAGCGTTTAAAAAACAAAAAGGAAGCCAGCGCACGCAGCTGGGCTTAAAGCAACTGGTTGGGGCATTTCGTCGAGCATACGGTGGGCACCCCAGGGTCGCCCACCAACCTCTCATGTCATGGTGTCATCAGCTCTTTCCTAAAATAGAACATGTCTCATGTTCGAATCCCCCTCCCATGTCAATCAAGACAATTCATGAAGGAAAACAATCGAAAAGGAGTGCATAACCGATATAGGCACAGATAAGATAGAGCACACCGTTAATAAAGAAATTGGTCTGACGTACCTCATCCATTCCTAGATCAACCACCTTCTCTTCAAGGACACCAACATCCTTAACACTGAACCGGCTGAGCAAAGTGATACAAGAAATAGTAGACAAAGGCTTCACTTCGAGATCATCCATTATCATGTATGTAACAAGGCCCTTCACATACCCTACCTTGCCAGCACCGGAATAAGTAGCCTGTACCTCACTAGTCGGTGAAGCAACATAAGTAGCGGCGGTCTTCATGGAGTACTTGCACCCTGGACATATGGCTTTAGGGTTGTCAGCCACATGAGAGTTACGGTAGTAGCAACTACTATTCGAACAATGGTAGATCGTGTTTCGAGCATCAGATTTGACATCGGTTAACAAACCAAGGAGGTTAGGTCCAGCAGCAACAGGTTCTTTTGGTTTCAGGAGGGTGTCTTTGTTAAGATTGGGCTGCAAATATTCATCGTTGAGAGTTTCAACGCTCTCATAAAGTTTGCCTAAGCTACCAACCATGGCATCCTTAGAGAGCAGCCTGATGATAGTACCAGCCGGAAGAGACAGGAGAGTGAAGAGAAAGTCCACAAAGTCCTTACCCGCTTCAGCAAACAGGACTTTATTGCGCGTTGTGTCAATGAGGAGCTTCAAACTAACAGTGCCAGGGTTAGAGGCTGCCATCGGAAAATGAGGAGGAGGCTGCCAGAGTTAGGGCATCTTCATCTCCAATGAAGATTCTAATTGGACAAGTTCTCACTAATGGGCCGGATTATATGGACCGGACCGGTACTATATTGTGCTTGTGGCATATGTATTAAAATAAAGGAAATAATTTTTTGGGGTCGGTCATTTATTTTCTTTGTATATTTTGGTAAGAAATTAACTTGGGAATGCAACTCACTATATGGTGTGGAAAATTAGAGCATTCATAACAGGTTCTCTAAATTACCTCCTTAGACAAATTTTAGGGAGGAATTAAAAGAGTTTTTTTTATTTAAACCCTGCACTTCTCTTTGTTCACCCCAACTTCTAATTCAAATTTTCACAATTTCTAAGAAAACCCTACTATCTTCCCAAACTAACCTTAAATACACACCTAGCAGAAAATAAAAAATAAAAATAAAAAACTCATCAAGCTCACACCCAACACCCCACTATCAAATGAACCAGCAAACTCTTTTCAATTTTCAATGCGATCTCAATATGGACTATACCAATCAAATGCTTGGAGGTTGGAATGATTATGTCTAATCAAATGTTTATAGATTTGGACCGCAACACACACCAACATTCATCATTCTTGGATCATAGAACATGGTAAAGACTTTGAATCTCTACCAACAACATGTTTACTGTGGATTTTCAGATCAATTAAAGGAAACGAACAAGTAATTTTTACATGATCATTCGATTGCTGGTAGGATAGCCAGGCACAACACAAGCACGAGATGGATTGTGCTAAGAAAAAAGAGCCACGACTATTATTTTTTAAGGAAATAACATAGCGGGGGGCTCTGTTTTTGGTAACAAAGAGTTGTTGGCTATCCTTATATGGCTCTAAATTTAACCGCAACAGAAATTACTTGCTTAATTTGAAGAAGAGTGGTGGGCTGTGTGGGGTGTGTATGATGTATTAGGGTTAAGTATTAAGTTGGATGACATTTTTTATCTTTTCACACAATAATAAACCTTAAGAGCTTAATGATTTAAGTATTGGGGTGAACAAAGAAAAGTGTGAGCTTAATGATTAACTTCAACCATACTCCCTATCCACATCCTAAAATAGGGAGATCTCTAGGAGCTCCTAAATTTGAGAAGAGAGAAAGGACTTCTCGTGGCTTCCTATAATATAATGTTGGACCAATCATATTGATTTAAAAAATCTTTATAATATTTATGTCACCTTGAACTATGGAGTATGTATGATTGAAGTTCAAATTTTATAGAGAGCTCCTAAAATAGCTTTTGTGTATTTTTAGCTAAATTTTAACTAAAAAAAATAGAAAGCATGATTTGTAGATGCTAGAAGCTAAAGCTAAATAAAGGGTTGGCAATGGGTCGTGTCATGTCAGGATAATAAACTTGTCAAGAATGATCAACCCAAACCCGACCCATTTAATAAATGCGTTGTGTCGGGTTCGAGTTGTCTTAAACATGTTATTAAAAAAGTTATTTGGTTAATAACTTGTTCAATAAAAAGTGGTAGCAACTAATAAAGAAACATCGATATTTACAAAGAACCATAAACTTCGATGACCCTTGATTAAATTTCATAACAATTCAAAAAATTAAATAAATAAAAACAAACATAGAAACTAGTTGTCCACAGTAGGAGACTTTAGTTTGGCCTTTTGGACATCATCTCTTGGGTTTTCACGCGTTGCTTATTGGGGGCTCATCACTTGAGCTTCCAAATATCACTCTTTTAGCAAGAGGGAAACTTGTTTTGTGATCTCATTGCTTGCATTTACCTTGTTTCTCAAAGGCCTTCAGCTGCTCTTGCAAGTCTCTAGAGTAAACAGCTACCATCTCTGATAGCTATTTGTTCTCCTCCTGTAACATTTCAAGTTTGCATCGCATCTCCTTCAACATCTTTGCCCTCCCTCTTTTCAATTTTCAGATGACACTCTGACAATCTTCAACCAAATGTCATTGTACCACCAATTAAGCTTTTAGCACTTTCACTTCATGAGATTTCACCATAAGGCGATGACCCACACTTGCGATTGATGCTGCACTTTGCACACTCAATGCCATGAAATCACTCACTAGCCGGTTATCATCCCTTGTTCATAGAACACAAACATCCCTTTGAGTCATTAAACTCCTCGCAACTCCAATGCCAATATCGTTGTCTACGAGTATTGAACCTTTTACTATAACGAGCCCTCGTGAGGAAGCAAAGTAGTGCATCCACACTGGTGCAGCTCCTTTCCCCCATGTCTAAGTTGGCGAAGCTAGGTTTAGATCGAGAGAAATGGGAAGGAATAAAATTGGCGGAGCTTGGCTTATTTATTTATTTATTTATTATAATTATATATATATTTTTATGAGTTGTGATTTTGTGTTTTCCTCTCGTTTCCTTTTATAGACGAACCCTAGCCACTGGCATTCCACCCGTCCACAAATAATTTATCGGGACATGATATTTCTAAATGAACGTGTTCAGCAAAGTCGTCAGGACTTTTCATGATGCCCATAATTTCTGCTTAGGCCATCCCCAATGGGAGCCTTAAACTGGGCTCTACCTCCTTGGGGCTCATAACTATAGAGCCCAAGTGCAAAAAGGCATCCCCAATGGGAGAATTTTTGGGCTATATATCATGAAACTGACTGGAGATAATCCTAAATTTGTGGACTTGTATAGAGCCTTAGAGCCCCACATTTTGAAAAATTGAACCTGCAAAAGCATGAAAAACCAGCGGACCCTACACACTGAAAAATATTAAAAATTACTTTTTCTATTGCAACGTCCTTTTTTCCCCTTATGTTTACTGTTTCATTCTTCTTCTTTTTATCCCCCTCTTTGCTTTCATTTTTTTTTTTCTTTCATGGACACTTCACTTCAATTGTTTCTATGTTTACTAGATTGCTACTTTTTTCTTTTTTTTTTTTTTTTTTTTTTTAAGTACAAATTTGAAACATTAGGACTTTATATTTTATTGTGTTTACTTTCAAATTTTTTCTTTTTAATATTTTCCAAATTAAAATTTTTTTGGGTAGAAATGCTTGTAAAAAAAAAACTAATATAACATAAACATACATTAAAACAAAATAAATTAACAACAAAAAAAATTAATGCGTAGAATAAATTACATCATTAAAAAAATACTTATAGAGCCCCGGATATAGAGCACCCCATTGTGAGAAAGATACCTTTAGAGCCCGTAATATTCCATCAGAGCTCTAAATGGGGCTCTATCCACCATATTTAGAGCCTCAACCATTGGGGATGGCCTTAGGGATTTGCAGGGACCTTACTATCACCCAGAATTTCTGAAACAATTATCAATCATGTTTCGTTATTACGTAAAAAACAAATTCATAACATCGGGCAGACACAAAGAAAAAAGAAAAAGAGAGAGAAGGAAAAGAAAGAAAAAAGAAAGAGAGGAGAGAGAGAGAGAGAAAAAAAAAAAAAAAAAAGAAAAGAAAGAAAGAAAGAAAGAGAGTGAGGAGAGAGAGGAGAGAAAGAAAAAAGAAAAAAAGAGAGAAGGAAAGAGAAATAAAAGAAAGAAAAAAGAAAGAGAGAAACAAAAGAAAACTGGCGAAGAGAAAGAAAAAAGAAAGACAGAGAGAAGAGAAGAGAAAAGAGAAAGAAAAAGAAAGAGAGAGAGGAGAGGGAAGAGGGAAAGAAAAAAAAGAAAAAAAAAGGGATAGAGAAGAGAGAAGAGAAAGAGAAGAATTTTTTTTAATAAGTGGTGGGAAGGGATTGACCCAAAATGACCTGAATTTTAGTCGTGCAGGTTGAATTCGCTAATTTCTCGTGCAGGTTTCGAGTTGTGTCCAAAATTGCCACCCTTGAATCTTGGTTCCCTTTTACCTTCTATTCTTATTTGGTTATCGTCTTGAAGCTCTCTCAAGTCTCAAGCTCGGATATCTCATTGGGATGGCAATGTGGCTATCCCTATCCCCGCCTTCATACTCATATTATTCAAAATGGAGATTCCCCATCCCCTCATTCGTTAGGAGAACAAATTCCCCGCCTTGCCCCATTACAAAAATACAAATAAAACATTAATTTATGAACGGGAAAAAAAAGTTAGAAACTAAATGTACAACACAAAACTTTTAGTTTAGACTTACATTTCTTTAAATGTATTATTTAATTCAATATATAATATTATATGTGGAACATAAAATTTGGTGAGAGTCTTCGGAAGAGAGACTTAACAATATATTCACATGAAAAATAAATAATATATATTCTAAATAGGGTGGGCCCACGTAAATTTTCCTAAAATCCGTCCTCATATCCGATTTCTATCTTTCATACCCGACCTATTAGAGTTAAAGGCCCACGAAGAGCCTAATCTAGAGGAAAAATTGTCATTCCTCTGCTCTGCAATCTCTTGCTCAAGGTAATTGTTTGTACCAAAATTGGAAATTTGTCTTGGATAAACTAAGGGATTTTGGTCATTGCACAGTACCAATGTATGGCTCATTTTTGCTTAAATTATGGCTGGTTCATGAACTAATTCCAGCCAATCCGAGCTGATTGAAGAAAGAAGTTCCTAGCCATAATGAAGAATTGAGTGGTTGCTTTAAAAAAAATATATATTAAAGAGCAATGATGAAGATGTTGGAAAGGGCGGCACACTAGCAAACAAAGGATAACAAAATGGAATGGAAAGGAAACATAAAAGCATGATAGTGCAGTGTTGTAAAATGAACGAGATATGCGAGAATATTGAGTTGCACATAAAGTAAATGAGACACAATATTTAACGAGATTCGGGCATGCTTACGTCCTCGAAAGTAGCAGCATTTACTTTTCACTATGTAAAATAATAGGGCTACATCTTTAGTGTTTACAATCTCACTGGCTCATTGATTTTTCTCTCTGCTCTCTCCTCTCACTCTTCATCTTTCTTCCTTCTCTGCTGGGGCTTTCTTTCTTTCTCACTTGCTGTGCTCTCATCCTTTTTTTGGAGAGATGTCTTTTCTACTGATGGAGGTGTCTATTTATAGGCCAAAATATTGGTTGTTCACTCACAAACATTTGGCTTCACTCCAATGTTTGGCAGACAAGCATCATTATTATTCTTCAATCAATTAGGTAGTGGGTTCTACCATTTTGGGCTCCATTATTGACTTTACAAAACTCCCCCTTGGAGACCACAAATGATATATCGGTTGCCTCATTAAAATCTTGCTTGAAGAAAACCCAGTGAGGTAGAAAACTAATGGAAAGAAGAAGAGTACAACAATCAATATAAGCATACTTCTGGATGCTCCCCCTGATGAATATCTCCTCTTGATATCTTCATGAATATCTTTCTAGAGGGAAGATCTTTCGGACTGAGTCAGGGATGTAGCCATCAACAATTCATGTAGTTGAGTAAGTAAATATATTTCCAGTGAGCTATCTCTATGTAAATCATAGAAATTTCCAGAGTCCGTGTATCCAACAAAACTTGGGCTATTTGTAAGTTCACTTGAAAAGAATATGTTCGTATATGGTGTTATGCGGAGATAGCATCAAATATGCTTCACATCATCCCAAAGTGGTGGTGATGGAGCTGAGCTTTATTTGGAAAATACAATGTCCGGTCCAGTATACTTCCGGAAAATCATTTAATGCCCAACGAATAATCCACATAAAAATGCTTAGTATAAGCAAGAATCTCGTTGGCATAATGCTCGACCTTCAGGCAGAGACAAATATTTCTTTAACCCTTCAGGAGTTTTAACCATGCATTAACTCTTCAGGAGTTCTGATCAATTATCAACTCTTTAGGAGTTGTAATGTGTTGCAACCATATCATAATTAATGTACTCACTGAGGTAATTTATACATATTAGTATTGAATACAAAATTTGTGCTTCAGGCACATATCCTTCAGACACTTGCTTCATGCAATTTTACTCCTTCAGGGATTTTATTTAAGGAATTACACTTCATGACACATTATATAGCTTTATATCTAGCTATTTGTTATGCTTGTACATCTTTAGGAAATCGCTTCTAGTGATATGCTCGCTTCCTAGCATATAGTCGTCCTTACAGCTCCCCGTCATCGCCAAAACGTGATCAGTTATAGTCTCGCTTCCTGAATGGATGATCATAGATAGTTTCGCTTCTCAAGCACATCGAGCGCTCACTAATAGGAAAAATAAGTGGATATTGCATCACTAGATATGGAGAAAATTGGAGAAAATTGGATGTATTCTGCAAAGAAAATTTTGTTAGTAACAGTTTGATTTGATGAATCTCAAATTAACTACAGAAAATTGTGAGTTGCTTGTGATGCTTTTGGAAAAAGTAACTCTGTGAAATCCGCAAAGCAAGATTGGCTTTGACGAAAATCATCCTTGAAACCCTAGTGTTGACAGATATTAATGGAGGTTGCGTGGAGTTTTGGAATCTGGAAAAGAAAAAGAGAATATGAGGATCTGAGAAAATATTGGTATCCTAGAAATGTTGCCACATTTCTGTCTATAGATATTGCCTCTACAAGGCCTGATTGGAGTAACTGCGTTTCAACTCAACTTCCTTCTATTTCCTGAAAACTTAACTTTTCTAAGAGTTTCCTCGAAACCTTTTTTAAAATGGCTTCCTCTTCTTCTTGCCCTAAACATTTTGATTTAAATGTTGCCTCCAAAACAACCCGTGACGCCAAAGTCTGGCGTCCATCCTTTGTATCCCAAAATCGTCATCTCACTATTAATGATTTTGTGATGATGAATGATACGTCTGTTGTCATAGTAGCTAAGAATTTCCTTACTCCTATGGATGAAATACTGTTAATAAGAAGGTCTGACGAAAAGGCTATTGATGACTCAATGACTTTTAGCATTCAGAGTGCTGCTTCTGTTTCGAACATGGTTGATCATTTGCATGCTCAAGCAAACGAGATTCAGGAGCTAAACACTGAAAATTCATATCTTCGAAGAATGCTTCATGAGTCTCAGCAAGAGGTTGAAAACCTTAAAGAGGAAAATAAGACCTTGTTTGAACTAGTGAGTTCATACTCCATTGATACACAGACAAGGCTTGACATGCTGCAGATTTCCAATGAAAATATTCTGGGAGACCATAAGAAGCTTATGGCTAAGCTTAAGAGGCACCGTCCTCTTCCTTCAGAGGCTTCCAGAACATAATTGAATTTTATAGATTTTACAGAGTTTGCTTCTTCCTTGCAGGTGAAGAGAATCTATCTATTGTATGCTCCTTTCTTGTTATAATAATTGGGAAAATTCTTAAACTTGCACCTGTGATTTTCATGTCTTTTCAAAATGACAGTTTGGAACCTTGTGCTTTATAGGTTCAAATAACCGCATCAAATCTCTCAATTTACATATTTCAATGCATGTGAGTACGAAACTTCTGGCTTGGGCTAAACACGATCTTTGAATTTATTTGCCTTTTTCAAATGGGCATGAAATATAAATTGAGTAAAAGCCATGATAATATTGCAATATAGTAGTGAAGAGCATTAACTACTATATACCCAAAACTTCAGGTTCGAAACTTCTCATTTATTGGGATCCATGGGCTTCCCGCCCAAATCATATAATATAACAAAATATGTGGGGAGCCTCAATTCATCCTTTGAGATTTATCATGATGTTATCCATTTCACGATGTATTCTTAACAACTGGAATTTACAAGAAATATTTCTTCCTTGAGGTGTCGATTGTAAACAAAATCGAACTTTATTAAATTCATCATTTTCTTATGCCAAAGAAATATGTGGTGTACCACAATTTGCAATAATACCTCAAGGGTTGTCCATTTAACTGTTGGAACTTCATGTTCTCAATATTATCATATTTTGAACTTCAGGCCAAAATTGCATATTTTCATGGTATGGACATTTTTATAATTTCCTGTACATATTTATGGACTTTAGGCACTTACATAATTGTCCATGTTTTGAGGAACTTTTGGCATCTCATTTAATTGCTCATCCATGAGTTTAAGGAACTGCAGGTTCCATTTTGTATATAGTGACGGTTTACCCAAAATGGTTAATATTTATATATACGTCACTATTCATGTATATGGTATTATTCATCAAGTCATGAATATGTGTCCATTCATGCGTACAGTACATTTGTCAGTATAGTTATTATTCATGTGTATTGTACTGTTAAACAATACGGTACTGTTACATTATCAAGGAACTCCAGGTCCTTATTTACTTATCAAGGATCAAGGATCTTCAAGTCCAATCACTTGTTTACAAATATAGTACCGGAGAGATTGTAAGCTCTCATATCATTATCATCATCAAGGATCTTTAGGTCCTGATGTAGTTGTATGATGAGGATTAAGGAACTTCTAGTCATGATCTTTATATGCTTTAAAACTCATCATATCACACAATTAATTCATAAAATAAATTTTTAGTAAATAAATTGCTGATATGGACGATAAACCCGCACCATACTTTAAATAAAGGTAAATGTGCGGTAAAATAAATTCATAAATTAAATTGCTTGTTGTATGGATGTTAATTTCGCACCATTCTTTAAATAATAAAGTAAATGTGTGATAAAGTAAATGTGCTTGTATGGGCACTAATTCTACTCTATACTTTTAAATAAAAAGTAAAGGCAGTTGTGTGGACGATAAACTCGCGCTACATTTTTAAATAAATATTGTTGTATGGGTAATAAAACTACACCATATTGTAAATAAAGTAAATGTGGGGATAAAACCGCAACCTAACAATAAAGTAAGAAAAATATGTTGATGGAAAGAAGAAAAGTATTTGAGGAGCTGTGGTCTGCTAGAGAGAGGAAGCTGCTGACTTTTATAAGAGAGAGATATATGAGCAAAGCCACCGAAAAATGATAAGCTTTATGTGTCTTTACCTTATTCATTTATTTTATTGATATTCTATACTATTCAATACCACTTCCTCATGCTTGATCATACAAAGAGAGTTTGTACTAGTGGCAAGTGAGAAAGCAACAATATTGGAAGCATACACATATGCACAAAGACCACTTTAACTTGGTAATGATGGTCCATGTTGATTGCACTTTGATATGACCACTATATATATTGAATATGGAATGATGATTTGATGAGAATTTAATATACTATATTTATTTACTTTCCTATTACTAACCACTAATAAAATGGACCCTTAATAATACTAAATACTAACATATTACCAGTAGGAGGCCATTAGTAATACTAAGAGTCCATTTTATTAATGGTTAGTAATAGAAAAGTAAATAAATATAGTATATTATATTCTCATCAAATCATCATTCTATATTCATATCATATATATGTCAATATGTATAGTGGTCATATCAAAGTGCAATCAACATGGACCATCATTACCAAGTTAAAGTGGTCTTTGTGCATATGTGTATGCTTCCAATCTTGTTGCTTTCTCACCTGCCACTAGTACAAACTCTCTTTATATGGTCAAGCATGAGGAAGTGGTATTGAATGGTATAGAATATCGATAAAATAAATGAATAAGGTAAAGAGACATAAAGCTTATCATTTTTCGGTGGCTTTGCTCATATATCTCTCTCTCTCTAATAAAAGCCAGCAGCTTCCTCTCTCTAGTTGACCACAGCTCCTCTACTACTTTTCTACCTTCCATCAACACAATGGTTAGTAGTATAAATAACATAGCAACATAGAAAATTATACCCGAGAGCTTCTCGTGCTGATAACGTGTTGTAAAATGAACGGGATATGCGAGAATATTGAGCTGCACGTAAAGTAAATGAGACACAATATTTAATGAGGTTCGGCCATGCCTATGTCCTTGGAGAGCAGTAGCAGTAACTTTTCACTATGTAAAATAATAGGGCTACATTTTTAGTGTTTACAATCTCACTGGCTCACTGATTTTTCTCTCTGCTCTCTGCTCTCTCCTCTCACTCTTCCTCTTTCTTCCTTCTCTGCTAGGGCTTTCTTTCTTTCTCACTGGGTGTGCTCTCATCCTTTTTCTATAGAGATATCTTTTCTACTGATGGAGGTGTCTATTTATAGGCCAAAATATTGGTTGTTCACTCACAAGCATTTGGCTTCACTCAAATGTTTGGCAGACAAACATCATTATTATTCTTCAATCAATTAGTAGCGGGTTCTACTATTTTGAGCTCCATTCAATACCACTTTCGTTAATCAAACTAAAGACTTCGGTAGACTTCGGATCGGTTAACCTAATATTCGGTTCGGATTGGCCGGTACACCGGTAGTACCGTAATAAAAACATACTAATAAAAATACAATTTATAATACTTTCACATAACATAAGTTCTTGAACAAATACACCAAATTATCCTTGTAAAATATAAAAATCTAATAGTCTAATTCATCCAAGTATGAAATCAAATAACTTAGTCACTATATCATTCAATATGTACTCAATATGTACTAGGAGCCACTTGTATTTGTTGTTTGAACCTTTGGGTGTTCTTTTTATTGAATTCTCTACATTTATGTAAATGATTTTGACATTTGTTATGCGCTAGGTTCTTTAGTTTTTCATGTTGAATCCAACCATACAAAGAACATAAAATTTGGATCAACAGTTGGAAAGTTACAAGTAAAAAAGGGACAAAAGTCAAAACTGGAAAACATAGGAAGTTCATAAATTCCTCTCTGACCAAAAAGTGCTACAGTACCTGGGTAAGTGATATAATGGTAATAAAGAAGTGATATAGTGGTGATAAAGCAGTGATAAAATGGTGATAAAGCAGTGATACAATGGTGAGAAAGAAGTGATACAGTAGTGATAAAGGAGTGATACAAAATGATGATTGTATTTACCTTTGGTTTCTTGTTTTGTATTTAAATAATAAAATACATATAAATATCGGATCGGTACGAGTTTTCGTCAGTTTAGGAATTTTGTTTCTGTTAACCAAACCAAACATTTCGGTACGGATCGGATCAGAATAATTAAAATTAAAAATAATTATTTAACCAAACCAAATCAAACCGTTGGTACGCGGATAATTCGGATGAGATGCCCACCCCTAATTGACTTTACAACATGCAGGAGCTTGTTTTGGAGGAGTCTATATTTTTATCCCTTTTTTTTTCTTTTTTTTTTTGAAATTCAATGAATTGGGGAGGGGGCACTTTTTCCTGGGATTCGAACTGGTGACCAAGGACGGGGAGGGGGAGGGACCTCACCACTGTGGTAAACCCCTCGGTTTTATCCTTGCTTTTTTGGCACTAATTCGTTCCTACCCCACCCCACTCACCATTTGGTGGCAAGTAGAGGAATTGTTTTATTTTTTTATTCATAATGGAGCCAGCCTTCATCATTGGAGCCACTCACCACCCGTGGAGGATCTCATTTATAAGTAGCAGCAATCAAGCTCGAAGGAGAACAACAATCAAACAAATCAAACGACCAAAAAACTCAAAATAAAGCTTCAAACTCAAAGCTCACAATCCAAGGCCTTCGAATAGAGGGGAGGCCTTGGGCATAGACTGGTAAGGCCGCCGTTTAGGTCTCTAAATTGAGAGGGCCCCAATTTGTATAAACCTTTATATATTAACATAGGTATGTTTATTTTTAAAAATGTACTATATTAATATTATGTTAGACCCAAATATTGTAAAAAAAATCCCAATTATTCATTGTAAAACTAAAACGGGGAAATTCAACAAACAGTCCATTATTATTTAAACTTGTAGCTTAAGTCAATTAATCTAGTTGAATGGAAAAATTTAATAATAATAAAAAAAAAGTTAACCTAGTTGAACAAGGTAAGAAATAAAATACGAAGGATGATCTATTTAAGAGTTTCTATTGCTGAGCGTATAACAGTTGAGTTGAGGTTTCGACAAAAGAAAAAAAAAGTAGCAATTGAAGAAAGATTGAATGGCTTAATCAGCTATGTTATCCATTGAAAAAGACATGGTAGAAAATTTTTATTATGTAAAGTTAATTGATACTTTTGCATCAAAAAATGCAAGATGAGTGATATTTAAGTGATGTTTTGATGCATTTTATAAAGTTGTTATGTGAATTACATGTTTGTTTGTTTCTTTTTTAGGTTACAATTGTGACTTTGAGTTCACATAACCTTTTTTATATAAAATTATCGGAAAAAAATCAGATAAATATAAGGTAAAAAAGCCATATTTTGGTGGTTCTCTTAAGGCCTCCAAAACATTAGGACTGCCACTGTCCAATACAGAAGCCTTTTTTCACAGCAAAGGTGTAAGAACCTCCGGCTATTCTTGCTGTTCTGCCAGAATTCCAGGCATCTCAATGGCTTGCTTTCGATTGAAGAAATCATTTGCCTTGTTGAAAGTTAAACCAAACCCACCGAATTCAAAGCCGCGTTTAATATTTTATTCACTTTGTAAAAGCATGCCCATGCTTTATGTAGGACATGTTTCGTTTATTGCCTCAATGAGTCATGCTTTCGGTGGAGTGCTCTCTAGTCTCTAGGATGTTTTCTGTTTTTGTTAAAAAGTCTCTCTCAAAAGAGGCGTTGCCTCTATTTGTATTGGAGCCGTTGCTGTTTTGATCAGATTGAATGAAACTTATCTGTTTTTGCTCCAGTCTTCTTCCTTCTATTTCTTCTACATGCCTAAATTCAAGTTTGTATTTCATTCTGTCTTACTACTTGTTGTACTAGATAAATATTGAAGTCCTTACTCAATCTAAGGCAAAAAAAAGAAAAAAAAATCTATATTGGGCCAGTTTTCCACCCAATTCATAATCGCTTTGTTTAAAGTCAATACTTGGGTGTATTTTTCATTTTTTCCTCTCAATCTGTTGGAGTTTTTAACTGTCAACAGTGACACACCTTCACAATCACAACAAACTCCACAGTTAATCCCACACGCATGGCTGGCGGGTCTTTTCGGGATAAACAGTAATTAAAAACTCCAAATTGAAGTGGCAATTCGATCTCTATTGAAAAAGAAACAAAAAAAGGCACTTTCCATTGAAGTTGAAATCCACTTTATTTTTGTGTAATTTGTTTGACAGTTTGGTTAGATTTCATGGATACCAACGATTGGAGGCAACTCTCGCAGGTGAATTCATGATTTTACATATTATTACTAAACAAAATTTGTGATGGAGACGTCAAGTAATGTAATGCCATTTAGAATTAGAACCTAATTTATATCGATGCATCATTAATAAACAAAATTTAGAAGCTAAACTATAACCCTGCTTTCCCCTTGCATTATTTGCTCTTCGTTTTCGTGTTGAAAACTCTCTAAACCTCTGATATCTCACTCTGGTCTCCAACTCCAGCCCCTGGTAACCTTTCTATTTCCCCGATCTAATGCTCAAGTTAATCCTACAAGTTGAACTTGCGGACATATGTTGGTCAAGGCAATGCGTCCACCTCAAGTTCGAATCCCCTCTCCATAAGTAGTTTAGACTATCGCTTATATATATAACAAGATATATTCCAAGTTCATATTGCTATTCCATTACTTAAAAAAATAAAATAAAAAAGGAAACAGAAAAACAAGAAACTGCACTTTCATTGAAGTTCAACCATGGGCGGTTCCAGCCTGTGGCAGGCTGGGCTCATGCCCGGCCCAAATTTATGTTAAATAAATATTACCCACACTTTTCTCTCTCCTCTCTTCTCTTTTGCCCTGCCTTAATTTTTGTTAAAAAAAAATTACATACACTCTCATCTCTCTCCTCTCCTTTTTTTACGGGTAATGATTTCCCACTCCAATTTTATCAACTTACACTCCTTTTTTAGTTATAAAATGGAGTGTAAGTGGATAAAATTGGAGTGGGGAAATCACCATTTTTTTTTCCTTACACTCTCCTCTCTCCTCTCTCTCTCCTTTTTTCCGTTGTTTTCCTTCTCTCTTCTCTCCTTTTTTTTTCTTTCTTTCTTCTCCTTCTCTCATCCCTCCTCTCTCTCTTTTTTCCATTCTCTTTCTTCTATCTTCTCTCTCTCTCTCTCTCTCTCTCTCTCTCTCTCTCTCTCTCTCTGTCTTTCTCTCTCTTATTTCTTCCTTTTCCTTCTCTCTTTTTGTTAGAAAAATATTACCTACATTACTTATGATTATAAAAAAATTTGTCTTGCACAAAGATAACTATTTCAGAAATTGCGAAACATGATTGATAGGGCTATGGAGCTCGAGGTGGAAAGCTATGTTGCATGGACACGGGTACGGGGACACGGAACGCGACACAGGGACACGGCGACATAGAAAATCTCAAAAAATTAAGACACGGGTACGGCTAGGACACGGCAATTAAAATAATAATTTATTCTCAATACTTCAATGTTACATAATTCCATAAAACAAAACAAATAACTCATGTTCATTATTCATACATAATAATTAATAGACCACAAAATAAAACATAAATGATCTAACTCTCAATCTTCTTCATGCATCTATGTCTTCATTGTTGTTGTTATTATTTATTGTGCTTCTCTTAAAAAAAACAGAAGAAAGAATTGTCACCTCACCACCAAGTCCAACTCTTCCACTGCTGTGGAGGGAGATAAGAAAAGAAGATAGAGAACATAAATAAATGCATTTGAAAACATAGAAAAAAAATTGCAAAGAGAGTTACCTTGTGCAAAACCAAGAGAAGGGGAGGAGAAGAGTTGTGACGGAGGAAATGAACTTCGGCAACAGAAAAAGTGAGATTTAGTTTTAAAAAAGTCTTCTTCCACTTTTAGCCCCTATTTTTAAAAATATTTAAAATCAGTCCACCAAAGTTTCAAAAAACACGTTTAGACCCCAAATTTTATTTTGAAAATTTCAAACTGGTCCCTGCCGTGTCTTGACCGTGTCCAATGCGTGTCGGGGGCGTGTCGGAGCCGTGTCGGCGTGTCCGTGCAACATAGGTGGAAAGCTAAAAACGGATGTCATAAAAAACGTTTATAAAAGGAAACAAAGGAGAGAAATGAGGTCACAACTCGTTAAAAAAAAAACCTCGCTCCGCTAATTTTCTTCCTTTCCATTTCTCTCGAAATAAATCTGGTTTTTTTAAATTAATGTAGTCCTCTATATTATCTTTCTTTTTATGTGAAATAAATTTTTTTTTCTATTTTTTTCTTTTAATTTTTCTTTTGGTTTTTATTTTAGCTTTTGTATTTGTAGATATAAATGCATTCGAGGGTAAGGCTTATTACGTCTCCTCTCACTATGTAATTTTTTTTATAATGTTTATTAATGAAATTCACTCGTTTCGTTAAGTTTGTTATATAAGTTTTGCCTGGTTGGCTTTTGAATCCTGGAACCGCCACTGGTTCAACCAAATTTTTTCGTCTTAAATCTTTAGTACTGCTGGTTCGGTTTGGCAGATATGCCGACAGTGATTGGAGGACCCAGTTTCTCCCAAGTTCACGGCAAAGAGTTGTCGTCAAGATGTAAGGGTCACTGTGTCAACAGATTATACAGATACATTTTAGATTATTGATTAATTACATGTTATTACGTTTAAGTGTTATTGTTTTGTTTGAGCTCTCCTGATAATCAGTACTAGTAACATCTGATTAAATGTATTGCTTATCCTCCCTTCTCCGGGGACGGATTAGATGAAATCAGGAGAACTGCTGTAAAGATAGAGGAAAAAATTTATGATATTGCCTTAAGCCAGGTATAACTAAGGTTTCCTAACTATTTTTCATGGTACATTTTGCTAACAGAGAAGAATGAGAGAGAAAAATATAGAATATTCATAGAAAGAAACAGAGGAAAAGATTTATGTATTTCTCAGTATATTGAATTGTTGTACAAGTGAGTAGTTCTGCCAACATTGTTGGGTTTTAACAATCAGCCCTGCCAAAAATCAACCATAAAATTTTCATTTAGCCATTTGAAATCATTGATTTTATTGCAAGCACTATGTTTTTCTATCTAATTTTTTCACAATGAGATGTCTAGAATGCTTCCAGTTTGAGTAATTTTTTGTTTTTATTTGTTTGCGATGATGATCATTGAATTTAAAATGGATCATTCGGATCATTGAAATTTACATGTGTATTGTTTATTTTTCAACCCTCCTGCTATTGTAGCTAAACGTGTAATCTAAGTTTTGTGTGCATCTATTGTCCAGATGGATTATCTACGGACAATTACTCTAAAGATGATCATGATTGCGTTGAGGTCTGAATCTCTTGGCTGAATGCGACCATCCAACCTGAAACGACGTCGCACCTTTGCTAGAGATTTGTAACAAGTTTTTTGACTTGGTCCTATATAAAATGTATCTATCAAATAAAAAATCACAGAAACTCAGCAGAAAAATGAAGTGACAAGAAGCAGTTCCTAGGCTAGTTGCAAAATTCCTGATTTAATTGTCTGTAATTACTCTATACTTAATGCGCTTGGTCATCTTGATGTTGTAATTATGTCAGTTTGTCCTATAAAGAGCAGGTCCTAATAAATTAGGAAGTTGTAGGGTATATGAGAATCTTGCAGCCTCCTCTGGCTCAAATATCCTGATGCTTTAGCCACTCTAATCGATTTGCATATGAGATTGATCCATACTGTTTCTTTTCTTCTTTCTTTTTTCAGGGCATCATTCAAACTAGACTTAGAATAGTTCATCATTTTTTGATTGAAGTAGAAATTGTTTCGATTAAATTAGCCGTCAAGATTCTCAATGTTTCGTGGATGATCGGCCTTTTATTCCAGTGTTTGCTTTAAAAAATACGATGTTCAAGCATGGCTTGATTGGATTCAACCTTGGTTCATCTCATACCCACAAGACAAGATATTCAAGAGGAGCTCATAACAGAAACAGATGATTTTCATAAATATATTAGTAACAGAGCAAACAACAATATAAATATAACATCACACATGCGAAGCTGAAAATGAATTCTGCATCTATGAACATCGGTGCATGAAAAGAAAGAATCCTCTGAAACAGAACCATAAACTAGTAGGATGTAGATAAATGCAAATGTGGGATCTTCACTATGGCAACAGAACTAGATAGAACTGTTTAATTTGATGGAGGAGGGAACAGGGAAGGAATTGTTGGAATTGTTGTTGGAATGGTGGGGATTGAAGGCATCGTAGTCGGGATAGTTGGCAATGGAGTGGAAGGAAGTGGAGGAAGAGTGACCTTGGGAGCAGTGGGGATGGTTGGCAATGTTGGTTTTGGCATAGATGGGATTTGGGTGCTTGGGAAAGAAGGCAACGTGGGCTTTGGCAGTGCTGGGATTAAAGGGGTGGTTGGCAATGGTGGCAATGCGGCTTTAGGCAGTGTTGGGAAGGAAGGCAGTGGAGGCAATGTAGCCTTGGGAATGGGAAGAGATGGAATGGTAGGCAGCGGCAATGCCGGGGGTGGAGCTGCTGTGTCCAGAAGGTGCCGGGCCGCCAGGCTCACATCAAGGCTTGATAAACACAATGCTGCTACCATCATAGACAATAGTAGGAAACAATGCTTGAAACCTGCCATATTGGTTGATATATAGGATCACACAGAGCAAGTTCTTCAATATATGTGAGTAATTGTTTCTGTTTCTTGTTTGAGTTGAAGGCATAACATGTCTTATAGGTATTTATAGGGAGGATGTATAAACTAGTTGTCAATGTTTGATGAAATCTAGTTGGGGTTGTGTGGAGAAGTTGTGGTTAGCTCACCTTCGCAAAAACATTAATTCGAAACGTATCTTTATTTAAAACTATCCACCAACCCTTTTGTGACATTGTCCAACGTAAGCAGTCTATTATGTAGCATGATCTCAATGTCATTCAGATTAGAAGTAGATGGTGTTGGTACCCAACATTTTCTTTTCTTCTATAGCCTTGTCTTCTCTGACAGTCGAAGTCTAACCCCACAATATATTTATCAATTAATGGATATTTCCTTCATATTATTAGTAATAGATGGTAATGTTTCAATGAAATTTTTTTTTCTAATCATCTAAACTCAGGGTAGACTAGCGTATCAACCCACAGCCATGAGCCCACACTTAAATCTTGGTTTGATCCCGTGGGGAATCGAACTCATGACCTGTGGAGCACACACAATCGCAAGTTCGCCCTAACCACTGGGCTACGCCAAGGATGGGTGAGTCAGAATTTTGTTAACTTATAAGAAATGATTGTATTTAAGTTCTTATTTGTTTTGTGAATGGCCATATGAATTTGATGGCCTGTTGACACAAGATGCATCTCCTCAGCATAGTTCCACAAGTAGCAGGGAGACAAATGATATTCATTCCTATTAATGATAAATTAATAAGAAATCAACTAAGATACATATACTTGATCCTAAATTGTGTTAGCATATCAAACACAAGTTATGGTTGATGTATGGGTTAGCTCTACTCAACCAAATCACTGAGGAAGATGAAACCTCTTACTAAGCCCTGCAAAAATAGGCCTGTCAATAACCACCTTCAATGCCCTCCGTAGCGCCACCATCCCTTCTTTTCCATCACCCAACCCTTGAATCCACAACACATTTTTACTCCTTCCACCAACTATCACCATCTCAGCCCTCACCACCCTCCCTTTCACAGAGCTCAGTGCCCTTGTCATGTCCGATATCAGCCCCGGCCTGTCGTCACAGCTCAATGTGGCCTTCACAAGCCCTTCTTGCTCTCCATCACACTGTTCCAAACTCAACTTGTCAACCCCACCTGGTAAAACACATTCATCACTGTCACCGTGGCGACATGCTGCTTCCACTTCTGCCACCGCCCTCTTCAGCTCCCTTACTTGCCGGACCGTCTCTGCAAGCACAGATGCCTTGTCCATCTGTGTCAAAGAAATATTTTATTTTAGAGAAATTGCGAAATACATGACATGTTATATTGTCATACTACAAACGAAGCTGCGCACATTCAAACATAATTCCAACTAATTAATCAAACGGTTTTTTATTCATAATCTATGTTACGTTGTCAAACTATAAATCAGGCCGCACATATGTTTAAACATAATTCTTAACCGATGGTTCTAATTCACAATCTGGTTGGCAACAGAAGGTTTTTCTTTTATGCACATGCATGTTAAGAGTAGATAATTACTTTGATCAAGTTTGGGAGGACGGTACGAAGAGTGGCATATTGACCATTGATTCGCATCCTTCGTCTTCTCTCTGAGTCACTGTGTTTCTTGGCTGCAATTACTTTGGTCTCTGCCTTTGATTTTGGTTTAAAGAAGCTTTTGGAGTAGATAGTATTCACTGGGAATACTCCTTGGCCTTTTGGGAAGCTGATTTGCTTCGGATAATAACTTGGGATGGACAGCATGTCTTGCTCTAGCTAGCTATAACCTGTCTAAAATAATCGCACCATTTAGAAAACGGAAAGAAAAAAAAATCTGATAACAAAAGAATTAAAGAAAGAGAAAGGGAAATAGAACAAATTGGAAAAGAACAGAAGAGAGGGATGCTACCTGTTGCAATAGTAAAACCATGAAAGAATAGCACTAAAAACAATGGAGGGAAAGACAACGTTTGTGTTTTATATAGGAAATGTTCTGCAACCAGTGCTTTCAAATACCAGATAACTGTATATTGAAGCAAATAAATGCTACGATGGAATATATTTGCATTTAAATGTGACAAATTGAACCTAATAAATGACATTTACTATTAGGGTAATTATTGTGCGATCCTGAAATCTGGATATTGGGTGTGCTGTAAATTTAAAAATTGCGATCATATAGAATAAACCAAAAAAGGCAAAACAATATCAACAAAATACAGAAGATGACTCAGGGTATCAGTATCACATGAGTCACGAATCAACTCTATTACTCTCTCATACTTGGTTCTTTTTTTTCTTTTAAATCAACATGATCGACTTCTTCCAACAAAGTAGATATTGATATCACTAGACTAAATAGTCATTTGACAGTCGTTCGTTCTTATTATCAATTTTTCTCCTCTGTTTTTTTATTATTATATATAAATATAATACGTCATTGCTAATAAGGAGAAATACTCCAGCCAAATAGTGCTCTTAATTTCTATTAATTATTTCCTTTCCGAATTTACTTAAGAAATTGTTAAGGAGACTATTATTGTACCGCTTTGTGTATCATGTCTCTAATAGAGGCAAGACCTACTTGCATTGGTTGTCTCTACCTCTGTTAGAGAATATGGTCTCCCTAGCATTACTCTTTAAACACGTGATACAATTTTACCTGCTTTTATCTCAATGTCACTCCACTCAAAACGCATGTGCCAAGTATTAATTACACAAAAGAATGGTTATTGGTTAAACTTTTGAAATATATATAACTATGATTGAAAGTAGCAACAAATAAGCATGCTCTCATAAATTAAAAATAATAAAATGGACAATTTGGTTTCTTCATATTACCATTTGCATTTTTACACAACTCAATTAATGAATATGTTGCTTCTTCCTTCTCCCTTCTAACTTCCCCCGAACCAAAAAGCCAGACCCCTTCACATCATCATATCAATCCAAAAATAAAGCAAAATCCAAGTTGACTGTAACTTATGACTATCAAAAAAGGTGCAAATTCCAATTGTCCAAAGTATGCATGGCATCAGTGCTTAATATAAACAGTTCTCATACATAAATCATGGATTCATGGCCTGTAATGGTAGAGCCTTGAGGGCACAATATAGTAGCCATAGCTGCCATCAACCTGACATTGTTAACTCCATTGCTAATATTTTTCATGGACACCATCTCATATTCATAATTATGTAAACAGGCAACAACTAAAATAATTATATCATACTCTGTTTTAATACTTTGCAGCACAATGCAAAAGCATCAAAACATTCATATTATACTCTAGAAGCCTATCAGTGGTGGCCCTGTGAGTTGCTTAACATGCTTTCTCTAATTGTTCTTTGATAGCACCATGAGAACTACCTGAAGGACCAGCATTTTTCCACATGAGTTTTCTCCTATATAACATCCTCTATACATATAACTTACAGCATTCTGCTATATAGCAAAATTCAACCTACAATTATCATTATCTTTCCCTTACTGCCTTCAACTATTGACCATCAGCTTTAGGTCTTTCATCTCACCACCACTAAGGGCCTAACGATAATATATGCGAAAGAGAGGAACAGTAAGAGCCTAAAGATATATCCAATGTATCTTAAACAATATACTCATAAGGATGACAAAGAAGGCCTGCAATAAGAGGATGTATTAACTTACACGATAGCTAAATAAGAAAGGATACGAGTAAGTACATTCAAGATTGTTAATGTATGAGGAAAAAGGATAGTAACTCTTACTAAAACTCCATTTCATTATTTATCACATTGCATCTCTTACCACAATATGCTACACAATGGCTGCATCCATTCATCTTTTTGTGGCAGAGGTGAGAGGCACTTCTTCACTTTTTGAGCTGGGGTAACTTCCGTATTGCTACTTGGTTGTTAACTCATTTTAAAATTGGTATAGTCAAGATTAACAAGCTCCCGACAAACCAAATGGAAACAACTAACAGTAAGGATTTAAGTTGAATAATTCAGTGTGTACAGCAATAACTCGTACAGGTCCCAAGAAAAACAGAACATAAAAACCTTGATTGCCAATTTACCATTCACTGCAAGCATTGTTCAATCAAAGTGGGGTGAAACATTACAAGAAAGAAACTACCATCAACTATCAGGTCATTGTGCTTCAAAATCAGTCATCCTAATCTATTTATCCACAAAATTAAGCAGACTTACAGCTGAAGCAAATCCTGCAAGAGATACCAGAACATCTGCTTAACTTTTCATTTTATAAGATAAAGTTGGTTAATATTACCTTAGCTAAACTATTACCTAATTTCTACTATGAGATCAAAGCACCTGGTTGATGAGTCTACCGTGTAATCCAGTCTACTTTCAACTGTGAGCCAAGCCAATTACTCAAAAGCCTTGCTCCTACTCGCTAAACCCTTCAAAAGTTAACCCATATAAAATTTTGGAATTTCCATCACCACCCTGAAATCTCTTACCTTTCCATTCCTTTCAAACCGGACTATTCCCTATACCAACATAGATATCATCTTCTCCTTCAAAAAACTCCAGCCCATCCATTCCACTCCCACTTCCACTACCTCCCTTATCAATTCCATTTCCATCTTCAACACTCGTGTCCGCTCCTTCCACCCTCTCATCACCCATCAACTCAACCCTCCTGCTTCTCATCTCATTTCCCATTATCTTCTTCGTATTCCTTGCCACGGATTTCGATTTGATGCTCTTCAGACGCCTTGCTAGAGTCTTCACCCTCTTCACTGGTGTCCTCCCTTCACTCCTCAACTCTGCTCTTCCACTCCCACCTATATCAGTTCCCACAACTCCTTCACTCCCACCTATATCAGTTCCCACAACTCCTTCACTCCCAAACTTTACCTTTTCTTCATCCATTCCCTCAAAACCCACATTACCATCCAAATCATCCTCAAACTCATCATCAGAGATGACCACAACATCCTTGTCTTTCTTGCCAGTTACCTCTGTCTCCATCTGCTTCTCTGGGTCCATGTACATCATTTGAAAATACCCAAAACAGAAATTGTACTGCTCCTTCCCCTGCACTATAATATCCGGTGATGGCGCCTTTATTGCCACTCCATGGAACGCTTTCCTGCAATTCTGGCATCTCAAGCAACAATCCTCATACACCTTCCCGTACTCAAACATGTAATAGCAGTACGGACAAACTGTCCAAAATGTCTCTTCCACATTATACCCCTTACCATTTTCCCCAACATTGTTTTCGTTCTGCTCTCTCTGTTTTGGGGTTTCTTGCCCATTCTCAGACCCATTTGCGAAATGGGTTTTCTTGTTTTGGTCCGATAGAAAGGACCAAGCTTTCTGGACGAGCTCAAAGGCCTCCTGAGCGAAAGCGAACCCGTTCTTGCTGGGTTCCAAGAGGGTCTTGAGTTTCTCGAACTGGGTCCGGACGAGTGTCGGGTTTTCGGAGCCGGGTGGCGGTATTTGGAGAATGGAGCACCAGTCAGTTGGGTTTTGGTGATCGGCGGCGAGGAGTACGTCGGCTACGGCGAGGATTTGGTCGACCTCGGAGTTGTGCGGGTCGGACTCTCGAGCTTTGAGAGCGAATTTGCGGCAATAAGAGAAATCTCGGTGGCTGAGATAGTGGCCTGAGAGGGTGAGAAGCTTTTGGGCTTTGGGCGAGCAGCTGCTGCTGCGTTTTGCATGAACCATTTCTGTTCTTTGTTGATCAATTTTTTGTGTTTTTTCCTCAGAATGCTGTGTTTTTGTGGGAAGAAGAGTGATTTTTGTGAGGGAAGAAGAGGAGTTTTAAAGATGGGGAATTCAGTGGACGAAAAGGGGCATGAGCTTTGGAGGAAACTTTACTTGTTTGTGCCGGGACTTGTGAGGGTATTTTGGTCCTTTAGGAGGAATATTATATGCATTCCAGGTGGGTTCCTCCAAGGAGAGAGACGTGGCTGTTGCTTGGGGCGCAATCTTCCCCTGCTTCAGAGCACAGTGGTGCAGTCTGTGGGTTTTAATGCACAGTGGGAGAATACAGAGATCAGACGTACGGAGGGAGGACAGGCAGAGGCTCTCAAAATTCTATTGGTGCTCCTTTTTTGATTTCTCAATCCTTTGACTGCATACGATATGAGCCTAGTCCATCTCCTCCTTCATTTACATATAACTTCTTTTGTATTACATAAATCATTATTGTTATATATAGTAAATAAAGAAGTTTCTTTTAAGGAGTCAAGAAGTTTTGTTGCACCAAAAAAGTAGTTCTTCTTTGTATGGTGGGTAATACTAGAGTCAGGGAAGTTATTGTATGCTATGTTAAGTTTAAAGCCAAGGTTGAGTCAATAATAGCTAAATTATATCATATTTTAATAAGAGAAATTCTGTCAAAATCTCTAGGTGAGAGAGAGCAGGATTTGTCATGGCCTAAATCTGTTCATTAAAATAAAAAATAAAAACCCCATTTCAGTGGCTTGCCTCTTTCCTGTAAGGAGACATCCCTATTTTCGTGCAAACCGTTTGACACATACAAAATTAATTCATCAAGTCAACATGGTCTAATCCAATGAAAAAGGATTTGACTTGTATTAGAAGCCTCCACTCCCCTTCTATATTAGACTATCGCTTGTATTAAAAAAAATTAATTCATAAAAAATAAAAAGAAACATTTATGCACATGCCAAACTGTGATTGGTAGCATAAGGTGTTCCTACTCCCATAAAATGAGGCAAGAATTTCCTGACTTGGAATTGCGCTCCCATCTACTTGCCTCCTCATTGTCATGGAGGTGATAACTTCTTTTTTTGGCAGTATCATACTGCCAATTAGCCTAGCGACTCAGCTCTGAGCCACCGTAACTACTCTCCCAATTCACCCGTCATGGGAGCCATGTAGTTATACTCCCATTTCAGCAGAAGTGAGCAATTCTCCCCCACCCCTATTTTTTTTTGGTTCAGAATTCTTCCCCATTGCTGAAAGTCACAATTTTTGTAACGCCACGCCACCATGGCCTAATGCAGTTGGTATAGAATAAGAGGCAACTAGATCAACAATCTAGGGCTCTTCCCAAGCTTTCTTTCCTGTTTATTTTCCCAACAAATCTGCAAGAATTTAGTTCCTGTACTCCATCTCCCAAAGACAGAGGGCAAAGCTACAAAGAGAGAGTGTACTAAATTTGTCACTGCAGCACTAAAATTCCGCAAGAAGCAACACTTTCGTCAGTATGTCTTTCTGCTGGTTTAGTTTCCTACTATATTTCTACAAAAAAAATATTTTCTGGCCGAAGAGGAAAAAGTACAAACTCTTCTACAGAAAAGAATGATCTGTGTGCGTTGGTTTACCACCAATGAAAATAGCCTTACTCCTTCTGCCAAGCTCTATCTTAAATCACTGCTGATGGCTAAGCTCACCTTGCATCTTTCTTCTAAACCCCAGCACCAAGTATGTATATGTCACAGTTGTAGCTACTACAGATACCCCAACATAGACGCATACTGTTGTAGTACAAACATAAATGTACCTGGAGAGAAGATGCAAACCATAAATTCCAAAGTGAGTGAAGTTAATATGAGCTGTGGACTGCCTTTAGCTATTAAAATGTCTTTCAACAACGGATTCAAGAGAAAATAATATCTACTTTAGATGTAAACAGAAGCTTGGAAATCAGTTTTATCTTATATAATTTTCACCTATTACGATTACAATTTAGGGATTAATTATTCATTTATCTCTGTTTACGATAACTTTGTTCTGATCATTAGAGTTAATTACTATGTTACTATATTTTATTATTTGGAATGCATATAAAAGTAAGTCTTATTGTAATATAGTTTCATACTTCTAGATTGACTGACATTAAGGAAGACTGATTGTAGTTTACCCTAATTTTCTCCTGCCTCTCTTCTCTTCTTCAACCTCTACAATTGGTTTTCTCTCTTTTCTACTCTCCAGTCTGTTTTTATTTCTCACCATGTCCTAAATTCTTTGTCCTACATCTTTCCAAGGAGTTCCATAGTACAATAAATAGATTATCACAGAAGATTTCTAAAACAATCACTTAAGACTCCCTCACTCTAGACAAACACACTGCATAAGAGAGGTTTATTTCAGTCAGGAACATCAACTAATACAAGCCCTTATCTCAGTGAGACTTACTTGGGAGAAAAGACGCTCCAAACAAAGAGATGGTTCCTCATTAACAGCAATATGATGGTGTACGCTGTCAACAAAATGGAGTTCAACCCCAGTGGAACCAGACAAGGAAAGCCAAGCATTATTTTGAGGAGTTGTGTGGAATCTGCACTGAAGGGAGATGGGAGATAGCTTGTCTCCTTCACAGAGATATACATCACCATGCTAAGGATAAATAACATTGGGGAGGCATAGGTGATCATGAACATTAAGATGCCAGAAAGTACCGTCGAGTGACTTGAGATGCCCTGGCAACGAGTAAACAATCAGAAACAAACAGAAACTTTTCAAATCTCAAAATTTCTGCAATCTGTCCCCAAAATAATGTTTTTCTTTTCTATATAAACTATGCCAGGGTAAAGAGGATGTACAATAAAAGCTCCGGCAACATCAATAGTAGCTAGAGAATTGCTGTTCCCCAGAGCAAAATGGCCAGCCATTCCCAAAAAGTAAAATGCAGCAACCTAAAAGAACAAATGCAAAATGCAGTATTAGTACCTGCAATAAATGAGGCTTCGGGAGTAAATAAAATGGGGTAATGTTCTATTGCCAGATGTCTATCATCTTATGTTGCCAAATATCTAATGTGCTATGTTGCCAGATAAGTGGCTTGTTAATAACATGCCAGGCTGTCTGGCAAGAGAACATTTTCCAAACAAATTAACACTGTTCATGCAGCACATCACACACTCATGCTTTCTTTTTCGAAATGATATTCTGAATCTCTTTTCAATATGATACTCGAAATGAAGTTGTCTCATAGAAACAAAAAGTTACCCTTTTATTTTCCCTCTACGTTCTTCACATAACATATTAAAAAGTAAAAAAATACAACTTTCTGTACGTACGTTCTTTATCTTTCTCCAACCAAAAAAGGGGCAAATCAAACCTTAAGAGACTTGAAGCCTTTCAAATTTGCATACTTCTCAATTTAAGAACGGTACGACATAATTGCTTTTATTGACTGGACCAGTCTATGATTAACATGACTTTGATACACAAGAATGAAAACAACATTAACTCAAAACAAACTGATATTGAAACTGACCTCAACCCACGGCTTATGATGCAGAGCACTGTAAGAAAAATACAACATGCTGGCGAAAATTTGCACAAGTAGCAATAGTATAGGCATTGAGTTAATTGTTTGTTGAAGCAAAAGTTGCAGAATACACCAGCAGGAGATGTATGTCCACCCAATTATATATAGAGAATCTCTTAATTTTGCCATAAGCGACTTATTTTGAACTTCATTGGGAGCAGAAGTTGACATGTACAAATCCTGATTCGAGCACATCTCAGATATTGAAAAAGGTACAAGCCATGGTAAGGCTACAACAGTTCCAAATGTGGAAGCACCCAGAGTTGCATAAATTATTTGTATCAATGTAGTCGTGCTGTAACTGGATGACACAAACATACCATCCTGATGCTTAGTGACATGTTGCAAAACCAACAATCCAGACATAAGAAAGCTAAATCCAATCACCAGAACAAACTTTTTGTTGGACCCAAGTAGAAAAAGAACATATAAGCTTAAGGTCATCAGTAGAAGGCATGAGACGAGCTGAATTGATTTTATATTATCAGTCCCAGCCTGCTCAAGCCACTTAGAAATGTCAGGAAGATTTGTCCAATTCACGCCTCCCTGGTGCCAGCCTCTCAATATCCTTCCAGAAACAAGAACCACAAAGATGGAACTCAATCGAAAACAACTTATTTTGTTTTGTTCCTTGGATAAAGTATGGAGATCTTGAGCTCCTCCACATGGAGGACATTGTATTGCTTTACGCAATAATAACAAATCAATGTGGAAGCCACAAAATGCCAAATGTATTGCTCTTCCTCTACCATAGAACTTGATACCATACTTACAATGAGGATCAATATAACGCCTAATACAAAAGTCTCATCTAAATACCAGGTCTGCATGGCGCTCTCTAAGTCAAAGAGGTACCTCTCTCTGATGTAGACTTCTTTGCACATATTAAATAGAAGGCTTAATAATATCAGACAAGACATGAGCATTGCAGCAATTCCGAGAGTAAGTAGGCTGACAGGTTTCTAGAAAATAAAATAATTGTCAGTGGACAAAAGTTATGCGAAAGAAACTAAGATTTACATAATGAAACAGTTTAAGACTCTCTCCATCAGAAACAATCACCATCTCTGTTCATCTTTACAAGGGAGAAGAGTATACATACATCAGTTGCGCTGCGTGATAACCACTCACTTGCAGTTCTCAGAAACTCATAGTATGCTGTAACAGCGCTGCTGTAGTCTTCCCTACTTTTAGACCTAGTTACATAATTTACACATAAAGACTGGCATTAGAGGTTTTCCTTATTGAACCTGGTGTCATGATTTCAATAACAGACAGTGCCATGTATCCACCTGGAGAATTCCTTTGACATCCAGGAATTTTGGAGAAGTGCAGCATTCGTATATAGGCAACAAAACATCTTTCCCATGCTCCCAGAGCATTTGGTTATCTTGGACTCTTGATCATCATTGAAGCCATCACATAGGTAATTTCGACATGATAAACCAGGCATTTGTGCTTGCAATAATCTAAGCAATTGCCAGGAATTTAACTCCAGTGCCTTCAGTTGTTGGTCATCTTTACTCATCAAAGACAAGGAAGCAACATCAGAAATTACACACATTCAGTAGGACATGGGCAGGCAGTTGATCTTGACAAGATCTAAGGCTAAGGAAAGTCATAGCAGTCAGCGACATTTAGTGCGAGTTATTAATTTATCTGCTTATCAAAACTCATAGGTTAAAAAACAACTAGGTAATTAATATCTACCAATGAGACTAATTAATCTGACAGGAGAGGATAGATTTGTGGCTCAAACTTCCACTTGTTTCAAGTATCATTTTTTTGTATTGTCAGTTGTTCATTTCTTATGGCTGTCTTACAGAAAGGGCTTTAGCCAATGTCTAACACCTTACTCCCTCCATACATCCCTTTATAATTGTATGGTAAATGTCATTACAAGAAATTAAGCTGATTTAGTGTGCATCATCAGTCAAAGATTGACATCCAAATATCATTTAGCATAGAGAGACAACATTAGCTCAATTTAAATAGCATCCCTGAAGAAAATCACACCACCTATTTTCAATGGAGACAAATAGGTCAATGGATACCTTAAGGGAAAATGGGATACAGTACCATTGTGGTTGATCCTCAAAATTTTGTAAAGAAATATTTCAAGTTTATTGTGTACACATGCTTAACTTATCCACATATCATTCTTTCAACCCCATGTACAACCAACCTAGAAATAACAAGGTCCCACATATAATCACACCAGCACATAGATATAATAATTCACACAGACACACCCACACCCACACCCACACCCACACACATATGCATAGATATAAATCTATATAAACTTATAACAAGGGATCCCATTTGATAAGAACCAAAAGGGCATGTGGGGCCAAACTAACCAGAAACCATTTAATCATCTAACTATAACCATATACAAAGACGAACACACTATTCCCCCATAAAGACTGAAATTTTTTAGGTTTTGCATGAATGACTTTTAAACAGGGATCTAAGAATTAGACGGTTTGGATAATTGGACCACATTGAGGGGTGTCCTCAACAATGCAAGAGAGAGAGAGAGAGAGAGAGAGAGAGAGAGAGGAGCTAACCAGCCAAATACCCAAAAATTTCTGCAATTAGGACACCAACATTGTTTTTTGGAATTGGAACGCCAAATAGAAGAGCTAATGTTGGTGCAATGTCGACCTGAACCACAACAATTGCACGTGATAAATGACATTACATTTGCAGGTAAGTGATGAAGAGGAAATATTTTAGTCTTAATCTTGGGGCGAAATTCTCTAGTCCAGCAAGTTAAAGTATGCCTTTGTTGCAATTTAATGGAAACTAGGAATCCCATTCAATGTAAATAATCATGGAACATTATAACCATACAATTCTATATCTTAATTACCTGATAAATGATGTTATGGGTGGACGACGAATAATCAGAGATGTCATTGTTCAGGCCAATAAAAAGGGCTAAGGAGTCAGTTTCTTCATATGAGGACCCTCCATGATTACCACTCTCAGTCATGCCATGGTCACTTACTACGACCTAGATAAGAAATTCATGATAGAGACAGATATGAGTATTATTTCAAATTTTTGAATGACTACTGACAGAACAGAAAAATAAATAAATACATAAAACACTTTATAAACCTCACAGAAAGAGAGACAATAATTATAAGGATATAGCTGTTTAGATCCAATAATATAAAGAGAGTAGTGAAAACTGGCATGGAATGTGAACCACGCATTGAGCATACATGTATTTATGTGCAACAGTTTTACACATTAACAGCTGCTTTACATGATACTACCAGTGCCATAAAATGTTATCTGAAAAGACAAAACATTGTTTAGATAGAAATGCACTCTCTATTCCTTAAAGGCCTTCCTAGAAAAGCATGTTTCCTTTGGATACACCTATGCCTCAAATTCAGAACCCCTACAGCTTTAGCCCTGCATATTATAGTTAGTCTTCCATTATTTGTTTCGATACGCATTTTTCAAAATCGAGTGGGTAAAATGCTGGTCAGTTATTGCTCCTCAGATGAAATTCCATGATCAGCAGCATTGAATTCATGAGACATAAGTAAGAATCTACGGTCAATGAGAAGAACCAGATAAGAGAACGACGAACCAAGAGTGTCCGTCCTTGATCATTTTTTTTATTTAGTATACTATTCATATGAATCATCTTCACCACGTCATCCATCTCAGAAAGTTTTGGAGCCATCAAGGCACTGAAATAATAAAAAAACATGTCCACTTAATCCTCAAGAAATAAGATTGTTGAATCAATCAAAAGAGTTTTAACATAAATTAGGAAAAAGGACCACCTGTTGCGCCCACCAATATGTCCCACATGATCTAAGCCCAGATAATGAAGAATCTGACATGCAGTTTCAGTTAAAAGTGGAAAACAGAGCAATGCCTCCAAGCAGAAACTAAATTCATCATTCAAGATTTGATTATGTCATTTTAAAACAACAGAATACAAAGTACATGATACTTTGAATTTTCCAAAGAATAATTTTGACGATTAATCTGATGAATATATATTCAAAGTAGATTTTTTTTTTTTTTTAAAATTTCATAATAATGAAACTATTGCTATTAAACACAGTGAAAAATTGGAACTACCCAGTAAAACCAGCTTGAAAGTAAAAATTATTAAAATGCTAGTCCATTTAACAAACTGGCAAAGTAAGAGTACAAATATTCTTTACAACAATTATCGGCAGCAGGTGTTGCTAATAAGGTATACTAGGAGCCCTGGACAATCCAATATTATCTAGTAAGTTAGTAAATGAGACTAACCAGAAAATCCCAGTCCTCTTTGTTAAGCTCATGACCCAGATGTCGAGAAACATTTTGATCCACTTGTACTGTATCTTTAACCTTCAGCAAGAAAGAATGCATGTTGCAAGTCAGCATATATTACAACCTCCACAATAAACCCAGATACAAAATTACCAATTTGACTTCTACAAGAATAGAGTAACATCAAACATAAGATTACTAATCAATCTGAAAAGTGAAAAATTGCACGAAAACTGGCCAACCAAAAATGGCAGTGGCCTTAACACATCAGGGTATCACAGCCAAGCCTATAAAAACAGGAAATCTTAAGACGAGCATTCACTCCATTAGCATCCAGACACTTCAAAAGTGAAGATGTAGAAGCTTAATCGTCATATGCAAGCTTTGACATGTAACATACTGATTATGTAAAAAGAGACTTACGAAGAAACTGCTGACTCCATCGTGCCTAATAAATAATCCTGGAAACAACTTAAGCCATGTTTCATCACCAAGCATCACCATTTTCCAACCAATCTTGAAAAACTGGTCTGTAAGGCAAAGAAGTAAACAAGTATCATGAAATTCTGGACAGTCTTCAAAACATTTGACATAGTGAATGAATTTAACATTAAAGTATTAATTATCAACTAACCGAGAAGATTGTCATCTAACATAGCTTGTGTGTTAAAATTCAAAGCCACGTCCAGGAATCCCCCTATTGCTCCAGAAACCATAGCCTGCAGTCCTATACCAAGGGGTGATGAAAAAGCAGACCTCTACAAGAATGATTCTCTACATATAAAAATATTGTGATGGAGACAACCTTCAAACGAGGCATTGTAACAGTTGGAGGTGCAGCCTTTGCATGATATCCAATTGCCATTCCATTAGCAAGCAGTGATTGAGTATATGGCATGGCTTCCATTAATGCCTTGCTTGGAGGCTTACCATCCTTGCCAAGCACAAGTTCTGCTGGAAGACCATCAATAACCTAAACTGGCATGATTGTAAAGGACAAACCAAATCTTATCCTCTAGATAACATCTTTATCAACTAACATATCAAAAAAACCGCACAGATGTTGACAGACACAAACTAAATATACCATTAGTATTAGCCGGTCAAATGCAAGGGGCATTCCAGATAGTTCCTGCATTGCCAATAGAACAAGGAATTATGTATGTTGCATGTGTGCATACACAAATGCAAAAACCCTGATATTGCAGCATTTAAAGCCCAAACATACTATCTGGAAAAGGATTGCCCTGGAAGTCATTGAATTCCACAAAAATTTGGTGCCACATAATACAGTTCCGAAGCTAAATAGTGAAGAATAATTACAAATACCAAAAACCCACCAGAGCAAGTGTGCATTTAGAGCTAGAAGACTGTCAAACTTCACAAAACTGAACTTCTACGTAAAAATTCAAAGTTGCCAAACCAAAAGCAGCATGAAGGAAACAAGTACCTTATACAGTGACCCGAGCTGATGAGGATGCAGGTCTCTCTCGGTCTCATTTTGAATCGAATTGCACTTGGGTGCTTGAAAACTCTCCGGACCACTGCCATTGTCAGTGAAAATGACACCAACAAAAAAAAAAAAAAAAAAAAGTGCTTTGTTTTCTTTTGGTTGTTGATGTTTCAATTTCTATGATCCTTGGTATTATTCTAAGAAACCAGAGTACCTGTGTCCAGGTAGGGTTGGTTTGACAGGGAAGAAGCCGAAGACGAAGATGGAGAGGCCAACCATTTGAATCGCAACTCCAGCTATGGTGAAGAGCGTCAGCTTCGAGCACGTTAGCAGCCATGGCATTTTACGAACCCTAAACCTCTATGCTGAATTGGAACTTCGAATGCTTCCCCGAGGATAATATAACGAGAAATTATCAAAGGGAGCAATCAATTATGATACGATCGAAACAAATCCTAAAATTTTGGATCAAATTGAAAGTGGAACCAGAGACTCTGACGTTGTAAGTTTTTTTTTTTTTTTTTTTTTTTTTTTTTTTTTTTTTTAAAAAAACAAAAAATATTTTATTTTTTTTTTTTTTTTAGAGTTAATTTTTAATTTCAGATTAGTGTGCTAACTTGACCTCCAATTACAAAAAATTAAAATTAAAATTTAATTTGAAAATAAGAAATGGAATTATACCAACTAATCACCCAAATAATAATAAACGTAATTCTTTATATTTTTTTTTTTTTTTTTTTTTTTTTTTTTTTTTTTTTTTTTTTTTTTTTAACACGATAGTCTAAATTACAAGGATATGATTTCTCATACATACACACACACAACTAAGATGTCATAGGGATTCGAACTTGAGACCTCTTATACTCAAGTCAAGGCCCTTTTCCACAATTTTAATTAAAGGCATTTCACCAACAACAACAAAAAATTTATTATACTAGGTAGGTACACATACAATATTACATAACTTATTCTAATTGTCTAGCCATGTATATTATGATTTAGGGTTAAATACTTTTTTGATCATTGGGTTTTACTTGGAAATTCAATTTGGTAACTGAGAAAAAAATTTAGCCACATTGGTCATTGTGTTTTTCAAAGTTTTACAATTTATAGACATTTCTTTATTTTCCGTTAAGTGCAGTTTTTTTTTTTTCATTCTTCTTCCCTAACTCAACGAGTTAGGGTATATTGTGCTATGAGAGAAATACGTTATACCCAAAATTTCTCTCAATAAAAAAGGCAAATGAAATTAAAATGAAATCAACAACTTTTCAATATATTTTTTATGCTCTATCACCTTGATTACGTCTTCTTGCCATATGAAGTCATAATACACTTTTCACTCAATCGATTCAAGCTTCAATATAGCATCCAATCTATGAGGCTATACCTCACAATTCCGATTTCAACCCAAGATTTCCCCCAATTTGTTAAACCATAATAGCATAATGTACCGCAACTCGTAAAAACATAAAATTAAAAACTGAACTTAAAGGAAATTAACGGAAGATAATAGAATGTCTATAAATTGTAAACTTTGGGAAATATAGTGACCAATTTTACTATAAAAAAATTCTCAGTGACCAAATTGAATTTTTGTGTAAAATCTAGCGACCAAAAAAGTATTTAACCCTATGATTTATTATAAACTGTTTCTTAGAATTATGTTTTTATTATCAAATTGAAGTTACATGAAGGGGTTGGCTTGGGTCTATTTGGCGATTCCAATTGTTGAGAAAATTAGAGAAATTTTATCAAGAAAATGGAACTTAAATAGAGAGCAAAGAGTGCATAATTTTACCACGGAGGAAAAGAACAATGGCAAGAAAATGGGGCCAGTGAAAGATGGAGAAGAAGATGGTAGGCAAGTTGATGAGGTTGGTGTTAGAGAGGAGATTAGATTGAAATTAATGGTGACAAGAATAGATTGTAAATTTTTTCAAAGCAACATTTGGGTGGTGCTTCTGAACAACTTTGGACAGCTAGTAGAGTCTCATGAATCATCTAGGACTTTAATGAGCCATGGGACTATGTTATATGTCCCAATTGTTTAGAACACCAACCCAAGCGCTATAGTGAAAAAAAAATATACAAAGAATACAACCAAAAGAGCCTATGCTCGTCACCATCAACTGCACTCCAATATTCTCTCTAACATCGTTGACAGGTTTTATCGCCAAGCCCATAAAACAAGACCACGTAGATAAATGAATGATACATGTTACACTGACCTGGTCGCCTTTTTTATCAAGCCATACCGACTCATCCCAATAGGCTAGCTAGGACAAATTAGTCTTACACAAGCCTGACATGTTGCCATGTTATAGGGCTTACCCTAATAGTCGATTTGGAGGGTCGGCTCTCATGGGATCACTCAACTCCCACACTTGTAAACCATTTTGCACCCAATCTTCCTCTCACCCAAATGTCACATGGGAAAGGACCGAGGTGGACTGACGCCTCGCCACATATTACCTTCCCAATTACATACGCACATGTGTCGACTTATGGGTGGAGAAGACATTTACAACACCTATAATCAATTTCATGTGTCATCCAACCATTGGCCTCTGATAACCAGTATAGTAACCAATGCCTAGAGCCACCCTTTCACCCTAGTATGAGAGTGGCTGAAGATCTTCTTGTGTTGGATTTAAGGAGATATGTCTTCTCTTCATCTCCTATAAATACCCCTCATCTACAACTAGACAAAGGTAATAACTTTTTCCCTATCCAGAAACACTACTCATTCACTTTCCTAAATATTAGTTCATTCTACTTCTATCTTTGGCATCGGAGAAGGTTTGGCTAGTACCACACCAATGCCTCTTTGATAACTTATTCTTAACGTTGTGCAGATCACCTGGGTAATCGAAGAAGGTCTATTTGCACAGAAGCCTTATTCACATCCGATCTAGGCCCAGGCCAAGATCCTAGTTGGCTAACTGATTTCGTATCAATCAACATTTGGCACTATCAGTGGAAATTTGCAAACAAAAGTCTCATTCCCTTACTGAAGTCCAACACGAACAAACCAAACCATGCAAAACCAAAGCTTGAAAAATAAGGCTTTTTTAGGCTCTACCGAAAAAACTTCTAGAGACGGAAGAAGAAGAGGGAGCAAATGGATCGTCTCGACAACTTGGAAAACAAAATTAGCTGAATCTTGAAAGGCGTGAAGGATGTCCATAGCTTCAACAACATCATCCGCTTACATAATGAGGTAATTCAAGAAGACCTGGCAAAGAGGGTAAATTTGCAGCATGAGGCCAACCAAGAACAAAATGGCGATCCTAGTGCCAACCCCAAACAGTGGGTAGTGTTGACGGACACTAAGGCCTCATTAGGATCAACTGCAACATGGTCACCTAAGTGGGGAGTGCAAATAGAAGACCACTATTGAGACGAACTAAGGAGAGGATGGTATTGGTGGCATAACCTCCATGCTCAAGGACCTGGTCATTGGCAAGCTGAAGAGCGTGTGGGATGAGCTCAACCAAGTGGTGAAATCAAATATGCCTAGGGGGCCATATTTCAATGAGGAAGAAATTCCACTACCCAACACCCACGATTTACAGGATGCGAGGAGACTCGAAAGCCCCAAATATTCCATTGTATGATGGGATGACTGACCCCTATGACCATCTGGATAATTTTCATCACACAATGGAAGGAGGCAGAGTAAATGAGGCAACTAAGTGTCGCATGTTCCCGACCACGCTCAAAGGCCATGCTATGATCTCATTCAAACGGCTTGCTCTTGAATCAATTGGTTCTTTCGTCGAACTTAGAAAGGTTTTCTTGAAGTGATACATGATAATCTTTAATTGGTTGTACATCGCAAATGATTTACCAATAGTCAAACAGCAACCCGATTAAAACTTAGGGATTACATCACTCGATTCAATAACAAGTATGCGCGATGTGAAGGTTGTGATGAGGATACAACTCATATCGCCATGATGGAGGGCATCCACGGAGAGATTTCTTTTTTTCCTTCATCAAGAATCCCCTAAAAGATACAAAAATCTCCTCCGTGAGGCAACCAGTTACTCCCGAACACAATAAAATACAACACCCAATGTATTACGCAAGTCGAGCACTACTAGAGTAGAAGACCCGCCTTAGCCCTTAGCTCGATGCTTAGCACTGGCCTTAGTGGTCTCAGCTAGAAAATTGAGGCCCTACTTTCAAGCACATTCTATCGTCATTTTGATCGACCAGCCACTCAACCATGCCTTGCGAAAACTAAAAATGCCATGTCAGCTCATCAACTGTTGAGCTAGGTGAATTCGATATTGAATATCAACCACAGACGACCACAAAAGCCCAAGCTATTGTCGACTTCATCTCAGAGTTTACCCTGTCGACATTCGTAAGTGAGTAGCAAGAAACCAAGACTGACTCGGCGCCCGCCCCACTACTAACCACAACGGATATCACCCCTACTACCATGGCGCAACCATGATAGGTCTTGTATGTTGACGGTGCATCAAATCAACAAGCCTACGAAGCCAGCCTGGTCTTGATCTCATTCAGCGGAGCTAAGGTAGAATATACCATTTGATTCCATTTCCAAGTTTCTAACAACGACCTTTGTCTGGGCTCCGATTGGCAAATGAGCTCACTGTTGCACACATCGACGTTAATAGCAACTCACAACTGGTGGTCAACTAGGTGACCGCTTACGTGGCAAAGGTCAAGGATCTCATCTCCTCTTTCCAATTGTATACCATTACCAAAATCATTAAGGCAAATAATACCCAAGCCGACTCTTTGGTGACATTAGTAAAGGTGGGCATTCAAACTGGCAAATTGAAAAACCGAGCAAAACCACACCGAAAAAAACTGAGTTGACCAAAAAGTCAACAACCGAACAGACTGTAACTAGCTAGTTCTAGTTTCGGTTCCATGTCTCAAAAAATTGGACCGGGCCGAACCAGACCGGCTTGAATATAATTAATATAATTTATTTATATTTTATATATACTGTAGGTTTTCACCTTAACCTTCCATCCATTCCCAGCTTCAATTGGCCTAAACCTATCGATTACCTCAAGCCCAACATCTTATGCTATTATTTTTTAGCAGCCAACCTTTTTAAATTAATCTTTTATACTCTTTTTTATTGTTGAAATGAACATTTTATACTATACATCAACCAAACTCCAACCCTAGCTGTAAATGCCTCTCTCTCTCTCTCTCTTCCATTCTCCTTCCTCCTCTTCTTCTTCCTTCTTCTCTCATTTTCGCTCTCAGCTCAGTAGCAACGATGACTACGTTCCTCTTGCCAGTGGCTTAATCAGGTCAGTGTCTTAGAGATTTGAGTTTTGTTTTTGTCATACATATTTGTACATTTGTTCTTGTATTGATGCTGAGATATGGGTTTGTTGGGATGTGGTTGTTTTTTTATATATATCAATTGATTGTATTTTGGGGACTTGTTTTCGGGTCAATTTGAGGCTTCCATTATTATATGGTAGAAAAAAAGTGAACGTGCTCCTTCTTTGTCTAGATGCCTCTAATTAAACTTCACGCTTTGAGATGGCATGATTAGAGCTCTGTTTTTTTTTTTAATTCCTTGAAATCTTTCTTTTTTAGCATTCATAGCCTCAGATAGACCAATTTCAGAGAGAGAGAAATAGAAAAACTAAATAGAAAAACTACTTTGAAATTTGAGTTTTATTTTCTCCATCTATTGAAAGCCATGCTTGTCTCTTGAGAATTGAGAATTCTTCTTTTTAAGTAATGGGCTGTCTCTTTTTATACTATAGAAATGGGATTTCAATTTGGATGATTAGATATGAGATGGGTAAAGAGGAAACAAGAGGAAGAAGAAGCAAAGAGGTTGATTTGGTGCTGATGGGTGGGAATTTGAAGATGCAGAGCCACCACTTTGTGGCTGTGAGGTTGAATGACCAAACGGGGACTATCTTGGGTTTTGTTGTATATCTTGCTCTGATGACAACAATTGGGTTTTTAGAGGTTTCTTGTGGTTGTTGAATTTTTTATTTTTTATTTTTTATTTTTTTTGCATATATGGTGCCATTGAAATTCTGCAATAAGGGAAGATCTGATGGAGAAGATTAAAGAATGTGTTGTTGATTTAGGAGCAGTGAAGATTAAAGAGTCGTGAAGTATTCCTGAAAAATATGGAGCAGTTGAATGTTATTTTTCAGCAATTTAGTTGTAATTAAATATGATTTATTATGTATTTGTTTGTTGTTGGTAGGAGTGGGCACGGTCCGGTTTGGTCCGGTTTCACCCTCAAACCACAGCTGAACCAATTAAACTTTCACGGTTCGGTGTGGTTTGGTTTGAGTTAAAATCAAAATGAAAATCAAACCAAACCATTCATATCCAGTTTGGTGCGGTTTGGTTAGGCCGGTTTAGGTATAAAACAAAATGTTTTATAATAACAAAGAACCTATTAAAAAACATCCTAAAACAGAAACTGATACAGGTGCAAACATCAACATTTTCATTATATAATCCAAATCTCTAATACATCAAACATGGAAAGTTAACCAAATCTCCAATACATCAAACATGGAAAGTTAACCAAATTTCCAGTAAAACAAAGTTCAAATACAATCCCAGATTTGGGTACAAATAGAAATAAACTTCAACATCCAACTAATTAATACAAATAGAAATCAACTCCTTCTGCAGATTCATCCGTAGCTGATGGATTATCAGAAGCAAAACCTATATAATAAACACAATCACAGATTTTTCATCAAAATATCAACAAACATCAAAACGTAATCATCTTTAAAAAATAGAATAATGTATAAAAAGAGTTGTCTTTAAAAAAAATTAAAATGATGAATTGAGAAAAAACAAACTTAAACAATATTCTCCCTTCCCCACCACCTTATATATATTAATCAAATACCCATCTTCTCTTTTAACTACTGCAAATCCCATCCACACATCACAAGAACCCACCTCTCTCCATCTCCCAATCATTTTCTTCATCACAGGATAGTTAGCACCCAAACAAATTTTGATGAGCTAATCTAATAGAAAACCCACTAATTTCAGCCAAAAAAAAAGACAAAATGAAGACCCATATATATCTAACTAATGAGAAGATTTAGTAATTTCACTGAAAAAAGAAAAAATAGAAATTTAAACATTCAAACTCATTAAACATTACAACACATTAAACATGAGAAATATGAAGTTATGAACCAATTAAAGTCAAAACCCATGAGAGATATGAACCCAAATCAGAAACTTGAACAAGAAAACCATCAAATCTAAATCTACACACAGGGGGAGAGAGAGAGAGAGAGAGAGAGAGAGAGAGAGAGAGAGAGAGGAGCTTACACTGGGGAGACGAAGAGGCCAAAGGTGATGACATTGTCTACCAAAGGTGATGAATATAGAGATGAATGATGCGATGAGTGAGTGTTATGTGCAGCTAGGGTTAGGAAACAAAGGAGAGCCTGAGAGAAATGTGAAGGAAAGGTACAGAGAGATCCGTGAGTTTGAGTTGAGTTTTTAGAGTCCAATCATGTGCGGAATAGTGCATGATAACACTTACAAATAACCACTCAAGCCTTGCCACATGTAAAATATATTTAACAAATAATAAATTTATTTCTAATCGGTCTGGTTTGGTTTAGGACAATTTACAAAATTCTCAAACCGCAGCCGAACAAAACCAAACCGGTTCGGATCGGTTTTTGAAACTGTTGACTTTTTCTTTTGTCAAAACCAAACCAAACCAAACCAATATAATCAGTTCTGCTGGTGTAACCGGATCGGCCAGATTGATGCCCACCCCTAGTTGTTGGGATGTAAAATTAAATTTAATGTTTGATGGATTTAATTTTGGATGATTAGAAATTGAGCCAGTTGACTTTCTAAGCCCAAAATTTGAAAACATGTGGTTGGGCCTAAAGTTTGAAAAATCCAAAGCAAAAAAAACTGAGTTGGGATTATTTGCCGGTCCAAACCGGGAAAATCGAAACTGAACTAGATTTTAACTGGTTCGAGTTGGTTTGGTTAAGTAATTAGTTTTTTATCAGAATCAGACTAGATCGGACCAAATGAACAGTACGGCTCTAGTTCTGAATTTAGCTAAGAACCAGGTCTAACCAGACCGTGCCCAGCCCTAGAGATTAGCCTCAACTCTAGAATCAGAAATAACCCGCACTGTGCCCATCGAATACCTCGCAGAAAGAAGCATCAATATAACCAAGCCATAGTTATGGCGGTCGATGATGCACCCAACTGGATGACCCTAATTTGGAACTTCCTTATTAGCAGCACCTTGCCCACAGGCCAGGCCTAGGCTCAGCAAATAAGAATGCGAGTAACTCGCTATGTCATCCTTGAGGGCAAGTTGTACAAGTGAGGCCACTCCCTCCCGCTATTACTATGTGTAACTCTAGAGAAAGAATTGGAGGCACTCTTAGAAATCCAAGAAGGAATATGTGGAGATCACCCTGCATCCCAATCAATGACAACAAAGGTTATAAGTCGAGGGTACTTTTGGCCCACTATGGACACAAATGCCAAATGTCTCACTAGAATCCCAAACTTGCTAACTCTTCGCCAACATCCCTCATCAACCACCTGAGCGCCTCACCACTATGACTAGCTGTTGGCCTTTTGATCAATGGGAACTAGACCTGATAGGTCCAATGTCCAAAGAGAAAGGGCAAACAAGCTTCATAGTCGTTGTTGTGGACTACTATACAAATTGGGTCGAGACCAAACCCCTAGTAGCCATCACATTCACCAAGGTCTAGAACTTCATATGGAGAAACGTAGTCTGTCGATTCAGCGTCCCCCATACCATCATCACCTACAATGACAAGCAATTCGACTACAAGAAATTCAGAGAATTCTGCTTGAACCTTCAAATCAACCTACGCTTCTCCTCACCTATGCATCACCATGCCAATGGCCAAGTCGAAACAGTCAACAAAATGCTAAAGCGAATGCTTGAGAAAAAGTTAAGGCCAATAAAGGACTAATTTGAGCCATATTATAACGTGCAAACTACTAAAGAATATATATTTAACCAATCAATCTCTTTCTATTGGGCTAAGCCAAGTTCTGACAGTGGGACACTTACGCAAATAACATATTGGATCACTTCAAGACCTCTTACCTGGGCCTTAAGAAAAATCACTTGCTGAATTGATCCAACAAGAGTTGTGGCTAGAACATTGTTCAACGTGCCTCATCCCACATCTCTCTCCAATGAAGTAAACATATTTTTGGCACGCCCGGTGGGATTACTTTGTGCATGGTTAGACATATAAGACGAAAATATACATGGTAAACTCAAATCCAAATCCCAATAAAATGACTTCACATGGAAAATAGGGATATGAAATGTGTCAACTCAGTAGCTAAGTGCAACCTTCGATGAGTCTGCAACAACTGAGCCTATGCTTTACACTCTTATTGATAGTATATATACCACTATGAATACAAACTTTGCTCAACCAGGAGAAGCTCTTACACGAGGTTTAGCTCAACAATCTTTTAGAAACTATTATTAGGAGTCAAAGAATTGAAGCTAGTATCAACAACATGGCAAACCAAAGTGACAAAAGTTGTAATAGTCCACTTAGTGGTGATCTCACATGCAGATTACTAGATACGACTATGGAAATGAGAGGATTTACTCCAGGCCAGTCAAGTGGCCATGGAAATTCCTCACCTACTCAACAACTTGTTGTTCACCTTCCACTGGTGCACATTCAAACTGCTGCTATGGTAGATCTTGTGATTCAACTAACTAATGGTAACAATAATCAGGCTCCACCAGTATGATCAGAGGCTATAATCGTTACTAAACTTAGATACCAAGCTCCAATGCATGGTGAAGTTGCAATACCTCCAAAGCCTCCAAGAAATGGTCCTGGTAGGGGTGTTAATGCAGATAGGTGGATACGAGATATGGTAATCATGTCACTAATGGTAGAGCAAAGGGAGGTCGTGCAAGACAACAAGAACATATCCGTATTAGGGATGAGACTGAAGAGGAAGTGGATGAAAGACATATCATTCCACCTTCATATTCAGTAGCAACACCTATGATCAATCATAATATGGCATTTCGAGATGAGATTGCTAATTTGAGGCAACTCATTTTGAATGGCCAAAATGGAGGATGTCATAAAGACCAACTTATCAAAAATTTTATCATGTAGACATTAAAGTCTTTTCCGAGTCCTTTTAGGGATTAATTAGAGCTTTTAGAGTTATTGTTGCATCTGTGCACGTAGTCACACATAGTAATAACCTTGGAAGTCCAAGTATCGTAACCTCAAGGAGCAGGTAGGCAAATATCTGCACACAAAGAAATAATTAAACATACCACAATAAAAGTGACAAGCAAAATGGATAAAGTAATTTGACTTGATTGTTGTGGAAATTGAGTTTAAAAATGAAATATTAATAATGGAAATGTTAAGGCATCAAGGTTCATTCTTTAAACAAAATATGTTTCGTGCTCTTTAATTCAAATTATAACTCGATTAAAATCATCACTGAGAAACTTTAACCGGATGATAAAGAAATTAAAACCAATTTAATTTTTCAATGTAATATTTTATTAATGATTGTTCAGAAAATGGAGTTGCTTAATATCTACTCTTTTAATTTAAAAGCATGCCAAGTCAGTTCTTAACAATGATAAAAATATAATTAAACTCATGAAAAGATAATAGCACTTAACATCAATTAAAATAAAAGAATATGAAAATGTTGAACAACCAAAACTAAAAGAATTTAGCAATTCATACCATATATTGGATTAAAGAACAATTCACAAACTTACTCAAAGAACATTCCCTTTAGCCTTAGCTAGAGTAGCAACTCATTACAAAGGAAAACATAAACTAAATGGATAAAGAAATAACGGTTAGGTAAGTTGGCATTAAATGGCTATGAATGACATGAAATAGGCTCTTTAGCTTCAACAGTTTTGTCTTCTCTTCTCCCTCTTTACTTCTCTTTATAGTCACAATAATCCCGCAATCAATTCTTCAATAAAATCCGCCAGTAATTCTCTTCACACCTAGCTTGAACTTGGACAAATGTATGTCTTCATCTTATGGCTTTCCAACTTCCTACAGAAGAAAAATTCACCTAATAAGTTCACCAAATTAATATAGAAAATTCATAAATCTGGTTGGTGAGAATAAAATGTAACAACAAGTAAAATTATATTTATTAAGCCAAAATTATATCATAAAGTCTCCAAAAAAATATTTAAAAGATATAATTTGAGACTCTCATCAGTTATAGACCAACCAACTGAGTCCAATATGTTGACCAAAGCACTAGATGAAGCTCTACGAAAAGTAGGAAACTATTTTTTTGACATCCGAAAGCAATTATTTGAGTTTGATGAAGTCTTAAATAGCCAAAGAGACCGTGTCTACACAGAAAGAAGACGAGCCCTTGACTTTAACAATCTCCAATCCCTAAGCCTATTTAGGTACAAACATATGCACCTCCCCAAAGCTCTCTTCACCCAGGATTGAATGCGATGAGAGAATGAGTAGACAACAAGTGAAGAGTGGTGCTAGCACCCTCACTTGATGTGATAGATTGAAGGGGTTAGGGAGAGAGAGCTTGATGTTTTCTCTCTTCAAATTTCACTAGGATGATAGAATACCATAGCTACACACTTATAGGATCAAAAATGTCACAAGAGTGACAAAAATAGCCCCAAGCCCTAGTGTAGCCATTCCTCCCCCCCCCCCGCCCTTTTGTGTGACATGTTTTTACTATCTTGGTCCAACACATTAATCCTATAATGTGTCACATATGTGCCTAAGTCTATATGGTCAAATCCTTTTTGAATTTCCAAGTCATATGGGACCTTTAATTAAAGTTATGAAATTTTAATTGAATAATTAAATTAATCTAATCAATTTAATTACTCTAGTGACTTAACTAATTTAATCACTCACTTGTTTAATGAGTGTTAGTCCCGGTCCTCCTTAGTTGACCGTGTCAAGTGTCGAGTCAACCATTTGACCTTTGACTTTTGACTTCGACCTTTGACTTTCACATTGACTTTGACCAAGTCACAAAATCATTCATTCTCTTCTTAATTTCCCAATCGATTCCTTTTAGGTGTGCGATCTTATAAGCTCTAATCAGCAAGGCAGTGGGTATGAATGATTCACTTTGAATCAAGTGTGAATTGTATCCCTCCATACAATTGTCCCTATTAGTGGAGGCTAATTATAATTAGTCCTTATAAGGCTTCCACAAAGCTATGAGTGCCACCTAGCAATATGTCATAGCTACCCAAGCTAAAAAGAATTCATTTAGAGAACCTAGTCAGTTTGTAATTACAATGAAATTCGATCCTTCTCTAATTCAATACTCTATGTCATATTCTTGGGATATGGTAAACTTGTGTCAAAATCCCTAATATGACATCTCAAGATTTCACCTATCTTTGCGTACACGCTGAGGATCCTGAGGAACACCTTTAAGTCACATTATTTTGATACGACCGTATAGTGCTCTCAAAGAGAAACAACATATACACAAGACAACTATGATGTCTCAAGTCTAAGGATTAATTTGCATTATCACAACTTAGAATTCTTTGTTTGACACTTGTGAGTAAGACTTCCATACAAGAATTCTAAAGTTGATTGGGTTCAGTGGACTCCATCTTCTATAGAGCACCTACACATCTGTCTCAGTGTCTCTACACGAATGACTTGAGACTAGTCATCCTCCCAATTGAGCAGACATAATGTGTACCAGTCTTTGCTGGTCACCATTGTTCAATTGGTGATCCTATGACCAAAAACATTTTAGGATACGATATTTATATGTATGGAAATGCCTCGTGCTTCTAACTTTTTTAGACCACTTTCTATTTATATCTTAATCCATGGACTTGTTACTTTGTGTACGTTATGTATCTAAAGCAAAGTTCTTGCCCCTTTGATTATTATATATTATGTCCTTAGAATTATCCATTTTATATTGGCTTCTAGGGCATATATCTAACAATTTAACACATCACCATAGTGCATATTAAAAAAACTCTATTCTCCCACCTCATTTCCAATTGCCAAGTCCTTTACCTCCCACCTCATGTCAAAATCACGCGCAACTACTGAGCATTATTTTCCTAAAACCTTTGAAACTAGTTGATAAGTATAGTCCAAAAGATTCAAGATTGAAAAGATTAAGTGACATGTATCAACCTTGGGAGAAAGTCACCAATGCCCATGACAAACTAGTACTCAAACAAATTGAAAGGGACAAACAACTTGTTTAGAACCGTAAAAAATGTGCATAAGAGAGTTTGACAAAAGATCCATTCTAGCTAGCTCTGCAAGACTTTCAAGAGAATCGAACTGACTTCAGCAATGTCGTCTAGGCTTTTATACCATGTCCAGGGTGTCCAATTTTCATATTGAAATCTCTAGACATTGACAATTTACTTAAGATGTGGTTAATGTACAAGGATATTCATCTACAATTTTTGGACATGCTGGGGAAGGACTATAAATGGATAATTGGTATTAGCCAAGCAGGGTGGGGGCTTCCTCACGGAAAGCAAAGGAGAAGTTAATGCCAGAGGGTTTCAGATGTCAGAGAAATCTAACACAAAAAAAAAAAAAAAAAAAAAAAAAAAAAAAAAAAAGAAAGGTTTTGTAAAAGAAAAAGAATGAGAAGTAAGAAATTGCAATACTCACTTTGCATATGCAACTTAGCCATATTTATTTAGTTTTATTCTTTCCGATCTTAGATAATTTACGGTTATAGTATGGTTCCTTTGTGAAGAGAATGTTGTTCCTACAAAAATGGCTAGGGGCATGATGACAATGCCCACAATGACCAAAGAAGATAAGCTACTCATACTAAAGAAGCACTTTTTAGGAAAAGACTTAGGCACTACTATTCAACCATTTCCAGAAGAGCCAAAGTAGCAGAAAGACTCCAAACCCTCGATGGAGATCATCCTACCAAAAAAGCTTCAAAAAGCTGAAGATATTCTTAACAATGAGGAGGAGGATGACATCATGGATTATGGGGATGAAGAATATGATAGCTAGCTCAAATATGATATTGACCATGAGGAGTTCAAACTGGCTTTAGGTTTGAAAACCTTATCTATCGATGCTGCATAAACTTCTGTAATAAAAGAAGTGGTAATAGATGAACCCATCTCTAAACTTGTCAAAAAAGTAGAAATGGCAATTCCCATGGAATAGCCGATAGTTGAAGTCACAAATCAAATGGCAGATTCAGTAGATCAGTTGACAGACGAACAAAACAAAGATTAGGGGCAAACGTTGAAGATCAAACTAATCATGATCAAACAATGCTTGTGAATATGATCTATGTTCTACTAGCTTCATTCCAAGTCAGAAAAGATCAAGCAAATGGCATGGAAGGGGATGTAGTGGTTGAAGAGCAGTGTTGCGCTCATCGGGCTAATTGAAGAATCTGATGAAAAATGATATACATTGAAAAACAAGGAACTTGATGTCAAAATTGCAAAACCGAAGGGGAGAGGAAAACCTCTTGATCAATATTCTTGTCCAAACCAACCAAGGAAATGATTGTTCATTTAAGTTATATTTTCATCTCAACACACATTGGAGGAGTTCATTTCCCCAAGGTATTGATAGATGGAGGGTCAATAGTTAATATCCTTCCTTTCAATCAATTTTCCAGGTTGGGTAAAACTAAGGAGGACCTAGTCCCACACCATTGACAGTTTCTGATTTTGCAGGGGCCATAACAACCACTTATGGTGTTTTGTTGGCCCAAGTTATGCAAAATATGAGGCATTAATCATTGGTTTAGAAATTCTATTGGAACTCAAAGTCTAGTATCTGGAGATTTAAGGACACTCGCATTTAGTGCTCAAGTAGTTAACCAATGAGTATATATGCAGAGATCCAAATCTAGCAACCTATTATGTGGCAACTAAGAATTTGTGTTTAGAATATATTGAGGTAAATGTGGAATACATTTCAATAGCAAAGAACTTAGTAGCCAATCAAATGGCTCAAGTTGCCTTTGGAATTCAAATTCAAGATAATGAATTAGAAAGAACCATCAGGGTCAAAAGAAGAAATTTACCTTCTGTGATAACCAGAGGAATGCACATGGAGGTAAATGCTATTGAGCTTAATGATTAGAGGAAGCCTCTGATTGATTATCTAGCCAATCCTTCTCTAAGGATTGATAAGAAAATCAAGAGGCGAGCTCCAAACTTTGTGCTCATCAATGATGAACTACTAAAGAGAAAGATGAAATGGTTATTGAAATATATGGCTATTGTAGCCTTAAATGGAGAAGGATTGTTTTAACTATGCGAGAGGGTATGAGAGTTGCCAAAGAAATAGCCCAATTCAATACGCACCTGCAATACCTTTGAATCCAGTATTTAAACCTAGATCCTTTAGAAGTTGGGAAATGAATTTCATAGGTAAAATCAATCCTCCATCCAACAAAGCTCATACCTTCGTCATCTTAGCCACATACTATTTCACCAAATGGGTAGAGGCCACTTCAGTAAAGAGCATATCTTCCTACGAGGTACTACAATTCATCAAAAGTCATATCATTCACAGGTTTGTAATTCCTGAGCTCATCACAACTGATGGAGGGACTTCTTTCATGTCTTGGGAAATCAAGGAGTTAGCTAAGATGTACAAAATTAATTTTGTTCAATTCAGTTCTTACTTTGCTATAGCAAATAGACAGGCTGAGTCTACCAACATTGATCAATATCATCAAGAAAATAGGAAACAATAATCCTAGTACAAAGGCGGAACTAGGGATGGAAATAATACTCGTCGGGTCCTCGGCCCTAAAAGGAGAGTTTTCGGGGGGAAATCAGGGCCGGGTACGGGGATCCCCGAATTTGCAAAATCCTTGGTCGGGGATGGGCCTAGGATGGTATTGTTATCCCCGTCCCCGGACCCGGCCCGATAAGTAATATATTTATTTATAATTAATATATAAAAATGCATATTAATATGTATTAATATAATATAATAAACGAAGTTACCTTAGTGTCGCTCCTTATTCTTGATACATTGCATAGAGTTGGCACACATAGCAACACGGTCAGATGAGCTTATCTGATACATTGTTTAACCAAACTTGGCAACAACATAGTGGATTGGTCTAATATGGTGAGGATCATGAACATACCATGAATGAAGATGAGGGGTTGGCCACGTGCTGCTGCTTCTGTTGGTTGTTAGGAAAACCAAAATCCTTAAACATACCATAAATGATGAGGAAATAAAAGTGGAAGGTTAAAACTCAAAAGTATTTACAAAAAAGCTAAGCTTTTGTACGCCATCAAGTAGGTCATATGAATTTGGGTTCTAAGTTTTGTTCATATTCAAAAAGATGCTATCCTCTCGAATTCTTTGGGCGACTACACATCAAGGTTCTCTGTTTAAGATTTCTTTCAAATCAAGTTCACATGCAAAAGGTCAGCAAGGTTCTCTCTTTAAGATTTCTCTCTTTGATAATTTTCTATTGTAAAAAATATTGTACCTTCCAATTGTTGTATCCATCTTTATATTTTTAATGCATATATATTTTTTCTAGATGGGTGACAAATGAAGAGACTCAACTTCCTGAAACCCAAATTGAGGAGGATAATAATCCTACACCAACTAAAAATGATAGCAATCCTACAGCAACTAAAAATAACAACATAGAAGCCACCAGTTCAACTCAAGATGCTGTGAATAAAAGGAAAGGTAGATCTCCTGCTTGGGAACATTTTGAAAAGAAAGAAATTCGTGGTCAAATGAAAGCTGTGTGCATTCATTGTAAGAATACCTTAGGCGCAAATAACATGAGACTAGACATTTACTTGATCATGTAAAGTCTTGTCTTTATAAAAGACAAAGAATCAGAGATCAATCAATGTTGAATCCTACAAAGTCAAATGATGGGACCGTCAAGCTTGGTAGTTATAATTTTGACCACGACCATGCTAGGAGGACACTTGCAAATATGATTATTCTTCATGAATATCCATTATCCATGGTTGATCATATTGGATTCAAGATGTATTCCAATGCTTTGCAACCATTATTTAAAGTGTGTTCTCGAAACACAATCAAGAAGGATATCTTTAAGGTTTTTGAAGTTGAGAGGGAGAAAACAATGAAGTTGTTGGACACCAACAGAAGTAGAATTGCCATTACAACAGATATGTGGACATCGAATAATCAAAAAAGAGGATTCATGACTATCACATCACATTTCATTGATGATGCATGGAATTTACAAAACTGACTAATAAGGTAAATTTATTATATTGTTCTTATTTGAATTATTAATACTCTTAAAAAAAATAATTAGATTGTGACTTATTTGGTTTTTATTGTAGGTTTATATATGTTCCATGTCCACACACGACGGATGTACTTGCTGATGCTTTATTGGAATGCATGTTCGAATGGAATCTTGACCATAAGTTGTTTACCTTAACTATAGATAATTGTTCTACAAATGATTCCATGATTGCGATAGTGTTAGATAAGATTTTCTCTAGTTCACTTATGTTAGATGGACGTTTATTCCACATGTTGTGTTGTGCTCATATTCTAAATTTGGTGGTGAGAGATGGCTTAGAGGTGATTAAAAAGAGTATTGAGAAAATTAGGTGTAGTGTTGTATTTTGGCTAGGAACCCAAAAAAAAGAGGAGAAATTTCTTGAAGCGGCAAGACAATTGAGAGTTCCAACCTCAAAAATGTTAGAACTTGATTGTAAGACTTGATGGAACTCTACATATTCCATGCTTAAGACTACAATGATATACAAAGATATGTTTTTCCTCGTTTGAAGCATCGTGAGCCGTTGTACAAAGAAGTGCCTAGTGAAAGTGATTGGGCAAAGACAAAGGAGCTTGTTGATAAGTTGGCCATGTTTTATGATGTGACTGTACTTTTTTCAAGGACTAAGTATCCTACTATCAATCTTTACTTTAAGAATATTTGTGCTATTAGATTAGCAATTTATGATTGGCTTAATTCTGAACAAGAAGAGGTGCAAGCAATGGCATTACATATGCAAACAAAGTTTGAGAAGTATTGGGATACAATGCATGGTTTGATGGGAGTTGCAAGTATTTTGGATCCAAGGTATAAGATGAAACAAATTGAATTTTTATGTCCTTTAATATATCCAAACAATGCAGCTCAAGAGATTAAGAAATGTAAAGATATTCTCTATGACTTGGTCAAGGAGTATCAGTCAAAATCTCAACAAAGTCAGTAGGTGCAATCTAAATCTTTGATTCCTACTTCTTCATCTAGGCCATCTATGCCTAAAGTTGATTTGGTAAAGCAATTGGATGTGTTTGTTTCTCACTCCACTACCCATGGACATATTAAATATGAGTTGGAGCATTATTTAGAAGAGTCTCTTTTACCTAGGAATGATGATGATGATGATTTTGATATATTGTGTTGGTGGAAATCAAATTGGATCAAATATCCTACTTTGCATGATATTGCTAGAGATATTTTGGCCATTCTGGTATCCACAGTTGCTTCAGAGTCTTGCTTTAGTACTAGTGGAATGATTATAAGCCCTCGTCGTAGCCGGCTTCATTAAAAAACAGTAGAGGCATTGATGTGCGCTCATGATTGGTTATGAAGTGAGATAAGAGGTATTGAAATATTTTTATGGTTATATTTTTCATATTAAGTAAAACATTTTATTATTGTTTTCCGAATTTTTTTAATACGGTTAGCTTCAAGCTCTAATGAGAACGAAGCTAAAAGACTCACCGTTCAAGATGAGGAAGATAATAATAATGAGGAAGACGTAACATTTTTATATTTAATAGCTCTCTTTATTTTTTTTAAATGGATTTTTCTTATATTGGCCAATTTCTCATTTTCTTTTAAATAATTGTAATGTCTTTATCTTATTAATTTTTCTTTTTATAGGAGTCTACCATTGAAACAAAGAACATCTCTTGCTTTTTTTAATAAAGCTATGAATGATGAAGCATAGGAGAGTTCATTGAAATTTTGAAGTTTTATTTGATGACAGAATATTGTTAATATTTCTTTGGGATTGGTTTTCTAATTTAAGACTAGATGGATTTGTTGTGCTTACTGAAAAATTTTATAAAGATTTGGATTGAGAAATTATTTCAAGTTTTGTGTCCTCTTTTGCCTTGTTGAGAAATTATTTTAACAAGAAATATCTTGTGGTGGATGTTTTTAAAAATTCACAATGATGTGACTGTGATTTAGAAAATTATTTTAGCAAGTATCTTATTAAAAATTGGGGATTGGGGCGGGTATGGGAGACACTTCTCTGACGGGGACGGGGATTCCCTGAAAAGCCTAAACCGGGGATTGGGGCGGAAACGGGGATGGGGATGGTATTGTCATACCGGCCCTTTGCCATCCCTAGGCGGAACCACTCACAAGGCCCATTGTAGCCTAGGTAGCGTTTTGAATATAAAAAAAGAACTTGTATATATGGCCGACCAGCAATTTGGGATAATCCATTTGAGCTTCCTTGACACACCACATACACACGAATAACTTTTACTCTCCTACCAGCTGTTCTTGGTTTTCCCATGCCAATTTTTTTTGGCTTAATTACGCCAATGCATCAAATCCCAAACCTCGATCAAGGGATGAAAGTGGGTCATTTTGAGTTGAGGGGGGGAAGTGGGATTTGACAGAAGTTTCAAGGGGCATTAGTGTAATTAAGCCTTTCTTTATTTCAAAACTTGAACTTAATTGCTGAAATGATAAGGGGTTTGAGATTAACAAAAGGGCATTCAAACATAACGATAATTTTCTCAAAAAACCCTCCTAGAGCCCTTTACACTTTAAGGGGGGAGGAAGCCACTGTTCCTCCTCCCTTCTCCCCTCTCCCTTCTCCTTTCTTCTCTTCTTCCCTCATTTCCAGAGACAAAAGGTTTTCCTTATTTGTCTTCGTTTTGTTATGATTTTCCTCCAACCAACCATCACAGGCGCCTGCATCTCGGCGTCGGATCTCCATCACCATCCTTTTTCCGGTTTCTTTATGTTTAGAATAAGTCACAAAGACTCTTTGGGTTCTCTGTGTAGTTTTCACCTCTCCTTTTGTGAGAGCTTTTCACCTCTCCTTTTGTGAGAGCTTTTCACCTCTCCTTTGTGATAGCTTTTCACCTCTCCTTTGTGATAGCTTTTCACCTCTCCTTTGTGAGAGCTTTTCATCTCTCCTTTGTGAGAGTTTTATTTGTATTGTTATGGCTTAGTTTTTTAAATCTCTATCTCTTTTCAATTATTCTAAGTTTGCAATCTTAATTGAGATGCATATGCCAGAGTTTCTTTGATCATGTGTGATCGTCATCAGATTGTCTTAATTTTAATGTTAGACTACTCCATTATTGTAATGGCCTTTTGTGGCTAGTTTGTATTAGTCCTTTGTGGCTAGTGACTTTTTTGGCTAAATTATGAATGCAATTCTAAAAAAAAAAAAAAAAAAAAAAAAAAAAAAAAAAAAAAAAAAAAAAAAACAAAAAAAAAACAATCAATGGTCAACAAAGAGTTTGATCCCAGGGCCTGAAATACCACAAAATTTACACCACAAAGTTCACATAGCCATTCCAGCCATGAAGTCTAGATGTTGTTTAATGCATGGTTTTAAAGAACAAACTAAAAACATATATGGCCCATTATAAACTAGAATACATTAGAGAAATATTATTCTATAATTGTTTATATTGAAAAAGAAGTTGATGACAATATCGATTTAGATGCAATAACAAAATATTTCAATTCTTTAAGGATCGCATGGCACAACTTGAATAGGTATACTTTCATTTCAATTAGGGTAAATTGCCGACTTACTCCTTGAACTTGTAAATAACTCTCAATTTACCCCCTGACCTTTTTTTTTTAGTAAATTAAGGACTCGAATTAAATTTTATTATCAATGTTCCCCCCACCGTATCCAATTGCAAATCATGTATCTACTGAGAAGCTGTCTGAACCACTCAAGGCTTTTGTGCATCAGCTGTCTACTATACATATTCCAACCAAGGTTTCTGAAGCATTGAAATATCCTAAGTGGGTCCAAGCTATAGAAGAGGAGATGAAAGTTCTTGAGAAAAATCAAACTTGGACATTGGAGACTATACCACGAGGAAAAAAGACTATCAGATGTAAATGGGTGTTTACTATAAAACACGATACAGATGGATCTATCGAGCGATACAAGGCAAGACTTGTGGCAAAAGGGTACACACAGACCTATGGTATAGACTATGAAGAAACCTTTGCTCCAGTTTCAAAGTTAAACACCGTCAGAGTCTTATTGTCCCTTGCAGCCAATTTGGATTGGCCACTACACCAGTTTGATGTAAAGAATGCTTTTCTACATGGCGAACTCACGGAGGAGGTGTACATGGACATTCCTCCTGGATATAATACTACTCAGACTGGAACAGTTTCCAAGTTACGAAAAGCATTGTATGGATTGAAACAGTCACCACGTGCATGGTTTGGACCGTTCACCATGGCAATGAAGAACAATGGTTTCAAACAGTGCAACCCAGATCATACTCTGTTCTTGAAACATCGGAAAGGGAAGGTAACAACATTAATAATCTATGTTGATGATATGATTATTACTGGGAATGATAAATTGGAAATATCACAACTACAAGACTATTTGGCTACTGAGTTTGAGATGAAGGATCTAGGTGGACTCAAGTATTTTTTGGGAATTAAGGTGGCTTGATCACAGCAAGGTATATTTCTCTCTCAAAGGAAATATGTCTTGGACTTGTTGACAGACACAGGAATGCTAGATTGCAAACCTACGAACACTCCTATTGTTCAGAATCATCATCTTGGAGAATATCCGGATCAAGTTCCAACTAATAAAGAAAGATACCAAAGGTTAGTGGGAAGATTGATCTATTTGTCACATACTCGACCAGACATTGCTTATGCGGTGAGCGTTGTCAGTCAATTTATGTACTCTCCAAGTAAAGACCACATGAATGCAGTTCTTCGGATACTTAGATATTTGAAGTATGCACCTGGAAAAGGACTTATGTTCTCAAAACATGGTCATCTAAATATTAATGGTTATTCAGATGCAAATTGGGTAGGTAATGTAATAGATAGAAAATCCACATCGGGTTACTTCACATTCGTGGGATGTAATTTGGTGACATTGAGGAGCAAGCAACATAATGTAGTAGCTTGATCCAGTGCAGAAGCCGAGTTCAGAGGCATGACTAAAGGGATTTATGAACTTCTTTGGTTAAGAAAGTTGTTTACTGAACTTGGGTATGAACCTACATCCACAATGAATCTCTTTTGTGACAACAAAGCTGCTATAGCCATTGCACATAATCCAGTTCAGCATGATCGTACTAAACATGTTGAGGTGGATCGACACTTGTGAAGACCCATATTTTAAAATATATATAAATATATATTGGTTATATTTTTAATTATCTTGGTACATAAATGTAAACATTGTTGTTATAATTTTTTTTACTAATTATTATACTACTACAATAATAACTTATATATATATATATATAATTGTTTTGTTTTAGGTGTTATACTTTTAGATTTTGTTCTTAATAAATAAAAAAAAAAAAAAATAGTAATATTAGAAATAAGTTTATGTATTGCTTTTAACTTTATCTCTTCCTTGCCGACCAAGTTGAAGTGGCCTAGATAATTTGTACAAACACACTTTAAGACTCCAAGTGTCATTCTATTGAGATGACTAAGCCTTATTTAGCATGAGGTGTTGGCAATTTGATAAATAGCTATCCTAAGCTTGGAGATCAAGTTCCCACGTGGTCATCACCTCTCCACCAATTAGAACAATTTGAAACCTCTTGAGTATTACTATAAATAGGACACTTCCTTTGTTTTTTTGAAAGCATTTTTACCTGCATGAAAGTTCTTACAAAGAGAGAAAAACGTAGAGGGAGAGAGCAGTGAGGAAATTCTTGGAGGAGGTACTTAGCTTGTGTTTTCGTAATTTGGAGCTAGCTTTGGAATCAAGGTAGGGGTTTCTTGCGAGGCCTTTTTCAGAGATTGATTTAATTAAATTTCGTGAGCATTATATTATACATGGTACTGTTTGATTTACATACTCTTAACTGTTTGAACAATGTGGGCATGATTATATGTACATTGGTGATATTTAAATGATTACATTGTTTTTATGAGATATGTGAACTATATAATGTCATGGAAATTATTTGGAGTTCTGGGTTGAGAAAATAATGGTGGAAAAAGAGGGTAATGGGAATGGTCTTTTGTGTAGTTGAGTCTAACTCTTGGCAGGTACCAGGTCTCAGGGATCCCACAGTGCACATGGTTTTTATTGGGTGATTCGGGACTGGCGAAAGGGAGTTAGACAAGATGACTAACAAAAGGGGGAATTATGGATGATTAAAATGGGTGTTAGTTCATATAAATGGGCATTCGGGACCAAGTGGTATAAGCATGGTATGGGACGTGCAGGTCTGCTTGTCCAGTTATATGAATTAACGGGATTAGATGAAGAGCATTCATGCATTGTTACTAATAATGTGAAATTTGGCTGCTTGATTATTTGTCACTTAATTTAATTATATCAATTTATAGTAAAAAAGTTTATGTCCCTACTGAGCTGTGGTTTCGCTCACCCCCTAATAGATTTTGCAGGTACCGAACCTGAAATCTAGAGCTTGTGATGATTTTTGGCATGTCTATAGAATGTAACATAGCTTGTGGTTGAATAATGAGCTACTCTTTAAGTGAACTCTCGAGTAGTTCTAACTTGTAAAATAATGTAAAAATTTTTATGGTTTCAAACGTTATCGTTTCCGCGTTTCTGCTGAATATTTTATGTGAAATATCTATTTTATTTATTTAAATGTCTTCTTCACATTTTAGTTATAGTTTTTATTAAATTCTATAATTAAGGTGTGAATCACGTCTTAACCCAAGGTTTTGTAAATCCGAAGGTTGGGGTGTGACAACACTTCATCAAACAGAAGCTTGAGGACTAAAGTGTTTCAGTTTCCTTTTGTGAAATCCGAGAATCAATTGGCGGATATTTTGACAAAGACGATTTCCAGTAAATCATTTCACAATTCACTAGATCAGTTGGGCATTGGCAACATCTATGCACCAACGTGAGGGGGAGTGTTGGCGTAACTTGTGGATATTGACTTACTTTCCTTACACACCAAGAATTCCTATTATAATTGTAATTGATTTACTTTAATTCCTAATTTCCTACTGTAAATAAATTTAGGAATTTATTATTTACTTGCTCATTCAGGTTTCGTTGTATTATAAATATGACCTCCTACAAGGAGAAGAATACACAGAAAATTCCCACAAACAAATATTCTCTAATAGTTTTCACATTTTAGCATTTCTGAGTCATCCATTGATCATATCTGGTGGTGACACACAAAAATTAATGTTTTCTTATTATATCTTTTCAAAATTCATGATCAAAATTTACTCTTTTTTAAAATGAAAACAATAAGAAAAAAATAGTAGAGATATTGGGTCCCACCCACACAAAAATTAAATTATTTAAAATAAGTTTCCTCTTTTTCAAACCAAAACATGATTACAAGGAGGCCCTTGGATTTTTGAACTACACAAATCCAAATACAATCTCTGTAAAATTTCCGATAGAAAATTCCTAAACCAGATACAAGTTTTCAAAGTAGCACGTCCTTTCTTAGCCAAACTGTCCACCAATTGATTTGTTTCTCTATTAGCATGAGCATTGTTGCATCACTATTCTACCAGAAAGCGTCGTCTTAAAATACAAACTACGGCAACTGCAGGGTTGTTAGGGATGAGCAAAGACAGAAATTTAAAAACTTTTCATAATAAAGAAGATGAAAAAATACAGAGAGATTGCTATATGCCAGTGATGGGTATCACTGCGCATGCATGAGTACGTGTAGATGATGCGTGGAGTATCACAGATTCACAGCTCAACAAATATTGGACAACCCAAAATGAAATAATCTTATAATACATCAGAAAAGCAAGGCAAATCATGAAGCCTGACAGATTTCTGCACTTTATGACCTCACATCTTTTAGGACACCCCCCTTTTCAAGTTCACCGACTAAATCCCTCAACGACGGCACTTTCATGGCTAAAGTCCTGTACAACCTAGAATAACGAGCTCGCGTTCCATCTGCAGTCCTTGCCAAGGCAAGCAAGCTTAGAGCTTCAGGGAGTTGGGAGAATACATGTTTCATCTCCTCCAAGCTCATGCTTTCCAGAACAGATGGCCTTGGGACAACCCTCACAACCTCACCCCCTTTAGGTTCTTGAATCTTGGCATCTGCTTTAATGACTAGTTCTGAATTAGAGTTTGCTCCGCACTTGATGATAAATGGCGTCGTAGCGCCTGTATTGAACTGCAGGACATTCCACTGTGCCACGTCAGTTTCAGTACCGAACCCTAAATCTGTAGATGGTTTGAGAGCATGAGATTGCTCTTGAAGGTGATCATCTTCTTCGGGAATAGACTGCAACATAGAGATGATTCAGGGGGTGAAGTAAGAGATTAATAATAAACTGCATTGTCAGGAAAAAGCACTAATACACCGAAAGCAAACTTAAAAACCAATTTTATACACAGTTTCCCATCAATTTTACAAGAAGCAACCTTTGTGTTAAAAAGAAAAAAATAGCATGTGTGTGTATCTGCAGGGAAATATCTTCTAACCAGATTGTCTGGCAACACAAGATGCTTAGGTTTCCAGACAATGTCATTGGACCATTGATCAGGTTAACTTTTTGACTGAATGTGTTCAAATTCAGTCTGGTAACATAAGTCTGACAAGAGTAAGTGTTAAGCATTTCATAGATACCTGGATCACATGACGAGCATCAGCAATTTGCCTTTGCGCACATGGATGATCAATGTCAAGAAGGGAAGGCATCCGTTCAGCAAGTTCATCTAGAGATGCAAGCATTTGCTTCTTCTTACTCTTGCTCATGGTGCTCACAGAGGATTGTCTCACAATATCCTGTACAAGAAAAATGTATTACATTTTCTTGTTTCTCAAATTAACAATAGCCCAATCATCAAGTATCACCTGGAAAAAATAAATAAAAAGGTGCAAAGAGGTAAACCTTGACTTGTTTCACTATGCCATCAAGGGAAATGAGAGATGCTAATCGTGCATCTTCAGCTGCAGTAGAAGGATTTTGAATAGGTGGACCACCATCTTGCAATGTCAATAAGGCTACGTCACTTCTTATTTGTTGCAAAATCTGATGAAACCAAGAAATTAGCATAATATCCAACAATTGGTCCAAGAAGATAATAGAAACAAGGATCATTTCAGCCAACTTGTTTGTCACCACAGGAAATGGAAACATAAAAAGAAAAGAATTTTGACTTGCATGCCAGTGGATGGTTTATTGAATAACTTGTCAAACATAGGAACTCTGATATACCTTTTATTTTTAAATCTATTTATTCAGTTGAGAGACCTAGATATCAACTGAGGACACAGGAAACCTCCTTCAGACGAGAGATTCTATGTGTGATCTTTTAGAAACATAAATTTGAGATGTCATTAAACAAGAGGTCAACCATAGAAAACAAAAAGGTTTAAAATGAAAAGGAAAAATAAAGTACACGCAAAATAACTTCCTGAGCAAAGAGGAAAAAGGAATGTTCCCTGTCTGACCCAAGCATTGATTGGCATCATGAGTTTCCAACCTTTTAAAATTAGAGAAAAGGAACAAAAACTAAGGTAAAAACTTGTATATCCCAAGGATTACATCCTTTTTGTTACAAGGATTTCTTCTTCTTTTCTATTGAACACGCAAGTTTGCATTTATGAAGTGCATGATAGATTTCAGACCCAAAAAAATGTATACGAAATATGCAAAATATATACTTTCTAAAATGTGCACAAATATCAATAAAAAATATTACCTTTCTCCTTTTGTGATCAACAGACTCAAGAGCGGATCGCAATTTTGCAACCTGTGCTGCATCTTCCGCCCCTTCTGATGCCAACGTACCAGCAATATCCTGGAATATGGAAAAGAAAAAAAAATTCAACAAAAACCAATAATTCATTGATAGAGATGCACAGAACAAGTAGGCAGGCATCTCAATTACATAATAAATAAATAACAATTATATGGCATCTCATATTTGAAGGAAAATCATGCACGTCTCGCACCAAATTTAGCGAGTAAACCACAAATGTGCTAATGGACATAAATACAACAGAGATGCTACCGAAAACTAATAGAAAAGCACTGGTATATGGACCACCATTAAAAACAATGGAGATTTCCCAGGTTAATGTAAATAAGTCCTTAGGCCCTCAACCATTTTGAAGGGGGTGAAAGAAATATTAAGCCAACTATTTAAAATAGGAGACTAACCCAAGATCCAGACATACCTTCAGGTGCTGCAATTGAGATCCATAGACCCGCTTCGAATACTCAGATAGAAGTTGACCAAGAGCATCTGTATTAGGAGGCACTGCAGCACCAAGTCCAGCCATCCAACCATCCATGATTGCAGTTGAAAGAAGCTCCAACTGACCAGTTGTCCCTCCTGATGCATCATCTCCAAGAACAGAGAGGAAGTCAAAATTTTCTGCAAGCCAGGATCTAAGTTGGCGCTGCAGCTCACCAGCTGGTGTATGAACAAAGAGAGCAGCAAGAGCTTTGTTTCCAATTGCAAAACTTTTAGCCTCCTCATTTATTTCTCTAAGCTTTCCAGCAGTTACCTGCTGCCGTGGAGTATCCTGTACATTTGAGTGCTTAGAGCCACATCATATAAACCATTTGCAACAAAAGAGAATTCTAGCAGAGAATGTTTAAACTAAGTAGTGATAGTGAAGAAGCACCCAAAAACAGAAGAATGAGAAAGATAGGTACAAGAAAAGTAAAGAGAATACATCTGACTTCCAGACTTCTCCATTAAAACAGAAAAATTGGCAGAAGAAGAGCTAGCCTTTCTTTTCTCTACATTCTCTGGTCTGCCTTCTGCATGTGTATTGGGATTCTCTTTTCTATTTATCCTTTCTTTCTTGTTTATATCAACAGACTGGAGCAAGAGAGAGAGACACAGAGATACAGAGCATAAAGATGGCAGCTACCTGATCAAGGCCCCGTATCTTTGATACAACTGATGAAAACTTGGACTTCTTTTCTGGCTTTAGATTCACTCTGAAGCCTTGGATATGCTCATCAACATAGCGCACGGGAGATCTTCCAGGGCTGCTACCTCGGCTGGAACTTCTACTACGTCCAGTATTAGCCTTCTCCAGAAAATTCTCAACGGGAGAAACCTATGAATAATAAGACGGAAACAGCATTAAATAATATGCATTTGACATCACATTTTCTTGACCCCAACCCCACAGGAAAAAGAGAGAGCATACAAATAGAATGGTAAGGTCTCTACTGTTTCATAACTTTCATTACCTTGATGGACTGCAGCTCCGGTGATCTAGCAAGCAAAGATCTAATGTACAAAATTCTAACACGGGATACAAGCATGGTGTCCATTACCCTCTGTGGTTCCATTTTACGAACAAAAGAGAAAACAGCATCTCTTATTTCAGCAAGTATTTCATGCTCCCTAGAAGCCCCTGCTTTGATTACTGCCGCCAGAACCTGTAATTTGTAAATACAGTTACTTTTGGAATTTCTACTTCTAAGATACAAATTACTCAGGATTTGCCATAGGTGTACAAGTTCCTGTTATTGACAAACTGTTGAAACTTCTGTATATAGAAAGACCAATAGGTAAAATACTTTAAGCCAAATAGCAGAAAATCCATACTAGACAAGTGAACACATATCATCACATCTTAGCTTTAGCCACAGAATAATTATCATCAACCATTAACATGTTCTGACCAAAAGAAAGCTTACGTGCTCAAATGAAACCTGAAAGACTAATAAAGCATTACCATTCTGACATCATGATCCACCATACAAGCTAAGTCAAGCCAAGTAAAAAGTTGTTTAATTATTATGATCCTGGGTATCGTGCAGTAATGTTTTTGTTTTCAGTTAAAGAAATAGAAAGAACAAGGAGAGGAAAGTGAGAAGGGCGATGAGAGATCAGATAATAAATAGAATGGTTTACAAGAATTTTTTTTATTATAAAAACTTATGAATCAATCATTTAACAAGCTACTCTATGTAAAGCTCACCACCACCCCAAAAAAATTTAAGAAAAAAAGCCTTAGTTAGTATGACATTTTCAACATCAACTAAAGGTGAAATGTTGAAACTGAAGTTTTAATACTCACTTTAAAGTAAGAAATGCCTGACAACACCATATTATATCCACATAAATCATATTATGTCAGTATGATTACAAACACAAATGAAAAGAAAAATAAAAAAACCACGCGTACCAGCATCAAAAGCTTATTTGCTCCATCTGAAATGGCAGCAAGGCTGTCATGTTGTTCAGGATCAAAGTCATTCAAGGCAGACGTAAGATATTCTCCTGCAGGGGTTGTTTTGACTTTATCCGAACCTGATTTCACTAAAGCAACTGTACCCTCAGTCTTGTCTGCAGCAAGTGCCGGTGATGAAGGAACAACATCCATCAAATGCCCCCTACTATCATTCCTGCTTTATGGTATTAAAAAATAAAGTTTAATAATTCTTTTAGGAAATAAGGGCTTTTGAATAGAGAAAGATAAGACAAAAATTACATTAACCACAAAGTGTCTCCAAAAGTCTTACCTCACAAGGTCCCGAGACTGCACATTTAGTGGCCCCTTGGATAATGGACTTGACAGCTAAATATACAACACACACACACACATATTAGAAGTATGGAACAATACCCTAAACAAATCACAGAAGTAGAATTGCTTAAATTTCATGAATGAGACAAAAAATTGTGAACATAGTTTACACGATCACATGAAATCAAATAAGGAAGCAGCTTATTATCTAACAATGGATTCGAATAGGACAACAGATTTCTGCAAACTCAACTTTTTCATAGAATTTTGAATTTCTCCTAAACTTTTTTCAGTTAGTCCAAATGGCATTACAAAACAGAACCATCAATATCATACGAATAAATGAAACAGCTACCATAGAGTCAGATGCTAACTGAAAAAACTTTCAGCCCAGAATCTTGATTTATTACAATAAACACCCGGAATTACATCTAAAAACTGCATTCCTCAGATTCCCATGAATTACTGAATCAAGAAAAGCAATGAATGCAACAATAAGCACAAAAGATGCCACAAGAAAATGAATAAAACCAAAAGACTGTAGCAGATACTTGAAATGCTTAAAAAAAATCAACTGCACAAAGATACATCTATAACATGAAAGCACACAACCACATCTAAAATGAGATAAATAGAAATTACCTTTGGTGATCCAGCCAAAGATGCTTTCTCTGTCAATCTATCAAATAACTTCTCATTTTCTTCATGTAACCTCTGTTGAGAGAGAGAGAGAGAGAGAGAGAGAGAGAGAGCTTTTAGAATGAAATATACTATATAAAGGAGCATATCGATTGAGATTTGAAATAAAGATTTAAATAGATGATCTTTTCATGTGGCACACACAAACGATGACTTGGTAAAGGATACCAAGTCATTGTGGAAGAGACTCCTCATAACACAACTTTTTGGTCCCAAGGAGACCAAAACAGGAGCCTTTGGTACTTCATTCTAGTTTTTGCAGTCTAATGGTCTTCAGACTACTGGGCACTGTTAACGATAATGTAGCATAATTACTATTCATGTGGTACTTTTCATGACATTAGCAGATTTGTTAGCTAGGTCATTTTGGGTCTATAGCTTTCTTATTTTTACAGATTTAATGGATTGCCATTGTGAGTTTAATTCTAAATGTCAACGCTTAATGTCTTGAAAGGTTCAAGTCTCTACTTAGGCTCGTGAACTTCTAGTTTGCATGGGAAATGAATATTGATTCAGACTACAAATAGCATCAATAAGATGTTCAAGGATACAAATATGAGGTCATGTAATAATGATTCATGATCATTAATGCATCACGTTTATGGTAAAATTGCACACCTCTATTAATGCATCACGTTTTTTAAGCTCCTCTTCCAATTTCTTAGTAACTGGTGGAGAATCCATGCCATCCCCAATTGCCTTGGCATTGATAGATCTGAGCCTAATGCTGACCGATCTTCACTGGAATGGAGGGCTTCACTGAGTCTGGATTCAATGCTTTTCATTTTGGCCTGAATGAGACAATTAAAGTTAGAGAACACCATATGGTGCAACAATATTGCAAAGTATATTTATTTATTAGGAAACATAAATATGAAACTTTCATACATTAGCATACATCCATCATAATTCAACTCTTTAATAATGCAACAAAACTGAAACCTCTAGGCATTGACAAATGAATATGTGCCATAGTTACTTTAATGAAGAACCACATTAAGCAACAGTTGAAAACATTGATATTCAAATAATATCAGGGGCTACCTGCCCGAAAAAAAAAATTATAATATCATGGCTGAGTTAATTATGGAACAGTGTCAAAAATAACCATGCCGCAAAAGACCAACTGCTGACCCAAATAAGCTCCAAACGATTCAATCATATTATAGTGAAACACCCATCCCAAGTATGTAGCATAGGTTACACTTAAAATATGAATGCAACACAACAATAACATTGAACAGGTTTTCTACGGGAGTTCCTGAACATTTCAAAATAAATATTGAATGCTCAAAATATAAATGAGGAAGACTAAACAGACACATGGCCAACCTGCAAGGCCTGAATCGTAGAATCTCGTTGTTCTATCTGCACTTTTTGATCTTGCTCCAACTGTAACAGTTGAGCTACTTGATTTCTGAGCTGCGCATTTTGTTCCCTTTCTATCTTTTGCTTATCTGCAAGCATAATATTCTCTGACTGCATCAAATGAGAATATTAAACCAGTTTAGCAACATGCTTACTAGAAGAAACTACATGATCAATGTTGAATCACACATGTAGACAAGACAGCGCCAAACACCAATTTAAAATACAGAAAAGCCACAAATACATTCCCCGGTGATAAAGTGAAAAATGTCAAACATTACCAAAAACCAATTTAGAATACAAACTACAAATGCATTCCCCAGATATAAGATGAAAATTGTCAAACATTGTGACAAACTAGAAAATTGTCAAACATTGTGACAAACTAGAAAATTGGAATGTGAAAATAGATAGATCAAGAAAGCTAGCATATAGTTCACAACAAAATTTTATGATAAAACTGAAAATCATTAAACTAGATGACTAGAGAGGCAACTCTGGAGAAATTTCTTAATTGGATTGTAAATTCAAATCTAGTAATTAACAGTTTGAACAATAAAGGAAAACACATTAAAATTGGCTTATATCAAGAACATGTCCAAACAATTATTTGCGAAGAAATTTTTCTGACTTTCACTAGCATGCAAGTCAATTGGAAAACTGTAGCAAATTCAGGAAGTTATAAAACCTTTAAATCTGACTGTAATGTATAAGAAACTTTCCACGCTTTCTGGACTTCATTGAAGAGTAGGACACATTGATCATTTGCATCCTTGAGTGAATGTTTAAGTCCCAAAACCTCTTGTTTCAAATCCTGACTTTCTTTTTCCTTTTCATACAACTCCTTACGTGCATCATTTGCCTACAAGAACCATCACAAATAAAAATTCAGAAGAAATGAATTCATAACTTTGCTCATAACAGTGTCTTAACCAGAACAAATTCGTAAGGTAAGAAGTTATTTAATAGGGGCTCCATACTTTTTTTTGGTAAAGTTGGCATATCCAGTATTAATCAAATGTATATCATTTCGATGCAATTTACTTGCTTCGATGTGCTCATGTGACAGAAAACAAAACTCAAGCGTCCAAAGCAAAATATTTATAGTATATATAGAAAGAGGGGGGGAGAGAGAGAACTTACAATATCTCTCCATTTCTTTATGGTATCTCGATTCCCAAGGCCTAGAACAGCATTTCGAGCTCTAGAAGAGAAGTTGAGAGATGATAGTGTCTCCGACAAATTCGCAGAATTTGGAACTACATTAACAATCATCAGAGTTTTTGAGCTTCCACCTACAGAAGTTTTTTTCAATAAGAAATCAAAGATAGTTCTCCAACCAGACTGATGAAAGACAATTAATATAAATCAACTGAAAAAAAACCCCAAATGATAATGCCAGTCAATCATACAGTGGAACAGAGGGTAATGGACACCATGATCAATCTGACACAAGTAACCATTGACCAGTTACCAACACATACAACCATAAAAAGCATTATACACTACTTCTCATTCTTTATTTTTGCTTCATGGCACAATTACACAGCTAAATCAGTACTAACATAAACAATAAGGAGAACTGAATACCTAGCGAGTCTGCGAGTACTTTTGTAAGCATTGAATTTTCATAAGGAATAGCATCCTTTTTGGAAGTCAAGGAAGACAAAACATCTCCCAACCTACATGCACAACATCAATTGCACTAACATTTTAGTACATGATGGCAGGAGTAAATTCAAAAGGTACCATATTCGCACATGATGATGTCATTGCTTCACCAATCTATGCAAAAATAAAAGATAATAGATCGATATAAGCAGCCACCATGCAAAAACTCAGTACGGGTTGGAAAAGAAAAGCTGATATACTGTCGGGACCAGCGGAAAATCACTTATTTATTTATTAACCATCCTTTTAGTAATGTGAACACCTATGTTGCACAGATCCTTCAAATTTGGCCATATGGAGTATTCAAAACGGATACAGCCGCATACATATCAGGTATAGCATTTGGAGTATGTGTCTTTTGGGCACATTTAACTTTCAGATAAAACAAGGATATGCAGTTGATAAGGAAAAGACATGGTCAGGATACAAAATGGGTTCTTCTGAAATTTTATAAAAGTGGTCTACTGTTCAAAAGCTAATTTTAACCGGTGACATAAGTCTCTTCTCTTTTGTGGTTCGACAAAATGAGAAAGATAGGTTTTCAACGTTTCTGATTAAGATAAGAAATAATACATATTATACCTATAGTAGATTAATGTTCTCTTGCCAAAAAAATGCTTATGTTTCCATACTGTGAATCTGTACCACAGATTCTGACAAAATTCAATTTGATCAAGGGTCCAGATTCACAATTTGCCAGACAATCAGACAAACATTCCCTTTTCCCATATATATCTATATATATTATTTTAACCGTTGTGTATATCTATCCTAATTTTTGGAGATATTCGTATCGTCTCTAGTATCCCAAATTTGTATCCGTTCAACATTGGTGATCGCATGCAAAGAAAATAGATTTGAAATGCCATACTATGGTATCAAGATCATGCAAATTGAAAACCGTATATTGTTCAAAAGTTTAAGACCAATGTGAACCATCCTTAAAATTATAGGCAACCTGAAGGGCTAGAAACCAAAACTTTTCAATATCAGAGAAATGAGATAAGTCATCCAAACATACGCTGAAAGTGATTTCATCACATGCAGCAAGTCTGTCACACGCTCACTGCTGTCATCTTCAGCAATTAAACCTTCACTTCCAGCCAAGTCAACTAGAGAAAGCTTGCTGTATGTGTTTTCTCCAGTGATCAAATTGTTATAATATATATGTATCGTGATGATCCTGACAATAGTGAACAAGAATCTTTTTAGATAAATTAATAAACGAGCAGTTGTAACACATAGACAAGCATACATAAAAAATAAAAAATAAAAAAAGTGGATGACTGCATATACTGAACTTCTTTTTCTAGTTTTCCAATTTAATGGTACAGTTATATTTCCTATCCACTATACCCTTTCTTCAACTGTTTTCACTCCTGAAAACTGGACAGTGCAACAGTGGCCGTTTGTCAAGTTTGGAGACTACACCCGGTAAGTAAAAAAGAAACCTTGTAATAGGCCACTTGATTGTAGCTTCAACCAAGTTGGTAAAATGTCAGACAATATTGCACCAAGTCAACAGCAGATCAAAGATGTCAGCAATAAATTTATTTTAACTATGTAGCAATTAAATGTATTTTAGTAGATGAAAGTGAACAAACTAGTTCAAGTTGTTAAGATCAATTAACTAAAGACTATCTTTTCTATCAAAAGGAACAAAACTTTTCATGTGCTCAAATAGATCCTTTTTCCAGAAAAAGGTGTACAAGTGATAATGACCACTTTCTCCTGAATCAAGTGAACGCACAGAAGTGATGCAATAGAAAAGTTGAGAACAAATTGAGGATCATAAAATAAAATAAATATATATTTCACAGTTTAAGCATGGTCTTCTCATTCAGTGATCTGACGGGACTTTTTTTAAGAGAAAGCTCAAGCTTACCATAGTACCTTAAACTATGTTAGTAAAAGTACGACCTTACACTATAACAGCCATATAACGAGCCTACAAAATTTGGAACATACAAATGAGAAACGTTGAACTTCGATGGATCATTTCCTCGGCTCTGAAATGCATCTTTTAATACTTTAGAGAAGTCCAGTGGATTATCAACTTTTTCCTGCACAAGTTCTACAAAGGACTCCGGTGATCCCATGCGAATCTTTGGTAGAGCATCTCCTGATTCTGGGAGTAAATCCCTTATCTACAAGAGCATGGAAGGGATCCACATCAAACCATCATGAGGATTCCTTGCTCAAAAGCCATTCAGACAAACATAAACCAGAAATCATGACAATTTACTATAAAAAAAATAAGTACCTGTTCATTGTAGAGCTCAAAAACTGTAACGGAGAACTTAAATCTCGACGTAGAAGTTGAATCAGAGTTGGCCAAATCGAATAGTTCCTCGAAAGAACGAGCATATAAACCACGATCATGGCTAGATCCTTCCTGAAAAAAGGTTACAGAAGGCCAAATATCATGAAACTCGTGCACAACTTGAAACTACTTTCATAATAAATAAAATGAAACAACTACCACTAAATCTCTTACTGTACCAAAAACAGTAAAAGGCACACCACTCATTGTGGCAATTTAAATTCATGCTCTAGTACATTGAATTCCATTGTTTATTTTGCGGTAAACCAGTGGAAAGAATTATCCAGATTACAAAAAGGAATGTAACAAACAATGAAAAGCCCACCACGCTTTAAGGTTCAAATCTAATAGTGAAGAATCACTTCTCATTTCTTTTTTAAAGTCCCTAATACATCAACGTAGAATTTGTAATCAATTCATTTTACAAATTTGTAAAAGAAAATATCAAGTTACAACGCCCTGAACTGGCTAGAGGAATAGAAGTCAGCATACAAGTACAAATTTATATGAATCAGAAACACATTCCAGCAAAGACACACACAAACAAATGCAGAGGGAGGAAAAGAGGAAAAGAGCGCAACCATTGTGTGTGTCTTTCCTGAGTTGGTTTGTCCGTATGCAAATATAGAAACATTATATCCATCCAATGCTGATTGCACCAAAGGTTGAACATCACGGAAAAGTTCAGCTGACAAACAAAAAAAGTCAAAGATGTTTTAGCCAAAGACAACTTTAAAATAGGAGAATATGTTTAATATTTCACCTAGCACAACCACAATAGGAAGGTGAAAACAACGAAATAAGAACGTTATGCTCACCTTGTCCAACATGAGGTCCATAAACTCTGTCAAGTTCGAAATCCTTCTTGGGGTTGGACAAGGCATCATCACCAGTATTTACACGGATGTTGTAGTCATCAGGATATTCAACAATTGAGGAACCTTCATCCTCAAATAATGGTCTTGCACGACAATATATCTTTATGTTTCCTGGAATAAAGGCTAGTTAGAAAATACAACCCTGTTGAACTTTTGTAAGATCAATTAAATACCTCAACAACCTTGAAAATTAAATTTAAAAGTGCTTATGTGTGGCATGCCTTTTTTTATGGCTGTGAGTGACTGCGTGAGAGAGAGAGAGAGAGAGAGAGAGAGGAGAGAGAGAGAGAGAGAGAGAGAGAGTCCCAAAAGGAGAAAACTCACAGAAGATGAGTACCTTTGGCTGTCAATAAGTCATTGAACAACCTTCTCTTCTCATTGATCAACGGAGAAATTCTAGCCTCGGTTTCAAGGGCAAATTGATCTGGCATTTTTATGCAGACAAATTTTCAAATCCATTAAGATAACCAAGAACATCAAAAACCTTACAAAAAGTAACGCTGGGGTGAAGGACATTAAGTTTTCTTGGACTAACTAATCTCAAAGTGCAAATACATCACAAAAGAAAAAGAAAAAAGTAGTTTTATGTTGTTGCAATGTAATATCAAGGTACCCATGTCAAAAAATATCACTCATCTGGAATTTAGACAAAAGTCCCATACCACCCACTTCAGAAATCCTTTAAACCGACAAACGCACAATCAAACAGCAAAACCAAATCTCTTACCTAGCTTTCGGGTTTTATTGGCAAGAACACCAAGATAACGTGTAACTCTTTCAAGTTTGGCATTAGAGTACTCGTGCAACTCACTTGCTTCTTGTCTCAACTCCAAGTAATCTTCTCTAGCAAGCTGTCCAAAAAGAAATGTTGAGCAGACCTCCTAAACCCAACATAATCTTCACATAAAACAGTAAAATAACTTCAAAAGGCTCCAGAACAGATGCAACCACTTATTCTCACTAATGCAATCTCTCACATTATGCACAAAGCGTTCACATTCTCCAAGCCAAATTATCATAATTTCAAAATGCATTTCCAACAACACACACTCTTGAACCACAAACCACGGACTTTAACACTGATTCAGCTCAAAACTCCATTAATCACAGCCTCATACCCTAACTACCAAAACCAAAATCAAACATCGCATTACCTTAACTTGGTCCTTGAGTTTCTGGAGCTTAGAAGTCACAGAGTGATTGGAGAGCTCAGACTGAGCCAAAGCCGAGGCAGCAGAGATCGAGTACCTCCGAACTAAAGGCGCACCAGGCTTGTAATCGTCATGGTCGAAGCTCGAAGCCGTCGACGACGAAGAAGACAACTTCCTCGGTTCAAAGCCACTGACCTCCCAGTTCCACCTATTGTTGTTCCTCTGCTCCGCCATTGCGGTCTCCCCCACAAACCTAGCCCCAAAATTTGAAAACCCAAAATTCAAAACCCCAAAGGAAGCCAAAATTGCTTCTCAGTGGCTCTGGCTTGGGCTCTGTGGACCTAGAGAATAGGGATCATCTAATTTCAGCCATTTTCTTTTTGTGTTTTGCTTTTGGGATATATAAATGTAGTGAAGACACTGGTATGTATGTCTGTACTTTACTGCCTTGTGGTTGGGCTGCGAACGACGTCGTTTGGACATTTGGGGGGGACACTTCTCGGCTTTTTGAGTCACAAAATTTTTGCGCTCGTTATTATTTCACATCTCGCTCTCAGATGGGGGGTTGCCTTCGATTGTAGACTTGCAGTTTTTAGATAAGGCAGCGCACGTGACCGTGCGTGCGGATTGTTCAGAACTTCCTTGTTGGGTCTGAGAATTTGACTTTTAACCAACTGTTAGTTTCTAGCCCGAGTCTTCGAATATTTGGTCCTAATGTCAAATTCTTTGGTGTTTTAATTGAGAAAATGCCACCTTTATGTGTAACATTATATACCACTTTGTATGGATGGGCTCTACTTGTATTATAGCGGTACTTCCATTAATAAGATTGTCAATTTAATGTGTAGAATTGTCAATTCATGTACAAATAACCAATAAAATGACCTATTTATTTTGACAACAAAATTGACTTAATGACCAAATTGTCACGCGTAACACAATTGAAGAACACTCGAGCATAAATTTAGGAACGATTGCAATTAATCTGTACCATTTTATTTTATTTTATTTTTGCTTGGGGTACAAATATCTTCTTACTGTTAAGTAATACAATATTTTACTGGGGATAAAAAGTAAAAGAATAAAAACAAAAACAAGTGGATTTGCATAATGCACTTGTGTGGTGGTGGGTCACTTGGCTTGAAAGACCCGCCCAACTCAATTCAAAAATTTGCTGTCTTGGTACTTGTTTGCTCTTTATACCCAATAGTAATGATGATGGAACACTTGGGGCTTGGTGGTATTTGGCCCACACCATAGACAAATTCGATAATAATAATAATCAATCCTGCAAATGTACAGATTAATCAAACCCAAGTTGCTATGATATTTTAAGTAAATTATGCCTTCGATAAATAAAATATATATATAGTTTATGATTCTATTAGATGGACAATTATGTAGAGAGCAAATTACTTGAACTTGAAACAAGCGTGCATGAAAGCATAATGAACATAGTGAAATAAGTGTAATTCTCACTTATTTTACTTAATTTTCACTTAATAATTCCATGCAAATTATTTTAGAGATTTTATTTATTTATTTTTTGGTTGAATTGGAAAAACAAGGCCGAAGAACATAAAACAGCAAACTAGCCCAGTGGGTTTGTTATATTGTAATATTTCAGGAATTTAATGTCTGGGGATTCGAATATAAGATCACTAAACTGTACATCAAGACATTTTTAAACTGGACTAGAGCCCATTAGCGTCTCTCTCATACCGTTTGCACGTGACATATTTCTTTATTATTTTTTAAAAATATTTATGGATAGTCATGGATCTTCTATCAGTTGGGCTTTGTATATGGGCCATATTGAAAATATAGTACACTTACTAAAGTGGTGCCTGCGAAGGGACAGTTCTCACTAGAGGATCAAGTCCAAAATGTCTAGGGCCCGTTTGATGGGCCTCAGACAGATTTCTACCAAAAAAGAATTTCATCCTTTGTCTTGTTTTGGTGGTTCTTTTTTATTCTTGGCTACACAATAATTATTAGCTGGTTCTTTTTTTCTTCTTTTTTTTAACCTTTGGGATTTATCAGAACAATCTCAACTGTAAGAGCATTTCCACCGGTTAGCCCCTTGCCATGGTAAGGGGAGCCCTAGGGCAGCTACTATTCATGTGAAAAGTGGCTGCCCTAGCCCCCCAACAAAGTGTGTTTTCAGCAGTTTAGGCTTGCCATGACAAATACTATTCATTTTTTTGTTTTTTTCATAACTTTGTTTACTTAAACAATTAATTTGGATAATATTTTCGGATAAGATTTTTGGGTTCCTTCGTGTCAATACTATTCATATCGGATAAGATTTTCGGTTTCAAATTTCAGTATTTTTTTTTAATTTTTATTTCTTTTTCTTTTTTTTATTGAAAAAAATTGGATGCCTTTGGATTGCTGGAAAAAAGGAGATCAGAGAGCCCAGAGCCAGCCACGTGGAAGAGAGCCATTGGGGGGCACTGTAGCGGGTTTTTTATAAAAATTTTCCAATTTTTTTTCGATTTTCTATTGGAAAAAAATTCGCTGCAATTGGATTGCTGGAAAAAAGAGGATCGGAGCCCCCAGAGCCAGCCACGTGGAAGAGAGCCGTTGGGGGGCACTTTAGCGGGCGCGTTGCACGAGCCAACGTTAAAAAATTTAAACAGAAACGCTGACGTCAGCTTAGCCTGCAGGCTAGAGCTCAGGCCAGCCCAGTTCGCTGAGCCCCACTCCTTGCCCTGACAGACTTTTGTTGCTGGAAACATCATTTTGGGTTTGCTGCCCCTAGCCCTCCCATTGGGCCCCTTGCTGAAAATGCTCTAAAAGAAAATTAATCTGCCCAAATTTGAATCCAATAGTAAAATTAGTAGTATTAATTAATCTAAATCAAATTAACTCCTAAAATCAAATCAATATATTTGCTTTCTTTTTTTTTAATGGTTGAAGTTTTTTCGTTTTTGCGTGCATGAGTTGAAGGCGCACACACAAACTGAGCATGCATGCATGAACAGAAGTACGGCACACATAGATCTACCCTTTCAGAGAAAAAGCCATTGCTGCCTGCCAATACTAATGAGTTGGGTTGGGAAGGCAGCCAGCCCAAGAAACCAGAAAAGAGGTATGATTAATTATTAAAGTAAAAATAAAGGAGAAAGAAATTAGTGTGTGAATCACATACACCGTGCGGTGTGATTGAAGAGGTGAGGGAGGGACATGCTTGGCCAGGTTTAGGTGTGGAGGCTAGTCACCATCGCTCACTGGTGCCTCCGTAAAAAGCTAACATAGCAACACAGACAATCTCGAAACCCACCGACCACAGGTCACATCAGCAGTATGGGCGTTGGGCAAATTATCCTCTACGTGTGTGTCTTCATTATCAATCACCTATCCACCACCATCCCAATAAATAATGATAAAATATATATATATATATATATAAACTCTATTTTTACGATCACAAGTTTCTATTTTGTTCGACCGAAAAAAAAAAAAAAAAAAAAAAAAAAAAAAAAATTTCTATTTTGTCATATTTGTGGTTGCAAAATTCCTTGCTAATGAATTATTTAACTGTGATTTTGGAGTGAAGCCTCAACTTCCCTCATATTTATGCTTATGAGTTCCTGTTTCACTAAAACACCCAAAATGGGGGTTGAAATTATAAAAAAACTCAAACACTATTTAAACATATAAACACACTCAAAACTCATCATTACACACACTCAAAACCCATTTATAAACACACCCAAAAATTGACTTTGGGGTTGATTTTGGGTGTGTTTCTATGTTTAAATAGTGTTTGGGTTTTTTATATAAATATATGTCTAGGATTGAGTTTATTTATAAATTTGTATATGTTTAATTGTAGTAATGTGGACTAGTAGTTGTTGGTGCGATTTTTGTCCCACTTTAGTTTGCTTTTTTAGCATGTTATTTTTGTTACTCTCTTGAATTTGGTGCTTTGAATGTCATATTGATATCTTAGTTTGTATTATTGAAGATTTTGTAACGAAGTTGTTCTTTGATAAATAAATAAAAAGTGTTTTTTGAACTTTCTTAAAAGTTCTCATTTTAGTCCATAAGTTCTCAAATCAAATAATGTGACCCTTTATTTTTTGGTATGCACATTAATTCGGTTCATGATATCATTTTCTAATAAAGCTTTCAATAAAATTGGTTACATGTCACCGTTTGACCAACGTCCATTTGGTTAATAAGAAATGGGGCTTGAGAATGATTTCCCTTATTTGGTAAATCCACACACGGAAAATAGTTGTCTTGCACGTGAGAAAATAGAGAGAAAATGGAACCCTCCACTGCCCTTGGGTTTCATTTTTCCTACCCATGAGAAACTAAGACCAACATTAAATGCACATTTCTTAAGACCATTTTGTGTCCATTAACAATTTAGAATTACAATATAATATTAAATGTATTTTTTATATAATGTAATATGGGTATAATTAGAAAATTAAATAAATTTTGTTTTACATTCCTAACCAATCAAACATGAGGAAAGAAATAAAGTGACATTTCCTAGTTACTTTCCCAGTAATAATCAAACATGAGAAAATACATAAAAAATATTTCCCATTAAATCTTTTCCTTGAATCAAATAGAGCCTAAAGAGTTGCGTCATTAAAATGTAGCTCATTTTAGTCCCACAACTCACGCTTTGCTCATCTATGCTATATGCTCTCCAATTAAGGTTTCACATTTGAGTTAATTACAAAACTGCCCCATCAACTGTCTTTAAGGTTTTTTGGTCCCAAGTTAGTCTTTAGATGTGTATTTAATAAGCAGAAGTAATGACTTTTGTCCAAAAATAGAAAAGAAAAAAGACGTGGTTATGTGACATAAATTGTGACATCCATTTCAACCAAATTCAAACTCAAAACTTGGTTTACTAACGACGAGATCCTTCCCCAAACTTCCTACAATTAATTGGACATTCTTAATTGTTGGCGGGCACAGACCAAACTCATAGCTCACTCTGGCCGCATTCTTCAATGTGAATGTCAAATACTGTAACCTTAAAATACGAGAAAGACATTGATGAATGGAGAAAATGCGTTAGAATGATTCTAATTAGGGGCATATCGCATATGACAAATTATATATCTTCAAGATGAGATGAGGGGCTTGCGGACCACCACGAGAGGCACTTGCTCATCAAACCATTTTTACCAATTTAGTCGCTCAATCACCTTCCGCCATCTTCATCGCTCTCGGTTCCTCTCCTTGCTCTCGCCGTGCTTGCCTCATCGCCCCCATCCTCCCTGCCCAATCACGTCTGCACTCTTGGCATCAACACTGTGCACCATTGCCCCAATCCATCATCGTGGTAATCGTTCCCCTAACTTAGGGACTGGTTCGTTTACTCTCGTCCTTTCCCCTTCTTGCTGTTTGGTGGCTTGTCTATTGTTTTGGTACGTCTACGTCTGTGGTAGATAATGAGCAATCCTTTGGTAGTCGTCTGGTACTCGCGCCTCATGAATAGGCTGGTTTGGTTATTGGTTCTTTTGACATTGCAGACACTTTTGTTGGTTTTATCTATGGTCTTGTAGCTCAAGTTCTTACAGATCAACCCGTCAATCATGATGACTTTATCAAAACCATTACGCAACTTTGGAAAGGTTATGCTGATGTCTCCATTAAAGAAATTGGTTTCAACAGCTTCCAACAATTAATTGGACATTCTTCGTTGTTTGCGGGCACAAATCAAACTCATAACTCACTTTAGCCACATTCTACTATGTGAATGTCAAATACTGTGACCTCAAAAGACGAGAAAGACATTGATGAATGGAGAAAATGCTTTAGAATGATTCTAATTAGGGACATATCGCATATGATCAATTATATATCTTCAAGATGAGATGAGGGAGCGTGGGGACTACCATGACAGAAACACTTGCTCATCAACAATTTTAACCAATTTAGTTTTAAAAAATCGTGAGAGAGTATATCTCTCATGATGAGTTAGCTTTTGGTTAGTAATATTTGTGTCTATCTAGTTGGAGGAGGTTTTAAGTTCGACTCGCATAACATAATTTGTGTGTGTGAAAAATCTCATTTTCCTTTAGTTTAGACCATGACTTACACTGAGAAAATATACATCCAAATTGAGCTCAATGCTTCCCTGCACTGCAAACTCAACATTTCAGTTTTTCACACCATCGGTTAAACCTTTTTAAAGCAACCAAAGGGCAAAGAAATAGTGACCAAAGGGCGGGGACGTGGAAAACAGCCAGTAGTTTGCTTCACCATAAAAAGGACCTTCCTTTTCCACACTTCCACAAACATTCCCTCTCTCTATAATTTTTTGTCTCTCTCTCTCCCAATCTCATTGGTGGCCTTGAAGTTTCACAGAACACTAAACCCCAGATTTACTCAGACTGGTGAGTAAATCATTAAATACAAAGCAAATAAAAACTTTAAAAAGCACCAATCAGATCCCCTTTTTACCTAATAATCTAGAAGCCCCTCGCCTAGCTTATCCTGAGAAAATGTTTCTTTTCTCCAATTGGTTGGTTTATTTTTTATTTTCTGAGCCTTGTTGGTGTTGAAAAAGCTCTCTGGATCTAAGAATCTAGAGATGGAGATGGGTCTCTTTCTCTCTAAAATTTTGCATTTCATTTCATTGCATATTTAGGGTTTGCCTTTGCCCCCAGAGATTCTTGGCTAAATTTGGCAAAATGCCGCCACTTCTCGCACCAGACCTGTCCCTCTCCAATTAGCCCTCGTTTCCTTTTGCTTCTAATTTCTTTGCCTTTTCTGGTTAGTTTTTTGCTGATTATATTCTCTGACTGAAGATAACTAAATCCTAAAGAAGAAAGCAAAATATTCCATTCCAAACAAAGTTAAGAGTTTTCTTTCTATAATATATCATTCTCCTTTTTTCACAAGCTTGCAGAAGAAGCAGCAGAAGCAGAAGCAGAAGATCGATCGATGGCGAGGGAGAAGATTCAGATCAAGAAGATCGACAACGCCACGGCGAGGCAGGTGACCTTTTCCAAGCGGAGGAGAGGGCTTTTCAAGAAGGCTCAGGAGCTCTCCGTTCTCTGTGATGCAGATATTGCTCTTATCATCTTTTCTTCCACTGGAAAACTCTTTGAATACGCCAGCTCCAGGTCTCTCTCTCTCACAAACTCAAGCCCACTATTTTTATTTTATTATATATATATTTTTATCATCCGTAAAAATTGATAGGCTTAAAATTTGAGGGTACGGTTTTGTTTATTTTTTGGGGGGTGAAAAATGAGGAGGAGGAAGAACCAAGTCAATGGAAGTAGCTTGCTCCGCTAGTCAAGCTATATTATAATAATATTAAGAGGGTGTATATATATATATGTATATGTATATAAATGTATGTAAAATGAAGGGTCTGCAACTTGGATGTGGATGTTTGTTTTCTGGGATGAATATAATCATATAATATACATAAAAACAAACAAGGGATAAGACACTGTTCTTATTGGGGTCTAATCACTTGCTATTCTTATTGGATACCGCCCATTTGTTACCATGGTTGGGTTTGTGACGCGAAAATGAACAACGAATACAAGTTTGACCAACCATGACTGAACAATTTACTACTTATAAAGAAATCAAAACAGCCAAAAAAAAGAAATTGCACCTTAAGGAGTTGATAAATTACAGCCATCTATTTTTCTTTTTCAAGTTTCCCTCTATTGGGTTCTGGAACAATGCTTCAAATTTGTTTGAGAAAATTTTGTTTCTGTTAAAAACACGGTCACAGTGTTGTTAATTCACGTGTTATAACATAAATGAATGACGAGTAAATACTTTAAGATAAATTTGTCATATCATACGATAGTATCACGATGACAACAAAAATTGCTCATATACTATATATGTAAGATTCTAGAGGGGAAGAACATTTTAAGTTTAAAAGTGTAACAAGTTGCAGCAGCATCTTCGAAATGCTAAACCAAAAAATTGCACTAAAATGTGAATAACATCTTTTTATGCCCTTTCCATTTTTGTTATTTTTCATTTACTGCTATTTGCTTTGAAGCTTTCTAGTTAACCAGCTAGTGACGTGTATTATTTTTCTTTTCTGAAGCACGAAGGAAATTCTAGAACGTCACAACTTGCACGCAAAGAATCTCTCGAAAATAGAACAACCATCTCTTGAGTTACAGGTTCGTCCTTTATTTAACACATGTAGACATAAATAAATGCATATAATGTGATGTGTTGTCTCTCCTTCCCAATTCATTAAAACTTTGATCTCATCTTCTTGAAGTGTTTTGTATGGTAATCTTAAGCCTTGTGTTTTTCTTTGTTCTCTAGGAAGTAACGGTTGAGCTAACCCTTCCACAATTATTAGTCTCAATGATTCAACATATCGGTCCAATTCGAGATTTTTTCCTTTTGTTTTGAAGTCTTGGAAAGTATTTATATGTGAGCCCTAGCTAGAATGAAATCAAATTTTTCATTGAGTTGTGCGTTGTGGATGTGTGAGTGAGTGGATGCTACATGCACACTGCACTCGGTTAAGGAAAATGCTAGGGACACGACTTATTGTGTTTTCTCAAGTTTCCGCTCTATGTAAGAGAGTCGGAAAAAGAGCGTATTTTAAACGAGTAATTCTTTGGGGTTTTGTTCTGTATACAATCAAAATTTGATTAACAAGTATCTGAATTTATTTCGGATTATATATTGTTTTTCCTATGTTTCATTTTTATATTTTGATTTAAAAGAATTATTAACTCTGACGTAGCTAGTGGAGAACAGCAACTACTCTGCGTTGAGCAAGGAAATTACAGCACAAAGTCAACAACTTAGGTATTTATAAGTCTCTGTTTCAAATAATAGTTACTTGTTTATACCCCATAATTTAGAAATAAAATCGTTGACATATAGGCAGATAAGGGGAGAAGATATCCAAGGATTAAATTTGGAAGAATTGCAGCAACTGGAGAAGTCTCTTGAAGCTGGATTGGGCCGCGTGATAGAGAAAAAGGTCTGTATTTAGCCTCTTGAATCTAGATTGGGGTCTCTGTATATGTGTGTCTAATGGAAATCTTTGTGTATGTCTTTTTCAGGGTGAAAAGATTATGAAAGAGATCAGCGATCTCGAAAGCAATGTTAGACTCTTTCAACTATAAAATCACCTGCCTATAAAATCATACCTAAAGTTATCATCCTTTGATATATGACATTGCTTGCAGACATACATAATATCTGGGTTAATTAAAAGGCGTAAATATTATGATGTTCGGATTGGGATGCGTATTGGATTATTCTTATTCCCGACTTCTCTTACTTTTACTGACACATGAGTGTTGAAACTATTTTGTTTTCCTAAAGTAATGTGAACTTCACATCACAATCCGTGATCTAGTACTTGAAAAATCAGAAATTAAATTAATTAGGGGAGAATAGTTGATCCAATTTCAATTCAGTTTCTATCATTTTCACGACTTCCCATGTTTCAAGTAACTAAACATGTCAAAAGTTTAGAGTACTGCATTACCAATACGAACTAATGTATCTGTATAATGATTTGAGGATCTGATTATGTGGATGTTACCGTCTTTGTTGTGCCCCGTCTGTTTCCTAGGGCGACCATGGGAGTAGACTTCCCTGAGCCTGAAAATGATTTCAATTGTAATCTTCTAACACATTCCATTTATGCAAATGAAAGATGGTTCATGCTTATTTTGAAAGAAAAAAAAAAGAATGAGGTGAAGACAATAAATAGTCCATATAATTATTTTCCTCTTCTCTATTTCCTTGACATGATTTGTATATGAACGTGCAGGCGATTCGATTGGTTGAAGAGAATGAACGGCTGAGACAGCAAGTATAAGATCTCTCCATTAATTCTTCATCTATGTTTATGTTTCGAGTCTTTCTCTGGTAATGGTTCTTGGTATGGTTGTTGAAGGTGCTGGAGAAACATAATAGCCAGAGGCCGGTTCGGGCCGATTCAGAAAACATGGTTATGGAGGAGGGTCAGTCATCAGAGTCTGTCACCACCAACCTCTGCAACTCTAACAGCGCTCCTCAAGACTATGAGAGCTCAGATACATCTCTCAAATTGGGGTGCGTTTAATTAGTCTAATTAATACCCTTGATATGATGCATTAATTTCTACTGATATGCCCTAATCTTAAGAAAATTCATCCTCTCCCAATCAACTCTCATGCACTAGCTCCTGACTTAGAAGAGGGACATTGTATACACCCGTTGCATAAGTACCCATGACATTACTAATCCAAATCTCATGTCCATTTTCGTAAGCAGTTTTTCTAGAGTAAAAATTGTTTAGACGAATCGAATTAATCTTTGCATATGCCGATATTTTCTTTTGCTAGAAAGCATTTTCCAATTTTAAATGGACATGTTGCTACTAACACCTGCTATGAAGTACGTTAGCGACGAACATTATACGGCAGATAGAATCCACTTGTTACATGAGTTGTAATCTACAGTTATAAATCGATTGACTGCTACATAATGTGGCCAGCTAATTAACCAGAAAACTACGGTAGTTTCTCTAGAATTAGTACTAATTAAGTGGCAATGTTGATTTTGAGAAAAATTGCTTCACTATGTATTTTTCCTCTCTCAATAATTCTTCTATTGTGTTTCCTTTGTTTTGCAGGTTACCTTACTCTGGTTAATATGATCTATAGTTTGGGGAAAGTTGAGTTACTAATTGATGAGATATATGAATGTAACATTCAACAAGTGCATGCAACCCCACTGTGTTAAAAGAAGTACATGATTAATCCGAATCTTGGACAGATCTATCATCTATGTGATGCTAAATATATATCATCGTTCAAGTGATTATTTTTCTCAAATAAGCCGCAATAAAATCATATGTTGTGACGACTCATGTATTGACTCCTATCATTCATAATACATAGACAATTAGCCATTCTTTTGAGGTTGATGTAGAGGTAGGCACGGTCTGGGTTGGCCTGTCTTTTAGCCTTAATCGATGGACCAACGAATTGACAATGTCATCAAGTAGCTATTGGGGCTAGTTCAATTAGTGAGAGAGGGCGATGAAAATGAGTTACAAATTGTGATGAGTCTCAATGGTTTGACACATTGCAATGAAAAAAGTTGTCATCCTTTTGTATTTATTTTGAAAATAAAAAATGTTATTGAGACTAGCCTCTTGGAGCGTGTGCCATTGCACTTTTTGTTTTTTAAATAGTTTTTTTTTCTTTTCTTTTTCATACCTAATTTTTTATATAGATATATAAAAATATAAAAAACTGAAAACCAGTAATACGGATGGCGTGAGGAGTAACTTCTTCTATATACTCATTCAGGTGGAATTTATTTTTTGTTTTTGTTTTTATAATTTAGCAAATTAAATTCTTACTATTTGCCATAAAGTAATGAGGGTGACGTGTCGCTACTAACACATGCCTAAATGGAAGTATTTTTGTTCACCACTTTAATTTAAGGTGTACCCTCACCACCCTTCCTAAAAGATGATATATGTCCATGGGTTTAATTATGATTAACTTTTTATTTTTTATTTATTTGATGACATTATTATGATGAGAGAGAAACAATGCTTTAATAATATTTTTCCTGATTTACCCTTATTTTATTAATAGAAAATTAGTTAAATACCTATTTCTAGACATAGTTCCATAAAGAAACCCTATATCATTCAATGTATATAAACACACCCAAAATGAAGCACCCTGTCTTTCAGATGTATCCAACCAAGGCAGCTGGGCCGGATGGAATGCCACTTGTATTTTTTCAGAAATATTGGCACATTGTAGGCAACGATATGTCTCGAGCCATTATTAATTTTTTGTCTTCAGGACGTCTTCTTCACAAGATCAACTTCACCCATGTGGTGCTTATTCCTAAAGTGAAAAACCCAAAGGATATGACCCAACTATGGCCTATTAGCCTCCGCAACATTTTGTTTAAAATTGCCTCCAACGTGCTGGCCAATCGTCTGAAAATTATCCTCCCTTCTCTAATCTCGTCTAGTCAAAGTGCTTTTGTCTCAAGCCGCCTTATCTCTGATAATTCCATATTGGCTGCTGAAATCATCCATTGCCTGCGGAGTCGACGACGGGGTAAGAAAGGCCTTTTGGCACTGAAACTTGATATGAGTAAGGCTTACGATAGAATTGAATGGCCTTTCCTGGAACAAATGATGACGAAATTGGGTTTTGCAGAACAATGGGTTAGTCTTATAATGACTTGTGTCACCACTGTTACTTACTCCTTTCTGGTTAATGGCTCACCTTGTGGCTACCTTACACCTTTTAGGGGTCTCAGGTAAGGAGATCCGCTGTCACCCTATCTGTTTATTTTATGTGCACAAGGTTTCTCTAGTTTTCTTACATAGGCGAAACGAGATGGGCATTTAGCAAGGGTCTCCATTTGTAGGGGTGCTCCTCCAATCAACCACCTCATGTTTGTCAATGATTGCTACCTGTTTGCCCGTGCAAATGTGGGAGATTGTGGGACAATCAAGGAGGCACTCCCTTGGTACGAGAAGGTATCCGGTCAAAAAGTTAATTTACAGAAGAGTGCAATATGCTTAAGCAAAAATGTTAAGCGCCAAGACCAACTGGATCTAGCAGCATCTCTTGGTGTCTCATGTGCTTATCATTATGATAAGTATCTTGGGCTTCCAATGGTAGTCGACAGGAACAAGGGTTCCTTATTTGCACATCTCAAGGAACGGTTGGGCAAAAAATTATATAGCTGGAAAGGAAAGCTCTTAAGCAGTGCAGGGAAAGAAATTCTTATCAAAACTGTGGCACAGGCTCTCCCCTTGTATTCAATGAGCGTTTATTTATTGCCCAAATATTTTTGCGATGATCTTAATAGCTTAATTACAGATTTCTGGTGGAACGAAAACAATGGCGACAGGAAAATACATTGGCTTGCTTGGGGCTTTGCCAACCCAAAGATCTTAGGGGCCTGGGCTTCCGTGATTTATATGCTTTCAACCTTGCTATGTTAGCTAAGCAAGGATGGAGGCTCATACAATATCTGAATTCTCTAATAGCGAGTGTTCTATGAGCTAAGTACTTTCCTGACAAATCTTTTCTTGATGTTCCTGTCTCAGAAAATTCTTCTTATGTTTGGAAAAGTATTTGTGCAGCCAGAAAAATTCTTTCGCAGGGATCTAGATGGCAGGTGGGCAGTGGGGCAGAGATTGATATTTGGAAGGACCCATGGCTGCCACGCCCTTCTACCTTTCGAGTTATCTCCCCAAAACCCAACAGCTATGTTGTTACCAAGGTGAATGAGCTTATTCTTGACCACCCTCGACGCTGGAATATCAGCCTTCTATCTAACCTCCTTTACCCTCCCGATGTGGACGTGATTCGAACCCTTCTACTGAGCTTTCATCACAGGGACGACGCTCTTATTTGGCATGTTGACAAAAAAGGTTAGTTCATTATCAAAAATGCTTATAAGGTAGTCCGTACGGTTCTTGATCCCAAGACCATGGCGTCATCATCAACTGGAAATGGTTTTAGTAAAGGGTGGACTGCTCTTTGGAAGGCAAAGATTCCAAGCAAAATCAAATTGTTTTGGTGGAGAGCGTGCACTGGCATTCTCCCAACCAAGGACAACTTGTGTAAACGAAAGATATATTTGGATACATGCTGTGACTTATGTGGGGCTGAACTGGAGTCTACTTTGCATGTGTTATGGCATTGCCTATTTGCAAGAGGGGTCAGGGCATGTGCTTTAATTGGCAGCGGTAGTACCTCTCGCCAATACCACCATGTGCATGATTGGGTCTTCTCACGCATTGACCATTTATCCTTTGTTGACTTGGACCTATTTTTTGTTACTGGTTGGGCTATCTGGGAGGCTCGAAATGGCAAACTATGGAACAACCAAACACCCAAACTAGAATTCACAAGCTCTAGTGATACTGTTCGCTTACATGATTTTGTTCGTGCTCACCCCCAGGGGGCTGCTCTTGGCCGGGGCTGTTCTGCGTCTCCGACTTGGACAAAACCATGCACTGGAAGCCTAAAAATTAATGTGGATGGCTCTTGGACAGTAGGTAATACATATGGAGGTGTGGGAATAGTGGTGTGCGATTCTAATGGCAAGTTTGTTGCAGGAAGAGCGTTGAATATGGACAATGTCTTCTTAGCTTTACAAGTTGAAGCAATGGCAGCTCGCGAAGGTGCAATTTTGACGGTGAAAGGGGATTTTAATAATATAATTTTTGAGAATGATTCTCTCCAAATCGTGTCAGCAATCCGAAGTTCTTCTGTTGATCGGTCCAATGTGGGCCCAGTTGTGGAAGACACTAAGGCACTGCTAACCTAGATCACTGGGGATGGTTTTACCCATATTCGCCGGGTTGCAAATGGAGCCGGTCATCGTCTGGCACGTTATGCCTCCCATATTGGAACTATGACTACTTGGTTTGAGGAACCACCAAATTTAGGGTTTAGGGTTCAGGTAAGGCAAGGTTCCTCCTCCCGCTTGCGGTTGAAGAGGTAGGCTACTTCATAGCTGACGACCACTACGCTTTGTGCCCGATTTTTGTACTTGTTACCCTTTTTTCCTCATTAATAAAACATTATCGCCCTTGTGTTTCAAAAAAATCCAACAACAATGTTTGATTACTGTTTTGCCCTTTGGCTTTGTCTATTAATCAACTTAATCTTCATCAACCAGCATATCGAACTTTCTTCTTCTTCTTCAACAATGGTGAGGTTCATCGAGCTCTGCTTCTGGCTTTTCTCCTAGTCCAATTCTCCATTGTATTTTCGTCGTCTTCTCCACAACCGTTGTCAACTCCATCGCTACAACCCGCCGCCGATTCACCTTCGCCCAAAACTTCGTCATCAATTTCCTTTCCTCCATTTATGTCGGACACTCCAATTAACGTACCACATCCTTTTTCACATCCGACGCCACTGCAATCATCTCTGTCTCAATCTCCGTCGGCAAACGACAAGCCTCCAGCTCCTTCTCCAAGCGCCGTCGAATCTGAGCGACGTTAACCACAACAACCTCGGATGGAGATGAAGCTAAAAACTCCTCTGGAGGGATGAGACATGCAAAGAAAGCAGAGATTGTACTTGAGATGATCGTTGGATAACATTCGTGGATCTTAGTACGGAGATGCCGCCATGAGAGAATTTCTCTGAAGGCTTATGTAACCTGATTCTGTAGGCTTATGGGGCAAATTTCAGCATCTCTTGATGCATCATATGCCATTTCTTGTCCTTGAAAAAATTGTGATATTTGTTTAAGGCAATGCTCATTTTGTAGCTACCTGATTGCTTCAATGGGTCTGCAAGTCATTTGGATTTTAGTGTTGGCATTGCTAGATGCATATTCTTTGGTGAAAAAGAAGGTCCTCCACAACCCTGTATTGGTTAGCCTCTTCGTAATTGGAGTCTGGGTCAGCCTCTACAAATCCTTGACTTCCTTAGATGAAAATCTTGTGTGTCAATATAGTGCTTGCCATTTAATAGCTTACTCTTTTCATTTTCTAACAACTTACAACAACATTGTCTCTTGTAGCAGCTTCTACCTCATCAGGCATAATTGTGTTGTACTTCAGTTGACTTGAGCCACTGCAATTTTGGAGAGGAATGCCAAAAATATCATATGGCAGTTGCATTGGTGTACCCGGGTGTACCCGAGGTGGGTAGTAATTGCAATTTCTTCTCTAATTATGCTCAAGCTATTGGCAGTATGTTAGACCACTTGTTTGTATAGGCCATAAGATTTGTTTCATCTTATTGTAGCCCTTCTTTGTCATATATATTTATTAATTTTTTTCTTCAGAACATAAATAAGAAATTGCAGTGTCAATAAAAAAAGGAAACAAACTGGATCGAACATAGCAGTACAATATTAAAAACTTACTCTCATTATGTTGTCTTTTCACTGGAAGAAGTGAGATTAGAGTTGGGAAACAGTTGTATCAAACTGGAATTATAAAATGGATATACATTTACTTGTAAAGTTGAAGGATTAGCAAAAGGAATTACTTATGTCAAATTTCTCCAAATTGATGATGATGTGAATTGGTTAGTGGCTGAAATATCCTCATGAGTTTGTAATACTATTAAGGAGAAAGGCAGAGTGTGTATGCTTTTTTCCTTCTAGTTTTCCATTATGAGTTAGCTAACAATGATTTTGTATACAAGAACTTAAACTATATATCTGTATTGTTGGTGTGGCATCTTGCCACTACATCTTCATTTTCTTTTATAATACAAATTGAACAAAAGAAAAGAAATTTGATAATTACCGTTCTTGGATTTAGATTCTCAGTAGTCTAGGTTCTTTGTAATTTTAATGTGCAAAACAAGTGTTGACTTGGTTTTGATGTTTGGTACTGTTTGGATTCTTTATCTTATCTATTATGCAAATGAAATTATGTAGTTGTTAACTTCTAATAAGTGGTATGAACAGTTGTTATATTGTTCATACCCTGCAACTGAGTTGATTTCTATGACATAGTATTAACAGTATATTCTATGACATAATATTAACAGTATACTTATATGACATAGTATTAAGTATTAACTGATTTTAAGTAACAAATCATTCTCTATATTTTACTCTATATATAGCTACACACTTGAAGTTTATGATATGCATAATATGATTTTTACTAGGAAGATAGTTCTATGACATAATATTAACAATGTACCTTTTTTTTTCTTTTCTTGTAGAGGTGTTTCCTTTTGCCTTTGCGATTGTTTTGGTGAAATTGTGGACAATTGGAGGTGGTTTCTGTAAAGGATATCAGATGTCTTGCTGGGCTTTTTTTGGGTTTTTATTTGAGTTTTTTGTATGACTATGTACTCTATGATATGGTATTAACAATGTATTTCAGGTTTGCTGGGCTTGTTTTGGGGTTTTTTTTTTTGTGTGGAGTTTTTTTGTATTGGGCTTGTTTTAAGTTAATCAATGGCAGTCATGTAATTTATAGGAACTTCAACACTCATTTCTTATGTAGTAAATGATTTTTAGGTATGTTTCTAAAGTACATTCTATATGGGGTTTAAAAAAAATAAAATAAATTTCAGCCCTTATTTTGGGTATACTACTAAAGCTCCCTTTTATTAATTAACTCAACAAACTTTCCACTTTTCTTGATTAATTTAATTTAAAAACTAAATCAAAACAATGGAAACTGAATACATTCTTATTTCAAAAGAAAAAGAAAAAAAGAAACACAGAAGTCCCTTTATTTAGTTTATGCATGCTCACTAGAATGATGAGTTCATGAGTTGAACTATAGTTTGAATGTTAAAAGAATCATGAGTTTTTATTTTTTATTTTTATCAACCCTTTATTATTGTAGAATTTAATGTTATTTATGGGAATAAAAAATAAGGTGAATAATTACTAGATTTGAGATTTTTAATTAATAATTTCCATATATACATGGTTACATCCCCTTATTTCAACCTATCTCCCGTTGGCATTTCCTCTCTTTATTTTTTTTTAAAAAATCCTCCTTTTCTCTTCTTTCCTTTTTTCTTTTGTTCCCCTTGTTGCTTTTATAGATGGTTGTTTAGGGTGGTAGATTTGTGTAGGTCATTTGTCATCCTAGGAAGAAGGGGACTCTTGAACGATAAGGTCAGAGATTAAAATAAAATAATTGATAAGAAAATAAAAAGTTAAGCAAGTTAAAACAGATAACGTGGCAAGTGACATGGATTGCCATGTTATATGCCACATCAGTTGGTATTAAAATATTAATATAATAGTTAGTGCCTGTAGTGTTACTGCAAAAGAAAATACGATTTGTAAGTTTTCAACATACATAGGTACAGGGCCGTCCTTGAGATTTTGAGGGCCCTGTGCGAAATTCAAATTGGGACTTCACATAATCTAATACGAAAATATTATAAATTTACCATAACTTAATGTCATAAACAATTTTTTTTATAACAAAAAGTCACCATCAATATATATGTAACGACAATCAGAAATCAAATTCGTAAAAATTTAAATGTTTTCATTTGATAAAGTTAAATGTTCGGTACAAAAATAAGCTCATTGTGCCCCAATAAGGTGCTGACCACCTTATGTGGCAGCTGATATGGTCATGCCATGTCAATTAATGAATACTGCCATGTAGATTTTATTTTTATTTACTTTTTTTTTAAATAATCCTTAAAAACAACAAAATTATAATTAATTATAATTAACCCTAGCATCTGTACGCTGTAGCAGGCACTGGCAGATCCACAGAGGCGCAAGGAGGTGCAGCTGCACCTCCCTTCACTGGAAACTTCCTTGGGGATGCCAAAATTTGCCCCTTTGCTAGTGCCCACCCATTGTTCGACTAAATGCCTCAAAGACGTTGTATTGTTTGCTGCATTGTGAGACCCTAAATATTTACCTTATATTGTTGGGCTCGATCTCACGAGCATGTAGGATAAAACGGTTCATCAATCGGAGCTCCATAACCAAAGTTATGAATTTTTGAAGTTTTTCTAGAATATTTGAAGTTAAAAGTTGCAGAGGCACGGTTCAAGGAAGAAGAAGACTCTGCGTCAGCGCTTCTGACTCTGATTCTTTTTTAAAATGGTCCAATAGCAAGCCAACACATGTCTATTTCTAATTGGCCTAAATTAAAAAATTCATTAAAAACTCATATGTGTGCCAAAAAATTCATCCAAAATTACCCCAAACTTTTAATCATGTGTACTTTTATTTCATGACCTCCAATTTACATGTGCTTTTGGTTAGATTAATTGGTATTGACTTTTGTTAGATTAATTATGTAATTGACATGGATTTTGTTCATATTTGATATGAATTTTGGTAAACAAATTGTGTCAATGACAAGGATTTTGTTCATATTAATTGATATCCATATATACTATAATCAATTAGTTGTAAATGTAAAACTCTTATTTGTTTTAATTATGAGTGACATTAGTATTGGTTAAATTCTAAGGGCATTTGGTTGTATAATTTTTTTTGAATTTTTAGCCTTATTTTTTTTTAACACACTACTTGGATGTTGGGATTTAAACCCAGGGCCTTGCTTGAGTCCTTTGTAATTTTTAGCCTTTTAAATATTGCACCTCTTTTGAAAAATTCCTGGATCCGCCAGTGGTTGTAGGCTGCAGCTTCGTTCTCTACTCAACACTCCCTTCCTCCACCAAATCTACCCTTACCCAGTAACATAGCCAAGCCGCGCAAGAAACCCGACAAATCACATCAATCCATCTTGGAATTGTTCATATTTTGGGAATTGTTCACCAGACCACCCATTTGATTGGAAAGCTAATACTCCATTCCTAGCAACATACTAAAGCTTTAAAATTCTTTTTAATTCTTATATACATGACCAGAGAATATGAGATCTCAAAATCAATTTGGATTTTCTAGATAGCTAGTGAAATAGGCATTAAGATTTTTGAGTTGGATTTTCTTGATTAGTTGATTTGCAGAGTTGGGTTTGTTGAATCAAAGAATTGGTTTTCTTTTTGGAGAGAGATTGCAGGAGGATGAGCAAAGGCCAAAGGGGAAGGAGAAGGCAGCCAAAGGGATACAACGAAGAAGAAGAAAAGTTGAAAATATAAATTACTTAATTTAAAAAGGAAAAAATAAAAACACAGTTGGCCACATTTAAGTGACGTGGCATATACACATCAGCTGCTATATAAGGTGGTCATCTAATGTGGTCAATCTTGTGTGTCCAAATAGCGTTACTATTAGATTATATTGCATTAAAAACAAAAGTAACAACAAAAACATACCTAAATATCCATGAAGTTTTGTTTTGAATGAAGAAAGTACTTTTCTTGGAGGAGAAAACCTTTTTTTATTTTTTTTATTTTTATAAAATTCTTAAGAACGATAGTTTAGGGATATATATTCCTCCTGTCCTGTGGTAAAGCTTCGATGTTTCCTGTTTTTTAAAGGCTTTCTGTTTTTATTTTATTTTATTATAATTATGCAAAGTTTGAATGCAAAAATAATATAAAAAAATTTATGCAAAGTTTGAATGCAAAAATAATATAAAAAAATGCAAATAGATCGACTTCAACAAGAATCGAACTCTTGCACTTTTGTTAAATGGACAACTCCCCCAGACACACTCTTGTGCAATAATTAGCACACTATACTATATATAAAATTCCTCTAATATTAATATATGTAATATAAAGAAAAAAAAATCGGGGGCCCTCTGCAGTGGCGCCACTTGCGCCACCCCAGGACCGCCCCTGCATAGGTAAACTAACTTATGTCTTCTTTACGTTTTCCTTTTTTCTTCTTGCTTCTTTTTATAGATAATTATTGTTCATGGTGGTAGAGATTTGTTTAGGTCATTTGGGTACCTAAGTAGAAGGGGTTTATGTGGACTACGTACCAAATGGGTTCGGGTGTTGAGATAGTTCATATATAGGTAAGCTAATATATGTCTTCCAAAAATCAAAATTTGGGAGTAACAAATGCATCAGAACTTTAAATTTCTTTAATTTCTTTATCTTTAAGGGAAAAAATAGTCTTAAAAACTAAGTAATAAATGAAAATTGGGTTTTTATTCCACAACTCTACATGAGGGTTTTTTTTCTTCCAACATTTTGGTCGTTGACTAGGTCTATATTGAAAGACCCCAATTATTACACTAAATTAAATAAGAAGTTAATATGATAAGGGCAAAATAATAATTACAAACTATTTAAAATAAAATAAAAATAAGTAAAATCCTCCCATGTTTTTCTTTCCACTACTCCATCTTCCTATCTCTAATAACTAGTATATTTTATCTCGTTTATTCCTAAACAAAGTTGACTGCAGGTGTGTGAGCACAAGATATATTGAGAATATATTTTTTTTTGGGGCAGAATATTGAGAATATTTATGTTTTGCTTGGGAAGGAAGATCTCCGACCGATGGTCCAAATGGAAAATTCTACCCAAAAAAAAGAGGCTATTTAAATATACTACCGGAAAATTGGAAAAAGTCTTGAAGCCAGTTGCAGAAGATACCTGCCAACTGCTCATATCCATCTCTTAGTTGTTAGTATATTTTTGGGTATTGTTTTGCTATTTGTCATTACCTCCCCTCCCCATGCTTTGATCGAATGCTTCTGATTTATTGGACTACGTGTTTAAAAAAATAAAATTAATCAGAGGGTATTTGAACGAATATTTAAAAATTTGACCATTAAAGTGTTTTGCTTTATATAAGAAAATTTGACCATATACAAACATTAAAGTGTTTTGCTATATATAAGGAAATTTGACCTTACAAATTAGACACGTAATTCCATTCAATAAGATTTTGTTTGGTTGGGGAATTTTTTTATTGAAAGTGACGGTAATATACTAAATTCACATATACTACATGGATGCTAGTACTTGAACTCAAGACCTTGTTTGGGGGGTGCAGTATCCTCCAAATCATTACAAGCGATATTCTACTTTAATATAATCTAACCTACAAGGAGAGAGATTTGAATTTGGATGTAAAATGGAGAGCATATTTGCTCTAACCAACTTGGCTAAGTCCATGTCTACATAAAAAAATTTAATTTGATAGGAAAATGGGCAATGGAAATGGTCTCCCTCTCTCTCTCTCTCTCTCCTCTCTCTCTCTCTCTCTCTCTCTCCCCCCAATTAGTCAATAGTTGCAATAAGACCCGTCTGGTTATTATATAGTTGTTGGTCATGCTTAACGGCGATTTATAACTGATAATTGATTATATCCGTTGTGTTGCATCAGAGCCCCACCCACCCCAACAATGAAATCCTTATTGTTGTTCACCTGCTCTTCCATATAGTTTGATCTCCACTCAAAACCAGTTTCAACCCTACTGATCCTTTCCCTAGATTGTATGTTTTTTTGTTTAGGCTGATACGAAAGAAGGCCATTATGGCGACAGCCACAACAGACCTCTTGATAGGCAAAGTTGTAGCCATTCTTGAGAACGAAGCAGCCTCCATAGCTGGTGTTGGTGATCAAGTTGATGAGATTAAGCAGGAGCTGGTCTTCATGAAGTCCTTCTTGGAGGATGTCGACGGCAAGAAAGCGCACACACAAGTAGAGAAAGCGTGGGTCGCAAGCGTTCGAGACTTGGCCTATGATGTTGAAGACATCATTGATGAGTTCGTGTATCATGTGTACGAGCAGGAAAGCGGAGGCCGATTTGTGAGATGGATCAACGAAACCATTCACTTTCCAAAGAAGCTTTGGTATAAGCGAAGAATAGCAAACAAGTTAGAGAGAATCGCCAGAACGATCAAAGCCTTTCCAGAGAGAAATCAGAGATATGTTCTTGTTTTTTCTGTAGAAGGAAAAAGTACTTCTGAGGATGTTCACAAATGGGTGCAGAACAAAGCGGAGGCTTCTCTTTTCCATAAGGAAGATGAACTTGTCGGGATTGAAGGCAAGAAGCAAATGTTAATGGGATGGCTGATGGATGAAGGGAAGCACCAAACTGTTGTGTCCGTGGTCGGGATGGGAGGATCAGGGAAGACAACTCTAGTTGCAAGGACCTTCACCGACAACATTGTGAAGAGCCATTTCGAGTGTTATGCGTGGATTACCGTTTCACAGTCTTACGTGATTGAAGACTTGTTTAGAAGATTGATCAAAGAATTTTACCAAGCAAGGAAGGAAGAGGTTAAGGCAGACTTGAATTCCATGAGTTATAGAGAATTGCTAGAGATTTTGGTGAAATACTTGGAGGCTAAAAGGTATCTGGTTGTGTTGGATGACGTGTGGGATATCAAACTTTGGGAAGAAATAAGGTTATCATTTCCAGATAAAAAACTTGGAAGTCGTGTCATGCTTACAACTCGAAGAGAAGACATAGCATCCTCTGTTTTCGGAGTTGAAAGCCATGTTCATCGGATTCAACGATTGGAAACCAATGATGCATGGGAGCTCTTTTGCATGAAAGCATTCTCAAGTTATCATAACAAATCCTGTTCACCCGAACTTCAACCTTTAGCTCGGGAAATCGTGGAAAAGTGTGAAGGCCTTCCTCTGGCGATCGTGGCCTTAAGCGGTCTTATGTCTTCTAAGAAGACATTTTCAGAGTGGAGCCAAGTCTGCAACAGCTTAAATTGGCATCTGGTGAACAATTCTTTGCTGGAACCTATGAAGAGCATCTTGTTGCTTAGTTTCAATGATTTGCCATATCGGTTGAAGCAATGTTTTCTTTATTGTTGCCTTTTCCCAGAAGATTATTTGATCGTGAATAACAAGCTCATTAGATTGTGGATTGCTGAAGGATTTGTTGAACATGTGAAAGGGTTCACAACAGAACAAGTTGCAGAGAGCTATCTTATGGAGCTCATTTTTCGAAGCATGATACAAGAGAGGCATCACGACACGGAACCAGCATGTAAGATGCATGATCTTATGCGAGAGCTTGCTTTGTCCATTGCAGCAAAAGAAAAGTTTTGTGCTGCATATGATGGGAGCGAAATAACTGAAGAAATTGGAGCCATTCGCTTGTCAATTCAAACTACTAATGGAGAAATTGAACAACGCACAGGTATGTCACGCCTTCGTTCTTTTCTTATCTTTCCCACGGGCATATTCTCGTTCTCTTTTTCAAAGACATCGCCTTTCGAATTTAAATTCTTGAGGGTTCTAGATTTGGAGGATGTCCCAGTTGACATTCTGCCAGATTACGTAATGTATTTATTCAGTTTAAGATATTTAAATTTGAGAAGAACTCAGATTAAGGAGCTTCCAGAATCCATTAGGCAGCTCCGCAACCTTCAAAGCTTGGACATCAGGGAGACAAATATAGAGGCACTTCCAAGGGGCATTTCAAAATTGCTTAACTTGCGTCATCTACTTATGAATCGTTACACACGTGATTATAAGATCTTCAGAAACCTCATTGGGATGAAAGCACCATCAAATATAAACATGTTGAAGTTACAAGCTTTGTCATTTATTGAATCAGAAGGAAATATTCTTAGACTTATTGGAAAGATGACCCAGCTGACGACTCTTGGCATTACAAATGTCAAAGCAAGAGACGAGAAGGACCTATGTGCCTCACTCCAAGAAATGAAGGTCCTTTGCCTCTTGGATTTACGGGCAGCGAATGAAGAGGAATTTCTTCAAGTTGACGCGTTATCTTCTCCACCTCCCCTGCTTGACAGACTTTTTTTGTCAGGGAAACTGGAAAAGGTACCGCATTGGTTTTGTTCACTCAAGTCGCTCACATTTCTGGGCCTGCGTTGGTCTAAACTTGAAGAAGATTTATTGCCTCACATCGAAGCATTGCCGTCTCTGAGATGGCTTTGCCTTAACAATTCCTATGTAGGGACAGAGATGTGTTTCAGAAGAGGTTTCGTAAAGCTTAGATATTTGGAGTTGTTTGGTTTCTCATTGTTGAATAAGGTAACTATAGAAAAAGGGGCGATGCCAAATCTTGAGTTCTTGAGCATTAAAAGATGCTCTAGTTTAGTGGCATTGCCTCAGGGTTTTGAATACCTTACTAGACTAGAAGGATACGGATTTGAGAATGTCTCAGAGCAACTTATAGAGTCCATACAAGAAGGAGGCGTGGATCATCCAAAGGTGCAACACTTGCGTCCGAAATATAAGTAAGTCTTCTATCCTTGCATCGAATTAATTTCATAAATTTAATCATTTGAAACAAGAAAATATTGTTCTCATTCTCACCCTCTGTTAATGCATATAAAACCATATAAATCCTTCCAATTGAAATTCATGAGACACACAATACATATATATACATATTCATTGAAGTTTTGTTTGATAATTACCTTATTGCTTTTGTCCTTTTTGTATATTTTGCAGAAACAAGAAGTCCAAGGATTGAAGTTTTTACCTAGTTTGTCCCAGGAAGAGCCTGTTCTTGTGTGAAGCGTGAAGATTGATCTCGGCTTCTTTTCTGCCTCTTTTAAATCGAATAGAGTATATCCAAGATTCTGTTAATAAATTGCGACTTAAATTTTAATTTTTTTTGGGTGTAGTTTACATCTTTCACTAAAGCAGTTGGCAACTGTATGTCGATGATTTGTCTCTAAGATTTGGACGATGTGCACTTTTATGTTCAGTGTGTAAAACATATAGGCTACACACACAGTATTAGACTTTATATAAATTCTGAAAAAGATGTTAAGAACAAATACAAGTCTTTAGAGAGTAAGGAAATTTGGTTTTAATATGATTATATGCTGGGAAGAACTGTATTGAATAATATCAAAGGTTCCTGCTCTCACAAGTCATCTGAGAAATACTTTTGACCCGAAGGTTCCAGCAATCTTTGAAAACCAATTAGTAGCACACGAAGGTTCTAACTTGGGATGATTTATATGGCTTTACAGCCAGCCATTAACAGAGGTGTGAATGAGAACAATTTCTTGAACACAAGTTTATGAAAGTCAATGGAAGCATAAAAGATACTTACATGTGCTTCTTACATGTCTCGTCGACAATTAGCATCCTTACATGATCCACAGCTCCTTCTCGTACGGATTCTGTAAATTGCTTTGAAACACTCTCAAATACATATCCTTCTAGTTTAGTAAGGTGCTCAATACCCTGTGGCAATTGTCTCTAATCTAAAGCACTTATTAATGTCTAAGAACTCGAGATTTGACATCACCCCTTTTTCTATAGTTATCTTATTTAAGAATGAGAAATTTAGAACCTCCAAATATCTAAGATTTACAAAGCCCCTACTGAAACACAACTCTTTCCTAACAGACGAATTATCAAGGCAAAGCAAACGTAGAGAGCGCAATGCTTCAATATGAGGTAGTAAATTTTCTTCAAGTCTGGAATCACCTAGAAACAAATTTGTGAGACAGTGGAGTGAGCAAAACCAATGTGGTACCTTTTCCAGTTTGCCGCTCAAATAAAGTCTATCAAGGTAGGGAGGCGGTGAAGGCAATGCCTCAACTCGAAGAAATTCCTCTCCATCAGCTACAAATAAAAGCAAGCGGGAAAGGACCTTCATCTCTTGAATTGAGGCACATAGGTCCTCCTCTTCTCCTTCTTTCACATTTATAATGCCAAGTAACGTAAGCTGGGTCATATTTGCAATAAGTCTAATAATGTTTCCTTCTGATTCAATATATGCCAAAGATTGCAATGTCTTCATCTTACTAATACTTGATGGTATTCTTACCCCAATTGCCTTTCTAGAAATGGACCCGCCCACAATTAAATGGCGTAAGTTTAGCAACTTAGAAATCCCTCTTGGAAGTGCCTCTATATTTGCCTCCATGATGTTCAAGGTCTGAAGGTTGCGGAGCTGTCCAATGGATTCTGGAAGCTCCTTAATTGGAGTTCCACTCAAATTTAACTATTTTAAATTGAATAAGGACGTTAGATTGTCTGGCAGATTATCAAGTGGGACATCCTCCAAATCTAGAACCTTCAACAATTTAAGGTCAAAAGGTGATTTATTTGAGAAAGAGAATGAGGATACGCTAGTGGCAAAGACGAGAAACGAACGAAGCTGTGATATATCTGTGCATGATCCAATTTCTCCATCAGTTGTTTGAATTGACAAACGAAGTGCCCCAGTTTCCTCTAGTGTTTCACTCCCATCATGTACAAAACGCAATTTTTTTTTTTTTTTTTTTGTGTTTGCTATAGACAGAGCAATCTCCCACAAAAGATCATGCATCTTACATGATGGGTGTTAATCTCGATACATTTCCTGTAGCATGTTACGGAAAACGAGTTCCATAATATAGCTCTTTGCAACTTCTTCCGGCGTGACCCCTTTGACATGCTCAACAAATCCTTCAGCAATCCACAATCTAATGAGCCTATGATTTATGATCACATGATCTTCTGGGAAAAGGCAACAATATAGAAAGCATTGCTTCAACCGGTATGGCAAATCATTGAAACTAAGCAACAAGATGCTCTTCATTGGTTCTAGCAAAGAATTGTTCATTAGATGCCAATTTAGGCTATTGTAGACTCTGAACCTGTTTGGGCCAAAAGAAATCGCACGTCAGCCCACTTCTCACAAGGGCCCATAAAACAAAAAGACGGAGGATTGGGCTTTGATTCAAATAAATAAGAGAAAGCCCAAAACCAAATCAGAAGGTCCATGACTTTTTACAAAATGGCTGACTTGTAAAAACATCAAAATGGCAATCAACCACTGATCTCAAAACCTAGAATACAAAGTTAGCAAGATCTTTTGGGAAGCCTATTCTCAGAACCCACGTGACTACCTAACTTGGGAAAGTCAACAATTTCAACTATCACAAAAAGTTGATTGGGAATTAAATGAAAGCAGGTCATTACCAAAAGACTTCTATGAAACCTTGGGGCTAAAAGATCAAAATCCTTTTTTATACAATTCTACGTTAGAGCAGGTGATCCTTCCAAGAGATAAGCAAACTACAAACTCAAAAGAGATAAGCAGGAAAACAAGGAGTTGTTCAAATTGGAAAATCAAACTAACCATCACGGTTTGAGCTCTCACAAGGGGCAGTTGGAATTAAAGAGGGGTTAGGTTCTCTTTCAAAAAACAGAGAAGTGATTTGTCTTAAAGAACTGACCATTGAGGGTTTATCTGCCAGAATTCATAAAACCCCCTTTTTTATTTCATTTAAAAATGAAAGATCTTTTGAGAAATTTGCCGCCCATTATTAAAAGAGAAAAACCCTACTCCAAAGCATTTCTTATAAATATAGGAGAGGGTGAACAGAGCAGAGGACTCAATTCAACAATCAATCAAACAATCAAATATCAACCAAAGGCAAAAACTCAAAATGATCACTTGATCATTGAGAACCGTCAAAACAAACTGAAGCAACCAAAAGCTCATTTGAAGCAACAAAAGAAGCCAGCTATAGATAAGAACTTAAAAGTTCAGACTTAGAGAAATAAGTCATTCAAAATGAGACTTCTCTCGTTACAAATTTGGTTCAGCAAAAGCCAAGACAAGCAAAGTTTCAGTTTTCACAAATATGAAAACCTTAACAAATTTATGGAGAGCCCTGGTCAAGCAGAATATGTACTATAGTGCAGTTCCAACTCAGTAAGTCCTCAAATCCAGCCATTTATGCCCCTTCAGACTGAAGAGGTCACAGTTCTGCCGGTCAAAAAGCCTCCCAAGGCTTAAAGTATATTGAAGCTCTGCCAAAATTGAACTTTGGTATCGATTTATAGCTGAAGCTAAGCAGTTGAAGTTGTTGACAGTTCAGTCTAGCACAAACATACCCAGTCCAGCCCGGATCAGAAGCTTCTATCCATGCAGAAATGGAGTTTCAACCATCTTTTTGTCTTTCTAAAGTTGATTTTTCCCTTTCTAGTTTTGTAAAGGGCAGTTCTGCCTAAAACAGTCCACTCTATTTATCATTTATTCTGGCAAGAACTACCAATCTTGTACTAAGATAAATTGTGAAGTCCTCACGAGTCTGAGGCAAGAAAAGAACTTACTTGGGAGATATTCCTCACTCAAATTCACAATCGCTTGTTTAGAAATCTATAACTTGGGGCGCAAGTTATCTGTTTCAAAGAAGTCTGCTAAGATTTTTCATTAGTAGCAGTGGCACGCTCGCACACCAAAGAAAGTTGGCTTGTTGACCAGTCAATGGTTTTCAAGGCAATGGGGAACTGTGCCCTTCCATAACATGAGTAAACTCAAAACGGGCCAACAGCTCCACTCTGTAAGTGACTTCTTAGAAGACAAAAGGCCACTTAAGGCTACAATTGCAAGAGGTAGGCCTTCACACTTTTCCACAAGTTCCCAAGCTAATGGCAGATGTTCAGGTGAACAAGATTTGTTATGATAACTTGAGAATGCTTTCATGCTGAAGAGCTCCCACGCATCACTCTTTCCCAGTGATGGGATCTTGTGAACATGGCTTTCAACTCCAAAAGAATAGGATGCTATGTGTACTCTTCGAGTTGTAAGCATGACTAGACTTCCAAGTTGTTTATCTGGAAATGAAAACCTTATTCTCTCCCATAGAAGTATGTCCCACACATCATCCAATGCAACTAGGTACCTCTTAGTTTCCAAGTAGTTGACCAAAATCTCAAGCAATTCATTATAGCTCATGACATTTATGTCTGCAAGGACCTCTTCTTTCCTTGATTTGTGGAATTCTTTGATCAATCTTCTAAGTAAGTCTTCAATCACGTAAGATTGGGTAACAGTAATCCAAGCATAACACTCGAAATGGCTATTCAGAGCGTCGTTGGTGAAAGCCCTTGCAACTAGAGTTGTTTTGCCTGATCCTCCCATCCCGACCACGGAGACAACAGTTTGGTGTTGCTCTTTGTTCATCAGCCATCCCATTAAAATTTTCTTACCGCCTTCAATCCCAACGAGTTCATCATTCATATGGTAAAGAGAAGACTCTGCTTGGTTCTGCACCCACCTGCGAATATCTTCAGAAGTACTTTTTCCTTCTACAGTTGCACCACCACCATATCTCTGATTTCTCTCTGGAATAGCTCTAATCGCCACAGTGATTTCTTGTAACTTGTTGGCTATTCGACGCTTATACCAAAGCTTCTTCTGAAAGTGAATGGTTTTTTTGATCCATCTTGCAAATGGACCGCTGCTTTGCTGCTTGTACATGTGATACATAAACTCATCAATGATGTGTTCAACATCACTGGCCAAGTCTTGAATGCTTGCGACCCGCGCTTTCTCTACTTTTGTGTGTGCTTTGTTGCCGCCATCAACATCCTCTAAGAAGGATTTCATGACCACCAACTTCTGCTTAATCTCATCAACTTGATCACCAACACCCGCTATGGAGGCTGCTCACTCTCAAGAATGGCTACAAATTTGCCAACGAAGATGTCTGCAGCAACTGATGCCATAATGGCCTTATTTTGGTATATGCTTAATCAAAAGAACAAATCTGAAATTGATTTAGGGGAGCAATCAATCTTATGCATATTCGAAAAAGCATTTCAGTAATTGTTGTTATAAGTGTTTGTACAAATTTCCCCACGAGAATATTCGATTGGAAAGATTCCCCTTTCTTCTTCGCCGCCTCCTTCTCCCTGCAAAATAGAACCAATAAGAGGACCACACCCGGGGGGTGTTGGCCAAAGGCCCTCCGATGCCTAAATTAGTTCAATTGAATTGTATAGAAAACAATAGCTAATAGGGTACGGAGATGTGTTTATGGTATAAACCGGGCTGCCGTAGCCTTATGTTAAAGAGAGAGAGAAAGGAGGTGGCTAGGGTTTGAGAGGAATTTTCTGCAGAGTTTCAGTAGGGATTTCAGACGTACCTCAACCCTTGTGTGTGGCCATCCTTTTATAGTTGTCTTGGAGGCTAGGGTTTCAGAGGAATAATTCCGTAGATGGAAGGGAATTATTCCTCCCCTTTATGGAATTGATTTGATTAATTAGGGATTTGATTTATTAGGGTAAATCAAATCCCTAATTGTGGTAGGTATCAAATCAAATCCCATTTCAATTAGGTAACTCCTCATTTAATTGAGAATCGGGGTAGGAATCAGGAATCAATTCTCAACCCAATTAGGTAATCTTCAATTTAATTGGGTAACCCCCAATTAAATTGAGTAACTCCCAATTAGGTTGATTAATTCCCAATTAGGTCAAATAATCCCCAAATTGAATGAATTATTTGACCTAGGGTTTTGATTTAATTTGGTTACCACAATAAGCATGACCGATCGATGGAAATATGCTCTCTCAACTAGCCACTATCACATTTCGCAATAAAACAAGTATAGAGATTAAACAACTGTTGGGGATTCTCCAATCCATTTGATGATGAATGCTCCATGAACTGTGATAACTTCAAGTCACCCAAATCGATTGCATTCGCCTCGTAAACAATGGTAAAAAAGTAATGCCAGCCAAGGTATTTGGCGTTTAGGATCTCTCCTTCAAGATATTAAAAGTTTATGCCAGCTAAGTTCAACGTATTAAAAGTTTATGCTAGCTGATACGCGTTAAGCAAAGTTCTAGCAAATTTTGACGGAAATATCAATAAAACATCAATATCAATTAAAATTAAATAAAAACCTTTGAGATATATGTTTATTTGAGTCAATTATAAGAAATTGATCAAACTTAATTGTTTGGTGGGCTTGTGTGGCTTGTAGGACAGAGACGATCTTTGAACCTTCCACGGGAAGGAGGCAAGTATTTTCCTTTATATATATATATATATATATATGCATTGAAGTTATTTGTTTCATAATTACATTACCCAATATATAGTTCTCACGTGTTGGACTTGAATGTTTGACTCCGATATAGACTTGGCTCAATGTGTGGCCCACTATGTGGTGGTCCCACATGCAGGAGCGTATTGAAGAATATAAATCTCATATTGGAAACTTGACAAAATAAATTACAACTTATAATAAGTGGTTTCACTACTAATTGCACCGAGGCCTTTTATGATAAAACCCCACACCTATTAGGCTTTGTAAGTGGTTAAGTTGGGGGCAATATCGGTGTTGTTAGTAGTGGATAGATTTCTTTATACTTAATCTAACCTACTGGTACATAGTTTGACATACTTTTCCTTATGGTAGCTTTCTTTAAATACGGCTTCAATTTATTCATCTATATTTTTTAATTTTAGCTTTGGAAGCGATTCAGGGGGGACGCAAGGGAGGCGTTTCACATGAGCAAAGTGAGCGACTGCACATGGCCCCCTTTGAAGAGAACCCCACATTAAATATTAATTTACATTAATATGTTGTTGTAGCTTAGTAATTATTTGAATTTCATTTTCATTTTTTATTTGTCTTTCAGTACAAAATAAGGAAAGATGGGCCCCATAATAAATATTATTTTATTATATTGGTATCGATTGCTTTGGCTTCTCCAATATTAATAGGAGAGTCCCGTTGAACTAAGGACCTAAAAATGAGGTCCTATTTAATAGGAAGTGTTGAAACCAAAAAAAATTCGGCCAAATAAATATGATCATTTATTTCAAATAAAAATTAAATGATAAAGTCAAACCAACATGAGTTCCCAAAATTTTTGGGATATCTGTTATGTTTCAAACTGGTGTTGAGGCCCAAAAAATCCACGGTCGGGCCCGAATAAATTATCGGCCCAAAATGACACTCTATCAAGGAAAGGCGTAAAGCGGAGTACACAAAAACCCGCCACATGCGAGTTGCAATCCACATGCCATGCTAAATAAATAATTCGTCATGCTAGAATATATCGGCCCTGCAAATCCATGCTAATTATCCCATCAAGCATAATAAAAAGCATGCCAAGCGATGTGCCATGCCAAGCGACATGCCATGCCATGCCAAGCAGGAAATCATTATTACACACCCAACCACGCTACAAGCCTAAGTGGGCCCAAGCCACTCGAATGCCCGGGGCTTGCTTGAGTGGGTTGTGGTATGGATGGTAATAAATCAACATGAGGCCCATTGATGGGCCGAGAAATGGAAAGTCTCGGGTTGCTTGGGAGCCTCGAGACTCAAGCCCATTTCTTAGGCCCAAACATGTGGGTGAGCAAAAGAGGAAAAGAAATAGCCCAAATAACCCAAATAACCCAAATAGCCCCAAATAGCCTATTGACTCAAAAGCCCAATATTTAACAAAATAGCCCACTTATTTAATGAACTACCTTGGCCCATACAAAGCTTCGCAATAAGCCCACAAAAGCCTCAGCCCTTTGCTGGAAAAATAGAAGCCACGTAGAGAAGGTTTGCAGGTTCATTAAACAAAACCTCCAGACATGGGGGGAGCAAGTTCCAAGCAAGAAACATTCAAGGAACCAAAGAATATTAGCCTGCGAGCTGCCAGAAACACCATTCGAACCAGCATATATTTCCCAACTCCTTTTCCCATCAGACTTGGCCATGGAAAAGAGATAAGAAAGCAATAAAAGAAATGGTTGGGAATGGAAATCTGTCACTGAGACAGCTGCGGGAAAATGGGGCCTTGAGCTCCCAAAGTTCCTGATTTTGTGCTAATAAACAGAGGAAATTTCACCAAGATAGGAAAAGCCAGGGGAGGAGAAGAGAAAGGAAGGGAAAAGCTTAGCCAAAATGGGTAGAAACCATTAGGGTTTCTTGGGAAGGGATGATTTCCAGCGCCTATAAAATGAGGCATCTTCTACCCAACAAAAACAACCCACGCCCGGAGAGCAAGCTTTCTCTCTAACTTGCAAAAACCCAGCAGTCTCGTGCACTGTTCACCATCTTCTCCATTCTTCTCTTCTGGCAAACAGAGTATCTGTCAAGCTGCCAGAAGAGCATTGTTCTTCATTTCTCTCTTCCTAGCCAAATCTCCTACAAAATCTCTCTTTTCTCACCTTAACACTTCCCTTTTTCCCTCTAAGAAAGCCTAAATTTCCTCTTAGTGCTAAACTCATGTTGATTTTGCTCTCATGCCACATGCCTCTCATGCCAAGCTTAAAATTTTATATGTAAGCATGCATAAATTATCTGTAAGCTGCCATTATTTTGGTTGGTGAAGGTAACCAAAATACTTCCTAAGGCTCTACTACCCTTTCGAGGTATTTTGGGGCTTAATTTTCGAACTCAGGCAAAGGGGACAATTTCATCAGTCTGCCCTTTTTTACAGCAGCCCAGCCCATTTGCAGCTGCTGGAGGAAAAAGTCCCCTACATAAATTGGTAAGGCTAAAGCTGATCAACACTTACTTGAAATTCAAAAAGTGTTGTGTTTTCAAAGGAGTCTTATCTAGTTGGCCTATAAAAAGGCTACAACAGAAAAAGAAAAAGAAAAAAAGGAGTCTTTTCTTTTATATATTCATGGGTGAGAAACTCCGAAATTATTTGGATGCAAATCAATGGGTTAGTAACCCCAAAGTTATTTGGATGTAAAAATCCATATAGGTGAGAAACCCAGAACCTACAAATAAAAGCAATCTGAAAAATGAGTTCAAAGATCCATGACAATTAGCAAACGAAATAGGTTCACATATGCAAATTAAAAAAAAACAAAACAGCAAAAGGAAGGGGTTGCCTTGGTACGGTGCGATGGACTTGAAAAAAAAAGAAAAAAGAGATGAAGACAGCCACGCTTTTTGGCCTGGCTATGTGGCAGCTACAAACCGAAAAAGAAAAAAAAATTGAATAGAAGGGCTGCCGCGTTTTTTTTTTTGGCAGCATATGGGGGCAACAAACAACAAGAGTTTAGGGCTGTTGGCAAATAAGATAGCCATGTTTCTTTGGCAGTTTGTTGTTGGCAAACAAAAAAGAAAAAAAGAAAAAAGAAAGTGGCAGTTTGGTGTTGTGCAGCAAACCAAAAAAAAGATAAAAAAAAAGAGAAGAAAAATAAACAAAAGAAGGCTTGGAGGGGGGGGCACGTCCCGTTCGACAGATTGGCTTTGAAGCAAAACAAAAGCATGGGCTTGGTGCGTGAACAGGCAAGAAGAAAAAAAATATATAGTTGAAAAGAAAAAAGATGGGTTTTGGGTGTGTTTATAAAGTGTTTTGGGTGTTGAGTTTTTTTATAATTTCAATCCCCATTTTGGGTGTTTTAGTGAAACTCCCATAAAAAAAAACCATATATGAAATGGACTTTAGAAACACACTCAAAGCCCATTTACAACATAACAAAAAAGCTTTAACTTCTTTTAAATTACAAAACTGCCATTGATTTCTTAAAACAAACCCAACCCCAAAACCTTATAAAAAAAAACCCAAAACACTCAATAGGGCATTAAATTAATTTAATAATCAAAATTAAATTCAATAGTTCCAGCTATCATTTTTTTGGGTATGTTTATAAAAATTAAATGGTGTAGAGTTTATTTATAGTTTTAGTGCTAAGAATGAGTATATGATTAAATATATCTAATAAAAATTGCTCATTATTTTTCTTGGACATTGACAAAAAGAAAAATGGTACAAAACCATCCAATTTTTCCCATGGGTCATCTACCCATGCAAATTTCATTGAGATTAATTTCAAATCTCTCAAACAGAAATTCTCAATTAGTGGGCTATACGCACCCATTAATTTCCAATTTTTTTTACTCATGAGTCATCTATCCATGAAAATTCAAATGAGATTAAATTCAAATCTCTCAAACACAAATTCTCAATTAGTGGGCCAAACTTACACATTAATTTCCAATTTTTCCCCTTGGTCATCTATTTATGAAAATCTCCAAATTGTCCCAAAGATACAAATTCTCAATTAGTGGGCCACACTTACTCATTAATTTCCAAATTTTGGAACTACGTCGGTTTGATCCCATTAAGGGTACGTAGGTAGTAAGATAGACGCAACTGCAACCAAATTTGAATCAATGGTTACATCAACCAAATTCCCACAAATCAAATATCTATCTTCACACAAATCAATTCCGAACTACGTTGGTTTGATCCCATCAAGAGTACGTAGGCAATCTAGCATCATAATAGACGCAACCGCAACCAAATTTGAATCCCTGGTTTATTCTTAACCAAATTCACCCCAAACACACATCAAAATCGAATCCCTAGTTAATTAAGCTAAATTCACTCAAACATTTTTTTTAAAATCAAATTCATTCCCCCTTTTGCAATGAGTCATTTATTCATTGCAATTCTTTGAACTACGAGTGGTTTGATTCTTGTAAGGAATACGTAGGCACCCTGAGGTTAGACTTGGGAGCAGCCGCAAAACCAAACACTCACGTTCGGTTTCTTTATGATGGAATCAAAGGGTGTTCCATTGAAGTAAAGGATTGTAATTAAGAGACACTGCGTCTCGAATGGGTTGAACCTAAAATAATGTTGGGAGGATCACATTTTCCTTCAACAGGGAGCTTTAGTTTTAAAACACAATATAATTTACTAATTTGGAAGATATGAATACAATTTTATTTAATTAGCATAAGGCCAAAGACCAAAATATAGTACCTAATTTTACAAAAATATCATTAAAAAATATCAAAATTACACACAATACCACTCCTTCTGAAACAAACATACTATGCCACATGTCCATGTCTAGCCAACCGTCACCGCCAACCACCCCACCATGGTCGGCCATTTCCACTGCCGCTGGCCACCGTCAGACTCCAGCCACAGCCCGCCACCACCCACCACCGTTGGACTCCAGCCGCCGACCACCTGCCCCCGTCGGACTCCCACAGCCGACCATTTGCCACCATCGGACTCCCGCCGTCGGCCACCTGCCACCACCACCATCGGGCGCCATCGCCCGTCGTCGGCCTGTCACCGTCTGCAGGAGACCAACTCCGTTGCCCTTTATTCAGCTTTTATAAAAAGAAATTGTGTCATTGAAGGGACTCGAACCTTGACCCTCAAAGGAGGAAAGCTCACTCACAAACCACTACACCAAACTTGATTTTGTAATATTTATTCAATTATACAATATTTATATAAACAATCAACGGTTAAAAAAAAAAATCGTTTCAACACTTATACAAAAATTGCAAATAAAAACAGAAAACACAACAAAAATACAATGTAGATATCAATTATGTTAAAAAAAACAAATACAAAAACGAAAACATCTACAAAAATGGAAATTGCAATATAAAAAAACCAATACAAAAACGGAAACATTTACAGAAGCAGAAACTGCAATGCATAAATAGAAGCTGCAATACAAAAATGGAAACTGCAATGCACAAACGAAAACTACAATACAAAAACAGAAACTGCAATGCTGAGTTTGGGCAAAACTGCTCAGCTCTAGAGTTAAGCAAATTGGTGAGGTTGAAGGCCAAGGAAAGAACAAAAATGCAATTGTAATTAAATGAGCAATGCAGTTTCCAAAAGTCCAATTTTGAGTTCCCTTACTCTTGGGTAGTTCTACTCTTCTCTTGCCCACCCAATTCCTCATATGGGTAACCTCTACTATTCAAATTGGTGAGGTTGAAGGCTAAGGAAAGAGCAAAAATCTAATTATAATTACCAAAATTGCAATGTAGTTTGTGAAAAATTACAATGCAGAACCCGTGTAAAATTTCATTGAATTACAGCTTAAATGGTAATGCAAGATATTATATGACTCTGGAATCCTTGTATTAGAGTTGTATCAAATCTGGAATCAGCTTCAAAAGAAAATAAAGCTCCCTCTTCGAGAACTCTAGCTTTGATTTCACTTGCATTTGCATCTTCCTGTCTCCTTCCAATAGATTCTTGTGCCCCCCCTCCCGCACGTCTTCTGCTATTGTTGGCTTAATCATATCTGACACCGCCTCCGTGATCTCTTGCACAAGATTTACTATCACTCCCTCGATTCCCATTAGGTGCTGCATCTTGCTACTGCCAACAACGCGCCGTACGAAGTCACAACCACTTTGCCATCGCGACCCTTGGACTTAAGAGAGAGAGAATGGAGTCCTCTGGACTCATGAGATAGATCTGGTTTTGGCAAAGGCTCTTAAGAAAGGGTAAAATTGTATTTTACCCCTATAATTTAGACATGCCCAACGAATCTGGGCCTCTTCTTTGGCCTAATCCAAAATAACAATTTTTTCCTAAGTGTAGGGGGTTTTTTGTTCCAACAGCCTGACGAATGGGCATGTGCTGCTGTAAGAAGACAACGAGCAAAATCCCCAAATGCCTGAGTTCGAAAAACAAGCTCCCAAGAGAGTTTTTAGAAAATCTAATGAGACTTTAAAAGAACACTCTCAGGATCACTTCATTAACACCCAAATAAGCATGAGGATTTCATTAATGGCTTAGCCTGAGGAGTATGTGGCATGGGAGCTAAGCTTTCACAAGTTTAGCAATTTGAGAGAGAGAAAACAGCGTGGGTTTCTTACAGAAGAAATATTAGTACGAGCCCTATCCTAAAAGAAGAAGAAAGATGAACAGAAGAGAGGTTTGGGGTGGCTTGAGTAAATTCCAGATTGCTTGACAAAGCTTGGTCAAACTCTGGATCGTTGAGTTGTGGTTGTCTTTTCTGGGTAGCAAAAGTCTCCTTTTATAGGCGTTAGGAGCTCTAATTTCGTATGGTTTTCCTCTTCCTTTTTCCTTGGCAGCTCCTACTTAGCCCTATTTTGATGAATTTCTCCATCTAAGGAGCATGGGTAAGGAACCCTTTATGGTTCCAATGGTTTGACACAGCTGGGCTTTCCCATAGAGGGGAAGGCACCACCTGCTTTCCTTATGTTTTCTCCAAGGCAGAGCTTACAGAGGAAAAGGGGAGAGATGGAGCCTTTTGTCCGATGGACACTTTTCTCACCTCCATGGATTTCCTCTAGTCTTGCCGTGGCTCCCTTATGACCATTGTTTGGAATTCAAACGGGAATAGGACTTGACGCCAGATTTTTGCAAGTTGCTGGGCTTGGGCTTGTACATATGGTATTGGGTCCTCTGGCTTTGTTGCTTCTATCGTTTAATAGGCTTTCGTCAAGCTGCTGGAAAGGCTTTCCCTTTAATTCTATTGATGTGGGCTGGGCTAAATATCTTGGCAGGTTCTTTGGTGTCTTCCTAGAGCATTGGTCAATTTTTTCTCCTCTTTCTCATGCTAACCCATATGCTTGGGTTCTAGGAACGGGCTTGAGTTCCAAAGCCCCCAAGTGGCTTTGAAACCTACGTTCCTTGAACCCTCAATGGGCCCCGTGATTGCTTGTTTCCTTCCATACCACAACCTTCTCAGTAAGCCCCGGTTAATTTTGTGGCTTGGGCCCACTTAAGCTCGTGACGTAGCTTGGTATTAGAATGCGCATGATTTCTATGCTCGTGCTTGGGGTTTTATTATGCCATGATAGGCTATAGTCGGGCCAAGTAGCACCGAATGAGCATGTGAGCGTGATTTAGTAATATCGGTATGTCCTTGGCTCCTTCTGCACGTGCTTGTTTAGCATGATTTGTGGCTTGTAGCTTGTGTTGACGGCTCTTATAAATTTTCTTTTATCCCGATTGAGCTTATTTTGCATCCAATTACCCATATTGGGCTAAGGATTAATTTGGGCTTAGCCCCTTAGATTTTTGGGCCTCAACACTAAGTATTAAAACCCAAACTAAAATACACAATGTCTCAAATACTAATTAGTAAAGTTAATTATGTCTAATACCTAATTTTTCTTATTTATTATTTAATTTGATAAAGTTCATTGAATTAATCCAATTATACGTATAATTAGTAGTTTAAACCTTTCATCTTGCTCCCTATTTTACCCAAACAAACCCTAACTATTCTAATTCAAAAAAGAAAAAAAAAAGAAAAAAAAATCAATTTTACAATCTCTGCACTCACAGCTGTCAGCCAAAAGAAACTAATGGAAACCCAAGGGGGATTAGCCTATTGCACAAATGCAAAGCAACCCAGCCAAACTTCGACAATAAGAAAAGCCACTCAGACGCATAGATTGTTTTCGATTTAGCCACTATCTAGTTCATTGATTTCTTGGCTATGTGGATGAATAAAAAAATTCAGAATCAGATGATCTGAGAAAAATGCCATTTCCGTGGGATACTACTCCATGGAAACAAATAAGAAAAAGAGAAACAAAGATTGGATTTTGTTATTGTTGAAATGGAAAGAACAAAACTGGGCAAAATATTGATTATGTTGTCCGATTGGTGATGGATTGGAAAACAAAAGATAGGTTTGTGAAGAACACCTAGTGAAACATATAATAAAACCAAGACTATAGGGTTTAGGGTTTAGGGAAGAAATCAATGAACTATACGTAGGTAAGACAGGAGAAGTCCGTACAAGGGCTATATAATCAGTTGAGAAAGGACGAAAGAAAAAAGAAAAAAAAAGTTGTAAAAAATTAATGAAAATATCTGCCATATAGCTCGATCGTCGTGATCTTTTGACCTGTCCAAATGAGCACGGCACTGGATGGAGACGGATCGTTGGGTCTAACACTCTTAAGGACAGAGATTCGGCAGTTGATAATAATAATACAAACCTATCTTTTGTTTTTCAATCCATCACCAACTGGACAACAGAATCAATATGTGGCTGTACATACAGCTGCTAAATTACAACTGACATGCTACTTTAATAGACTAATCTAGCTTAACTTAATATTATTTAATTAGTTATTTATATATTAAAACTTTTTTTATATATTTATTAATTTAAAATAAATATATCATTTATAGGACTGAATTCAGATATGAGGATAACAATACCATCCCGTCCTACTCAGATATTTTTTAAATTGAGATTCCCGTGCCTGCGCCCAATTTCCCCGTGCCCACTTTTGGAGATCACAGTGCCCGCTCCCATTTTCCCCGTGCCCACTTTTTCAGCAATAATAGAACCATAGCAAGATTTCTAAGCAACAATTGATCATCTCTCTCTTCTAGTACATCTGAGCTGAGCCCCAACCCACCAACACACAATCGAATCCTATCTTCTCACATGTATTTTGATTTTTAAATTTTGTGTTTCATCTGGTTGATTGCTCCCCAGAATTAATTCTAGATGTGTTGTTTTGATTAAGCTAGCATATACCAAAATAAGGCCATTATGGCGTCAGCTTCAGCAGACCTCTTCATTGGCAAATTTGTAGCAATTCTCGACAGTGAAGCAGCCTCCATAGCGGGTGTTGCTGATCAAGTTGATGAGATTAAGCGGGAGCTGGAATTCATGAAAGCCTTCTTAGCGGATGCTGACGGGCGCAACAAAGCACACACACAAGTAGAGGAGGTGTGGATCAGAAGCGTTCGAGACTTGGCCAATGATGTTAAAAACATCATTGATGAATTCATGTATCACGTGTACGAGCAGCAAATTGGCGGTCGATTTGCCCCGTGGATCCACAAAACCATTCAGTTTCCAAAGCACCTTTGGTATAAGCGTAAAATAGCCAAGAAGTTGCAGAAAATTGCGATTGCAATTAGAGCTATTCCAGAGAGAAATCAAAGATATGGTGGTGGTGCAGCTGTAGAAGGAAAAAGTACTTCTTCTGAGGATATTCTCAGATGGGTGCAGAATCAAGCGGAGTCTTCTCTTTATCAGAAGGATGATGAACTTGTCGGGATTGAAGGCCATAAGAACTTGTTAATGGGATGGCTGAGGGATGAAGCCAAGCACCAAACTGTTGTGTCCGTGGTCGGGATGGGAGGATCAGGGAAGACAACTCTAGTTGCAAGGACCTTCACCGACGACGTTGTGAAGAGCCATTTCGAATGCTATGCGTGGATTACTGTTTCCCAGTCTTATGTGATTGAAGACTTACTTAGAAGATTGATCAAAGAATTCCACAAAGCAAAGAAGGAAGCGGTCCCTGCAGACATGAATGCCATGAGTTATAACGAATTGCTGGAGATTTTGGTGAACTACTTGGAGACTAAAAGGTACCTAGTTGTATTGGATGACGTGTGGGATGTCCACCTTTGGGACAAAATAAGGTTTTCATTTCCAGATAAACAACTTGGAAGTCGAGTTATGCTTACAACTCGAAGAGAAGACATAGCATTCTCTTCTTTTGGAGTTGAAAGCCGTGTTCACAAGATTCAACCGCTGGAAAAAGGTGATTCGTGGGAGCTCTTCAGCATGAAAGCATTCTCAAGTTATCCAAACAAATCTTGTTCAACAGAAATTCTGCCGTTAGCTCGGGAACTTGTGGAGAAGTGTGAAGGCCTACCTCTTGCGATCGTAGCCTTGAGTGGTCTTATGTCTTCTAAGAAGTCACTTACAGAGTGGAGCACAGTCTACAACAGCTTAAATTGGCATTTAACAAACAATCCTTTGCTAGAACCTATGAAAAGCATCTTGTTGTTTAGTTTTAATGATTTGCCATACCGATTGAAGCAATGCTTTCTATATTGTTCCCTTTTCCCTGAAGATCATGTGATCGTAAATAATAGGCTCATCTCATTGTGGATCGCTGAAGGATTTGTTGAACATGTCGAAGGGCTCACGCCAGAAAAAGTTGCAAATGGCTATCTTATGGAACTCATTTTTCGTAACATGCTACAGCAAAGGTTTCGAGGACCCCTCCCAGCATGTAAGATGCATGATCTTTTGAGGGAGATTGCTCTGTCAATAGCAAAACAAGAAAATTTTTGCGCTGTACATGACGGCGGGAGTGAAACAACAGAAGAAACTGGGGCACTCCGTTTGTCAATTCAAACAACTAATGGAGAAATTGGATCATGCACAGGTATATCACGGCTTCGTTCGTTTCTCGTCTTTGCCACTGCCGTATCCTCATTCTCTTTCCCAAATAAATTACCTTTTGACCTTAAATTGTTGATGGTTCTAGATTTGGAGGATGTCCCAATTGATAATTTGCCAAACAATCTAACGTCCTTATTTAATTTAAAATATTTAAATTTGAGTAGAACTCCAATTAGGGAGCTTCCAGAATCCATTGGAAAGCTCCGCAACCTTCAGACCTTGAACATCACGCTGACAAAAATAGTTGCACTTCCAAGAGGGATTTCCAAGTTGATAAACTTGCGCCATTTACTTGTGGGCAGGTTCATTTTCGGAAATTTTATTGGGGTAAGAATACCATCAAGTATTAGTAAGATGAAGAAATTGCAATCTTTGGCATATGTTGAATCAGAAGGAAATAGTATTAGACTTGTTGGAAAGATGACCCAGCTTAAGAACCTTGGCATTACAAATGTGAAAGAAAGAGACGCGGAGGACCTATGTGCCTCAATTCAAGAGATGAAGGTGCTTTCCTCCTTGGGTTTAATTGTAGCAGAGGGAGAGGAATTTCTTCGAGTTGACGCATTGTCTTCACCGCCTCCCTACCTTGATGTACTTGACTTGGTCGGCAAACTGGAAAAGGTACCACATTGGTTTTGTTCTCTCCAGTCTCTCACAAAATTGAATCTGCATGGGTCCAGACTTGAAGAAGATTTACTACCTCATATTGAAGCGTTACCCTCTTTACATTTTCTTTTCCTTGATGATGCCTCTGTTAGGAAAGAGTTATGTTTCAGCAGAGGCTTTGTGAAGCTTCGATTTTTGCGGTTGGGGAATCTCGCATTATTAAATAAGATAACTATAGAAAAAGGGGCGATGCCAAATCTCAGGGTCTTATACATTCATAGTTGCATGATGTTAGAAACATTGCCACAGGGTATTGAGCACCTTACTGAACTACAACAATACAGATTTGATAATGTTTCAGAGAAGTTTAGAGAGTCCATAAAAGAAGGAGGTGTGGATCATCCAAGGATGCTACTCGTCGACGATAGATGTAAGAAATATACGTAAGTATCTTTTATCCTTTCATTGACTTTCCTAAACTTAATGATTTGGAATATTACACTTGTGTTCAAGAAATTGTTCTCGTTCACATCTCTGTTAATGGATGTAAAGCCATATAAATTGTTTGTTAATTACAATATTGCTTTTGTCTTGTTATATATTTTGCAGAAACAAGTAGTCCAGGTATGTCGATGTTGAGAATTCACAGTATCCCACACAATCTGGGATTAGTTAGGAAATTATTTCATTGTTGTAATTTGTTATTGATTCTGTACTCTTAGCTAAAGATAGATGATAATTTTCTTCTGATGCCTATGCTTACTTTTATAAACCTTTTCATTTGTATGATTCAAACTCTAAAGAGGGGGGATTAAAATGAATATCTACAAGCTCTAATATGAGGTTATATAATTTTTCTTCACAAGTGGAATGCATTCACAAACCTTTAAGAAGCTCACACAAAGCATGGTTTGATTGGCAGATTGAAAAGCTTCACAAGTGGAGATGGCGCTCACGTCTCAGATATCCTCGGATGTATATAATTTAGAATTATGGTGGAGGTATGGGTGCAAAGGAAGTCTGGGACCATTTGTTAGATAGGGATTGTGTATAACTTTTGGTCCTATATTTTCTGTAGGATTTTTACTGATAGCTGAGGGTGTTCTGTTGTAAGATTGTACTGTTTTGATGGATAATATTTTTTATCTGTTTCTTATTCAGGAGTAGTAGTTCATGATTTTTGACATGTTCGTTTGTTAAAACTATGAAGGGTTTTGAAGATAAGCAAACAATTTATTTCTATTTTCACTGAAATTATCTGTTTGGTGATTGATTGTTGACTGATACAAGTGTATTTTTGGGTCAGCTCATTTTTGGCTTTGAGTTTAGACCCGACCTGACCCGAGAACCGATGCCTTACTCAGTTTGGCCCAAGGGTCGCATAAAATTAGACCCAACTCGAACCGTGCCCAGACCTATATTCTGTAATAAAAACCTACTCTTTTATTAATGACAATTATGAAATGAACAAGTTCTATTTATTTCCGCCAATTTTTCATTTCACATTTCATTCAATTATCATAGATGGGCAGAATAGACAAAAACGAACCAACATATTTACATCAACTACTCAAAAAGTCAAGTAACAGTTCTATCCATCTCTCCTTCGATCCTAGGATATGTTTGTATTGCTTGTGAATCCCACATAGTTGAATAGAACTTCTTTAACCATTTGCCATTGATTGGCACATCATGGGCTTCTCCATCTTGATCTTGTAACATGTATGCCCCTAATCCAAGGACTTGTTTGATTACAAAAGGGCCTTCTCAAGTGGTGACCATTTTCCATAACCAGCCACGTGGGCTCCAACAGGTAGAACTGCTCTCCAGATAATCTCTCCCTCTTCAAAGCTCTTGTTTTTAATTCTTTTATTATAAGCTTTTTCCACAACTTCTTTTCGTGCTAAGAGTTTGTTGAGGGTATCAATTCTGCTTGTATTCAATCCTTCCAATTCTAGTAGTATTGCTTGTGAATAGTCTTCTCCAACTAAGTTATGCTATTGGGCAATTCTGATGGACTGGACTGTGGTTTCCATGTGCAGAATCGCTTCATGTCCATAGGTTAGAGCATATGGGGTCATGCCAATTGCCTCTCTATTTGAAGTTCTATAGGCTCATAAGGGTTCCGACAATTTTTCATGCCATTGCCTTCGATTTTCCTTAAGCATTTTTATGATGATATTAATGACCACCTTGTTGCTTGATTTTGCCTGTCCATTTGCTTGAGCATAGTAAGGAGTGGATTGGAGTAACCTGATCTTGAGCCTACTTGTCATATCTTGCATCTCTCTGAATATGAAAAAAGTCCCTCTATCAGTTGTGATTGATTCTGGTATGCCAAACTTATGTACAATCTGTTCTTCAATGAAAGTGATGATCTCTTGAGATGTGGTGGATTTAACCAATTTAGCCTCCACCCATTTAGTGAAGTAATCTATAGCCACAATGATGAAACAGTGGTGTTTGCTACTGGCTAGATAGATTTTGCCAATGAGGTTCATTGCCCATCCCCTGAATGGCCATGACTTAACAACTGGATTCATGGAGACTGAGGGAGCTTGTTGGATTGGTCCATGTCTTTGGCAATATTCTATGCAGTCCTTCATCATGGTAGGCCAGAAGTAACCTTACCTTCTAATCAGGCAGCACATTTTCCTTCCACCTTGATGTGCTCCACAGATTCCTTCATGGACTTCTCCTATGACTTTCATGTATTCTTCCTTTCCCAAGCATCTCAAGAGTAGTCCATCTTTGCTCTTTCGAACCAAATCTTCATTCCACATGAGGTAATTTAAAGCCATGATTCTTTAATTTTTTTCTCGGAAGGGAGGGTTGGATATTGCAAATAATTGATTATAGGCTATCTCCAATCCTCCTCAGTCATTATGGTAGAATTGACATCTATCTCCATTCCCCTGGCCAGAATAGATGGTAGAATCTTTTTCCCCATTTTGATGATTCTCTATACACAATCTTCATGTATTTGCACTTCTGTTGCAATATGAGCCATTTCATTGGCTGCAAAATTCTCTTCTCTCGGAATATGTTCCCAAATGGCTTCCCTAAATTTTTCCAGGAGATTTTTGGCTGCCACCAAATAAACAGCTAAGGAAGGATTCAAACACTTGTATTCTCTAGCAATCTGCTTTAGAACAAGCATGAAATCTCCCAGGATTTCTGATGAGTCGATTTTATATTATATATTTAACCATATTCTTAGTATATTTTGGTTAATATTTTGGAAGAATTTTGATACTTTGAATTGTATTTTCAATATAGGGCTTTCGACTTCTTATGGAGCAAAACATAATCAAATGGACGAATTTTGGAGCAATTCCAGTTGGAGGACGTTCGTGAGTCACTTAGCTTGATCGTATCTAAATTTCAGAGTTTTCTCCCAAGTGGTTATTCTCTGGCAATAAAATAAAAGAGCAGTGCGCTGTGCTGGAATAGTGACATTTGGGCTTTTATTACGTTTTTGGAGCCCAAGATGACCTCGGATGGGTTCATGGCCTTCTGGAGAAGTGTTTAGAATATTTTCATCTTTAAAACAAGCTATCTTGGGCCAGATTTGGAGGAGATTTGAGGTCAAAAAGTGGCTGGGCAGATTGTGGGCAGGTTCTCCTAATCCAATTTGGAATTTATTTCCTAGTATTATTTTATTTCAACTTAGTTTCCTTGTGGGGATTGGGCGGCTAGGTTTTAGGAAGTATTTAAGCTCCTTCTTAGAGCAATTTTAGGACTTTGGCTCTTGAAAGTGGAGAGCAATTGCTAGGGTTTTGGAGTGTTTGCGACTTTTAGGTGTTTTCATTCTTATTCATTCTTAATGATATTTTCTTGGATTTCAATTATGAATATGCATAACTAATTCAATTGCTAGGGCGAGGCCATAAGCCTTAGCATGAATATGTAATTTTATTGATTTGCTTATGAATGGATGCATGTTTGCTTTGAATTATTAATCACTGCGTTTAAAACTATCTATCTATTTTAATGACTGATCACCATTAGGATATGTAGACAAGTAATTTGATGCAATTTCTGTTGGAACATCACCCTGAAATTGAGGCGAACATCACGCTCTTAAGGGTTTCATGGTTTTTCAAAGGGTTTTCACAAAGTTTAATGAGTCTTGCATGTTTATATTTGATCTGAACATCACAGACAGATTGCATGTTAGATATATGTTTTTGCTTGAACATCACAAGGAAAATATGCATTGGGAAAACTTCACCTTCAAAGCATATATGTGGAAATTCATAAGTAATTGATAGAATTGCATAGGATTGTGATGGTGATGGCTAAACCCTAGTTTTCTCTAAATTGTTAGTTTTTAAAAAGAAAACGTTTTTCTCCTTTGCTGTAATTATTTCCCAACCTTCATATTTCTTTTACTGTTAATTTAATCTTTTCAAATTCATAAACTTCAAATCTTTGATAAAATTTATTTTAGTTATTAATTAAGAGTTAGTTTAATTACAAATTAGTCAAACAATCTTTGAGGACAACAACCTTGCATGAGCACTTATATTACAATTACCTTGTATTCTTGCAAGTATTTTCAGTGATTTTTACCCTATTGTGCAGTTCTAAAAAAATCCTATCAATTTCCATAGATTGGATTCCTAGATCTACCATCATCTCAAGACCAACGATCAAAGCTTCGTACTCTGCTCTGTTGTTGGTGCACTGGAAATCTAGCTGGGATGAATAATAGTATCTGATTCCTAATGGATCATCTAAAACAATTCATGCTCCAGAAGCCAGGTCGATTTTAGATCCATCAAAATACAAATTCCAAGGGGTGAGATGGACTGAGTATATGGGATTATTAAGACAGATGTGAGCTCTACTTAGCAGATTTGCATTGGCTATATCCATGGAATCCATGTTCTCAATCTCTTCCCCTAGATGATCTGCCAAGAAGTCTGCAAAAGCCTGTCATTTGAAGGAAAATTCTGATAAGGCCAGAGTCCATTTACCAATTCTGCCTCTCAATAATGGCCTCGTTAGCATGTACTTGATCAAATCTATTTTAGCAATGATGTAGATGGTAAAGGGTAGCATGTAATGTCTGAGCTTTATAGCAGTGAACTACAAAGCCAAACATGACCTTTCAATCGCAGAATACTTTCTTTCCACTTCTGTCAGAGTTCTGCTTAGGCAGTAGACTGCCTGTTCCTTCCATTCCTTGTTATCTTGAACCAAAAGGCTCCCAATAAATACCTCTGATGTAGAGACATATAATTTAAGTGGTCTACCACTCTTTGGTGGAGACAAAACTAGTGGACTCGAGAGGTAATGCTTGATTTCCTCGAAAGCCCGCTGGTGCTGTTCTTCCCATCTAAATGCTTATTCTTGTTTCAACTTTAGCAAGGAGGAGAAAGGTTGGATTTTCCAGGCAGAATTGGATATAAATCTTCTGAGAAATTTGATCTTCCCTAAGAGACTTTGTAATTCTTTCTTGTTCCGAGGTGGCAAAGCTTCTATGATAGATTTTGCTTTGTTCTTGTCAATACCTCTTTGATGGATTAAGAACCCTAAGAAATTGCCAGTTTGAACCCCAAACACGCATTTTTTGGGATTCATCTTCAACTTGTGTTGTCTCATTCTTAGAAAAGCTTCTCTTAAATTAGATACATGATTTCCCTTTTTTGGCGACTTAATCACCATGTCATCTATGTACATCTCTAGGGAATGGCCTATCATGTCATGGAATACGAAGTTCATTGCTCTTTGATAGGTAGCCCTTGCATTTCTCAAACCAAAAAGCATCACAACATATTCAAAGGCACATATGTATCCTAGACACATGAAAGCATTTTTGTGAATGTCTTCTTCTGCCACCATTATGTGATTATAACCAGCGTTGCCATCCATGAATGATATCATTTGGTTATAAGCTGCTCCATCCACCAACATATCTGCCATTGGCATGATGTACTCATCTTGAGGAAATGCCTCATTCAAATTCTTGTAGTCCACTCAAACTGTGATTGCTCTTGTCTTTCTTTTAAGAACTGGTGCAATGTTGGACAGCCAATCAACATAAATGGCTGGCCTGATAAAACCTGCTTTAACTAGTCTTTCTATTTCCTCTTTGACCTTCAATTCTGTCTCCATGGACATCCTTCTTCTGTCCTGCTTGACTGATAGGTATTTTTCTTTTATTGGCAGTTTGTGCTATACCAATCCTCTGTATAGTCTAGGCATTTCATGATAATGCCATACGAAACAGTATTTGAAATCATGTAGAAGTGCACTAATTTCATCCTTCAATGGTTCTTGTAGCAATGCACTGATAAAAGTAGGCGTATGATCCTCTTCTGTCCCTAAGTTTATTTCCTGCAAAGGGTCTTCCACTTCTGGCAAGGAGTCATCCAATGCTGCTAGTACAAACTCCAATTCCTCCTCCTGCAAACTTTCTTCCTGCTCTTATGCACTCTCATACATGAATTCTGCCATATTGACGGCTGGATTCTGCATAGAGAGCTTCATTTCTTCATAATATACCAACAATCCATTTGTAATGGATCAGATTGTTGCAGCTTGATCATTCTCTTGTTGGTTTGAGCTAAACATCAGAATTTTGGAGGTTTAGGACAGAAGGCCCATTCCAATCCTCTAGAGAACTAGCTAGACCCTCTTCAATGAGCCTCTGGGCCGTGACACCATGGGGGCGGCTGTTCTGATTGACTGCAAGGAAAGTAAAAGGACCAAAGTCATCATGATAATACCTGGTCTCGAAACACTTTGTAGATGGTAGAAATGGCCATGGATCGGCCTCTACTATCTCCATAAAACCCTCTTCGTTCCAGAGGGCTAAGTGTTGGTGTAGGGTGGAAGGAACACATAGGCTCTGGTGGATCCAGTTCCTGCTGAGCAATGCATTGTAAGTGGTAGAAGTGGTGTCTACCATAAAGAAAGCAATCTTTAGCTTCTTGGTTCTTACTATGACATCCACATCCAGTATCCCATAGGTCTTAGTGATGCCCCCAACAAAATTGGTGACTGTAAGACGCGTTGGGATTAGGTATTTTTCAGTTCTGCCCATCTTAGCCAAGGGTCTGTGAGGTAGCAGATTGATGGTTGCGCCTCCATCTACCATTACTTTAGTTATAGGAATCCCACCAAAATTTTCAATGATGAACAATGGTCTAAGATGATTTGCCATTTCCTTGGTAGATTTGGTAAAGCACAACTGCTTTGCAGGCATTTTCATGGTAGTTCTGCCTGTTAACTTGAAAGAAGTCTTTAGGAGTAGGTATATTGAGAGGTCCCCCTGGGTGTGCCAAATTGTTCACCCGTTTTGATTTAGTCCTATGATGGTAGGGTAAAGCTCCCTATTAACTTGAAAACTATTGGTGGTCAACAAGTCAACTTTCTTTGGTGTGCGAGCGTGTCACTGCTAGTAGTTAAAAACCCTGATAGGCTTATGAAAGATAGATAACTTGGCCCCAAATTACTGACTTTAAACAAGTGATTGTGAATTTGAGTGAGGAATATCTCCCAAGTAAGTTCTTTTCTTGCCTTAGACTGGTGAGGACTTCACAATTTCTCATAGTAAACTAGTAATTCTGGCAAAAAATGAGCACTGAAAATAAATCAAACTGTTTTAAAAAAGGAAACTCCCTATTACACAATTTAAAACAAAAAGGGAACTGCCATGTATGAAAGGACAACAGAACATTGGGCTTCGATTTCTGCTTGGATTGTTGCCTGTAACTCAGGCTGGACTGGATGTATCTATGTTGGATTCAAACATCAGCACCTTCAAGTGATGAGGTTTAGCTAGAAATCGATACCAATGTCAAGATTGGCAGAGCTTCAATCTATTCTAGCCATAGAGAGGCTTGCTGGATGGTCATAATTTGAGATTTCTTCAGTCTGGACGGGGCGGGAAGTGGCTGGATTGATGATTGTTGACCTGGAGCTACACTACAGTACCTATTCTGCTTGATTATGAATCATCCGAGAGCTATTCTGGCAATTATGAGAGACCATGGCATCTCTGTAAATTTGTTGAGGTTTTCATATTATGAAAAAACCCAAATTCTGCTTGATTTGGCTATGCTGAACCAAATTTGTAACGAGAGAAATCTTGTTTCCTTTGTAAACTGTTTCTTTAAATTGATCTGAAGTCAGACACCAGAGTTCTGGTTGATCTATTTTTTATAAATCAAAGAGTTTAGTTGCTTTAGAGTTTGAAGACTTTTGAGATCAATTGATCTTGTTTTGAATTTGTCAGTATGACTTTGAGAATTTTTGTTTTTTATTGCGTTTTTGGCTGTCCTCCACCCTGTTCACCTCCTCTCATATTTATAGAGAATTTGAATGAGGTTTTATTTATTTATTATTATTATTTTTTTAATATTTGGGAGGCAGATCTTTGAAAAGGATTTTCCTTTTCCAATGCAAAAAAGGGGGAAGTTTATTTTAATCTAGCAAAAGGAACCATTATGATGGTCAATTTACTTTTTCTGGCAAACAACTCTCCTGTTTCTTGTTTGCATTTTGTCAAAACACAACCTGCTCTAATGCGGAACCCTCATGAGTATAGAAAGGAAACTTGCCCGCCCTCTTTTTTTGGCATTTTTAAATGGTCATGGAGAGTGTTCTTTTGGTTAACCTGTTTTCATTAACTCCTACCACTTCCTCTGCCCCAATTGAAAACTTTGACTTTCAAAGTCACATGGGCTTTTTCATGAGAGAAAGATCTTCCAAAATATCTGCTAATTTGAACTCTGGAATTGGGATCAACGGCGATGATCAAATTTTTGGGCCTTTGGAGAGATTAGAAGCTGGGCCTAATCGTAAAAATCAATTAGAAACTGTTTTGTCCAGATTTAAATCACCATTTTAATGGCAATTAGTCTTTAATTTGTGATTTTGATTCTTACTAATTGGTCTACAAAGGTTTGGGCCTCTAAAACCCTTTGGGCTGATTTCTGACTTTAATAAACAGGGTCCAAGCTCCTGTTTTTGACATGGGCGGATAATTAGTTGGGCTGGTGTGTGCATTTTAGGCCCAAACAAAAGTTAAGAATGAGCTGTGCCTTTTGGTATTACTTAAACTTATACTGTGTTCAGGATTTCAGATTCTCCGTTCGATTGGCTATTCCTTATAATTATGTACATGTATGTTGTTATTTAGAGAGAGAGGGAGGGAGAGAAAGGCAAAGTGTACAAACTAGAATAATTGATATCTCTCTAGCAATCCAAGCCTTGAGTGTTGGTTATTTGAGCCGCTTATATCTGGCTCTCTGGCTCTGGTCTTTTACTAAATCCAGCTCTTTCCTTTTTGTGTAACTTCAGAAACAGAGAACATGATCTTCTAAGAATTAAGTAGGATTTTCAAAACCAATTTTTCAATTTGATCCCTGCGCTACATAAAATATAAAAAATTAATACCTGTGCTGCGATGTTTCTTGTATTTTTACTTGTATGTGTATGCATGTCTCTGTTAGATAGCAGTAAAAATTTGATCAAATTGGTATAATGCTCATCTGATTTTGTTGACTTATGACAGGTCAGCTGCCACTTGTGGACATTGTTTTTACTCCTTGTAGATCGATTGAAATTCTAAGTGAGCAGTTGTTAGGGGAAATCTCAATAGCCTTGAAGCCTCTGATTCTTCCAAAGGGGAAAGAAATATAAGGTAATTCATTATTTGCGTTAACATTGTCACATTATGGATTTAGTTTTGAAGTGAGAATCAATCTTGGATTTCTCGCAGACCACCTATGTAATTCAGCACAACCTACTACTCTCTAGTTTTCTAGAAGCACAAGCTCTTCAGATGAAATCAAATTTATCATATGAGTTGTCCTTTAGGGTAAGTTTCAATGTTACTTACTAGTATCCCTTGACATAATGTTGTTATTGGATATGCTATATATGTGATCACTGTAGGTTAGTCGGTTGAGCATTGATTTTGTTTACTTCTCATTTTGTATGTCAAGGCTAAAAAGTTTGAAGATTGTTTCATCCTTCGTGTTAAAAAATACCACGAGAAGTTTACCAAAAGTTCAGATCAATGATGATATTTGATTGATGAAGATATTCTGTTGACACAGAAGAGGACCTAAAGAAACCCAGCTGTTTCTACGTAAGGCATCCTGGTTCTAATTATTTATTTATTTTTTTGTGATTTGTTTTTAGTGTTTGTCAACTTTGTGAGATTCTTTTGGGGTTAACTGCAATTTTTGTGATTCTTTTAACCATAACTGAGCAAGCTGCAAAATTGTGAGTTGGAAGCACAAGGAAAGCTTGTAAAAATTGAAATGGTGTTGGAGCTCATGTTGCTGTCAAGCCTTTTGTCTGTGCTACATGTGTGTGGGCTGCTGCATGTTGGTGCTCTGGGCTAATTCTTTTTAATTTTATTTTAAGGTAGCGGTCCACTAATCTAGGGTGGGGGTGAGGGCCGCACAGAAGGGGATTCGAACTGGTGCTATGGGGTTTTACAAATAAACACCTCTACCACTGAGGTAAACACCCACTGGCTGGCTGGTGCTCTAGCTTTTTTCTGTAACTCTTGCTCTGTTTTAGCTTTTCGTGCCGGATGATGAAATATTGCACTTGTAGTTATTAGGACAACCATCTCAAAATTTGAGTTATTCATGATAACTAGTTATGAGGTTACGACTCAAACTCAAGTATTGTGTGATGTTTTATGATAATAGTTTATAAATATACGACGTTAATTGAGTTTATTGGTTCTAGTTTGGAATTTTGTATGTACAGTGCATAAATAAGATTGTTGTCTTGTGTTAAAATAGCACCTACTCTATGGTTTCCTCAAATCATGGGTCAATGTAGGGTGGCTGATGTTGAAGGGAGGTTTCCTACTTGTCTACTTAAGTGGGAAGTGCAGAGACTACAAGAAAGAAGCTTAAGGAGTTCAAGGGGCTAAGGGCTTGAGAGTAAGCCAAGAAAGCCAAGAGGAAAGAGCTCAAGGGTTGGAGTCTTGTAAGTCTAGAAACCAAGGAGGGGAAACACCAAGTGTGAGAGAGTGTTCACAAGTGAATCAAAGTGTTGAGTAAGGGGTGAGAGAGAATAGAGAGCTTGGGGAGAGAATAGAGTTCAAAGGGGCTTTCTTTGTAAACCAAAGTTTGTAACTTATTCTTTCATTAGTGAATTTCTCAAGGAGATCACCAAAGAGCATTTAGGCAATTGTTGAACAGCTATAAATTCTTGTGTCATTTTGAGCTTGGTTATTTTCTATGCGTGTTTGAGTGTTTGATTCATCCATCATTGTGTTTGTCCAAAGTCCATTAGCAACAAGATCATTAGGGGAGTGCATTCAATTGTATAACACTCCCATGTCATGTGCCCCACTGACGGCTCCAACCAACCCCGCCCACTTTGAAATCCATTCCCCCTTTCCTCTTCACATCCCCTTCCTCCATTTCACCTTCCCTATTTCCCTTCCTCATTCTCTCTCTTCCATGGAACACCTACCCTTCACTCACAAATTCCCTTAGCCCACCTTTTTCTTCTTCTTTTTTTCTTTTTGGAATTTTCCCATTGCATATTGAAAATTTGTGGAAGGACAGCTACCAAACCAATAATTCAGTAGTCTACGTAACAAATGGTGACCAAGAAAACTTTAGATCCTTCAATAGAAACACAGTGGTGTAAGTTAATGAAACTATGAAGACAAGAAAGCGGTTAGATTATGGGTCGGAAGCTTAAGTAATTTTAAATCAGGTATTTGAAAATTTCAGACATGCTTAATGAACACCATAAAAAAAAATTATAAATGCTCAAAGAGAGAGAGAGAGAGGAGGGGGGTCCTGTGCGATGTGTTTTGGGGGGCGGGTGGGGTTGGGGTTGGGGACAAAGGGAGAGAGAGGTCTCTTTTTTCTCTCTTTTATTTTTCTTGAAAATGGAAAGACTCAAATATCCTTAAAAATGGATGGAAAATTGGATGGTGTTAAAGTTAAATGACAAATCATGGATTTTGAAAAATTAAGGTGATATTTCTCTTAAATTTTTTTTAAGATGACAAATTGAAACTAGGGTATAAGTTCACGTGACATTGTGTACATAACGTGGTATATAAATGTGGTATGACTGGCATTTTGTTTTTATGTATATGATGAATGAATCTTTTTTTATGAATTAAATTATTGGAAGTCGTATGGATGATACTAGGTGTGTTGCAGGACTTTGAACATGCTTTTGTTTTTTAGGGTTCTAAGGGAGCAGAATCTC